TCTGGAATTTACTTTATCAAGAAGGATCTGGAATTTGTTTCGTGCCACATCAACATGACCGCATCTAGGATCCGCGATTCAAAGATTTGCCGTCCACGTGAAGACCGAAAGCAATTTTGTGCGGGCCTGGGCTTGGTCTAGAAATTTGACACTTCATCACGGAGGATCACGATCTTGACCGAGGGGGAACTACAAGGCCACATATCCAACCTTCTCACAAGTAGATCCCAAATAAATATTTTTGTGATCTTTTTGCCCGCATAGAAACCTACTGCTTGGATCTTTCGTACAGCAGGAAATTTCTGAATCTGCTCTTTCTTCTTCACCTCTTTACTTGCTGCGCTGGAAGTGAGAATGAGAGCTGAACGACCTGACCTGAGTGGAGTCTGAAGATCACCGGATGAAAATGAGAACCGAAAAACCATGACGAATGTCAAAACACGCCACGACGAATTTCAAAACCGCGCCGAATGGCCAACCTGCAGCATTCAGGGACCCTCGCGAGGCCCTCGCCCACACGGTTTGTGCTTGCATTTCAATTTAGAAGTGTCCGAACAGTTTTCTCAGCGACGAAATGAACAACGACGATGAAATGAGCAACTACGCGCTTCTTTTTCTTCTTCTTGTAAATTTTGGTACTACAGTTGCCCACTTCTTAGCTTCCTCAAGATGAAGCGGCATTCCCGGAGGCTGGGGCTGTTTTCCAAGCCTGGAGACTTGAGGTTTCGGCTGGAAAAGGCGGGGTGCTCTAACAAACTGCTGGCTTTGGACAGGACAAGCGTCGGATCGAAATGAAAAATCCCTGCTCCCCATATTAATCATTCAAAAGGCGATTTTTGTTGCTGGTGGATTTGTGTACCTACTTACACCAATCGAATCAGGTTGTTTGTAGAAGTCTGCGTCTGGCGAAAAGCGATAGTAGGCGATCTAGGCATGCTCATCGTCATCAGCTACAGCTGCATGATGCTTTACAGCATTGACATTGTAGCAGTTGAGTATGACAGACGTCTCGTCTGCATCTGACCTAGTAGGGGTACTTGGTTCACTCGCAATACAGATCACGATCTGTGATAAGCTCCTCCCCTCTTCCTTCCTCTCACTCTATGCAACACAAAGGCGCTCGTGGTTTCACAAATCCGCATCACAAAAGTATATGAGTATGGAGAGGGAGGATTTGTCCCCACAATACATCGCCGTTTCGTACTATCGCGAGAAAAAACTGCTGCCTTCACAGTAAACTTGTGACACCGAGGAAGGTGCAACATCGGGAGTGTAGTTTGTCTTGCTACACATGCAAGACAGGAATGGATTTTTTGCCTTAGCCGTGTCTTTCTCCACGACTAGGAACCTCGCATAGCGAATTTTCTCTGTCAAGTGATGTCGAGGAACGAAATCAAGTTGAGTATGCAAAACTTGCAAAATTTTTAAACAGAGAAACAGATTTTTCGTGCGATACGTACGCCTTGTTCGGGGCCACGGTATCTTGCCCGAAATTCTTGAAACTGCTCTTCCGAGTTAAATACCGGTCCAGCGTATGCATTGCAAAAGGAAAAGCGTCGCACGAGTAGTCGAAACTGCATGACAAAGTACTTACTTCAGAGGGAAAATGTAATAAAAACTTTTTGTCTACATGCATAATCAAGACTAAGTTTGCATCCCTAATCCTGAAACCCAAACCAAACCCTGGGAGATCCCGCCGCGACGGACGCCCATCTTGTCAAGCGCGATCCCTACATGCATAGTTTTTTGGAAAAGGAAGGCAAAAAGAGAAGGATGAAGCAAAAAAAATCGAGCGAGGCGAGCGAATCTCTCGGCGGCCTATGAAGGACAATCCAGTGGCCAACCCGAAGTCCAACACAGTAGGGCTTAGTCAAGACTAAGTAAAGAGGAACGCGGAAGCATATCTGAATCTCTCATGAAGTCCTGCTCAATCGATCTTTTTAAACCTTTTGCATCGAGGATAGAGAGTTTGCTTCGGCAATAGACACAGCACCATCGCGTGCTTCTCAGCGCTGTCCCGGCACAACAGCGTCAGCGCGAGGGCAATGCGCTGGTCGAGCGAGTCCGACAGTTGTTGCTCGATGAAAGCTGTGAGATGCAGATGTTGCTCGTCGCCGGACAGCAGTTTCTGTTTCACCATCGGGTGCTTCACAAATTCCTCCAAGTCGTCATCCAGTAGATTCTGCAAGTAGTATTCTAGGCACCTCTTCTGAAACGGGGTGGACACGCCCCATTCTTCCGCGATTTGCAGACCCAAGTTGAGGCTCACCTGCGCTTGTTGGATGGAAATGGTGGTGCTGCTGGTAATCAGTCTATCCATCAGAAAGCTCAGCCGACGCTCCTCTTGCTCCTCTTTCATCATGTTGACGTGTTGTAAGTTGTAATCTTGCGATCGATTTTCTGCGGGAAATAGGAGCAAATCGCGCACCGACAGAGCAGGAGAAGACACGGCTCGTCCGGCTTCTTCTCTATTCCGCGTTCTCGACGCCGTTTGTCGGAGACCGAGAATCAGTTCTGCGTTGGTCGGAGATGGAGATGGAGTTACTTCTAGCGCCTCAACATCCGAATGATGAACAAGATCCGCGTCGACAGTCATCTGATGCTCCACCAGCAGCAGCACCACTTTTAACCCGCGCTTCAACAGCTCCAGGCTGTGTTGCGCCGCGAAGATCTTGGCGTGCAGTTTGAGCAGGTACAGAGAGTATCCTGAGTAAAAACATCCCCACCCCATAGTCAAGTTGGTAATCTAGCAACACAAATCTCCAAGTTTTGGGCACTGTGCATGACAAGTTTCCCTCTGCAGTGTAGTGCTGATTGGCAAGAGAAGCCGCATGAGAAAGCCAATTTCGCATCCTGTTTACAGCATTACAGATTCCAAAACACGACTGGAAATGCTTCTCATGGAGCTGCGCATTACAAACGTTCCTGTCATTGCACATTTGCATGGCAACTCTGGTGTGGGGACGTTTTTACTCAGGATAGAAAGCTGATTTGGTTCACCTGCGACACGTTCTTCTGCAGGTTGAGCATATCAGATGTAAAAATGTCTGAGTCTGGGTCTGGAAGAATACAAACTTGTGATGTGCATTTCAGAACACAAAAAGATCTCTCATGCATGGGTTGCAAAAGCTGCCCACTTTATGCCACCAAAGTGGGGGATTTGTCATGCGGATTCGGCATTGCGGAAGCTTCTCCAAACCTGTAATGCTAGCGCTTCCATACCAGACCTCCTGTGTCATGCAAAAATAGCGTGACTGTTCCAGACCCAGACATTTTTACACTTGATAGAGCACAAATGGACACAACAGACCGTTGCTGAGTACGGCTTGCGACTGTTGGTCGTGTATCAGATTGCACAAGAACTCCCCGCGGTCCCCGCTTAACACTCGTAATGCAAAAAGGTAGACTACTCCAGCTGTTGGGTTGCCTTTTGGCACTGGTTCCAGCAGCCCAGAAGAGACTCAAACAGGAGTACTACAAAAATACAAATTCATAAATCCAGAGGGTAACGGATGCAGTTTTTCTGACGCTCCTCCCGTTGCAGCTGCTCCTACTGTCACTGTCTGTGTCTTCCATCAAGAAATTATGCGGGAAAAGAAATAAAGAAGGACTTGTGCATTCTCATATTGTGATCGGCACCACTACCAGCACCTGCAGAACTCGCAACATGATTCGTTTGTTGCTGCACCAGTGGTGTGAAAACAGAGGAGTCAAATGCCGCTAGGGACGAAGAAGAGGCGATTGATCTACTGCCACGAGCATATCTTTTCCACCTACTCCGCTTTCGATCTTGATCGTGATTTTCGTTGTCGTGGTCACGACCAGTAAAGTTCACGTTGTTATTGACCTTCATCTATCCTGTGCAAAATTTAAAGTATCGTATTCGTATAAATGCAAGTCTTGCATTACAAGTCTTTTTCTTAAGGCAAACCCGCAGCACAAATTCTATTTCTGACGCTGAGGAAATTTGTAATGCATTTATACGAGTGCGATACTTTTGCAGTTCATATCATCAGTTCCTCTGCCTGCGCTGATCCGCCGGGCGACGAGGAGGTGGACATCAAAATGTAGCGGTGCAAGCTTTGCCGCATCGTCGCCTCCTGTAAGTACCGCAGTGGCGGGTAGAAGAGCTGTTGCGCCATAAGAGTGTGGAAATAAACGTCCGGACTTGCGGCCTTCCCGCTCTGGTCAACACCCTCCACTTTAATATTCATCTCCCCTGTCGTGCAGCTCGATGTCTGTGCACTGTTGATGCCGAGAAATTCGCAGTACCCCGCCTCCAGATTCATATGGGGCGGGGGAAATGCGTCCCTGTGGTCACCAGCTTGTTCATCTCTATCAGGATGCGCAGCTTGTACACCAGCAAGGTCCGATGACCCACCTCCCTGGGGGTCTTGTTCGAAAAACAGCGCTGCGTCGATGTTCTTTCCGCCGTACGGCAGCGGCTTTTTCCCCGAAGAGGACAGGTAGTTCTTGCCGTGTCTGTTGGTTTTATTTTCTCGCCCAGGAGTGGACGACATACTCCCGCCGTGCTGCTGGTAGCGGTTCTTTATCTTTGCGGTGGACATCGGGGTAGTTTGTTCCATATCCTCGTTTCTGTTCGAGGTCGAAGTGGCTGAGCTATTTGCGTTCAGTCTTTGCTGCTGCTGAATCGGTGTTGTCGGGGAACCACGAGGACCACCCTGAAGATTCTGCTGTGTCGGCACTGTCACATTCTGTTGAAATAATCTGCCGCTAGTCGACTTTGAGGTACAAGTCGAGGGCTCGACCGAGAAGAGGTTCGAAGCGAAACTCGAGGATGCGGTCGTGGCCGAAGTAGAGGAGGACGCAGCAGCGCCGGCGTTGCTAGTCGTTGGTGAGGGTAAAACTACGTCAACGACGCTCAGGCTTTCGCTCAGCAATGCGATTGCCGTCTGCAAGTTGGACTTTTTCATTTGAAACTCCTGCCTAGTTGTCCTATTGGTGTAGTTGTTGCCCTTGATGGTCATTCCCCGCCGATTTTTTTCCGTCGCGGTTGTAGTTTTACTGGAAGAAGTAGAATTTGTCTTATCAAGTACTACCATCTGCACCCAAGATGCGACGTCCTGCATCCAAACCTCCTATGAATTGCAAATATGTCTAGGTCTGGAAGACTGCAAGTTTGTCATGCTTGTCAGGCATGATTCGAGAATCTGTGTTGCGTACGCACGAAAAGGCCCTCCTACCTGTCATGCAAAAACGCAGTTTGCCATGACGAAAATACATGGCAGCCAAAAAATTTGTCATGCATATCTGCGTATTGCAGTGCGTCTTTCATTCACTTTTAGCATTACAAGTTTCCGGACCCAGACATATTTGCATTTGATACCTGCTCAAACAGCGCGAAGGAGAGCCCCGCCCGGGCGATTTTCTCCGACTTCGGTATATCAAATGCAAAAATGTCTGGGTCTGGAAACTTGTGATGCTGAGTGGCGTAGCATGAGGAGGCCACAAGTGCTGGCTCAGCATGACAAATTTCTGAGCTTGTAGGTGTTGCCTATTCTGCATGACAAACTGCGTCTCCGCATGACAGAAAAGTGCGGCTCTTGGGCAACGTGCATGACAGATTTAAGAGTCATGCCAGAAAAGCATGACAAACATGCATTCTTCCAGACCCAGACATTTTTACATTTGATACGGTAGGAGATTCAACCAAATAATCGCGTCGCGAATCAGGGACGAGGTGTTTTGGTTTGTCGGCAACATCGTGGCAGTTGTCATGCTGCCTTGCGAATCATCCAGAGGACTTCGCGCAGCCTCTTTATTTGCAAGTTCGCTCTTCATTCCTTTCCTCTTTGCGCTCTGCTCCATCGCATCCAACTGGTACAGCTTCCACAGCACAATTTCAGTGACCAAAACCCCCGGTGTGCGAAATTTCACCAAGTCGGGGTTTGTGTGGAGGTCTACCACTTTTTCGTCCCAGGTGGAAAAACGGCCTTGGTCTGAGGCTGAGCCACCCCCACCGCCGCCATTAATGCCACTTCCCATAATTGTCGGAACAGCACCAGCTGTACCACCTGGGGGTGCATCCAATGCAAAAGTATCGCACTTGTTCTCGTCGTACTCATCGAAGTCACGCATCACAGATATGTGGCGTCCTAAGGGATGATAATTGAATCTTCAACTTCAGCAATGCAACAGTATCAGTATCATATATATGACTGTTGTGAATCGAGGGAATAGGGAGAGCGGAATAGGGAGAGCGGAATAGGGAGAATAGGTCAATAGGGAGAGCCGTGGTAAACCTAATTCCCCTTGAATCGCGATGGTATGCTCCGTTTTGGTAAGCCGTAGAACCAAAAAAAATTTCGCGCGCGCATTCATGCACGCGCGCGCGTTGCATCGATTCGAAGGCGAACGAGCACCGCGCGCCCGTTGAATCATCGAAGGAAATTTGAAGTGGCCACTTCAACTTTCCCTCATCGAAGGAAAATCGAGTTGCCCATTTCAACTTTCCCCATCGAGGAAAATTTGAAATGGCCACTTCAACTTTCCCTCATCGAAGGAAATTTGAAATGGCCACTTTACCTTTCCGCCTTCGCCAGCTGACGAGCAAGACCTGAGCCTTACGGGCCCGCAAGAGGATAAATCCCCTCAGGGAAGGTTCCGCGCCTCCCCGACCCCGGGAGGAGCCGCCGAGGAGGGGGGTACTCGGAAGCATTTCCACCCCAGATTTCGAAAGATGTTGTCGTGGCCGTGCCATGCTGTTTGCGATCAGTTTGGTTTTGTTTTTGCTGCCCCCTTTTAGGGGGACTCTCCCTATCTCCCTACTCTCCCTATCTCTTCCTATTCCCTATTCTATAAAGCGTTCTAGTATCATACAAATTGCATGATTTTCATTTTTCTCTTGGGAACGAAATTCGGAAAGCGATTTTTTATACTAGTACGCTACTTGTGCAATGCATAAGTCGCCTGCTCCTGCGTGACCACCTGAACGGTGCTGGTTTCGGTCTGCTGGTCCGACATGCCGACCCAGTCACTTTGAAGATTTGCGGACGAGGATTCTTCTTTGACGAAGGTGATGGAGCTGGAATAGTTTGTCTGCACAATCTTTTCCTCTGGGGCGAGGAAGCTCGCGGCGCCCGGCGTGCGGTCCACAGAATTTTTGTCAACCTCAGATCCAGCACTATTTGCGAAGAATGCATTTGGTGCTAATTTCAAGAGCAGCAACGGATCCTGAAACCCCAGATCGTGATCGCTGGTGCCGAAGCTGTAGTGCCGATTATGTGTAATGGATGTTCCGGGTTTGTTCTTCTGTAGTAGGGTTTTCCACTCCTCCTTCACCAGCCTCTGCTGCTCCTTCGCCAAAACTACCGCTGCCGTGCTGGTCGTCGTGCAGCTTTCTCGACGTCCTGCTTGTGCTGTTGACAAGAAAAAACCATCGTAGGCCAGGGCCAGCAGAGTCGGGAGACAGTGCTGGAAGCGGGAAAAAGTCGTGGTGACATTCATCTTTTTCATGCATGCGGAAGTAGATTCGGATTCCTCTTCTTCATCACCATCAGCTACGTTCTGGAAATGGTCTGCGCTGACGGCAAACTTGAGAACCAATTCCAGTCGCTGGAACACGGCTGACAACACGGCCTGCTGCTTCAAAGCAGCGAGAAATTTCCAATTCGATGCTGGTCCACCTCGTGCTGTCATAGCTGCACCTCCTCCCGAAAAGTTGTCGATGAGCGGGGGTTCCTCTGCCAGAAACTCTACCGGAATACACCGCAAAAGGAAGACAAGCAGATACAGATGTGGCAACACTTCGGAGGGCGCTACGCGGATTACTCTGAGCAGGAGTAGCGTAAAGCTGTTCGCAGCTCCTGCTTCGCCCACTACGGAGGGGGCTCCGGCTCCACCGGGAAGAAGAACATCGTCGTTGAACAAAAGCAAAAAAGCCTGAAGGAGCAAGGGCAAGTCGCGTTTTTTTACCACAGGAGGAGACGAGCCACAGTTGTTCAATATCGCGTCCCCCGACGAGGTCGCCGCGGACCGCCCTGGTGCAAGATTTGTTGAGGTGGATTTGCTCAAGTGCGCATATTTTCCGTTGTATTTCTCGATCTTCAGCGCCACATGCTCGCCGTCGGCGAGAAACTTGTGCACCCAGGGGCGAAAAAACCGGTTTTCCCACAGCAACGGGCTCGAGCGAGTAGTTATGGAAGTGTCAGAATCGAAATTAACAAAGTTGAAATAATTTGTAATGCATAAAATGCGATACAAAAAGTGACTCTATTGCAGAGGACCCAAGGGAGGCAGATTATAGTCCTGGTAAGGGTCAAAAGTTGGACTGCCATCTAGCATGACAGAAGGCAGCTCTTTTGCCCTAAACCGCATGACAGACTCGCTTCCAGGACCGGGGAAATTTGCCATGCACCGACTACAAACTGTAGGTCTAACTGGTATCCGTTTTATGCATGACAAACTATTTCAACTTTAACGATTTCAAACCTGACACATCCATAGTAGTCTGCAGTTTGGTAAATCCGAGGGGAACTATATTGCCGGAGGTGCCCATAGTCATGTCGTCTGCAGAACTGCTTGTCATGAGCAACTCCTCCTCCTCCTCGGCCTCCGCTATAATTTCGTCGACGGACTTCAGAATAGGAATTGCATTACAAGCGCCAGCAGTTCCTTCCGAAGATGTTGATACTAAACCACCGCTCCTCTGGTAGTCTTGCGCTCGCAACCCAAATTCTCGCCACAAAATTTCGCTATTGTCTGCGAGAAAATCTTTTTTTACCACGCTCGTTTTGGTTGCGCCGGGAAGAGGTGGACCCGACCCCGAGCTGTACAGAAGATGATGATGATCCGCATGATTTGCTTCCGTCACGTCCTCATCATCAAAGTCATCAAACAAGGACGTCGCTAGTCTAGTCCTCGTCGCGGCGTTGGTTGTCGTGGTGGTCTTCTTGGATGCGCCCGTGGCGGTCGAGTTGTTAGTGTTTTTACCGATAAGAGTGCTTGTGCCGATCATATCTTCAATTTGCGCCTGCCGAGTTCTTGTACTTGGTTGGAAAAACAACTCTTCGCCAAAAGTCGTGTCATCAACATTTCTCGCACGACCTGCACGAGGAGATTCGTCGCTGAACAGGGGGAGATTGAGATCCACATCCATTGCCACCGTAGCGTGGTCGTGTGCGCTGCTCAGCATGTTCTGCTGCGGAGGAAACAGTCCGTGCTGCTCCAGCTCTTCCAGAGAGCGGACCGGCAGGGTTGGCGGCGGCGGAGAGGCGTCCTCCAACTCACTGCCGGATGATGTTGGCGGCTCTTGATTTACTAGGGAGGATGAAGCGGAGCTGGAACTACAATCTTTACTCGAAGAAGCCGGCTGTTCTTGAACATTATTGTTCACTCCCCGTGGAGGTCCCGCCAGTGATGCTGCATCTTCGGCTGGGACTGAAGCTTCTGCCCCGCCGAACATCATGGAGGTCGCAAAGTCGAATAAACCCCCGGCGACCCCGCCCGCGGTAAACATCTGCTCATTGTAGGTGTTCGCGTGGTCGTTCTTGTTGCTACTCGTATGAAGATCTCTTTCCAACTGGTCAACCACGTGTTTTTGCAGCGTCAGGTGCTTCTTCTTGAACTTCAGACTGGTCAGTAAATGACGCAAGTCTGCATTGCAGAACCACTTCAAAAACGCGAACTGGAGCAACTCTTGTTGATCTCGTGCAGCTCCTATCGTGTCAAGACTCGTCGAGGTGTCGCACTGACGATCTTGACGTTCAGAACGGACATCATCCAAGTGAAAATGTTCTTCGGTGTCTCGAATAAATTGTCCACCACCACCTCTTCGTGGAACTGCCCTCGTCGTGGCTTTTTTTGCGGCCCCCGTCTTGTTTCCGCTGCTACTATGATCCAACGAGGAAGTTGTACTAGCTGTCGAGGTACCACTGGTTCTTGCCCCCTGCTGCAAAATGCGCTGCAGCCGGTGCACGTAATTCAAGTTTTCGGTGCCCGTCCCTGCTAGAAGGGGCTGAAACAGGAAGTCACATCCCCGGAAATCCTGTGTGAGGTTGCTTGGCAAGTGCAATAGTGCAGGAGAAACTGAAACTGCCTCGTCCATCTCGCGGTTTCTTCTTCCGACACACTTCTCAGGCTCTTCCCCTTCATCGCCATCCGCGTCTGCTGCCCTCGATTTGGTAGTTCCAGGACCAGCTTCTACAACAAGGTCTCTGTCCATCAAATCGGTGAAGTGGCGATAGGAAATGAGCGAGCATAAACGCTCCTGCTCTTCAGGTGGGTTCTGTCTTGGGCCGCCTGATGATGAGCTTGTAGTTGTGGTGAACTTCAAATCCACCATCCGGTAGTGGTCGAGCAGCCGCGGGGAGATGAGGGGTCTTTTACTTTTTCTTCTGCTAGTACGTAGTCCTTTCTGGTGTAGTCGGCTCCTACGAGGACTTCTAGGAATTTGATGTAGTAGTTTTCCACCTGCTCGCTGAGCGTCTTCGTTCTCCGTCGAGGAACTTGTGTCGTCCTCTTCGTCCACACTGGTAGTTGATTCGTCGCCATCTTCAGGCGAGCCCAATGATCCAGAATCGCAAAACAGCTTCAAGTGGTTCCCGCAGGCTTGCAGAAACCCCTTCGAGAAAACGCCCTGCAGCATCCGCATCTCATCTTCCTGGGAGCACGACAATGCTCCCGTAGCTGCGGCTGCGCCACCTGTTCTTGTTCCTCCAAAAGTTCTTCCTGCTTCGTCCGCCGCGGTCGCTGCTGCACCGGGCGTGCCGCTGTAGTTGTTCCTGTACGAAGATAAGGACGATGACCCATAGTACAACGACCCGGCGTAGGTGGAAGACTCGTCCGTGCGGGGAGTCGCAGCAGCAGTTCCCAAACCCGCGGTGGCGGCACCTCCCCCGACCTGCAGACCCGGAATGTCGAAAAACTGGGCCCAGCCTCGCGGCGTCAGGTTGGAAAGCCGCTCGCACAGCCGGTCGCTGTGAAAAATCAGATTTTTCGCATTTTTTCTCGCGCGGCCCTGGAGTTGCTCGCCCACGTCCTTTTCCTTGATGTCGGAGTTGTCATCTTCTTCAAGCAGCTTCCGTTGTAGGAATCGGAAGTATTCGAAGATTGCGTCCTTCCTTTCTTGTTGTCCGCCGGACATCAATTTAGGACTTGACGTTTTTGTTTCTTCTCCCTGCCGTTGCTCTTGGCCGGCGTCAAGAAAATCGCTTCTAGTCGTGCCCGATGAAAGATCTGTTCGTGGTGTTAATATGCTTATGCGCTCCTTGTTTTTACTATCTGCTGTTGTACAACTGGCATCCTTACTTTCTCCAGAGCCAGCACCTGTTTGTTCTTTAGTTGGGGTTGATGGCGCTGTGCAGGAGCTTCTTGTCACAATGGCTTTCTGCTGCAGCAGCAATGGCTCCCCAATCATGGCCAGGAGATTTTCCTCCTCCGGATCGACTTCGACAGAAGTACAACTACGAGAAGGGCCTGCAATTATTGTTCTTGTGTCCTTGATGTTTTCTTCATCCTGTCCAGGACCACAGTTGTACCTGCTCAGATGCTGCCCCGCGATCTCGACGTAATCGGTCAGCCGCTTGATTTCCCGCTGCAGCATGCGCAGAAACTTGGCGTCGAAGGTCTTATTTTCTTCCGCTAGCGATCTGCTGGAAATCGCTGTACTCTGAAACAACGTCGTGGTCGTGTGAAGGACTTTCTCGAGAATTACTGTCGATCGTAAATCAACCGTACCAGACTTTCACTTTAAATATATACAAATTGCATTTCTCCACCTCCATCCTGCACGACTATTTATTCTTTACGCATTGGTAGTGTAATATGAATAGCTAGCATGTTAACAAGTGGCGTCGCAGAAATTAGAGACTTCCCGGTAGGTACTAGTTGCCCAAACTCACCCTGCGAGTTGCACGTGCGTCGAGTACGGTATAATCAACTTCTTTGTATTGCATAATCATCAGGACCACGTTGGAGGGCTGTAGAAAATTAGGTTCCTGCTGCTGCTCTTGGTCACCTTTGGAAGTGTCTCCAGCTGCTGTACTACCGATTTTCCTCAGTATTTCCCTCTGCTTCTCCTCATTCACCTGAAGGTGGCATTTGAGCAAATTGGCGATAAACCGCTTTTTCTGCTTCACCGACTTGACCAATTGTAGTGCCTGCAGAAACAGATCCCGCGTATGCATTGTGCAAAAACACCCTCGCAACGTATCAGTTACAGTTTTGTTTCATGGCGTAGAAAAATTGCATGACAATTTTTTTCAGAGGCAAAAAGAAAAATTGCGTATGCGGAATGTTGATGAGGTAGCATGATTTATTTTAAACATCCTTTATGCAGTACTGCATTCGTACGTACGTGTGCGATAATTTTGCACAGGTGGATACGGTATCAAATGTAAAAATGTCTGGGTCTGGAAGGTTGGAACTTGTCATGCTAACTCTGAAGCATGCAAAAATCTGTGTTGCATGATTACCAAAAGCTGTCCACTTGTGACCTAATCGAGAGGCAGTTTCTCATGCAGGATAGGCATGATAGAACTCTCACGGAATCTGTCATGCTCTGTCCTACATACTAGACCTCATGAGTCATGCAAAATCTGCATGACAAGTCTGGCATTCTTCCAGACCCAGACATTTTTACAGTTGATATACGGCTCCTCCCACCGCAAATTCTCGTCGGCGTACGAAATTTCGTTCCGCAGGGCACGGTATCAACTGTAAAAATGTCTGGGTCTGGAAGATTTCCAGGTTTGTCATGCATATTTCGTATGGGATATGATGCCTGTAATGCATGCCCTAGCATGACAGATTTTTTGCGGGTATCTTGATGCCTATCCCGCATGACAAATGCCCTCTCCGCGGAGCAAAAACTGGGCGCCTATTGCTGCTCATGCAATACAGATTTTTTTAGATTCATCCAAAAATAGCATCACAAGTTGCATTCTTCCAGACCCAGACATTTTTGCAATCCATACACGGAGCAGGGTCTCGATCTTCTGCGTATTCGTGTCTTCTTCCAGCGCCGGTTGGAACTCAGCTGTTCTTCCGCAGCTGTGGTCTTCTAGTGGGATTTCGTGGCTGTTGTAGTTGTGTGCGTCATTCACCCCCGAGACCGACGTCGGAGTCGTGGCAGAAGTCCTCGGTGCAGGGTCCATTGCATGCTCGTCAGCTGCCTTCTCCACGGTGAAATAGGAAACGGCATGTTGGTGTTCTTGCTCCGACGCCGCTCTTCTAGTAGTGATCTCTTGTCGACGAGTGCGTTGCCACAGCAGCAGAAAGCTTGCCTTCCTTGGCTCCGGAAGCACTCTGGGCGGAACAGGCTGCACCCGATTCAACATCCGAGGAGCGCTGAAAAGATCAGGTGCAGGACCAGGGCTATCCTTATTAAACGTATACAGAGTGCGTGTGGCCTCGTGATAGTAGGATTTAGCGGAAGACAGAGCCTACAAGCAAAGATGCAAATTTTTTTCATATCTCTTTCAACTAGTACAGAATCTTTACCTTCCCTAGGTACCATCATCTTCGCTAAATCATAGCCATCCAGGTTGCTGGCTATAATTTTAATTTAGCAAAAAGCATACATGCACTCATAGGTTCACGGAGAATAATATGCAGCGACCATACTTTCGAAACGGTCCTCCCCAGCTTCCACAGGTCGAATTTCGCTCCTGGTGTTGAGGTCGAAGATCTTGGACCACCAGAACAAGGCTCTTGCGCCCAACAGCAGGTCAGCAAGTGCTCGCGGGAAAGAAAGTGCAGCTGGTGGCAGTAGTAGTTTTCCACTCCTTGCTTTTGGTCGCTCCGGCCGCGTAGCCAATTCCAATTCCTCGCGAGCATCGTTTTCGTCTTCGCCTTACCTGAAGCAGATGCGAGTTCTTGCTGCTCCGGTGCTCCAGTGGTCGGCCTCAGGCTCCTATGCAGGTGACAAATATCTAGGTCTGGCTGGTCTGGAAAGTAGTCGGGGACGTGATGCTGATGCGACTATACTTTGATAAAATCTAAACTGCTGTCGCTCCAGTAATTGCGCGGTACGTGTGCGTGAGAAGTTTTTGAGCTGTTCTGGAATGCGCAAGAACGCGCATGTCATAACAAAGACGCGGCGCGATTTCGCAACAGGCACGATACAGTCCCGGATCGGAAGCACCGAAAAAACTGAAACTACTATGCGAGTTTGATAGCGACATTTCATGGCGCGCAATTTGGTACTCGTTCCAGCAAGGCTTTCCCCTCCAGATCATCGAAGATGACATTTGCAGTTGATAGCTCCACATGTGCACTAGCTTCATTCGTTTGTTCTTTCCCCCGTTGCTGTAGTTATTGAGCTGGTAGAGGGATAGCTGCAAATCTAGATGCAAAATCGCCACGGTTGACCCGTTATCAACTGTAAAAATGTCTGGGTCTGGAAGATTCTGACACTTGTCATGCACGTTTTGCATGAGCCATGATGTCTGTGATGCATACCCTAGCAGTGCAGATTTTTTGAGGGCTTCTTGATGCCTATTCCGCATGACAAATGCCTTCTCAGCGTAGCAAAAGTTGCATTCTGTTTGCTACTCACGCAATACAGATTTTTTTGGAATCCAAATACAGCATCACAAGTTGCATTCTTCCAGACCCAGACATTTTTGCAATACATACCCGTCCGGGGATTGCGCGGCACTCAGCACTTGCTCCTGGTCTTTTTCTATCAACTGTAAAAATGTCTGGGTCTGGAAGAATGCGCGATTTGTCATGCAGCTTTTCCATGACCCATGAGGTCTGGAATGCAGGTCCTAGCATGACAGATTCTGTGCGATCTCTCTCATGCCTATCCTGCATGAGAAACTCCCTCCCGACCTGGTCAAAACTGGACGACTTTTGGTAATCATGCAACACAGATATTTGCATGCTTCAGAATTAGCATGACAGCTTGCATTCTTCCAGACCCAGACATTTTTACATTTGATATTTTCCCTGCCGCCTCTTGAATGCAGCGTCCAAACAGGGGGATCTTTCTTCGCGCTCGACGAGAACTTGCTGTTCGCAACGTTATTCCTCGGAGTTTCTCGTCTATGACTTGTTGTTGTTTGCGGCCCTGGCCAAGAGCTTTGGTGCGCTTCATCTTCGTCATCCTCTCCCTCGGTAATTCCGTGCCCCGGGGCGCTGGTAAAGCTAGTGCTGCCCGGGCTAATATCCTCTTCCTCGGGCAGCTGCGGGGGGAACAACGTCGTTAGCAGGGCGCTGCTGCGGACGATGGACTGCAAGATAGAAGTGCCAGACTTTCCGTAAATGAAATTACCAGCATCCCCGCCCACGCCCGTACCGCCGCTAGTCCGGCGCGTGGAGGAGGATGACGAGGTATTTCTTTCCGCTGGTGGAACAAAGCCAACTGCCTCTTGTACTACTATGCTGCTCAAAACAAACGTCGTTGTACCTACCCGCCCCATGATCTCAATCTGTCATGCTAAAAATGTTCTTGCACGTCGTTTCACTACGTGTCTGACTGTTTGTCCTTGCATGATAGATGATGAATAGACAGTAAAAAGTAGCCGTAATCCGCACAACGACTACAATCAAACAGCGGCTTCGGCTAGTCGCGGCCACGCAGTCGCTCTCTACTCACGCAGACACTTTTGCAGGTCGAGGTCCAAAAAACTGCCTGCCATGCCTATCTATCAGGAAAAGCGAAAGCCAGGGAGTCGTCGTGTACCTCATATGCATTGCACAGATACTAGCATCCTGATATACTATTATGTGGTGGTCGACGTTTTCGACGTTTTCGTCCTACCGGATATGATCTTCTGCAGCTGGAAGTGCGCGCTGATCTACTTCCTCGACATCTGTACAACCCTCGTACAGACACAAAAACGGACTCTGGCCGATTCTGAGCAGGGTGTGCCTGTTCAAGTAAAACAGGCTGTGGATACTACTTCCGAAGGTGGTGCCCGCCTCGGTTGAACTACACGCGGAGGTGACGATTTCTCGCACTGCCTTGGTGCCGAGGACTACTCCGCTCCTGACGCTGATCGCGACCACCAGAGCATCAGGCGCAATCTTCGTGGCACGACGACCGGGAGTGTCACCCACAGCTGTGAGTGTGACCCACAGCTGAGTGCAGGAACGCGAGGACGGCCACGACGTGGAGCTGGAGCTGCTGTGGGGCGAGGATTTCGTACTTGATGGTACATCACTACTCATTCCCCGCAGTTCTGAATTAGTACCCGTTCTTGCATTCATCCGATTTAATATCTTCAACCCGTCATCGTCCGGAAAGGGACTGGCCAAGTCGATGGGCTCTGCAAGCTTCAGGAAGCTGTCAGATGAAAATGTGCCCCCCTGGCGAGGCCGTATCAGCATCCCGCTTCTCGATGTAGTGGCACCTCCGCTTGATGAATCAGAAGCCGCTTGGGACGGTGGAGTGGTAGTGAAGCTGTGCAGGAGGTACGGACCACCAGACGACGGCGTGTTTAAACTTCTCTTTGTTGTAGTCCTACTGTTTTTTAGAAGAAGCTTTTCGGCATTTGAAGCTGCTCCCCAAGACAAGAGACTGGACTTTTTGATGTAGTAGTTCTTGCAGCCTTGAAAAAGTTCCGGAGCATCAATTTTCGCCAAGGAAAACCAAATTTTTTCGCCACCCGTGACGGAAACCACGCAGATTTTGTTGGTGTTCCTGTTGCCGAGAACGTAATAGGGAACCAGATTCAATTTCCCTGCAGGAACAGCATCCTGCTGCTCTCTGCTGTCCCGGGGGAGTGCGGTACACAAAAAGTCATCATCAGAGAAGTACTCCTCTTCCTCGTGCACGTCCTGCCTTTTGCTCTGGTGGTCAACAGAGTTGTCATCCGCTGATGAAGATGTTAAAAACTTGGTTCCTCGCACAGATAATTCTGTATCCTTTGACGAAGCTTGTTCAACGTCTCCTGCTCCTGCACCTGCACCTGCTCTAGTACAATAGATGGCTGTATCAGCGAAGTCTGCCGGCAGCTGGCGAGTGGCAAGCAATTTGAAGGGGCGCAGTACTCGCGGCTGATGTCCTTTCGTGGACGACGTCGTAGAGGAAGTCACACTCTCGCTAATACTGTTCTTGGCAACCCCAGACTTACTCAGATGGACGAGTTCATCTTTCGTACCATTCCGCAGGCTCCACACTTCCACCGTTTTTCCATCCCGAATTCCGAACAAAAAGCCCGATTGCAAACACGCATGCGTCAGATTTTCCAAACAAGACTCTCCGCCCCCTCCACTGCCGTCCTGCCGCGGCTGCGACCTCAAACGTTGCTCCAACATGGCTTGATTATATTCACTTTCGGTCTGCAGTACTACCGAAGGGCGATCTTTCTCATGATTGATTGCGCAATATCAACTTCTAACATACTTACAAGAAAAAAGAAAAGGCGACGGAAGAGTCGGTCTGCAAGACCGAGATACTTACGTTGGCCTCCAGCTTACGTCTGCCTTGCACTCCTCGTCTCAACACGCCCTGCAGATGACCTTTGAAACTGAGCCTACGTCTTGCATGCAGCTGAAACGCGACGCAGTATTGTAAGGAAATACGAAGAATAGAAATAGAAAAGCGAAGACCCCACACAATAGAGGAGTCTCGTTCACTGGTGAGGTGGAATCCTTCGCTCCCCAGAGGACTCAAAGTACTAAAACGTCGAAGAAGTTTTTGTGTTCCAACAGGATGAACACTCGGACAGCTGTGCTGTTTTCGATCAGTGTGGTCAGCGCGTATCTGCCCCTCTCTCGAGCTGCTGTGCGTCGATTTTCATTTTTCGGCTCCGCCAACAAACTACTGTTGCAGACTTCTACGAAGCGTGAGCGGTCTTTTCCTTGTTCCCGCCACTATACTTGATAAAGCAAGCTGTGTGCTCGCCTTTTAACGATCAACATGATCTTGGCGTGACCACAGCACAGAACGGTCTTGTCCTTTCTTGTTGTCATTGTCAACCTCAAGAAGGCTGACACTACAAATAGCCTCGCTGGAACCTCCTGCAAGACATGTAAAATTTGTCATGTAAAGGAACTTCCTTCAACATGATTTATCAAAATTCAAAAAGGTACTTGCTTCCAAAATTATACTTAGCCGATCGATTCTTTTCACACCCGAAGTTCGATTTAGTAAATTATCGATCCTCTACTTTGCACTGGATATATATATTTGGATGAAAGTAGCTTACAAAGAAGATGAAGTTGCCTTGCCCTTGCCTTTATTGATTATCACAAAAACGGACAGGAAAGTAGCTCCAGTGGCTACTCCGCCTGGTCGCTTGACGGGCAACCGCAACCCTCAGGGGAGTTGTAGTCATAATCAATATGGTACAACCCCTGCATGTGCCGCAACAGCGCCGGCAGCTTCTTCAAACACTAAAGGCAGGAGCCCGTATCGGTCTCGCAGAAAGAGAACGCGACTGCAGAGCCATTTTCGTTTTTTCCATATTGAGATCCGCCGCACCCCATGATCACGCAACGGCGGACTCATGAGGCTGCGCGTCCCTCGTTCCCCTAATGTACTTCTTCGATCTTCTATTTGGAAGGCATAAAAAAACTAAAACGCGCGATGAGCAGATAGAGAAATTATCTTTTTTAATTCAATACACGATCCTCGCGATTCAACGCACTTTTGATGGTGCGTCGGTAGATCGTCTTTTTTCTTTTGCTGGTAGATCTGGTGTATTAACTATCCTCTTTATAAACTTTTCACTTTTACTTTTTTACTGTGTCTTCCTGTTCCTCTTCCTGCAATAATGCGAATCTTCCGAATCAATCTGCTACATACATTCATCTCCACGCCTTCACAGAGGCACAGCGCAAAATGTCGATGAAAAGTCAAATCCATGCGGCCGCCTATGTCTTCTATTCCAAGAATTTGAGTTTTTCAGTGGCACAATTATCGGAAACTCCTGACATTTATCGTATTATCCGGAAGACGAGAGAAAACTCTTCCTTGCTTGTAAGGAGGCGAGCGGAAAACTCTTCTGAGCGGCTCCTCACTAGCAGGTACTTATTTGTTTGGGCGCCGGCAATGCCGGCCGCCACATTATCGCCTTTGTACCGCTACATGACATCGCGCATTATGGTCTTTGACCTAAGCCGCATTTCGCCGTGTAACTCTGTTTCATAGCACATAGCATATCTAGCCCAACAAGTTGGTCGTCGTACTTTCCAAGAGCGAAGAAGTCTCGTACAAAGAGCTCGGGGGAGGAGTGGAGACGGTGGGGGCATTTTGTCCGCCGGGTCACGTCGAGGAGATTCAATTTGTTCCCGCCACTATCATTATGAAAACACGGCCCAACATCTCATGCTCGTGCCCAAGAACAGATTTGCGGCAGTCGCGAAGTTCGAGGTCTCGAGATAGGATATTAGCCGTGTCAACTTCATCATCATAAAACACGGAACGCCAGTCTTCCGCCCCCGCTGAGCCGCACGTCTGGACGACGCCGCTGCCACCACGATCGAAACGAGCTAAATGCTGCAAAAATTCCCGCTGTAAGGGTTTCAGCTTTTCGTCGAAGTGTTCCCCGTCACCATGCTCCAGTAAGTATCGGACCAGCACTGTCCTGCGGCGCATGTTTGCACTCCTGAGACATCTTCACCTTCATTTCGGTATCAATTTGCAGGTACAGGACGCGAGAATTGCGCTCGTTGTATATATCGACCACCACTTGCTTCCCTGATACTTCTCTGGCCTCGTAGCGCAAGGTCTGGTTAGAATTGAGCAACTCGAGCAAAGGGTTTCTTGTTGGCGGCGGCGCATACGGAGACATCGTCCCCGCCATCGGTCGCAGTTCTGCACCAGAAGATGAAGAAGACGCTGTAAGTTTCGTCTTGACCGCTCCGACATGTCCCGAGAATGAAGCAAGAAGGGCGACGCAAAGTAGTCCGACCCGGTGAGAAAAGTTACGCCCGGTTTTCGTCATTGTGGAGCAATGCGACATGATGGTGCTAATTTAAGAATATAGCACAGTCTTTATTTGCAGGCTCTCTTGCAAATTGATATGGCTCGAAAAAGTTCTCTTCTGAGATCGATGGGCCCCAAGTGAAAAACGAAAAGTGGAGATGACCACGTTACTTAGAAGGGAGCTCGTTGTCCGACGTGTAAGTCAGTGTATCTAGATAACTAGATGCACAGCTCAGTAAAATACTGGTATGTAGCTCTTACTTTCCGGAGTCTTCCTTGATAAAGTAAGATACAGAAGCGCACCAGTTTGTTGTTCTTTTACGAGGAAAACAAGCAAAAGGAAAGTCGAGACGTTGATAGGTGTAATTCTAGTCAGGATCAAAATGCTATGTACGACTGCACAATGGAGACCTGCACTGATCGACACAATAAACAATCAGAGTCGAGGAGATCGACACCTTGGGAAACCGAAAATTGATGTTTTGTAAAAATTCTTCATCTTCACTGACTTGCCAACCGATAGAAACAATTTTTTGGTCCTCACCGATGACTTCGCCCGCTGATCCATTTTTTTGATTTCATTTTTGTTGAGTACAGCAGTGAATAAGTTCTTCGCGAATGATCCATCACGATCTTAACGATATTTTCTTTCTGTTCCCGCACCGAATTTTTGATCCCGAAAAGATTTTTTTTTCTAATCTTGCTCAGCCATCCCATGGCAGACGAAATCCAAGCATCAATCTGTCACTGAAAGCCTGGGCGCTTCTCTGCGGGCCGTGAAGAAGATCACAGAACTATGCAACCACGAGTGGAATGAACAGTCTCATTTCTTAGGCCAGTCGTGAGTGGCCACAAAGGAAAAGGATCTCTTGGTATTATCATGGTCGTGGGCTCCCTGAGCCAGTAAACAAAACACATTACTCGTCAACATCTGTTAAACTACAAAGAACAGAAACGTTATTTTTGTCGCTTTTTATAAAAGAAATGCATTTCGCCGATTATCGACTGAATCTCCTCCTTATTTTTTCCCATCTCCCAGTGCTTCTCGCAATTTCTTTACTGATTTCTTCACTTGTTTCCCCGCCGCCGCGGTTTTCCTCGTCTTCTTCGGCAGCTTTGCCTTCTTCTTCCCCGCGCCGACGGTACTGTCCGACCTACTCTTCATTTTCGACGTCGATATATCAACTACACCAGTCTCGTTCTCAAAGGTCTCCCCGCCGCGAGGATCGCGGTACGAGGTATTTTCAACAGGCACTGAAATGCTGGCCTTCAGGTTCTTTTTCTTCATCTTCTTCTTTGACGATTTCGATCCTGACACTCCCATACCCGTATTGGAGATGATAGCAACAGATCCAGATGCTGCCCCCTGCTGGTGTTTTTCTTTTTTTTGATCTTGCGCTCGGAAAGGCGACGAAGCACACTGCGCAGCGGCGGTGGATAAACCTACTTTCGGGTTTAGGGTTCTTTTCTTCAAAACCCGAGACGACAAATCCTCGTCTCCGCTATCAGAGTGAAGAAGAACTCCCCTTTTTTTCCTCATTTGGCATTGTGAACAATAATAAATTCCGAGCAGCAATAAAAACAGTACATGGCCCCATATTTATACATATGTGGTCGTGCAGTCATAGAATTACAAATTCACGACGCCCGGAGCGTCGTTCAGTTTGGGCTTGTTCCAGAATATCAATATTAATTTGTTCTCATACAAGCACGGCCACAAGGCTGCTCTGGCAGGACACGATTTCTTGGCACTTTCGCATGACAAATGAGGGGGAGAAGGAGGTGTGCTGCACCCTCATATCCGACCGTGTCGATTGTGAAGTTGACTGCTTGCAGTGGCGGGGTGGAAGATGACGAGGAGGAGGAGATAGTTGTACAACCAGGCTCACGCATTTTTAATCCTTTCCCTCCCAACATGGTCTGGTCCTCAGGAACCGGCTCTCCTTCGTCATCGCTGCAGCCTCCAAGTGGTTGTAGTCGATGATGTGACCTATGATCTACAACTTCCTGATTCATCCCGGTCCTTTCCGCTGTCGTCAAAAACCCCGCTTTTTTGCTGCCACCAGCGCTGATCTCCGCCTCGTGAGGACTTAAAAATACTGGGTGATGAACAGCCTCTCCTTCATCGCTGTCGCTGAGACATGCGGATTGCGGTTTCATCTGCAGTTCTACTACTTTCGCAGAAGTGTCGTGGTGGTGCGAATTGTTCTCGTGCTCCGCCCCAGATTTTCCTGCTTCCCGAGGACCCGGATGCACGAGTCCAGAAGTAGTTCCAGATGCGGACGTTGGTGCGACCACTTCCCCACGACGACCACTTCCCCACGAAATGCCTTCTGCGTCTCTGCTCGGACCTGTAGCATCACGAACACGAACATGATGATCAGCAGGGCAAATTACATTTTTACCACGCGGCGTGGTACTTGCAGCTTTATCAACAAGACCGTCCTTTTCCGCTCTTCTGTCGCGGCCACTAGTAGCCTCCTCGGTTGTCATCTGCCAACGACGAAAAATGTTCACGACTTTTTTATTACTTCTCTTGTTCATGATGTTCCTCTGGAGGTCAACAACATCCCCCTGTCGCACTGTGTTTTCCTTCTTGTGGGATATCTTGTTCGTCTCTCTTTTGCAGGTGGTGTCAATCGCAACCGATGATGACTTCAATTTCTGCGTACTAGTATGAAGATCTTCCCGCTTGTCCTCATTTGGCGCCCTTTTCTTACTCCGCTCAGCCTCGTCCAGTGCTGCCGCGTTTTTTAGTCTCTGTGCCTTGTCCCTGAGGAAACTTATCGATCCTCCTGCGGCTCCCGGACGAACGGCGCCCCGTGTAGAAGAAGTCTTTGTGCTGATTGATGTACTAGACATTGTTCCAGCACCTAAGCGGTTGAAACGGCGAGAATCTTCATTCACTGCAGAAATATTAAGCCCAAGTTTGTCAAAGAGACTCGCCATCAGAGCCAGGCATGTCGTGCAGTACGGGAGGAAGAACGTGTGCGCGATTTGGTTCGACAAGGCTCTCACGGCCGTGAAAATGGCAGTCTTGAGTCGAGTTTTCTGCCTCGCCAGCATGATCTGCCGATAATCATGCAGCTCTTGTTCATCTCCGTCTGCGGGTGTTGCTGGTGCACTATCAGGATCCGGATCTTCAGAACTTGTTGTGCCTCTAAGATTTTTAGACGCTACTATTTCTGTTTCCCCCCGTTGTAGCTGTGTGGGGGCCATAATCGTTTTCATCTTGTTCATCATCGTCCCTTTTTCTGTCGTAGCAATATTTCTACCCAGAAGTTTGTACACCCGTAGTAGACGCGTGTAGATCGGCTGCCTTCGGTGCTGCGCGCGCGAGCGGTATAGGAGACGGCCCAGGACGTCCAGGTCCGGCTGAATAGAGGCCTGGGTCACGTCGTCCAGGATGAACAACATGATGTCCGACGGACCACAACCAGGAGGACTTCGACTTCTCCGCTGCCCTGCAGCTTGCTCTCCGTCTTGTTCAACTTCAAACACAGAACTACTTTGTCGCGTAGTACGACCGCTCCTCACCGGCTCTGGCTTCGTAAGAAACGAAGAAGAAGACGACCCTCCGCCTGGTGCCATCGTCATGATTTATTCGGTTTTGTGGTCCGATGTCTCAATCCTGATTGTATCAAAGAAGGACAGCAGAAGAGTAAGGCAACAATCAACCGTAAAATAAAAAAATCCTTGCTGCAACACTTAGTGAAACTTTCTATGTTCTTCTCGCAACAAGGAGAGGCGCATTGATTCTTTCGACCGCGCAGCCAAGGACCGTATAACAACCACCTTCGAGGAGGAGGAGTCTCAGGGGATCACAACTACTTACATCTTCAATTACTGTCTCTGTGTCGTCGTGAATCATCGTCCTGAACTCTATTGGAGAGCGGCGATCATGAAATGATAAGCAAGACATATTGACACTACGTGGTGGACCAGATCATGTTGCGATCACGGTATCTTTATGATGTTTTTATTCACTTTCCTCCAAATCCAACTTTTCGATTTGTTCACATAGTACACGATCAGTAAGGGCGAGGAAGCAGGCGTCATTTCATTCCGGAAGAAAATTGCTGAGATTTGCGATTTCGATGCTCCACCATAACGTCGATGTTGCTTCTTCTCGAGAGAGCTTTATTTCTACTCACGAATCAAAGCAGCGGCAGGAAGGATTACTTAGACTCATTTCTGCACGCTGATACGAAGATCTTGTTCCGGATTCGGTTCCGGAAGCAGCTGCTCCCGAGATGAAGCTGCAAACGTCTATTTCTATATATACTTTCGGTCTGATTTTTTCGAACTTCTTTTCAGAGTATTTTGCAGAACGAAGTCACTGAAGTACATATCTAGAGCCCTACTTTTCTACAGCCTAGATCCTAGGCACCTAGACCTACACGTTTCCGATGAACTCAATAATTTTACTGCAGCTCTTGCTTTTCTTGAAATGTCACTTTTATCTAGAGCTGTGGGCGACCCACCGTCGAGATTTTTCTCTTCCATGTTGACAACCGCATGCACTCTTTGAGGTACAGGAGATCTCCACATTCACAACTTGACCGTACGGAGGGAAGATGATTTTCATTTTTTTTTGTCAACGCGACTGCTCATCTGTCATAGAAAAAAACTCCAATGTTCTTACTTTTGATTCTGAACAGTACAGCATCTCCCCCTCCCTTGCACACGTGCAGGCAGGGTACCAAGGAATGCGTGCTTTTGGTACTAGCAAGTCACCATTATTTAATATCGGCGCTTTCTTCATGCTCCTATCCACGTCCTGCAGGAGGACGTGGAAATGAACAACGCAGCTGCATCTTCAGCAATTCCTTTATTCCCCCCCCCACCTTTTACCGCGCCGCAAGGAGCTTTGTTAGTCTGGTTCACATCAATTTCAGAAAAGGTCTACGATTGAGAATTTGGCATCGGCTCAGACATGGGCTCTTCTACGCTGTCGTGGTTCGACGTGCTCACGCTGTTGTTCGCACTGCCTAGGGGTGGACTCAAGTGCATCTCTTCGTCCTCTTCCTCCTCGTCCCCGTGCGGTACTTCCCCAACATCGTCGTCGACCAAGAAGTCGGGGTCGACGCCACTGCCGTTCTCGACGTGATTCAGCTCGTCGTGGTCTCCGAATAAATGCTGGCTAAAGCCGCGCACGGAGCTTGAGTAGTCGCTTTCGCTTTCACTGGAGCTACTGGACTCCTCCATCAGAGAGATACCGCCTATCAAATGTAAAAATGTCTGGGTCTGGAAGAATGCAAATCTGAAGCATGCAAAAATCTGTGTTGCATGATTACCAAGAGTCGTCCAGCTTTGACCAAGTCGGGAGGGAGTTTCTAATGCAGGATAGACATGAGAAAGATCGCACAGAATCTGCCATGCTAGGTCCTGCATTCCAGACCTCATGGGTCATGGAAAATCTGCATGACAATTCGCGCATTCTTCCAGACCCAGACATTTTTACACTTGACACCGCCGACGTGATGCTGATTCTTGTGCGGCTTCGGCGACCACATCGGAGCAGACGACCTTGTTCCAGCATTCACCTGTGCCGCGCTTGTTTGGTAGTTGTAATTATTGCTGGGTACGTAATTGTGCATCAGAAAGGAGGCGCGCCGGTCCGCTTTTCGCATGGCGACGCGCGTGTGCCTGGCGGCGAGGGACTTGCGCAGGGATTCCTTGGCCTGAGAGGTGGTCTTGACGGCGAACGGGAGCAGAAGAAACCAGGAAACCGCGGCGGCCACCAGCGTGCCCTCCCACCCGAGCACTTTATGGGGTGTCAGAAGCGAAATCGACAAAAATTGGAGGACTGATTTGCCATGCAAAGAGAGGGATACCAGTTGCAGACCAGTTGCAGACAGTTTGTTTCTAAGTGGCCGCGCATGACACACTTTGGCAGCATCGAAATCCAATTTATCATGCTGTTTGGGCAGAGAAGCTGCTTTTGTCATGTAAACCTCGAGCCCTTCTAAACACGCTTTTACTTACTTACAATCGGCGTCACTTGCCACCGCCGCTCGCAAGACAGGCAGTTTGCGCTTTGGATTTTCTGCATTTTGCAGATTAAAATTTCAACTTTGTCAATTTCGATTCTGACACTTCCATACACCTCCGTGATCACATACTCCGCAAACGCCGCGAGGAAGTTGACCCAGTCGACCCAGACGCGCAGAAACGCGAGCACCCCGTAGAAAAATTCGTGTTGCGCCTGCGGCCTCAACCGGCTCGAATCCGGCGGGAGCAGGGTGGCGTAGTGGTAGACCAAGCCGCCGGAGAGCTCCCGCAGGGCATGCTGGGCCGCGATGGTTTCCATCAGCGTGTACGTGCTCACGACCCAGCTGCACAAAGCAAAACCGGCGAGCTTTCTCAGCCGGGACACGCGCGTCAAGCTGCTTCGCGTATGCAACAAGATAGAACTGCTTTGGAGAAGCGTTCGCCCTCGTATCCGTTGTATTTTTGGGTCGTCGAAACGTACTTACTTACTAGTACAACTAGGCGTGCTCTCTTATCGACGGAGGAGGTTCTTCCATGGGGCCACTAATATAGAAGCCATAGAAAAATCCTCTAGTACTAGAACAATCATCATGGTCATCGTCATGATGAGTGGCTTTTTTACGGATATTATCGACTTGTCCTCCTGCGAGGAGCTATCAAAAGTAGTGGTATGCAAAAATGGACTGTTCTACACTATACGAACGAGTTGCTCATCTTCTCCTCATCAGACAATAAATCGAGGGATACCGCTCGAGCTGTGACAATTTGGATTCCAGGTCTGCAAGCAGTGCCGCCAGGGAATTCTTATCGAGGGCTTCTGCGGGTGTCGTGGAGGTCATCATCCCGCTGGTCGCCACTGCTGCGCCATTGGCTATACTAGTGCGGAGCATGATGTTGACCTGGGCTTCGATAAATGACGTGTCAACAGACAAAGTGAGTTTCTACGTTAGATTGCTTTCTACGTGATTGAAATGGAGGACCGCCTTCTCCAACTCGGAATAAAAGTTACTTAGTTAGTAGCCCCGATCTGCTCCTTCAAGTACGTAGACTGCCGCCATCACATTGGAAGAGGTACTGAAAACTAGGTGGATGTCAGCGGGTATTGAAAATCATAATCTACTTCGAGCAACATAGATACACCAGCTCCCGTGATAGCCGAGGAACATCAGAGGCCAGAATTGCCACCGACTTTCTGGTTAAGTAACATTACACAACTTTATACGCAACTCCTGTTGTAGTGATCTTCGAATGGACAAGGACTTGTTTCGGCACCAAAACGTCAAGAAGTGCGACAATGCTGCATAGAGATAATTGCGATTGTTTTTCTCTGAACAAAAATATGATAAAGCACTTAAGCTTCGTCTTTCTCCTTCACCAGCAAATTAGTATCGATTCTCGTGGTCCCTAATAAAAAATTGAGAACTTAGCATAGGCACTGATAGTGTACCTTCACTGCCTCATAATTCCTTCGACAGAGTTCAATGAGATAGTTAGCGGTACAATCGTATTCTGTTTTCTTCATCTATCGACATTGACGTACTCGTTGAGGCGTCCAACATCACGACGAACCCATGATAATGGGCATTAGATGCAACCGAAATGTGCACTCTGTGGCAGAAAAAAGGAAAATTAGTCATGGGTCGGTCCTCTCGGTGCGCTATTATGATATTAGGGCTGCGGCGTCGACACGAAGAAGTAACTTCTATTTTCCAAATTATCGTAAATAGGAACAAACAACAACAAACGAATCCAGCGATCAAAATTCAGGACACTAGAAACAAATCTGAGATGTCCCTCATGAATACTGAATATATAATTTTCAAACTCCGGACCTGCCACCTGGAACTGGTCCGCCCGATAGAAAGTAGAAGACGCCGACGTTGGTCGAAATGAAGTACATATTCATATCAATCACATCAGAAACATATCATCCCTTCCCGGTCCGACACCGACCCAGCTGACCGGTACCCCGCAGAGCTCCTCGATTTTCTTCAGATATTTCTGTGCGGCTTCGGGCAGCTCTGCGAACGTGCGCATTTTCATCCCACAGAAAAAAAATGCTAGCACATAACATTGGATTTGTTTTGTAGATAAAAATGCAAAAAAAAATCTGTCATGGGCGAGCGCATCTTAGCATGCCGGTACATGTATGGCAGTGGCAGAATTTCTTTTGCATTAAAGTAATGTGATATCCTAGCTGTTTTTTGCTGGATAGTTTTAGAGATGTCCTCAGTCCACCCCGGCATTACCTCGTAGACGACTTCCATATCGGCCAGGTCTAGTAGGTCGTCTATCCTCTGTGAAACCGTCCCCATCCCAGAGTCATTTTCAAAATAGGAATTTTACAGAAGCAGAACACAAATCTAAATCAACAAGGCTTGGCTGTTGCGCATGACAAGCTTGGGGTCGTAGAAGTGGGATCATAGATTGTGTTTTTTACTAGCTCGCGCAGCAGCGTCACAAATCTCGATCATCTCATCCTATTATTATTATTTCTCAAGTATAACAAACTCCCATACAAAATTGAAAAACTCGCCATATATTGTATTAGGCGTGAAGATTTGCATGGCAAAGCTGGGGTGGGAACGTTCTTCCGCATGATACGGTCTGGGAAGGACCCCTCCGGCATGGTGGTGCTCGTTTTCTTGTTTTTGTACTGGACCTGCAAATATTGGTATCCTGAGAAAAAAGTGTTACAGTTACACGTTGTGTTGCAGGCCAAGCAAGACAGACAAGCTCTGTCATGCCGGATATGCATAGGAGCCTCCTTTCATAGGTGTTTTCCCGTTGGATTTCTGCATTGCAGGTTTTCTCTCTCATGCAGAGAAATTTGTGTTGCTGAATTGACAACAAATGTGTAACTGTAACACTTTTTTCGTGCGATAATTGGTCGATAGTGATTCTTTGTGTATTATAGTAGTACTGAGTGTAATTTTGATACTAGTACTTGAAGATTTTGATTTTTCCCTGGTGCCGGAGCCGGCACATTCATCATCATTACAATAGTTTGTCAAAAATAAACCACGAAGTAGAGCGAAAGTTTTCAGTACTCCTATCCGTAATTCCGGCAGTCCTGTCAGCACGTCGCTTTATAGTGGTGAAAAAGGATTACTTACACAAGAAGTACCCGCCGCTGACTCTTATAGACCTACTGCCTGAGTCAACATGGCTGTCACGACGATCATATCTCTCTACTTCCAAGTCAGTCTATTGTTGAGTACAGCACCGCAACAACGACGTGTAATTCTTGGTCTCCTCCTTTTTCATACTAATTTCGTGATGTTTATCGACGTAAAGCCGATGATATGCCGTCAAAAGAAATCATCATGGCCACCTTTTCTGTTCCCTGCGCTTTCGCGGTGTGACCATGCTGAGTCGTGTTGACAAAGATCAGTATAATTGGCCTTACGACTGATTTTTCTGCTGAAACTGGATAGCACGAGGACGCGGCACACACAGCACCCAAAATGTATTATGCGGCAATGATGATTTCCAAATCGGATACTTCACACAGTTGCTGTATCTGACGAGGGGAATGTCAAGCCACCCGCATCTCCTTGGTTTGGTATAGGATTGCGCAGCCCCCCTACCCCTCATTTGTTTGAAGCACATGGCTGCAACGAGGACAACGACAGACAAAGATGAGATGTCCCTGCCGCATGGCACATTCGGGCGCGGACCATAGAAGTGCAAGTCAGGGCTGATCTTGTGGTCTCAGCTTTTCCCGCAACCTCAAGCGATCTTCCTCGTGGTTCATCTACAAGGCATAGGATATCAGGAGGAGGATGAAGGGGGCCTTGTGCACTCTCATATCTGCCCGTTGTTGTTCCAAACTCATGGCCAACCTGGGAAGAAGTAAGAAAGAAAGCATCCTATTAATTTTGCGGCACAAGAAGAACGCAGCAGAGGCACGCCAAAGACACACAGATGTTGAATCTCTCACAAATGAGACGTCTTGGCAGCGAACAAAGCATTTGCACTTCTCTTTTCCCTAATTTATTGGGGTCCTCCTGAAAGCGGATTTATCTAATTCATTAATTTTGTATATCATTGATTTTGAGATACCTTCGCTAAATGCTCTCCATTGGTGTCGTACAACTCTGTTGGGAAAGGTCCCTCGCCTACCCGTGTCGTGTACGCCTTGACCACGCCGATGGTGTTCTTTATTCTTTGCGGTGGCACGCCGAGCCCTGTCAAAGCGCCGCCAATGGTCGTGTTCGAAGAGGTGACATAGGGGTAGGTCCCAAAGTCGATGTCCAGCATGGCCGCATTAGCACCCTCCGCGAGGATGAATTTCTTCTCATATCCTGACCAAAAACGTCCCCACCCCGGGGGATGGGCGAGGAAGTACTTTCGGCGACCTCCGCATCATCATCATCATCATCATCATCATCATCATGTAGTGGAGATCCGCATATTAAGAAACATTTTGAGCATGCAGATTTGCATGACAAGTATGGCGTGGGGATGTTTTTACATAGGATATCTCATCAATGTGGTTTTTCATCATCGCCACGGAATCGACGATCTGCGGTGCCAACAAGACGCTGTACTCCTTATACCTGCAATCAAAATTGTAGTAAGTTCTTGGGATCATGCTGTCGTGCACCGTGCTGAATAAGACCGCGGCTGCGGCCTCGTTGCTCTGACACGACCGTGGCGTAGGTAAGTACCCGCACGATTAAGGACTATATTATACACGGCGATCCGGAACGTGGTTTTGCAACAAATACCTAGCCAATTCCGCATCATAGTCCGCTTTTACTCCGTAGTGCGCGGAACAGAAGTCGAGCAGCTCCTTCAGCTTGGGGGCGAACGACGTTTCAAAGTGCACCAAGTCCCCTATTCTCAGCCCGTTGCGCAAGATCTTGGTGGAGTAACACGGCCCGATTCCCCTCTTCGTGGTACCTATGGCCACCCCGGTGGACTTGGCTTTTTTATCAACTGCAAATATGTCTCGTGTTTTGTCTGGAAACAAGACCTTGGTACAGCACAGGGAAGAGAACGACTTGTGACAAGTCTGGCATTCTTCCAGACCCAGACATATTTGCAATGCATATTTTTCTGCTTCCAACAATCCGTCCACTTCCTGGTGCACATCCAGCAGCAAGGACGCTCTCAATGTCCGCAGAAAAAACATCAACAACACCCTCTTCATCTTCTTCACAGAACCAGAAGCAAAGCCCCGATTCATATTTTCCAATTCGGGTCAAAGAGTACAAAAAATTTTCGGCATCACGACAATGAATTTCCCCAGTACAGGACATTTGTATTTGTTGTCGTTCTATATTTTTGTGATCATGCAGAGAGAATTGCAAAGGGTTGCTTTTGTAAACAAGAAGATGGTGCATTTCACGATGTCTTCCTTTCATACGCGAAGAAAGGTAGAGTCGGGACACGGTATATGCATTGCAAAAGTTTCGTACTTACCTTGTCTGACAACTATGATTCGCATCACAAATTTGCTCGAAAAGTTTCACACATATTCAAGCAAGAGAGCAGACCAAAAATGCCAGGTTGGTGCAGCTCGTACGACTACGAGACCCTTGCACAGGATACGGTATGACGAGGGTCCCCAACTCCGCCGACGTCCCCGCCCTTTTTTGCCTTGCAAGCCAGGTGTGACTGAACTCCCGTTACAGCACTACGTCAACTTGCAGGCCTGCAAGCTGTACTTACTCTGTCAAGCAGCACGATAACATCTACTTCGCCGTTCGTACGGGTTCTTACGCGACTTATCATCATCATCAGCATGCAGAGCCCAGTACATCTCTTCTATCTCGTCGCCTGTTGCCTTTTATTGTGTCTGCTACTCCTGTCTCGGCACGCGTCTCTTGCTTGCAAGTTAAGTAATTCTTATTCACACGAGGACGAGCGGGGAAGCGCGGCTCTTCTTCATCGTGCACTGGGATACAAGGCGTTAGCATCGTAGGACCTGAGCGCCTCTAGCTCTTTCAGCATCGTCGGGATATGAACCACGACGCCATTGCCAACCAAATTAGCGCTATAACATGTAATATCAAACGCAAGCACGTCTTGGCGTGGAATGTTGTGACGCAAGTCGGTCAAGAATTATGTCTAAGATCAGCGCAGTACATTGTCAATACGCACCGGCACCCAAACGCAAGCATGACAAGTTTTCGAGCTGCTATGTCTTGTAGTTGCGTGTACCGCATATTTAAGCCGCGTTTTTGTTTTTTGCGTCAAAGGTAATCAAGAGGATCTTTTCGCGCTTATGCGACACAGAGTTCAACAGAGTCATGTCACACAAGCCTGACGAGTCTTGCAATCTTCTTCCAGATCCAGACATATTTGCAATGCATATGTGACAACCGGCACTCGTCGTTCCTTCTCTTTTTCGTGTGTTTGTGTTTGTGTGTGTGTGCGTGCGTGCGTGTTTATCACGCAGTCACGCACCACTTGAAGTTGAAAACTTCTATGCGCAAGACAAATTCACATCACATGCAGTGCAGTGACTTGCCAGACGGCGCACTTGCCCCGGCGAAAGCATCACAGGTGGAGCGACTGCTTTGCATGTAGAACTGGTTTGGCCCCCGCCATGATCTCGGGGTAGGTTTCGGGATGGGGCTCCTGCAAACAGAAGGGAACCAGACCAAGTTGTCCGATGTGATAGGCGCAAGACTGTAGTAATGAGCGGTTAACATGACATGTTAATCAACAGCCACAGGAGCTAAAAAAATTTTCATACCACTACATGATTTTAACCTAGGACCCACGCGATCTCCATTCGCTGATAAAGATGCACTGTGGGCGTTGCACGACCAGCAGCACGGCAAAAAAGTACTAATAAAAATTTCAAACCTTGTTTATCATTCCACATGGCAGCAGGTGGAACGCAAACTTTTGCCCGTCCACGACCAGCGTGTGCCCAGCGTTCGCGCCGCCGTTGAAGCGGCAACATATGTCCGCCTTCGGGTATGAAATTGCACAAGAGGTAGTTTCGTCTCCGTGCAGGAGCTGCGCCCTTATTTGTTGTAGATCGATTTACAGGAAACAAGCAGCAGCAACTTTGTGGAGCAGCTGATTGCTGTCTTTCAGCAGCAAAGGCTGATATGAAATGTCTACTGATGTTCTTATTTCATCTCCTGCTAGTACTGCGCGTAAGCTGCCTACTAGTCTCTTTATTTCCCGGCAGTTGATGAGGGGCGAGTGCTGCATCATATACAACTAGATCTTCGTGCAGTTTCGTAACTGGGCCAAGATGTCCACCAGCTTCCCCTTGCCTTCATCGCCCCACTGCTATCAAATGCAAATATGTCTGGGTCTGGAAGGATGCAAGGCAAATCATGCACATTTTGCATGGCCCCTGATGTCTGTGATGCATGCCCTGGCATCACGGATTTCTTGATGAGGGCTTCCTGATGCCTATACCGCATGAGAAATGCCCTCTCGCCGTGGCAACAACTGGACCTCTTTTACTTTTGCTGTTCATGCAATACAGCTACAGATTTTTGTAGAATGAATCGAGATGCAGCATCACAAGTTGCACCCTTCCAGACCCAGACATATTTGCAATTCATAGCTGTGCCCCAAGAACGACGACGAAGTCGTCGCTCGACCCGGTGGACGGCATTTCAAACTTTTATTGTGAGGAAAAATCCCCCCTCCCCATATTGAAAGCGCGTCCAGCTGAAAATCTGTGATGCAGATTTGTCGCCACTAATCCTGTCTGTCTTGCATGCAGGCAAATCCAGAGAATCCGCCGCAATATCCCTGTGGTTTGTGATGCTGTTGGGCCTACACCATCGACGTTTTTCATGCTATGATGCTGTTGGGCCTACACCGTCGACGTTTTTCATGCTATGATGCTGTTGGGACTACACCATCGACGTTTTTCATGCTAAGCGCTTAAGCCAAAACCCCTCGGCTCAGGCTTAGCATATCATGCCTGCAGTCCTCCACTGCAAGACAAATCTGATTTGTGTACTGAAATCCAGCAACAGAAACTTCTTTTCGATATGGGGTAGGGGCATTTTTCATTGTAATAACTTTCGTTGCAAAAATTGTCTCTCGACGTCCTAGTACATCAAGTACAACTTCGGCAAAATGCTAGAATGCGTAGTTCTTGATGAAGGTGCTGTTCTTCTTGCAGCTAGTTCGCTGTATCAGCGGCCGTGCAAGCAGCAACATGATTCTCTTTCGATATATGAATGTGAAGCTGTTTGTACTGTTAGTTGTTGACACCGACGTCACTCGATCTCGTCGACGCAGTGAAAAATACCTTAGATAGTGGCTGGTCAAAAATTCCAGATGCAGATTGATACCACTTTTTCTACAACCGAGTAGCGAGAAGAAATCGATCTGAGAAGTCGTGGTCCATGTTCATGGCCATGATCCTGCTTATGGCTTTGTAGTGCGACCCTCTGGAACTGTGCGGGAGATCCGGAGAATGCGCCTTCTCTTGTTTGAAGCCGGGCAAGGCAGGCCACGGCGCCGCACCGCTCGCGCCTGCGACGAAAATCAACTTCGCATCGATTTTTGCAAATTTGCCCGCGTTTGCTGCGGAAAACCCGGACATTGCGCCTTCTCCTGTGTGAGTGAGGCGGTTCGTTGCAGATCACGCCGCCACACCGTTTGCGCCTTGCTTCTCCCGTTTGAGTGAGGCGTTTCGCTGTAGGCCACAGCGCCACACCGTTTGCGCCTTGCTTCTCCCGTTTGAATGAGGCGTTTCGCTGTAGGCCACAGCGCCACACCGCCTGAGGCGAGAATGAGTTTCGCATCGATTTTGGCAAATTGGCCAGCGTTTGCTGTTTCATTTTGTGCGAAAAATCCGGAAAATGCGCCTTTTCCTGCTTGAGGCGGGCCGCGGCAGGCCTGCACAGCCTTGGTGCTGGTGGAACTCATATTTTTGTTTACCCTTCTAGATGAAGATGAACACAGAGCAAAGTAAAACTGTCTGAACAGGACGAACCCAGTAGTACCAGTAAGCCCTCTACTAGGACAGCTTGCAAATCCAAAGCACCATCGTGTTCTTTTTCAGGCTCCGTTCGTTCTTCTACGCACAGGTGCCACGCACAGATGCAACAAACATCACATGCAGCTACACCTATTTCCACATAAAAATGTAGTCGCTAAATAATTTGATAGTTTGATCAAGAACAAGTCCCCGGTCTTCGTCAACATCAAAGGGGGCAGAGCCGGACCTTGTCTTCAACTAAAAATAGGATCTTCAGGCACTGTGCGTCGCCAGCAAGTGCTGCTTGAGGCATGCGAGAGGGTTTGCTTTGTACTCCGGGATTTTCACGATTGTGTTGTGGTAGGCAATCTTGGTTTCCTGGTCTTCGATGCGTTTCGCCGTTTTCTTGTCGTCCTTGGTCAGCTTAGCGGTTTGCTGTTTCAACAACTTCTTCTTGCTCTGCTGCGCGGAGTGTTGTCGCAAAGCAGCTCCAATCACGCTATCCTGAGGAAAACACGTGCGTCCCCTGTCCATACTTGCCACGCAAATCCGCATGCCCAAACTGTGTGCCATGCGGAGCTCCTCATAAAAGGCATATTCTATCTATGTACTACCTGAAAATTCGTCATGCTCCAATCAGGAGAAGGAACTCGATTTGGTGTGATGCGAGTCAGACACGACGAAGTACACTAGTTGTAATGCAAAACGGCCGAAACTTTAACTTCCTGGCTTGTGTAGCGAGTCTACCACCTTGACTATCAGGCGGGGAGGACGACGTCGTTTTTGCTAAGGATACACGCCTGTGCGCTGTTTCAGTAGACCGCGGGCCCCCGCAGGAGGTGGACGGCTCACGACAGTACGCTTCTTCTTTTGCAAGGTCGTGTTGTTCGCCAAAACAGCACGTGTGGTTGTGCGCTGGCTTCTTCCCGCAGCAGAGGCACGATTGTGCTGCTTGTTCAATGTTGTCGCCGTTCCGGATTCTTGGTCTCCTGCTTCTGAGTCGATTTGTTCCTCCGATTCTGATCCTGACCCCAAGGTCGTATCATGATCCACCTCGTCATCTTTTATGCGCTGCTGCTGTATGCGCTGCATTTTTTTCGCCAGTTTTTGTTTCTCCTTTCGCGGCAGCTTCTTCCAAGAATCATGGGCGAGAGAGGCCGAGTCGCTCTTTTTCACCGTCAACAGCCGATTGGCGTGAACGGCGCCGGTTCGAAGCCGCTTGCCCATTTTTCTTTGTATAATCGTGAGTGAAAAATGATCAAATTCCTGCGTGCAGAGATATAGAATTCTACCAGTTCACATCACACCTGGAGAAATGAGCATAGTAGATGTGGTTGTTGATCTTGATCTACTAGACCTGGGTGATCAACAACATGATGGCTGCCAAAATTTTTGAAGGAGCCAATCCATTTGGGTGTTGTTTCTTCACAGAGCAAGACATAAAATTTTCACCGCGCGACCAGCGCTTGGGGATTGGGATCTCCATGCTTTTTCGAGTGCTTTCTTTGTTGCTTCTGTCGAAGACGAAAAAGAACTCTGCATTGATCTTTTTGTTTTTGCGCGTGACTGAGCCTGAAAAAACTTCGAAAAATCGGCTAAGACGCCGAATCAGAATTTGAATTTCGTTTCGATTTTTTTTTTAGAAAGTTGGTCAGCAATTCACTCCGCAAAATTGCCGGGAAAGGCGCAAAGCATGCCTTCCAGCGTTGGAGAAAGAACGGCACCGAGAGAGCACGGCTGAGACGCAACAGGATTTTGGATTGATTTTGGAAAATTGGCCAGCACTTCACCCTGCGAAATTGCTGAAAAAACTTGAAAAATAAGCCTACCAGCATTGAGGACGGTACCCAGAGCGCAGCTGAGACGAAACAGGCTTTTGAGGCGATTTTAAAATAAAATGGGCCAGCCGTCCAATCTTCAAACCTTTCGAAAAAGTCGCAAAATAAGCCTGCCCGCGTTGGAGGACGGTACCCAGAACGCGGCTGAAACGAAACAGAGTTTCGGGTTTTAGAAAAATGGCCAGCGACATGAAAAAATGGCATCGCTCATGCTGTGTCGCTGTGCATCACACGCTATTCTTGAAATAAATGCTGCTACAGAAAACTTTTGCAAGACACACTTCCACATTCGGGGCCGCTTTTCACTATGGTATCCTTGCCTCCAGCTTTTGTTCCAATATGGACTTGAAAAAAAAACGCCAAATGGATCGCCCAACGCTGAGCTACCGCTTGGCTTCCATGCGGTACCCAGAGCGCGGCTGAGACGAAGTTGGATTTTGGGTCGATTTTTGAAAATTGGCCAGCGTCCGACACTAAAAAATTGCCGAAAAAGTCGGAAAATATGCCTGCACGCGTTTGAGGACGGTACCCAGGGCGCGGCTGAGACGAAACAAGATTTTGGGGCGAATGATTTTTGGAAAATTGGCCAGAACTCGCCAAATGGATCGCCCAACACTGAGCTACCGCTTGGCTTCCATGCGAGCGGTACCCAGAGCGCGGCTGAGACGAAGTTGGATTTTGGGTCGATCTCGATTTCTGAAAATTGGCCAGCGTTCCACATTAAAAAATTGCCGAAAAAGCCGAAAAATATGCCTGCCCGCGTTTGAGGACGTTACCCAGGGCGCGGCTGAGACGAAACAAGATTTTGGGGCGAATGATTTTGGAAAATTGGCCAGAACTCGCCAAATGGATCGCCCAACGCTGAGCTACCGCTTGGCTTCCATGCGGTACCCAGAGCGCGGCTGAGACGAAGTTGGATTTTGGGTCGATTTTCGAAAATTGGCCTGCGTTCCACACTAAGAAATTGCCGAAAAAGTCGAAAAATATGCCTGGCCGCGTTTGAGGACGGTACCCAGGGCGCGGCTGAGACGAAACAAGGTTTTGGGGCGAACGATTTTGGAAAATTGGCCAGAACTTTACAGTCGAAAATTGCCGGAAAAAGCCGAAAAATAAGCCTCAAAGATATCGGCCCACGTGACGCCGTCACACGCTAGCCGGGCTCAGCGCAGCAGTCAGGCAATGCTATCCACCACGTCGACGACGGTTTCCGTTTGTCAGAAGTTCACAGAGGAGATAGAGGACGGCACTATCGGCCCTGCAATGTAGAACTTTATCAGAAATTGCGGCTTTCTCGGAACTGAAGTACATCGATTCTTCGACTAGTGTCGGAACACCAGTGACCAGGCCACTAATGAGGAGCCCCGCGCAAGACATCTCAAGTCCAAGACCTATCTTTATGAAAAGCACAAGGAGGACGGCGCAGTAGAACAAAATCGATTTTCTTTTTCTCTTCAAACCATCGACCCAAAGCGAAAGCCTGTTCTGCTGGTCCTACTTTGACTCTGTGCGAGTGCACCGCCTCATTTTTCCCACAGCACGCAATGATACTGCAGCTGCGAGTGGGGGTACATACTTTGTCTCGTAGAGCTAGAGATAAAGTCCAGGTGTTTTTTCCGGCGGCGTGATTTACTTACCAGTTTGAAGCTGAGCTTCTTCTACTTTCGGCCGCTGCATGTAGAAGTACTTGCAAGAAGATCGACATCACGTAGGTCCTTGTATCGATAGTCTTTTCTTTGCTCGCTACTTAAACAACACTTCTGTAGATGCAGCAACATTCAAAGCTGCTGTGTCTTTCGAGTTAGTAGTAAGTACCCTTCCGAACGAATAAAGGCTGTTGTTGTTTTGTAGTGTAATACGTACTATTTTCGCTTGTGAGTTCGTTGTGAAGTAATCAGGAGAGGTCAGGTGTACGACGACGAACTACCTAGAGTTGTTGAGTGATTTTAAATTCAGAGTTATTCAGTCCAGCGGCTGTGCTTATTTCCAAAAAAAGTCACGACCTTTGTACTGATCAGCTATCGATTGATGGAGAGTCGATAGATCCGATGAGCGTAGCAGCCACATGCTATAGGAGGCCTGTAGAAGAACCACTAAAAGAATGTAAGTAGAGTGAAAAAAGAACCGAAGTTGAAGCTTGCACTGTACAACAGCCTGGGGGCTGTCCATGTCCATATGGACGAGCGGCAGGGGAATATTAGTAAGATGGCAAGGTTTATTCTAGCGATGACGTTTTTTCTGGTGTGCTACCTGCCGGGTTAAGTCGTCCTCTTCTACCGCTCCTCTGTTTATTCTATTATTACCGCTACTACTAGGAAATAATTAATTATTCTCTGGCTGCCACTCTTCCTGTCCCTGTTGATACTCAAACCGTGTAGCACTTGTTGGAACTTATCAACTTCTTCCGTCAACATTTCTTGCTCTTCATCTCCCTGGCTCGTGACTATCAGATTTGTTTATTGTTCCGCTTTGCCACTGCGATTCGGCAGGGGCCGCGGACGAAACGCTTCTCGTAGTTCTCGGGCGTACCAACTGCTATCTTTATTGCCCATATTTCAGCTCATCTTGCCGCGAACTACGTAAAGTACTTTTTTTCTTATTGCGGCAACTATTCTATAAAGTCAAAATGTATGCCGCTACATAAAAACATTTCCGAACTTTCTTGTAATTGCTGTGTCTAGTTCTCGCTTTTAAAAAATGGAAGGACGCGGGGAGAGGTGTGTAATATCTTCAGTACAGTTGTTTTACGGTGTCCAGCCGTACCTGACAGACAAAAACTCAAACTCCACAGGAACTGCCGACTCAATAAATTCATAATCTTCTCAAGCATGATTTGCTGCGTTCTGTTCCTGCCTGAATCACATCGTCAGGCCTCCACGGACCCTGCTTGTAGTACTGCGCGCTCGTCGTGGTCATGCGGATATTTAAAGCCTTCGCGGTTAATGTACGTCAACCTTAACTAAAGTAAGTTCCATACCATGCTGATGAGTGAGGCAAAAACATCGCACAGCAGGTCTATATTGAAAACTAAAATCCAAAAGGAGAAGGTCTATGGTGCGGTGACTCACACGTCTGTCTGCTTTCAAAAAAAAACCTCGCAGTCCCATACCAATAGTACTGAAGAATAAACACCAAGCTTGAAGATAATATGTTTGATGTCGACTAAGTTCCATAGAAAGAAGTGTACGTCCCGTCAGCCTCATAGCTCCTCGTTTGTGACCTCCTTCACCATAAAACGAGGTAGGGCAACCAACTCGTATCTCCCTCGACCCCCATAGAGTGGTCTCAGCCGCCAAGCTGAGCGAAAGACACGCATCGGCTTGGATCGGCTGAGACCACATCGTGTTGAATATGAATACAGAAATAAAGAATTTGTTTCAAAGTGGGAGTTGTAAGTGTAAGTGTTGATGTAGTACTACGTATATTTTTGTACTCCAGGGCAACAACACATCGTGTTCGCGTGGACGATGATCTGAAAAAGGCACGGCCCTGCTACGCGACAAGCGCGGTCCCGGTCGCCTTACGATCTATGAAAGGCCGTGCGGTCCACGTCCTGCTGTATTTTCGATAGAACTGGTTCTCCTGCTGCCAGCCATTGGAGGGTGAATATACGAGTCCTCTCCCATTTGCTCCTTGCATAATCCGTTAATAAACCATAAAAAAAATCTCGATGAAATCGTTTGTTAGTTGAATTGAATAGGTTAGTAAAAAGTGTTGTTGAAATTCCGTAAAACAAAAAGTGATACATTACTTTTCCGTACAAATTCCGTAAATGTCGTTTTTCTCAAGTGTGCCGGCGTGCTTTCTGATCGTGATCCCTTCAACAAAAGTTAAGCATAGAATCTTCTCAACAAGGGCTTAAGAACTGTGTGGCGACCACCTCCTTGCCAAAAAAAAGACTACAAGCACTGCATTCGTGGCACTCAATACAATCTTGGCACTTCGGCTCGCGATTTGTCGTCCTCGGTAAAAATAATCATAAGTAACGGTAAAACACAAAAAAGTCATTTTCGTGTCAGCAAAAAGACGTCGTACTTTTTTTTCGTCTAATTTTCAACATGATTATATATAAGTACTTTTTTCATTACACGACGTTGTTCATATAGTTACTTACTCCACTGAGTTCCAGAAGTCCAGCGTGGACGTTGTGAGGGCGTTGTCCCGTTCCTTGCTTCGTATCTCCTGTATCGCCAAGGAAAGAAAAATCTAGCTGTGCACACTTGCTTTTTATTACAAGCATTCTGCTCCGGCTCCGTACCTTGTCTTTACAATGTCCTTTGCCGTTTCAGCAGCACCGGGACCGGCCGAGACTTGTTTATAGAAAAACCTCTCCATTCCCAGTTCTTCTTCACGACAGGAAAATGCAAAAAAAGCTGCAAGAAGGACGCACTCACATGCAAAAAATCTTAAAAATGCGTACTGACTGCGTACGAAAGCTGCTTCTGCAGAGATTTCATGATGACAAGGGCGCAGCTCGAATTTCTGAAGCGACGCTTATTTCCGTCTGATAGCCTGTGCTTCGTATTCCTGGGAGAGCGCCGCTATGTCCACGTTTGCCATGTCGATTATCTCCGCTTCTGTAGATCAATTTCAATTTTAGTTTGTGACCAACATAACGGCGGATTCTTCTTCTTGCAGTTACAACAGGGATCGGATTGGACCATAGCATACCACCAGAGGACCCAGAGTAGTTCATTTTATGCTCACTTTCTCCTCGTCGATTAAGTTTGAATAGTGCTAAAGCAATGGCTCATCTTGTTTTTCACAACTTTGTACAAAATCTACCGTCCGGCTCGGCCATCGGGTCTACTCCCATCTCCTCTTCCTCGGTGTATTGCTCTTCGTAGTCGTTATTGTAATAACTTCTCTGCTATCAAATGCAAAAGTGTCTGGGTCTGGAAGAATGCCCGATTTGTCATGCATTTTTCGCATGAGGCCTGATGCCTGTAATGCATGTTCTAGCAACACAGATTTTTAGAGGGCTTCCTAATGCCTGTTCCGCATGAGAAATGCCCTCTCCGCGTAACACAAACTGGAGTCCTGTTGCTGGTCATGCAATACAGATTTTCATTTTTTTGGAATCCAAAGACAGCATTACAAGTTGCAATCTTCCAGACCCAGACATTTTTGCAATCCATATCTGCTGCTTCCCGCCCTTGCCGCCACCGCTTTCTGATTTAAGACGAGAAATGGAACAGATTTTTGCTCAAAGTAGTTTGTGATACAATTACAAATGCACGGTGATTTTGTTTTTGATCCCGAAATATTATACCCGACTTTTTTCATTCTGAACCTTCAATCTAAAACGCAAGCAATACTTCCTTTCCCCTTCCCTCCTTTGCCGCCGCCTTTGTTGTTGCCTTTTGACTGCTTCCCGCCCTTGCCGCCCCCGCCCTTGCCACCTCCTGATTTCCCGCCTGATTATATTGGTAGAGATACATCAGCTTTACATTTTGAAACAAACTAAAAGTAAAACTAAATGTCGCCAAAACCGGCATGACTTCCCGGCGGAAGTCTTGTTCTTTGCAAAGGCAAAGAAATCCTTGTACTAGTTGGTCACAACTATTGCCAGCAAAAGGAAAATCTTAGTAAGCTCTAACCTTGCTCTCCTGCCTCCACGACGTCAAAAAGTTTTAGTGCTAACTGTGGATGAAAAATCGCTTACAACTGAAAAAACATTCCATACCGAAATCATTTTTGCCTCCTTTTCCGCCACCGCCGCCGCCCTTGTTATTTTGCTTTCCCATCGACTGTGACTTGCCGCCTTGACTGTTGCCATACTTGCCGCTGTTGCCCTTGCCGCCGCCACCCATGTTCATCTTCATCTTTCCCTGGTCGTGGTAACCGCCGCCATAGTCCTGGTACACCATCTTGTCGCTACTTGCTGTTTCGACGAGGATTCCAGCACTGGATATGCTAGGTTTTTAGCAGCTCCTGCTCACGGGTGTGTATTAACAGTACGCCTTCTATGACGGCTTTTGCTCGAAAGCCAAAGGCCGCAGCGCAGAGCTCCTATCGACGACCCAGGACAACTACACGTAGGATATGGCGCAACAGGTCCGCTCTCTATTTTTGCCTTGGTCCTCGTGCCCAGAACTGTCTTCCGAAGGGAGACTGCTTGTTTCCGTGTGGTACCACCTGAAAATTCGTGAAAAAGCTTGTTTGTCCAACAAAAAATGCTTATGTATAAGAGAAGTATGATTCCGTCTAAAAGCGGTTTGGATGTGCTGCTCCTAACTTGACTTATATCGAGCATCTCACATCCTCGCAATCTGAACGACGTGCCAGTACTCGATTTCGATTTTCGGAGAACACATTTTCTCAGTGTCTTAAGTTCTTCCCGTTAAAAACAACAAAAAATAGAGTACGCCCCTAGAAGTACCTGGTCCTATGATTCCTGGGTTGAATCAGTAACACGCTCGGCCCTGGCGCTCTTGAGTGTTAAAGTTGAAAACAATCCACCAAGACAGTCAGAAGATTGATCCTCTCGACCACGAACAGCTGCGGCGTCCGAGCGCTGCAACTAGGAAGGGAAGGTCGGGAGTGCAAATCGTCCTCTCCACGACAAATAAGTCGACCCGCCTGAAGATCAGGAGTTCTTGATTGTTCCCGCGCACGTTGCGAAGTTTGGTCCTCGTCTCGGTCTTGCTCGCTGATGGACCGGTGTGGTCGTGATGTTGTGCTTTGCTGACTGCTTGGCGGAGCGACTTCTTAACTCTGCTTCAAGAAAAACCGCCCAAATGATTGGCGAGATGGAGGGGTGGTCAGTTGCGCCGTGCGACGTCTCGTCTCCGTGATTCTGATTCTTGCGGATGCCGAAATTACAAAAGCAGCAGCTGCAAGAATTATACGCAGTCTGAAGAGTTGATGTCTGTTGCTGAACAAACTTTAATCTTCCGTATGGTCAGCCTGAACTTGGTGTGCTTTTCGCAGAACTACTAGTACTACAACAGAAGAACCTTGTCCACCACCCTAAAGAACTCGACTGGCTTTTCAATTCATAATATTGTGTCCTCTCGGAAATGAGATGAACAACACTTCCGAAGATACAAGATAGAAGGAGGAATTTACTCCAATCCGGAGCGGTGGAAACGAACGGCACAAAAGTGTTCCAAAAACGCAGGATCTTCTCGTGGCTAGTAAATGCTTTCTATCTTTCTGGTGTCCCGCCTTGGACCAGTAGTTCTTGTGATGGCTTTGGCTATTGTCTAAAGTATACGTTTTGTTCTAGAAAAAGCACTACTTCTGCGCCCAACAACTACAGATTATTTCGAAGTACAACAGCTGCACGGTGCTTGTTCGTTCCTGAATGTTTGTCGTGTTAGTTGGTGTTGATGATGTTCCGCATAAAACAATCTTCGAAAAGCACAAGCATGTCCCTACGTCGTACAACATATGAATCGGCGCCATAACAATAAACGCCTCTACTTTAGTGTGATGCATACTTGCATTTACGTACCAGGCGTGGTGCTACGTGTCATGCTAGATGAACTAGAAGTATGTTTCTGTGGAATCCTCTATCGATTACTTACTTATGTGAGAGCCAGCACTTGTTGTACTTGTTTCATCCTACTACTTGTGCACCGGTTCATCTTCTTTCTAGATACTTACTTACGCTGTATTGCGCACCACCAATTGGAGCCGCTTTTTGGATAATGAGATCGAGCGGCGCCTTGCCAATAAAAGTAGCTATTACAGTTTACAGTTTACAGTGTTCGCGTTTAGTACGCGAGACTTCTACTCAAAATGAGGAGTCTATTTGAGGAACTTCACCGTGAAGAACCTCTTGATTTCAATTTCAGAACAAATTCTTTCCTTTCTTCGACTTCATTGTGCGAGACCCCCGAGCGGCGGGGCGGGGGCCTCAGCTCGCTGCGCGCGTTGCGCCCGGATGGCGTCGACCCGCTCGCGATAGTTCGCAAGCACGTCCTTGCGGGCTTGCTGTGCGGCCTCCAGCGCCTCCTCGGCCGTTGCGGACAATTCCGGGTCGACCACTTTGCTCAGTGGGTAGGTCTCCCCGTCGTCGTCCATCTTCACTCGGACCGTCACTAACAGCTTCTGCGTTTTCTTGTTGTAAGTGACCCCCGCCGGGAGGGACTTGCTTGCCCCCCGCAGCTCGAGCGCCTGCTTGACCCGCGGCGGGGTGTCATTGTGCTTGCGCTTTGGCAGCGGTCTTTGTGGCTGCGGTGGCGGGGGCGGGGGTGCAAACGCCGCCGCAAACTTTTCCTCTGTGGCCTGCTGCTGGTTGACTCGCATGTGGATGAACGCGAGGCGGAGTGAGCCAAGCTTCTTCGGCCTAAGCGAGTTTGTTCGGAGACAGGGGATGCACGCACACCTGATCTCGCGGATCCGCCAGCTGCGGGGGCGGGGCAACGTGGAGTCCGCGTACAGCTCGGGCAGGTTCGGAAGGTCCGGCGTGATGTCGAAGTCCGACCAGCTGCAGACCTCTCGTGACTTCAGTCCGACCAGATGCTACAAGTGAGATCTTCAAGGACTACTTACACAGAGCTGCGCTGCGCGCCAGGGCGTCATCCACAGCTCCGGTTAAATAAAATGGAGTTGTAGTACCTCCGTACTCCTTTCATTGCTGCTTTATCAGTGATTCAGCCATCTGCGGGAGCAGTCGCGGAGGAGAGGACGAGAACTTTTTCTTTACACTTATATATTTGTCACGTTCTTGCAATGTTGCGAGAGATCTTTCGCTTCTGACTGGAAACAGTAACAGGAACCACAACTACATTGATTCATTAATCTATCGCCGGCGAGGACGAGAACACAAGCCAATGGCGTGGACGCGCAGCACCGTAGTTTTCATCTGGCTACGTGCAGTCAGTCTACTCGGTCGCTAGTTGTGCCAGTGGTTGATGTTTGCTGATATTGTCATGAACATGAAGACCGGTGGTCACTACAGAAGCAAGTCTTCCATTACCAATGTTTCTGAGCATTTTTTCATACAAGTGAAGCTTCGAAAATATTAAAGGTGATTTGTTCGAGACCACGCTCTCAACATCACCACAAGTCGCTTTGGTACAAGGAAAAACACCGAAACTCAAATTCTACAGGGACAATACTGTTGATGAAAAGGTTTTTCTTTTGGAGCCAAAGATAAACAGAGAAAAATCTAGCGATACGGTACGAATGAGATATTAGCATGATTGATGCATCAACGCAAACAATGGTATAAAATTCAGGTGGCTACTTATCAATCTTTCGTGGGCACCAGTGCAGCTGCACTTCGTCAACCCAATCTCAAAAAGCACATTGGATTTGGATGTTGAAACAAAATTAAGTATAAAACATCACGCGCGCGGGCACGTCTTAGCTGCATTAGCATTTTCAAACAATTTTCTCGTCGACATGTCGGCATCATTATCAAATGCCTCTAACTTTTTCGGCGAGTTTTATTGATTTGGTTAGTTTACTACTTCTTCTATCCTTGTTGCCTTTGGTTACAGTTATCCGAGCTGTTACCGTTCTCTTTCTGCTCGAGAAAATATATGATGCACAGGCATTCAACTATACTTCCATGTGATGACGCAAACGTCTCGTGCTCGTCTCTGACGTGCAGTAAAGTAAATTTCGGTCACCACTAATACTTTTTTTGCGTGCCATCTAGGGCACGGCCCAGCTCTTGTGGAGATGATGGTAAAATAATTTTGCCTTCTACCAGTTGTTTCATTTTCACAACGTGCCTCGCATGGCTTGTTCTATGCGTGTCATTCATTTTGGATTCCGCAATAAACGCTATCGTTACCTAAGCCGTACAACACCTTCTCTCCTCTCAACACGCATCCACAAAATCGCTAAAGGAGACCCGGCCCAGACGCGTGATCTCGTGGAGTGCCAGCTTGAAGAATTCGTAAGTGAGCCCCTCGCGAATGCTCACCCCGTGGCTCGCGTACCGCCTATGCACTGCAAAAGCATCGCACTCGTAATTTGATTTTATACAGATTGCAATTGTTGTGCGACGGAAATGATCCATCATCATCATCATCATGATCATCATCATCACGTAGTAGACACCCGCCCCCACTTCAATTTGCATGACAAACTCCTCTATTTTTCAGAAAAAGACTGTCACGCAAGTGATACTAAGTACTGAAACCAGCACGACTGTTTTGATGCAATGCGTAGGTCCACTGTTGCTGCAGCACCATCTGCTGGTCAAAAATTTTGATAAGCTGCTGCTCCGTGAGATCGCAGACATCCAGCTCGTTCAAGAAAGTTGGGAAAATTCTCCGAACCATGATCGATTCGTACATCCCATTCTGCTTCCCCGCGGTGGTTTTCTGGCCTTGACAGGCCGCAATAAAGACCTTCTGGAGAATGCCGTCGGTCACTTCCTGTTTTCGAAGTTTCATACAAAAATAAAAAGAAAATTTCGGGCTTCGTATACATAGTCTTTCTGCTGCTCCGCAAGAGCCCGTAGTAAGGAGCGTGATCAAAATTATTGATTCAATCGGTGAAGTGTGAGAACATCAGGGGAGGCTCCCTTCTTCATCATAGGAAATAAGACATCGCATAAAAGTACTTCTTATTTTCAAGAACCAAAAACAAAATTCTTACCTCCGCAGTCGGGCCTTCGTTTGGCGCGAATCCGTTCAGGCCATTGCTGTTTCCATACTGGCCATTTCTACCATGCCGACCGGTCGCTCCATTCTCGCCACCGAAGCCCCAACCGAGGCGGTCGAAGTCTTTCCTTTGTCATGCGGAAAGGCGCGCCCTTTACGCCGGTTTGCGCAGCCATAATCAATCGAATCCGTGGTACTTAGCAAAGAATAAGAAATGCATCACGATTCTTCGGATAGTAAGCATAAAAGGATAAAAGCGCGACGAGGTAGTGCTTTTTAAGTAAGTACTTCCTCCAAGGTGATGTTAGAGAGATGCCAGTGTCTTGCTTTCGAACCCAACAAACACACATGCAAGAGCAAAAATGTTAGACATGCAAATCACAGTTCTTGGCAGAGAAATTTGATGAAAGGCGTGACCAATAGTCTTTTCCGCGCAAGCCGTTTGGTGCCTTGAATTCGCTTCGATATGCCGAAACGGTTCCGGAATTCCTCATCGGACAAAGTTTCGCCCGTGTTATCAACTGTAAAAGTGTCTGGGTCTGGAAGATTGCCAGGTTTGTCATGCACATTTTGCATGACTCCTGATGTCTGTGATGCATGTCCTAGCATCACAGATTTTGTGAGGCTTTCCTGATGCCTATACCGCATAACAAATGCTCTTTCCGTGTAGCAAAACTTGGACTCTCTTTGCTGCTCATGCAATACAGATTTTTTTAGAATCCAAAATCAGCATGACAAGTTGGATTCTTCCAGACCCAGACATTTTTGCATTTGATACGTGTCTCGGTTCACCCAATTCCCATTTTCGTCCAGATACCACTATCAGGCACAAAAAAGCAGGCAGGTCACATCTGTATTGCAAAAATAAATACTAAAAAACCTGCATATCCATAACAGCGTGCTATGGCTGTGTATCTATTTTTGCATTATGCCCTGCCTGCTTTTTTCTCTGGGATAACCACCCGTCGGGAACCGCGTTTTCGTTCTCCATTTTTTCCAGAAATCTGCGCCTCTATTACAATGAAAAATGCCCCCACCCCAGAAGCATTGCAAACCCTTCCAATGAAAACACTCGCCCGCTTGCATGTATTAACATCACAGATTTGGAATCGTGAATAGCGAAAATTTGTATCGCAAAAGATCCCTGCAGGAGCGGCGATCGTCATGCAAGCGATGCTCCTGTATACGACCACTAGACTCTGCATCCGGAGTGCCCAATTGTAAAACGCATGAAAAAAATGAAAAGTCCCTGTTTCGACGGCTGAGGGCCGGCAGGTAGTGGGCGCAGGCGTTTGAAACGAAAAAAAAAATCCGCCTGTTTTGAAAATAGATAGCCACCGTCCTGTTGTTGCAAAACGCATGAAAAGAATGAAAGGTCCCTGCTTTCACGGCTGAGAACTGGCAGGTAGTGGGCGCAGGCGTTCGAGACGAAAAAAAAAAATCAGCCGATTTTGAAAAAATGGCCAGCGTCCTGTTCTTGTAAAACGCATGAAAAAAATGAAAAATCCCTGCTTTGACGGCTGAGGACCGGCAGGTAGTGGGCGCAGGCCGCTGAGACGAAAAAAACAACTTACCCGATTTTGAAAAAATGGCCAGCGTCCTGTTCTTGTAAAAATCCCTGCTTTCACGGCTGAGGACCGGCAGGTAGTGGGCGCAGGCCGCTGAGACGAAAAAAACAACTTACCCGATTTTGAAAAAATGGCCAGCGTCCTGTTCTTTTAAAACGCATGAAAAAAATGAAAAATCCCTGCTTTCACGGCTGAGGACCGGCAGGTAGTGGGCGCAGGCCGCTGAGACGAAAAAACCAACTTACCCGATTTTGAAAAAATGGCCAGCGTCCTTTTCTTGTAAAACGCATGAAAAAAATGAAAAATCCCTGCTTTCACGGCTGAGGACCGGCAGGTAGTGGGCGCAGGCCGCTGAGACGAAAAAAAAAACTTACCCGATTTTGAAAAAATAGCCAGCGTCCTGTTGTTGCAAAACGCATGAAAAAAATGAAAAGTCCCTGCTTTCACGGCTGAGGACCGGCAGGTAGTGGGCGCAGGCGGCTGAGACGAAAGAAAGAACTTAGCCGATTTTGAAAAAATGGCCAGCGTAATGTTCTTGCAAAACGCATGAAAAAAATGAAAAATACCTGCTTTCACGGCTGACGGCCGGCAGGTAGTGGGCGCAGGCGGCTGAGACGAAAAAAACAACTTACACGATTTTGAAAAAATGGCCAGCGTCCTGTTCTTGTAAAAAGCATGAAAAAAATGAAAAATCCCTGCTTTCACGGCTGAGGACCGGCAGGTAGTGGGCGCAGGCCGCTGACACGAAAAAAACAACTTACCCGATTTTGAAAAAATGGCCAGCGTCCTTTTCTTGTAAAACGCATGAAAAAAATGAAAAGTCCCTGCTTTCACGGCTGAGGACCGGCAGGTAGTGGGCGCAGGCCGCTGAGACGAAAAAAAAAACTTACCCGATTTTGAAAAAATAGCCAGCGTCCTGTTGTTGCAAAACGCATGAAAAAAATGAAAAGTCCCTGCTTTCACGGCTGAGGACCGGCAGGTAGTGGGCGCAGGCGGCTGAGACGAAAGAAAAAACTTAGCCGATTTTGAAAAAATGGCCAGCGTAATGTTCTTGCAAAACGCATGAAAAAAATGAAAACTCCCTGCTTTCACGGCTGAGGACCGGCAGGTAGTGGGCGCAGGCGGCTGAGACGAAAAAAAAACTCAGCCACTTTAGTCGTACCATAGTCCTCCTTTCATGCATGCCAAAAAGTTTTCACTTGAAAACTTCGCATCACAAATTATTCCAACTTTCGGGGTTGGGGCATTTTTCACTGTGATAGCCTCGCCTCGTTCTTCGTCATGGTCGGATCTGCCGTGCCCGTCCAGCCCTGGTAGGGGTATGCAAGAAAAAAAACTGTGTAAGTGTAACTTTGTGTTGCAGACGTTGCAATACAATTACACTTGTCATGCTGGATGTGCATCAAAGGCTATTTTCATACGCGTTTTCGCGTACTGCCTCCGCATGACAGGTTTTCTCTGTCATGCAAAACAAATCTGTGATGCTGTTCCCGCAAAAAAAGTTACAGTATACACACTTTTTTTCTTGGATAAGAGGAGAGTACTCTCGAATATCGAGACAGCAGACTAGATTATTCGGTTCTTGCAAATTGCACGACACAAAAATCCTGGGTTCCTTGACGAACCAGCTGTAGGCAGATGAACTGATTGAATTTCACCGACGTAAAAAGCGGGAGAAAGTTTGTTCAAACTTAGTTCTCAATAAGAACATCATCATCAAGTAAAAAAATACTTTGACATATGCAAAGGCGTTATCCCCGAGATTTTTGACCAAGGAGTTCGAATTTCGCAGGCTGCCACCTTCTTCGTCCGCTCCGATCGGGTTCCCGTCCTCGTCCAGCAGCTCGCCGTTCGGCCCGTACCTCCGGTTTTTATTCCCATTCAACCCGTCGTGGTTGTACCCCCCTCCACTCCCATCCGCGGAACCTCCGTACCCGTTGCCGGCAAAGCCGTCGCCCGACCCGTTGCTGCCCGTGCGGATTTTGTAGCCGTCCTCCTCGCAGTCGTAGTAGCCGTCTTCGTCCCCGTTGCCCGGTCCGCCGAACCGGCCGGACCCGTTCAGCGATCCGTTGCGGTCACTCCCCCGCGTGCCATTGCGGGAGGATCCGTCCTTCGATATCGCAAGGAAAAATCCCCCCTCCCCATAATGAAGAGGTAGGTTTTCGAAAATTTGTGTTGCTGATTTGCGCCTTAGTTCTGTCCTCTCAGTTGTGTTGCTGATTTGAGGTCACAAATCACGTTTGTGTTGCAAGAAGACAAGGGCAGCAGCTTCCGTCCCATTATGGAGCCGGTTTGTCATGCTGTTGAGCCAACATCACGGACGCTTTTCATGCTAAGCGCCTAAGTCAAAGCCTCTCTACTCAGGCTTGATATGGGTCTCCAGTCCTCTTTAGCAAGACAAATTTGTGTACTCAAATACTGCATCACATCAAATTTCGTTTTCGATATGGGGTGGGGGAATTTTTCTTTTTGATATTCGAGCCCGCGTGGGCATTTTCTGGGTCGTTCGGGTCGAACTTGTATCAATTGCAAATTATCGATCTGTGTCTGTTGTATGAGTGCAGATATTAATTTGGGTTTGGCATGCTGGTGCTTTTGCATGAACCAGAAGGCCTGGCCTGCAAGTCCTAGCATCACATCACGCCTTGCAAAGTGAGGAGGTGCCCCGAAATAAATGCATAATCCGCATGAAAAAGTTCCTCTACTTTTGTATGCCAAGTTCCTTTAGGCAGCCTTAGCCTTTGCTGTTCATGCATAACGGAGTTTGTATTTTGTGGTGCTTTAATACTTCTGCGTGATCATGCATTGCAGTCTTTCAGACCCAGATCTTCGACATTTGCAATGCATAACGCGCTACCGTACCGGCTGTTCCTGCCCTTGCCGTTTTTCCCTCCGTTTTTGTTCTGCGCCTTCTTCGTGCTCCCCAGAAACTCCTTTACATCGACATTGCCATCCTCATCTGTGTCGATGGCCTTGTAGATTTCCTCCGCAGAGCCACCGAATAAAAAGTTATGGAAGTGTCAGAGTCGAAATTGACAAAATCGAAATAATTTGCCATGCATAAAGTGGATTCCAGTGCGGACCCAGTTTCTACGTGGCGCATGACAAATTCTGGTGGTGCCTAAATACAGTTTGCAATGCTGTTGAGGCAAAGAAGACTGATTCTCTCATGCTGCTTTAGCAGTTCGAGCTCTAGCCCCGAACAGGCTTACAATCGGCCTCACTTGCCTGCTCTGCAACACACGTACCTCGCGTCATGCATTTTACGCATTGCAAATGATTTCAACTGTGACGATTTCGATCCTCACACATTCATAAAAGTCGATCGTGTCGTAGTCGGGCCAGATTTTCGGCAAAATCATGTTGAGGCCGGAGGACAGCTCGATGTAGGCGAGGCTTCCGTTATGAGAGTGCATAAAGCGATCCCCCGACCCCGTGCCCGTGCGCTCCTAATTTGTCATGAAAAGTAGAACCAAATAGATCCACTGGTTGTCTTGAAGTAGTCTCCACATGATAGATGACATCAAGTGTCGGAAAAAAACACAAAAAGTACGCTTACGCATAAATCTGTGTGCAGATTATTGTCATGCGAAAGCTACATCTGGGACACTGCTTCTGTTGCGAATCTTGCGCTCCAACTGAGAAAAAGGGGGACGAGCTGTGCACTCTCATAGCCGTTGGCGTTGAAGTCGAAGAACTGAAAGGCGCGCCGAAGCGTCTTGTACTTCATAGTCAGGAAATACCTGGAGTAGAGTGGCGGTATACAGTCTGTCCTCTATGGAGCAGCCACGGCTTCTTTTCGAAACAGCTCTATTTGTTTTCGCAAGAACTACCCAATAATACCCATGCCCCACGAGAAGGTCCGTCGTCCGACCTGCTCGTGCGTGGGAGCGGCAGGTGGGAAGCAGAAAAGCAACCACGACAACCGCAGAGGGCAAATTCCCATGGCCCGGCGCCCAATGCAGCGCTTGTTCTTAGCGCAGTTTTTCGAGTAGTACGCTTTCATGCCTTCAACGAAAAGCCTATTACTTGAGCTGTATATATTGCAATGTAAAATCAACTTTACTAGAAGCTACACACCTACCTCATGGCTCCCGCTGGGCTGCTGTCGTCTACTTTCCGCGCTTTTATAGCCGCGTCGAACTCGCCTAGAAACGTGGCCATTGTCCTATCACAATGAAAAATGCCCCCACCCCAGAACTTCAACTTCACAGCTATTGCTATTGCAAAGCTTTCCAAGGGACACATTCCCCATCTTTTACATGTTTCAGCATCACAAGCTTTCGATTCTGAATAGCTAAAATTTGTGCTGCACAAGAGCCCCGGAACAGCCGGGCCTGTTATGTAAAAGATGCCCTGCTCGCCTGGACTCTGCATCAGAAAGACTCGCAAGAACCCTTTCATGCGAGACAAACAGTTTCCATTTGGAAAGATCTTTGCATCAGAAACATTTCCAACTTCGGGGTAGAAGGGGCACTTTTCAGTGTAATATGTTCGCAACAGCTTTACCTTCGCTCGCTCCGGCCCAAGCATAACCACGCGGTCCCCCCGTTGCGCGTTTCGCTTTGCGCGTTCGAACTCGTGCTATGCATCGCAAATATGGCTGGAGGGTCTGGAAAGTTGTCACGCTTGGCTAACAGGAAAGAAAAATCAGCTATGCTTGTTCGCTGCCCTAGAGCGTCGCTTTCATTTTGTGCTGCATGAAAGTGTCACTCACGTTCCGAAACACAAACACGCAGTCGCTTAATAGGAACTACTTGTCAAGTACATACAACCACGTGGCCTTGATGTAATGTGAATATTGGACTTGTTCAAGAACATCTATCATTGCAGTATAACTTCATTCCCGGCCCGGACTACATATTTGCAATCGATACACGCTCAATCGACGCAATCTCCTCCTCCACGAATTCCTTCTTTTGCAGCCGGGTTTTCAAATATAAGAGCGCACAACGCCCCCATCCCTTCCCTGAAGTGCATAACGAGCCGCATCACAAATTGCCTATTACTTACACGCGGAGCTTCTACATGAAGACTAAATTCGCGCACGGGGTGTCGTGCGAGCAGTTTCTGGGCGGCTTCCGAAATTTCTATAACCTGTGGTCATGCAGCAAAGCGCGCCAAAACAAGGAAGGGCTTGGCCGCTAGTGTAGTCGTTCGCATTCTGCGACATCACAGATCATGAGGAAGTGGAGGGGAAGTTGTGCACTCCGATATCGGCCTCGGCGGCGGCTCGGGGATCGTGAAGCTGGACCGTTTCGCGGTGCAGCGAGGCAATCCAGCCGGCTGTGACGATCGTCGATTTGGGGGCGCGCCCGTCGCACCTCCGTGGTCCGCCGTGGCTGTGGCTGCGCCGCCGACCGCCGCAGAAACCGCCGCCCCTTCCTCGTTTTTGGAAGCCGGACTGCTGCCGCTGCTGTGCCCCTTCAAGCTCCGCCTGGCTCCCGGATGGTCCTCCATGTGGTGGTCCGCAGCGCTACTACTTCCCGTCTCGTCGGAATCTGGTAGGATTCGATTTTGTCTTCGCCGTGAAGGCGCTAGTACTCACAACTGAGTATGTATTTCTCATGATATTACCCTTTCACTATGCAGCCTATGTTTTAGGTGCATCATGAAGCCCATTTCTTCATAAGTACTCAGACCGATCAATCATTATTCAGAAAAAAACCTCGTCCTACTAGGCGGGATCAGCTGTTGTACTAAGTACCTGCCGGCGTGACTTGGTTTTCCAAGTCCTCTGGTCTCGGGCCCAAAACGCCCTGCCCGGGCACGAGCTCGTCTTCCTGCACGATGAGCTTGAGCAAGTTCCCCACGGCCGCCGCCGCGGCGTCCACGCTGCGCTGCAACGTCGGGTCGTTTCGCGCCGCGGCTTCGACCCCGTCCTTCAGGTGCACGACGGCGGTCCCGGATGGTTTCGCTAGAGCCTCGCCCTCAGTTGTGTGACCATTGGTCCCACCTGCAGCAGCTCCCGCGTTCAGAATCCCGGAGGAAGAAGAGGCGTTTCCGTTATCCACAGCCTGGTGCGGCAGCTCGTGCTCCGCCTCTCCCCCTGCTGGGTGTCCGAAAAGATTCGCGGCGGGCAAGTGGTGCAAGCCGGCGGATTTGATCGCGGCCACGTGGTCCGATCCAACCGAGCCGACGGAGACCCGGCGGACCGGTTCGTTGCTCATCGACCGGTTCGTGACCGACCCCGGCAAAGGCTCCGCGTCGTTGTTGTAATTATCTGTCTCCTTCGAGCCGATTTGGATGACCGAGACCCGGCGTCGCCGTTCCACGCTCGCTTTATCAAATGTAAAAGTGTCTGGGTCTGGAAGAATGCAACTTGTCATGCTAAATCTGAAGCATGCAAAAATCTGTGTTGCATGATTACCAAAAGTCGTCCAGTTTTGACCAAGTCGGGAGGGCGTTTCTCATGCAGGATAGGCATGAGAGACTTCGCACAGAACCTGTCATGCTAGGTCCTGCATTCCAGACCTCATGGGTCATGGAAAAGCAACATGACAAGTCGCGCATTCTTCCAGACCCAGACATTTTTGCATTTGATACGCTTCCCGCGCAGACGACAAATTCATCTCCCGCTCTCCCCGCGCGCTGTTGGCCGTGTTCTGTTGTGCTGTTGAAGACAATGTGACCGAGGGCCGCCGGGAGATGGAATTCACTTCTTCCGGGAGCGCCAGCAGCTGCTTCGACAGACGTGGCGTGTTCTGTTTCGAGGCATTGGACGAGGCGGGCAGTTGCTGCGACGAAGAATGTTGCTGCTGCGAAAATTTCTGCAGACTCTCCGCCAAATCTTCCGTGTTGTTCAAACTGGGACGGCGACTGCTGTTCCCCGTGAAAGCCGGGAAAATGTTGATGCTCAGATCGTTCTTTTGCAGTCCTCCTACCGCACTTTTCGTCGAGTCCGGGAACTCGACCTCCTGCGGGGGCAAAACCAGCGTTGTGGTGGAAGACAAACCCAGCGACGGTCGGTGCTTCAGCTGTCTCGTCCGAGCTTTCGAATTTTCAACCTCGACGTGTTGACCTGCGCCGGGCTTATTGGACTGCGACTGCGGCAGGGTCGTCGTGGTCTCTATTGACTCATTCTGATTTATTGTCCTATTTGCATCACTCCTGGAAGATGATGACATGGCATCTCCTCCATCGATCTGCGTTATTTTGATCTGGAAGGCTGAACGTGCTGCCCCAGCCGCTGAAGTAGATGCTCCTTCTCGTTCTTCACTGGGAACAATACAGCAGCTGTCTTGCTGCGTAGTAGAAACGTCCTCGCCGACCTCCAGAGAATGGGAATTCGTCGCCACCCCAACCGTTGTGCTGTTGTCCTGGTCCTCCTCGTGCAGCGCACTTGTTACCTCTGCTCGTCCTCCAATTTCAGTTTTTCTACTGCTGTCCGTTTCCAAGACCGCACCTCCACGTAATATAACCGGAGGCTGCTCCAGCTGCATACCAGGAGCACCACGCCTCACCGGACTGCCACCGCTCGTTACACCCCCGCCGGGAAGCGCGGGCCGCATCGGACTGGCGGTCAAAACTCCGTCTAAGGAGTTGCTGCTCACGACGGAATGAAAATCACCTCCTGCTGGAGCAGCTGCGCCGACGTCCTCGCCTGCTGCACTCGGGACTTGCATTTTTGGCGAACTTCTCGGCTGTTCCTGAATACTGGGAAAGGAGAAATCTGTAATGCTGGTCCACTTTAGGGACGTCGCCGTCGTGCTCATGGAGCCGGAAGACTGCGGCGGCTGCTGGCTGTTGTTGCAAAGTAGACTGGCGTTCACCTGCGATTTGGATTTGGAAATGTCGTCAAACGCGCCCAGAATGTTGGAGGACCGGTCGTTCTTCAGCTCCTTTGACGGTGAGCTCAGCGATGCGATGGTCATGGGCGGCCCGGACGGCAGGATCTCCACCGGTTGGGAATACTGCTGCCGACTCAGCGACTGCCGCCGCGGGGGCGAGGGCTTAGAGGATGTGTTTTGTCCCAATGCAAAATTTTGGGCGGTGCTCGTGGTGGTGGAAGTGGTTACCGCCGACTGGTTGTCGTCGAAACTCGTGTGCGGCTCCACGGGCTCGATGTCTTGCATCACTCGAGAGGAGGGACCACGTGACGGTCTTGTCGCGTTTTGGTTCTTTTGCTTCGTCGCATCTTCTTCTTCCGAAGATGACGACGCGACCGTCGTGGACTGCTCCGCGGTCAGTGTCGACGGACCGGGCGCCGCTAGAACAGACTGGTCTCGTCGTCCTTTTTCGCCTGATATTACCGCACCTGCTCCTTGATGACGACCTCTTTCCGCATCGCTCTGACTAGTACTGCTTCCCCCGCCCCCGTCGGCCTGACAATCGTGAGTTTTGTTCTTATCTGCAGCCACGTCGTCAGTACCGAAAGCCAGTCTCTCCTGCTTTAATACCGGGGAAGTAGACGAGGAAACTTCGGTAGTACCACCTACGATGTTCTGGCTCTTGTCTGCGGCTGCAAACAGCTCCCGGCCCGCAACCATCAGATCCAAGACCGGCGACCCCGAGCCGAGGCCGTTGTACGTCAACGCGTTTGCGTCCAGATGGTTACCTTGATGGTCTGGATTGGACACGAAGTTCGACGCACCGTGCTCGAAATTTTGGTCCCCACCTCCAAACATGCCCCCAGCCGCTGCTCTGTCGGTCAAACCGCTGTTGTTTGCGTGCGCGAAGAGTTTGTTCGCCAGCGACTTGTGCAGCGAGTGGTCCTTGTGCTTGTTCAGCATGTCAGGAAACAACACGCGCATCGAGGAGTTCTTGGGCGGAGACCGAACCCCGGGCAAGGAGTTGCGGTGCTGCGGTCCAGCTCCAATTGCGTGTCGTTGGCCGCGATCCGCTTCCAGTCCGACCCTGTGATTGCCCAAGAACTGCTCGTGGTCTCGAAGCGATGATTCTACGTCGTTCGGGAACATTGGAGAGAAGTGGGAGGAGAAGTCAATCTTGCTCATGGCCTGCTCCAAACCCTTGCTGACGTCTTCTACATTCATCGAGGACCCACTTGCTGCCGTTGCCGCCCCGTCCACCTGCAGAAAGTTTTGGCGCTCCTCGTGTGGTCCATTATTTGAGGAAGTCTGATTGACATTTGTTCCCCGCCGGACCAAGTGCGCGTGCTGGGTGTTGGTGTTGGCTTCATCAAGAAGAAAAATCCCCCCTTCCCATATGAAGGTCGCGCCCGGAGGGCGATATTGGTAACCAAATGCGTGCGCGAAATTCTAACCAGCGCGAAAGCCTAACCAGCCGCGCGGCGAAAGCGCGGCCCTGCGGGCCGCGCTTTGGCGCTATTTATTTTTGATTACAGTCCCACTCCTTCTTCTGCAAGCCCCCTGCATGAGAAACTGGCCCCCTGGCCAGGAAGGTATCATCTGGGTCATCGGGGGCTTCCGGATTCGCATTCAAAGCTTATCGCAGGAGCCTGCGGGCCGCCGCGGGCTCCACCACTTCCCCGCGGCCCTAAAGGGCCGCGGACAACTACTGTCGCCCGCGGCGGCCCGCAGGCTCCTGCGATAAGCATTGAAGGCGAAATCCGGTCTGCTATTTCGCAGCGGGGCATCCTCTCTAGCCCCCTGCGTGACAAACTGGCCGCCTGGCCAGGAAGGTATGCGGAAAGCCGAAAACCCGCGAACCCTTCCGGGCAACCAAAATCGGCCATTTCAGACGCGGCGGAGGTCCCGAATTGGTGCTCACAACCCCGGCCAAATCGGGATTTTGGGACATGCCTCCGCCCGCTTGTAGTGCGTTTTTTTTTCCCAATCGCGATGGTACGGCGCAAGCGCGCGCCCGCCGGACCGCCCTTGGCGGCCAGTTTGTAAGCCTGCCGAGGGTTCTCGATTTTTTTCAATTTTCGCTCTTTTTTCTGGTTCTTAGGTGGCCGAAGGGCTCTGGACATTTTCACCGCCCGCAGATGACTGGCAGTTTTGAAGCCTGCGGAGGGATTGCGCTTTTGCGCAATTTTTCATCTTTTTTCATTTTTCAAGTGGCCCGGGCGACCTGCACATTTTTACCGCCCGCATCTGTCTGGCAGTTTTCAAGCCTGCGGAGGGATTGCGCTTTTGCGCAATTTTTCATCTTTTTTCATTTTCCAAGTGGCCCGGGCGACCTGCACATTTTTACCGCCCGCATCTGACTGGCAGTTTTCAAGCCTGCGGAGGGATTGCGCTTTTGCGCAATTTTTCATCTTTTTTCATTTTTCAAGTGGCCCGGGCGACCTGCACATTTTTACCGCCCGCATCTGTCTGGCAGTTTTCAAGCCTGCGGAGGGATTGCGCTTTTGCGCAATTTTTCATCTTTTTTCATTTTCCCAGTGGCCCGGGTGATCTGGACAAAATCCGACGATTGCTTCCGCCCACGTTATGAAGCAAATTTTTGCCATTTTTTTCCAACTTTTTCCAGTTACGAAGCGGCCCAAGGCTTCCGAACAGGTCGCGGGCCTGCTTCTCCAACGCAGCTGGCCAGCGGGCGGAGCAAAAAATAGTCCGTGTCTTTTTCAGATATCAAGTGGGCCAAACCGCAAAAATGCTCTTTTTTAACCTTCTCCCGCTTGGTTTCTCCCATTTTTGCGACATTTTTGACCTCCTGGCCATTTTCCCATCTGGTCCGCTTTTTTTCCCTTCTCCCGCTTCATTTCTGGCCATTTCCCTGACCTTCACGCCTCCCGGCGGTTGCCCTATATGGTAACGGCAACTGCCTTCGCGCTGCGTTTGCTAAAGCAATATCGCAAGCGCGCAGAGCGCGCGCGCCGGCTTCGTGGGCCGGCGCGCGCTCTGCGCGCGCGCGCGCACGCATTTGGTTACCAGATCATGTGACGCAGATTCGTCGCCACAAAACATCAGCTTCGTCTTGCAGAAACGAAGCGGAGGCGCATGCTAGGCTTGTCTCGGTTTCTATATGTCAGCAAGATAGATGTTTCTGCTGGTGGCTAAAACTCATTACAGATAGCCCGCTCAGTGCGTCGCTTCGCTCGTGCTTCATCAACGAAAGTATGCAATACAGGGGCATTTGCACACACAAATCAGCAACGCAAGTTTCCTTGTGGTGCATTGTCGATATGGGGTGGGCTTTTTTCCTTGCGATAGGTTTCGTTATATCGCTCCATCAAATCGATCATGGGCGACTGGATTGGGCGAATCGAGGCCTTCGGCAGCCCGGCGGGCCGCAGTTTGTAGGTGATCCCCGTTTTCTGGTTCGTGTAGGATCCCGTGGAGGTCGCGCTCGTGTTGGTCATCGGTGATTGGTTGTTGATGTGGTCAAGCGAGGTTGTACTAGGACTGTTGCCGAACTGGAACTTGTTCGAATGCTTTTTCGTCCTTCTTGGCTGCGAGGAACGGGCCGCTCCTGCACCATCCGTAGTTGCACCAGCTAGGCCTGTTGATCCATTCTCGCTGTAGGCCATCGCCCCGTTTGCCCACTCCGACCCTGCGGGCCGGCCGTCCGGCCGCTCCAGTTGGATGCCCGCGCGGGCCCAGGAGGGGACCGCGTGCATTTCCGGTTCGTCCTCCGTCTGGGATGAAAACGGGTCGTGTTGCGCATCAAGGTTGGTGCGGTCTTGCATTTTCGGTTGTGGTTCTTGCGGGGGAAGAACTACGCTGTCCTCAACTACACTCGCGGTTCCTGTGCTAATGTTCCCACCGGGGGCCGCGGGCCCGACGTATTGCCACGACGACCCGGATGAAGATGAACCACTCCCGGCCGCTGCTGCAGTCGTGCTGGCCGCGTGGTCCAGCACGACTGGGTCTTGCACGACATTGGCGTTCAGAACTGGTGGGAGGGAAAATTCCCGGCGATCTCTCTCGGTGTCAGCGGAGGATGAAAAGTCGATCCGCCGCCGCCTTCGCGGAACCTCGCCAGCAGAAGTCATATCTTCTGTTGTACTATCGAACAGACCGCCGTGATTGTTGCTGTTTCTCCTCCAAGAACCTCGGCCTGCTGCTCCAGCGGCCCCTTCTAAATCGTGGAAGTCGACCGATCGGGAGTGCAACGCAGTCGCGTCGTCGTCCCAAAGCGCCGACTGCAGGTGGCTAGCTGCACCGGGCGAGTTGAAAAACTCGACACTGTTGCCACCGTTTAAACTGTCGAACTCGAAACTCGTATTTTGATTTTCCTTGTCCTGGGTCGTGGTGGAAAAGTAGCTGCTGGTCGCCCAAAACTTGCTGTTGTTGTAGTTCGCGGCCCCCTTCGGCCGTCGCGACTTGCTCCCGCGCATCCGGTTCATCTGCTCCTTGTGCTGCTTGGTCAGCCCCAGGTGGTACTCGAAGGTGCGCGCCGTCTGGTGGCTGTTGTTGACGAAATTCGTGCTGTATGCCTTGCAAAAGTGTCGCACTCGTACTAGTTTTTGCAATGCCGTATGACAAATCTACTTTCCTACCTGAACCAGCACGTACCTTATCTTCAAAAATTTGGGAAAATAAATGCCAGTGCAACTCCTACGAGCAGTGCGATACTTTTGCAATGCGTATGCTGGTTAAGGAATTGATCCCCATCATGGAGTTCGCCCGGCTACTCATCATTTTCCCTTTCGTCCGAGTACTCACCGGCCCGCGTTGCTTCACCGGTGACCAGGATTGGGTAACCCACGGCTGGTTAAAGTCATCGTGGTCGACGGACGCGTCGTTCGCGTTGTTGTGCAGCTGCTCAGCACTGTTCCCAGCTGCCCCGGTCTCCCGAAACCGGTCAGAGTCATCCCGGGTAGTCCAGATTTTCGACGTGGCTTCCTCCCGATGCAGGTCGTGGTCGAAGATGTCTTTATTATTGTCCTGACTCGTGTAAAACCCGCCGCAGAAGGTCGCGCGCTTGCTCGGATTCGCACCGGTGTTCTTGCTATGATTCAACTGGTTGGAGTTCCCGGGCTGCTCCAGCGGATCGACGTAAAAAGAAGTCGGCTTATTGATATCCGGCAGGAAGTGTAGGCTCGGTGGGGCGATAGTTGTGATCGGCGCCGCGACCTATTGCAAGGAAAAATAAATCCCCCCTCCCCATATCTATAATTGATCAGAACGAAATTTACTCTGATGCGCAATTTGCGTACATAGAGCGATCATTTCTTGGTATTGCTAGAAGGCGAACAAGAGACACACCTGCGCGCAACCATTTGCAGGAAGTTTGCCATGCTATAATTTCGCGCTTGCAGTTGCAGCTTCTTGTCATGCTGAAGCCGCAAGGCTTTCGCTTTCCCGCGCCAGCCAGCAAGACCGTCCGCATCTCTTTCCTCCTAGCATGCAAACGCGATTTCGGAAGAGCGCAAATGAAATAAGGCCACAGAAATCTCCATTTCAGGTATGGGGAAGAGAAATTTGTGATTTTCATACGACCGCGACGGGCTTCTGGCTTGCTGCCTGGTGGAATGGATCGCGATGATCATAATGTGGATCAACGTCCTCTTTGTTGCTACTAAATGCCTGACTGGTCGTGGCATTTGCCTGGCTGGTGTTGACCCACGAACCACTGCCCTCGTTCCACGTATTCCGGTACGAGTTTTTGTTTTGGATTTTGTGCGCAATGCTGGAAAATTTCTCCTCGCGATGAGTGGGCGATATCCACCTGCACAACTCCTCTCGTCCCTTTCCTCATTTCTTGAACAGCATGAGCAACAACCGCAACACAGTAGCAATGGCACAAATCGGTTGATTGAGCTTAAAAGGGTAGGTACTACTGCTTTAGGTTCCAGAATATCTTCCCTTCTGCAGACAGTGCTCAGTAGAGGCAGGATGTTATTCCGGATTTCGATAATTTGGCAGATATTGCATCAAAAATGAAGGGGAAGGGGAGTTGTGCAATCTCATAGTCGACGACGTTGACGTCGAATACTGTTGGTACTGCTGCTCGACGGGGGCCATGCGGAACATGTCGTCCGTAATACTCTGCTTTTTCTTACCTGAGTGACAGAGTGAAAACAATTGATACTATTTGCGGCCGTAACATCTACATCATTCTTTCCCATAGCAATCTTTGTTCGTTCTCTTGTTTCAGTAGAAACAAGAAATTACATCAATCTGGCTGTAGAACTACTCCATCTACGCATGGCATACTTGATTTCAATCAAAGTTCTTTATTGAAAAGCCCAAACAGAATACGTCTTATCTGTCCGAGGTCCCGAATCTTTTCGTCAATCCGCCTCCGCCGTAGCGACATCTCCCGTCTTTGCAGCGCAAACCGCTTTTGCGTGGTGGCCAGGGTTTTCTGTTCGGGTGACCGAAAAAAGGACTGGTCTGTGTTGGAGAAATCCTGGTCCGGGTTGGGAAAATTGAAAAACTCGCTGTCCTTCAGGTCGGCAAAGTCCACGGAGAAATCATCCAGGTTCTGGGACCTTTCGTTCGAAAACTTGGACTATCAAATGTAAAAGTGTCTGGGTCTGGAAACTTGTGATGCTGAGTGGCGTAGCATGAGGAGGCCTCAAGTGCTGGCTCAGCATGACAAATTTCTGAGCTTGTAGATGTTGCCTATTCTGCATGACAAATTGCGTCTCCGCATGACAGAAAAATGCTGCTCTTGCGCAACGTGCATGACAGATTTAAGAGTCATGCCAGACAAGCATGACAAACATGCATTCTTCCAGACCCAGACATTTTTACATTTGATATGGACCAGTGCGAGCTCTGCGTCGTCGACAACATCTGGTGATTGTGCTCGTAGTTACTGTTTCTCGTTCCCGTGCGTGACCAGTTTGAGTTGTTGGCCGTGCCGTTGCGCGTACCGCTGGTGCCAATCCGACTGTTGTTGCCCGTGCTGTTGGCTCCGTGATTTGATGTTGTAGCTCCACCTCGACCGCCTCTAGTGTGCATAGCTCCACCTCCACCGCTGAAGTCGAAGCCCGGCGCCGGCCACTCTTCCCCGGTTCCAGTCTCGTCCAAGTCTCTGCTGTCGAAAAGCATTGCTTGGTCGAAGTCATCCAGCTCTTCGTCTTGAGTCTGCGAGTAGCTCATCATTTGCGATCGCGAATTCGGGTCGTGTTCGTCGAGAAAGGGGCGCGTTTGCTTGTTCAGCGAGTCGCTGTTCCCGTTGTAGGTTTCCAGCTTCGCCGCCCGCCCGGTGGTTTTGTGGTTTTTCGACCGCTTCTTCTTCCCCGCCTTGAAGCCGGGCACGTCCGGCAAAATCAGGGGCGGGGGGTTGTAATAATCAGACGACATGCTGCTGTAGTTGTGCTGCGGTTCCACTTGGTCCGCCGCAACGGCCGTCGACCCAGAGGACATGGCAATGGGAATGGCTGAAGATGAGAGAACTACTTTTTAATATTTCTTCTCTCCGATTCTTGCGGTTGTTCCGTTCCTGTTTTTTCAGCTCAGGGCAGCACCAAGACCTTTTCCCTGCGGTCCTTGAGTAGTATGTTGCACTGGGCCAGTTGATTCACCGTCCTCTTTCTTGTCCTGGTCCTCCTCCTCGACCGTCCTTTACAACCAAGATGCAGCTGCACAACTTTTCTTTCCTGGCGAGCAAAAGATGTTCGGCAGACGTGGAAGAACAAGAACAAGTGGTTAGACTCCAAAAAATAACGAATTATTTGCGGGAACAAGAATCGCAACTAGGCGAAGTTGACCGCTTGCGTTTCCAGATTCAGGCAGAGAGTGGCAAATTTGTACAGAAGTTGCAGATCGTCGTGCACCAGAGCAATATCGTTGCGCCGGTTGTCAATATTTCGGGGATTCAAGATCACGTATATCCTGAGTAAAACCGTCCCAACCCCAGCAGACCCGTCGTGCAAATTTCAATGCTCAGGTTCAGGATGCTTCTCAAGTGACACCCCACATGAGAAGCATTTTGTAGCTGTATTCCGTTTCCGAAAGAGTCTGCCATGCTCGACGAATTAGGCCGCTGAGCAAGTGGCTTCCTTATGAGCCCAAGCTCGCCTGTCACGACGAAGCTGCCTGGGTGGTCATGCGTACTCACTACCTTTAAGGCTACTTGCGGATTGGTCTAAATAACAGAGTTGCAAAATCAATGCCGATCTTGTACTATCTGTGGGGTCCTCAACCACGCGGGGGGATGATTTCTAAGGAGGATATTATGCTGACCGTCTTCATGCTCATCGTGCTCGTCCGCGGTCAAAGGTGCAGCTTGTGCCTGCAGTGCATCTTCTAGCAGAAGCAGCCCAGGTCCTCGCGGTCCATGACTTGAGTTCATACAATACGCGTGGCAAAAATACAATGCCACGGTGATTTCAAACAGGACACAATAAAAGGAAAGGGCGTACAGGTCCATGCTTATAATTTTCAATATCAGCCAGTGGCGTATTTATTGCGCGACGATCATGCTTTGCTCATGCATCTTCTTGACCACACACTACGCATATTTCATCGATTTCGAATGCGAAGCCGTAGACGGAAACTCACGTGTTTTTCGCTCTGATTCCGTCGCAATCACCGTCCGCCACGTGGACTAGAGCGTACTTAGTTACAGAGCTGCTCTTCAGTCAAGCGGTCCAGCTGCTCTCAAGGAGATTTGGAGAAACCGAATCAGATAGTTAGAGACTCTCCAACTGAACGAGTACTATTATTTTCGATGCTAAGACTGAATATGTACTTTGCAGCGCTCTGTTTCGAAAATAGCAATAGGTACCCGCTCTCGAAAACATCACTGCAAGGAGACGCAGAGGCATGCAACGATGAACTGCTGCGGCCTACTACTAGAGCGAGAGTGAGTCCTTGTATGTTCTTGTTGCGCTTTACCTTGGTGCCACACGACGAGGATACAAAAGAAACGCGACTACGAATCCCCATCCTGTCCATCGAGAAACTAAACTTAATGCGCAGTGTCGTAGCTGGGTTTGCACCACTTGCGTCCTCGACGAGAATTTTCGACTTCTACGCACACCACTCAATACACACGCTCACACGCTACCTGTACAATAGCAATACACACGGTCACACACAGCAATAAGTAGTTTGGAGGCGGGGAGTTTCTGGTATTGTTAGGCACTGTCTTGAGACCGGTTCAACGCGTCGTCCCCTCCTGCGGCGGGACCAGGGGCTTTGGCGCGTACTATCAAGCGAAAACTTCTTTTCTTTTGTGCTGCAGTTCCCATACTTAGCGAACAACGTCTCAAGAGGCGAACACGGATCCTGAAGGTGCCTGGGCCTCCCTAAATGGGGGAGGGGTCGACTTAGAGTGCTCCGGCGGGCACTGTTACTATGCTCCTGATAGCAGCAGCGATGCGTCTTCGCTACTAGCGTCGTGTTGATTCATTGTATATTTATACCACGGTCTTTCGATGGCTGTGACAGGCTACAAGCGAGCCTGATGCCACTTTCATCGTGCATCCTGCTCTCTAGCGGATGCTGCTGCCTGTGCTTGCAGGAACAGTGTACTTTTACCAAACCGAACTACTATCTCATTAGCAGCTTTGTTGGTCTCCGACAAAAACGCAGCGGATGAATGTATTCTGTTCGGAGCTGTCGCCTTAAAATGTCCTTAGCAAAAAGCGCACTTAGAACTCTTCCATGAATTACGGAGGGCGGAGTGCATCACTTGGTCACCTCCGAGCATGTAAGTATTTCCAAGTCCGTGCCTTCTTTGGTATGATCGAGGTTGCATAGTATTCACCCCGAGCTGGCGGCTGTTCATCATTCATCAAGCTGCACTCCTGTCTCCTCTTGAGCAGGAGAGTTCTCCGTAGGAGATAATTGCTGCCCACACACAACGATGGACGGTGGAGTACAACTACATCTTTTGGCCGCGTTCGCCGTGATAAAAAAGTACTATATTGCTCCAAGCAAGATCACTTCACGTAAGACGCCAGCTCGCGCCCTAGTTGGAGTAGTTGGAGTTGTGTCTTTAAAACATCATACACATGCGCTGCGCCTGCGCATCACCAACATCGTAGGTGCACAATGATTATTATACACCATCATACATTGTGTCCTTCTCGTCACTCTAGGGCACTTGGATTCTATCTGGGATTCTATCTTGGATGCTGTCTTGGATTCTATCTTAGCGCGCTCGCGCATTTTGAGCGCATTGCGGGCAATCACGCGATCGCGTACATGCAGCATCAATTAAATGCTCCGCTGTGAGTCTGGTCTTGCATCAGAACTGCTGCGCTGACCAGTTGTCTGTCCCTCCTTGCGGGCACGCTGTTCATGTCTTCGCCGACGCTGTTCATTTCTTCGGGCACTTCGCAAAAACAGATTTTTCGCAGAAATCATTTGCCGCGGTCGGTCGGCCGGGTGCTCTCGCATTCCGGTCACGCCGGTCGCATCGGGCTTGTCTTCTGACCGCGGCGGCGCGCCCGCAGTGAGCGGGAGGCGCACCCGCGAAGTCTTGTTCTTCACAGAATCTATCTGCATCACCTCCGTTAGACCAAAAGTAACTCGCCTTTGTTGTCTTGGCACGTTGGTGTTTCTTTCTAGGTCTTCAGCAGAAGTGGCAGAATGGTTAGAATCAATAGAGGGTCCGGTCGGCGCAGCCACACTCGAGGAACCCGAAGCCGCCGGATCCATATTCACACGCAGCCCGAATACATTGAGCACTTCTCCTTGCAGAGACAAAGCCTGCAACATAAGCAGAACCAGGCGAGCGCGGACCATTTTGTAAATGAAAGTGAAGGACAAGTGTTATTTGGAGTAGAACTGAACTTGCACTGCGCTGTTGGAGTCAAATCGTGCTGACGGATTGACGTACTTAATCCAGCGATCTGGCGTTTCTGTGTTGCAAAGCGAGAAAAAAAAGTCGTGGAGGTGAAAGTTTTCAATTTACTTAAATACTGTCGTAATGATATAGAACTTATGTGGTCGAAATCTGTTGCGATAATACGCGTTGTAGTTGTAGAAGTTTTTGTACTGAGATGATAGAAGGCTGATGTTTTTTGAGAGCAGTTTTTTTCGCTTTAATCACGGGAATAGAATGAAAGGAGTTGGGGGGTTTTCTGCTTGATAGACCGGAAAATTTTTCGCCCGGATCCTTCGACTTCCAAACTTTTTCCATGATCCTCCGCAACACATTTTGGAACCGACAGCACTAATACAAAAACCGATCTCGGATGACCAACCGAACTGGATCGCTTTGAGGAGAGTCGTGAGAGGTGCTTTATTCCGCAACTACATTAGCTACACGTTACTCGCTTGACATCTACATCTTCAATAGGCGCAGCTGGTGTCTTCGATCGACCTTCAAGCACACAGGATTCCGTGGTCTTTCCGTATCAATTGATTGACAAATTGTCTCTCACACAGTTGTGCTCTCGTCTTATGATCGATTCAGAATGAATTCGAATAGATTTTGCTCGCATCATCTTCCACGAGAGATGAAAACCGATCTCCAGGACCGACCTGCGTGTGATCCGCCTGACAGGCCGCTTCTCACTATTCATTTATTTTGGCAACCCCTACACACACCACTCCGAGGCTGAACGAAACTTGCCGTGTTGAACTCAATGAAGATTTTTTTTGCTTACACAGGACGCAGAAACAAATTCCAGACTGGATGTGGAGAATTCCGAAAATTCCAATAAGTACTACTGTGCGTGGTGAAAAATGACACTGTTCATCGAATTTTGACAAATTGACCAGCGACGTCCGAGGACATTTGCTCTTTGCACGGAAATTGCGAAAAAATAAGCGTCTTCCGTTGCAGGCGCGCTAGGCTACGGCTTACCGCGGCTGACCGCCACCCCGACCGTTGCTTCTGTTGCTGCGCCGGCCCTTCAAATGAGGGGGGACGTTGTGCATTCTAATACACTCGCAGTCGACTACATAGCTGCAACCAGAGGTGGACACGCACAATTTCTTGCCGATGGCGCCACCAAGCAATTCCAATTGTTGATGCCGACGAGATCCTCTGTGCTATAATAACTAATTCAGGGCTGGTCTCAGGAGTCGGAGGACACAGGGGGGTGTTCTTGTATCCCGCTCCAGCAATTCCTCGCGCAGAGCGACATCAAGATCAACCCGAAGCCTCTCTGCCGCATAATCGAAAAAACCGAATGAATGAATTCTGACTAGTACTTGTCACATTCCAAGGTGGAATGTAGTGATCCAGCACGACTTACCTACAATCTTAATCGAAAAGCAAGAGCAACTAGCTGTCGACTTACTTCATGGATGAAGCGTCGATCGCGACAAAGGTTCATTTTTCTAGCGTTCTATGAAAATAATCTGAAAAATGCGGTACTTATGTTATTTATCAATGGACGGGCAGCACGACATCGTGGCCGTGCCGGCGAAAATCGTCCGTAAGAGTCATAAGTCGTGACAGTGAATGCCATTGCTATACAAATAAATACACCCACTTTTGATTCAAAAAGTACTAAGGTCAGCAAAGTAGTAGTGATTGACCGGAAGATGAGGCGGCTGTCTTCTACTAAGTATGCGACAGTCACAAGTAGAGACCAGAAGATTTTTGCTACTGGCGTGGTCGTCCACACCAAAACAAAGTGAATGATGTGAAAAGCCTTTCACTCGTCGCACTTGCTTAGAGGTTGGGTTTTTCGTTTTCCCCAACACGCTCCGCCACGATGGCGACGGCCGCCGCGACGGCGACAGCCACGCGCTCTCCGCGTCGGCCGTAAAATGGTAAAAATCACTGTGCCTCGTAATATTGATTTAGGTATTTTCTGCCCCTTCCACAGATGTGAATGTGAAAAGAAAAACTCTATCAATCTTCCTGTGAGTATGCGATCCAGCACTTAGCAGCAACAGAATTCATGATGTCCAAAACTGAATACACGAAGATCTGCTCAGCACAGGAGAGCCACTTCGTTCTACCTAGCAACCACATAGTCGCACGTACAACTACTTCTAGCAAAGTGTAGCTATTAACCTTGAAGACCATGTGCAGAAAACGTACTCTCTTGTCCTCGAGCACACATAAAATAGGCAGTCGGTAGGTGATGAAGATTCTGATTCACGACGTCGACGTTCACACACACGCCAATATTAAGTAGTTTCGTTTTATTCCTTTCTGTCGATGGAATTGGAGGCGGGCACCTTCTACTGAAACTGGTATTGGTAGGCACTGTCTTGAGACCGGTTCAACGCGTCCTCCCCTCCTGCGGCGGGACCAGGGGCTTTGGGTCGGCGACTGCGCGGTGCAGAGCTGCTGATGGGTGCAGTGTCCAGCGATGCTTGAGTCAGTGGGATTCCAACGGACGCATTCATCTCCCGCTCCAGCGCTTTCTTTTTCTCCCTCCGCTCCGTCTCGTCCTTCCGCTTTTGCTTAATTTCTTCCTCTTCCCTCTGCATTCGCTCCTCTAACTCGATCCGTTCTTTCTCCTGCTTCTCCCGCAGTTGCCTCTGGATTCGGTCCTTTTCCTGGCGGTACTTTTGAAGCTGTCGCCCCTGTTCTTTCAAATACCGTCCTTCTTCCTTTTCCTCCTCGAGTGTCAGCACCGTGACTATCCAACGTAGAATATCCGCATACAACATGGGCTTGAGGACCTTGTGGGATTGCTGGACATGCGGTTGATCGAGGTAGTCCATGTACTCTCGCCTTGCTTGTAGCAGCTGCCGGACGAGGCCGTAGTCGCTCTCGCTCTGCGGGGCTTCCCAGAGCCGAGCCTCTGTCCATTTCCTCGCTAACACACTCTTCCAGTGCGTACAGCTCTGGTGCGAGAGTATGGCACTACCGTCCGCAGAAAAATTTTCATTCATCCAGAAATCGAACAACTTGAGCTGGGCGTTCACAGGAAGGTTGCGGTCGACGGTGAAATTTTCGCCGGTCATCGTGGTCAGCCCCGACATTTGTGAATCAACATCGCCGTCATCCGAGTCCGACCCTGCATCCGATTCCTCCTCCACCATCAGCTGCTCCTCCTCCTCGTCGCCCTTCTCATTCTGATTCCACTCCACAGAATTCGCGATGTTGTGGTACAGCTGGGTAATGATGGGCCCCGTTCCTTCGACTACCCCACAGGGGAAGCGTTGCTCGTCTGCAGCTTGTGTGTAAAAAAAGTAGGGGTTCCGGTTTTTGAAATCGAAATTCAACCGGTTGCCCTCTTCGTACTCGACCGCAAACTGCCCTAGGTTTCTTCGCTCCCCCGTGCTGCGCTTCACACCAATCGGATTCTCCTGCGGCATGTACTTGGACTCGTGGTTTTTGCTGCGTTTATTGGGCCTGTAGTTGTTCTCGTTGTTGGCGCACGTAGAAGTCCTCTCGTCCTGCTCGGGGTTGTCGGACAAACTGCTGCACAGTTGATCTCCCTCGTCGCGGCCCTGCTCATTTTTAATGACCAGGGAGGACCGATTTTTGTCGTCGCGCCAGGCTGAATGATCATTATCTTCTTGGTTTTTGTCCCAGGAAACCCATTTATCTTCGTCGTAGTCCTTGTTCCAATCTGATGACTTTGAAGATGACGACCAGGAATTGTTGTAGTTGTTTCCGCCTTTCTTCTTGCTACTCTCCCATTTGTTGGACGACCAGGAGCCGTGGCCGTTGCCCCACTTATTGCTGTTACCGCCCTCGCCCCAGGTCGTGGTGGAACTGGAAGACGAGGATTTCATATTTGTTCCCGAGTTGGTGTAGTCATGGTTGCTGTTTTTCGTCCACGATCCTGTGCCCCAGTTCTTGTCGTTGTGGTCCTCTTTTTCAACATCTCTGTGGTCGTCCGCACTCCACGATCCTGTCCCGGCGCCCCAAGGGGATTTCTTATTTTTGTTCGTTCCCCAAGAAGAAGACGCCTTGTTGTCCTTCTTTTTCCAATCTGGCTGCTGCTCGTCCCTGTCCCACTTGCTCGAGTCATACGACTTGTTGCTGGAGTTCTTATTCCAGGACGAATTGCGACTGTAGTCTTCGTTGAATTTTTCGCCGCTCGCGGAGCAGTTGTCCTGCGCCTCGTGGTCCTCTTTCTCGACGACAAACTCTTCCTCCTCCTCCTCCTGCGTTGGCAGCAGCACGCCGGGTTTAATATTTTTGGCCCTAGAAGTTGTTGTAGTCGTTGTCGTGGCGGTTATCATTTTGCTAGAAGAACAAGAAGTACTACCCGTCTTAGAAGCAGCTGCTGGTGCTGCTGTTGCAGTGGTGCCATGATTTGTTCTATCGGCGCAGGAGCCCCCGGCACCAGCGACCGAATTGGCTTTCGCTTTCCCCTCAGCGCCGATCGGGTTCTCCATATTGTCGCTGACGCACGAGGCCCGAGGACTAGGAACCATTTTTCTTTTGCGTTGCTGCTCATCAACATCCGGTGAGAAGGATCTTCGTGTGCTGTGGACGATCACCGTGGCTGGCGTTGGCGGATCCTCGTCCACCTCGCTGTTCGGGCCGCGCTGCGGAGTAGATGAAGAAGGACCAGACGTGGGCGATTTTTTATTTCTAGTTTCTTGGTGCCCGACGTCCTCTGCAGCTGTACCTATTTTCTTCTTCGTCTTTTTCTCTGGTTGTAGCTTCGCGGAGATCCCGCCCATGGCGCTCATCCAGTCGTCATCCAGGTCCGCCTATGCGATACAAATATGTCGTCCGAGTCTGGAAACTTGTGATGCTGGTTGGAGAAAGACGAGCACGCCTCAACAATTTTTGGCTGTCAAGTGCATGACACGTTAACGTTTTGGAGATTGATACTGTAGCGTTGCATGACAGAACAAAAGGTCTTGGGTACTAGTAACTTGCTCATGCTAGCAGAGCATGACAAACCCTGCACCTTTCCAGAGGACCCAGAGGACATACTTATTTGCAGTGCGTACCGCCACGCCACTGAACAGAGAGTTCTTCCCCTTGGTCTGCAGCAGCGAACTTTGTCAAGCAAAAAAGTGTTAACGTTAACGGTTTTGGGGCATTGCACTCACGCATGACAGATTTTCGCTATCATGCATGCTAGGAAATACAAATTTGGGCATCAGTTCTCGTGCATGCCTGGATACTAAATTCCGTTAACGTTTAACACTTTGTCGTGTGATAAACTTTGCCATTCCTTCATGGAGAGCTTCCCGTTGGAATTCCCCGCCCGGTCCAACAGTTGCATCATCGTGTTCATTAGATCCGAACAAGAGTGGTCTTGCTCGGGCTTCAGGATGACCGGAACATCCCCCTCTCTGGTGGTCGCGACGTCCTTGATTCTTTCGTCGGAAACAGCAGGTATATTTTCGGAAACCTTCGGCGCAGAAGCGGCATCGAACTCTTTATTTCGCTCCTCAGTGCAGTTCGTCTTGTAGTTCTCACCAAAAGTTGTAGGACCGCCCGAAGCAGTAGGAGGCGGACGAGAAGGATGAACTGACGTGGGCAATCCTCCTCGTGCTGCAACCTCTTTGGAGGAGTTGAGGACCTCTTCCCTAGAAGTACTAGACGCTGATTTTTGTTTTTCTTTTTTCTCTTGTTTTTTCGGAATATCGTCGTCGTCAATGTCGTCAATGTCGTCCAAGTCAAAGAATTTGCTCATTTTCCGCTCCGCCGAGGTCAGACTCACGTCACTGGGTTCTCGTTTTTGTACCTCATTGCCGTTGTTCACGACCTCCTCGTCCTTTGCAAACAAACTTAAATCGATCAGGTCCACGCTCTTCGCCTGGAGCCCCGCCAGCTGTTCCTGCTCCTGTAGCTGTTGAGCGGCAATTGTAATAGTAGTCGCTGCCCCGGCTGCTCTCCCCGGAGTCGACGTGACCGCTAGGTTCATATCGGAGATGTCGGAGAGATTGTCGTCGTCCTTGTCGTTCTCTTCAATAGCTCCGTCAACAGGAGCAGGTGGAAGATCTTCAAGCCTTTCATCGTGTTGATGTCCATTTTTTTTCTGCGACGCCACCAATCCGGCGTCAGCACCGACCCGTCCGTGGTGCTGGTCTATAATCTTCGCAACATCCTCATCATCCTCATCACTTTCGTCTTTCAGAATGTCGTCGATTTCTCGGATAGGGGGAGCTCCTAATGCAGCAGGAGTGCTGGTGCTAACAATATTCTTCGTTGGCAGCTCAACCGGCGTACTTTTTAGCTGTTGCTGTAGTTCCCTCCCGTCATGATCTGCAGCCCCGCGGCCACACATTTCCAAATCGATCAAGTTTTGCAAATCGTAGCAGCTGTCAGCCCCACCGTCGCTCGGCACCGGTGGTGGTTCCTTTCCTTTCGGCTCCTGATTATGTGCAGGCGAAGGAGATGCTCCTCGTCCTCGCGGGGGTGGTCCACCTCCCATCAACAGTGACATGATATCCTCCTCGGTGGCGTAGACCACCGTGTTCTCAACAACCTCGGTTACTTGCTCAATGTTTTTCGTTGCTGCTAAAATCGAAGAGGGGCCTTCTTGTTGTACTTGTGCTCCTTCTTGTGCTCCTTGCGAGATTTCAGCTCCACGAGAACAATCTTGTTCACCCCGCCCTGGAGGTGTCGCAGCACCCAGAAGATCCACCTCTTGTCCCTGCTCCTCCGTAGTTGGTCCAGACCCAGAGGGTAGTTCTTTTGCTGCGGCCTCTTCGTCCTTTACTGCTTCACTACAAGAACTTTCGCCAGGTTTCATATTTTCACGACTTCCAGCAGCAACATCTGCATTTGCAGTAGATGACGCGGCTGCACCAAGATCCTCGTTTTTACCCTCCTCCTGCTCCTCCCCTTCTCGGTCCGCCTCGGCGCGGCACTCGGATAATTCGTCGCTGCTGTAGGAAGAAATCTCGTCGTTGGCAATGCGCGACTTGTGCACCGCCCACCCGAATTTGTCGCGCTGGACAGCAGAGCAGACCTCGATTTCCATTTGAGGATCTAGAACTTCGTCGTCCTTTTTCAGTCGCGCGTTTAGAGCATCTTGCTGCGCATCGCTCTCCAGAAGGTCATGCTGGGGAGCTGGGATCTGGAAGGATTTTTGATAAATATTTTTTATCGGGTTCTTTGCAAGGAGAACTCATTCACTTTCGTGTTGACGTATCACAAAACTCATGCGCATAAACAACGATACACATTGAGTAGATTCACTAAGATTGCACTACTACACTGATCCCGATTGTGATCTATCATATAATCCATGTGCTGACCAAACCTACCCAGAAAAATGAAAACGATTTAAACTCTTGAGTTACCTTCTGCCCCACATCCAGTGTCTCGTCGGTCATTTTCATCAAGAAGTCCGATTCATTGTCAAAGAGTTGCCCCTCGGATTTTTGTGCGATATTCGTCTCATCCGAATCTTTTTCTACCTCGATGGCGCCAGACCTTTTTCCATTTCGCGCTTCGCAGTCCACCAAAGCGGACGACGCGTTTGAAAAAGCCGACTCCTTTGATCCTCCAGGCCCTTGCCCATTCGCATTCACTGCGGCCTCCGTGGCGGTAGTGGCTTTCGAAGGCTGTAGTTCCACCTCCGCGTGCACTTGTTTTTCTTCCTGCGACGGCTTCACCACGTCAACAGCTCTTTCTGCGGAAGTTTGCTGGTGCGCAGCAGAAGAAGTCCCACGATCTTCTTCAAATGCGGCCGATTTGCTGGTGTAGTTGTAGTCTTCACCAGCTTCGTTTTTCGCTTCATCTTTCGTGCAGTTGTAATTATAGTAGCTGTCAGAAGCGGATGATGTCCCTCGGTAGTTATTGTTGTAGCTAGAATTGTACTCAGTCTTGCTGTTTGTCTTGTAGTTGTGGTATGATGAAGTACCACTTCCGTGTTCCGTGTCTGCGTTGTTTTCCTGGTCCCTGTCGTAGGAAAAATGATCTTTCTTGTTGTAATAATCGCTATCGAAGCTCCCGCCATTTTTCCAGCCGGAGTCGTTGTTGTAGCCAGCGCTTTCGTTTTTGTAGGAGCTGCTGTAGTTGTCATCATTATGTCCCTTGCCATGAGGATATCCACTTGACTTTTTGCCTTTTGATGTTCCCTTGTAGTTATTCTTGTTGGCAACATCATGATACCCGCTTTTGGACGTGGTGCCCGAGGACTTCTTGTGAGTACCCGCTTTCGCTTGTTTCGTCCCGCCACCACACTCTCCATCTGGTCGCACGTACCACGACGAACCGTCCTTATCTTCGCTGTTATTCGTCGTGTTGCTGCTATTTTTGTTGTGGTAATTTTGGTCATCATGCTTCCATCCAGATGATGACGTGCTGCCGTACTTGTACTCATCGTGCTGTTGCCCCCCCTGCCCACGGCCCTGTCCGGCGTAGCTCCCGTCGTGGTCGTACCAAGAGCTGCTGCCAGAGTTGTCGTCGTTGTCTCCAGCAGACGACGACGCACCATTTGATGCGTCTTTGTTGTTATTTCGGTTGTAGTAGTTGTTATTATCATTTCCTTGTTGGCTATAATAACCTCCACTAGAATAATTACGGTCGTTCTCGCCATAATTGTCATTGTTGTAGTTGCTCGACGAGGCAGACGTCCACGTTTTAGTATTCACGTTGCTACTTCCCCCGTAGCTGTTGTCTGCCGCCCCCGACGACGATGCACCGCTGCCCTTGTAATTGTTCTGCTTCTGCGTGTAGTCGATCCTGTTGTTCTGCGTGTAGTCAATCTTGTCTCCCCGGTTGCTGAAATTATTGTTGCTGTTCGCGTTTATATTGTTGTGGTAGTTTTTGTCATCAGGAGTCGGGGTCGAGCTGTTGTAATTACTAAAATTATTGCCGTCAGGAGCATAATTCATCCCCGACACGCTACCGGTACCACCACCCGTCCGGGCGTTTGGATGCACGTACCTGTTTTCGCCTCCGCTGGGCAGCTTCTTGTCGAGGTAGCCGCGGCCCGACTGCTGCTTTTCTGCGCTCGCACGCCAGTCGTCGCTGCTCAAAACGCGTGCAGTGCGGGAGCTGCTCGCCGTCGGCAGAGGACCGCGGCTTTTTGATGTTGTATTGGTCCCCGATGAACTGTGAGCAGTGGTCGAAAAAGTTGTAGTGGTACCGCTACCATATCAAAATGAAAAATCCCCCCTCCCCATATTGAAACGTAAATTTCTGCTGCTGGATTTGTGTACACAAATCAGCCCTGTCTTGCAACGAGGCACTGCAGGCAAAGCCTCAGTCTGCGTAGGGCTGTTTCTGTGTAGGTGCTTAGCATAGCAGAGACATTCGATGTAGGCATAACAGGATTACAAATCGCCGGCATAAAGCGGCGGACTCTTTGCATTTGCCCCCTTGCAAGAGCGATTTGTGGTCACAAATCAGCATCACAAATTTTTAGCAGCATGCCTTTTCAGTATGGGGTGGAGGGGGGATTTTTCCCTACGATATACCACTACTAATCCCAATCCCGTACACCGCCGCCACCGCCACAAATTCCTTCTTCGAGTCGTTGCCCCGGGATTTCGGATTGCGCGCCAGCTCGAACTCCCAGCACTGGCCCTTTGCGAACCTTTTCGCATGGTTGTCGCCCCAGAAGTGGACCCGGTGGTCCACATCCGCGAGTAAAATCCCGTGGTCGCAAAGCAGGTTCTTCGACCGCAGTAGTGCGACTTTTCCGTACTTTATATGGTAAGGAAAAATGAATCCCCCCTCTCCACATCGACAAGGCATGATCCTTCTGAAAATTTGCAGAGCTGATTTGTGGCCGCAGAAGATCATGGCGGCTGTCTTGCAAGTAGAAGGCAAATCTAGAATGTCCGCCGCATTATGGTAAGTACGCAGGCAGATTGTGACTCTGCTAGACCCACAGGGCGGCAGACGTCTGGCATGCAGCTAAGTGGCGACCGCAGAACATTTTCCCTGCCCAGGCTTTGTATCTACTTCCTGCATTCCGCCACTGAAAGACAAAGCTGCATTTTGATATGGGGAGGAGGGATTTTTCCGCACAATACTTTCCCTCCCGGATTTCCCCATGGTGCCAGTACATTGCCTCCACCACTTCGCCACGGAGCCGCTCCCGAATGCGGAAAGCTTCCTCGAGCGGCAGCGCCGCCTCTTCCTTGGGCGGAATTAGCCCGCTGACGTCTTTCTGCTGCTGGCGCAACGTGGCCAGAGCCAGCATCTCCAACGGGCTCGTCCCTTGCTGAAACTCCGCACTTACCGCCTTGAAGTAGAGAATCTTCGTAGTTGTTGTTTGTAGTTCCTGCTGTTCACCAAAAATACCAGTCGTCGGAGTAGAAAAAGAAAAATCCGCACTGGCACTACTACTCTGCAGTTGTACGATCTCCACCTCTGCCTCGGCTAATTTGAAGCTAAACTTCTGCCCCATTTGGAACTTATCAATGCCGCTCCGCCGCATCACGTCCGACCAGTGCAACAGCACGCTGCCAAGAAAGTCCTTCGGCGCAATCAGCACCGCGTACTCCGTGGAACCAGACGACTCATTTTTCCCCCCGTGCACCGACTCCACGACCCCCTCGAGCCGTTCCTGCAGCGCGCACAGCTCCGCCTTTGTCCGGGTTCCGGGAAACAGATCCGCTGCAGCCGCTGCTGGAGTCGTGGTTGTACTTTTACTGTTGCAGTTATTTGTACTTCCTGGCGCCGTTTTCATTGAAGTCGCGCACTTATCGGCGGGCGAACCGTCCTGCTCGATGTCTCCTTTAGCGGAAGCAGCGACATCAGCCACAGCGTTTTTATTGCTGTCAGGAAGACAATCATCTAGTAACGAAGCACCGGACGAAACACCAGAGTCGTTGATCGCCAACATGTTCATAATATCCGCACCAGTGGAAGTGCCACAACCTCCTGAGCATCCTGATTCATCCTGCGTTGCCAGAATCTTCTTGTTCCCGATTGTAGAAGAAGTAGAAGTGACCACAAGCTTCTCCGACGACGTAGCCGCATCTTTATCTTTTTCTAAAGATAAAGAATTGTTCATCGCGGACGAGGAGCTACTAAACACTTTCGGCTCCTGTGGCATGCGCTTCACCACCTGCTGCACGGTGGTGCTGATGGGTTCGTGCGGGGTCTTGCCACCGCCGCCCCCCGGGCTGCTGTGCAAACTGTTACAACTGTCGGCTTCATCTTGGTTGGGTGACACGAACTGCTCCAGCGAATCGTGCTGAGAACAATGAGAGGACCCAGCAGAATCGAACTCATCCTTGTTTCCACGAAGTACAGAACCCATCGTGGTGGTCCCCCTCTGGTCAGGGGACGCGCAGGACCGCTCTTCCACGGCTTCCACCAATTTCTGTTCTTCATCTCCTTCATCAGGACTATCGCGCTTGATGTCCTCTTCTCGTTCTTGATGTCCCACGTCGCGGGAAGATCTTGCGGCCTCGTTACTGGTTGCGTCGAGGTGGACCTGCTCCGCTGTGCTTACGTTTATTTTTCCTTCTTGTTTCTTATTCTGCTGCTGGTCGTCCGGCTGCTCCTGGTCTCCCGCCCCGGGTTCGTTTTTGTATTTGTTGAGTGCCAGGGTTTTCTGCTTCTGCTGCTTCAGGTCTAGATCCCGTTGGCTCATCAGCCCAGCTGTTTGTCGCTTCGGAACTACAGCACCTCTTGTTGTTCCGCTCTGCTGCTGTTGTTCCGAAGTAGATTTACTCGCTCGACCGATACCTACCGTTCTGTTTCCCGGCGTCGGTGGGGAATAGGCAACCGTGGAATTGGAGCTGTTCGGCGGGCCGACGGCGGTGCTCGTGTTGCTCGACATATTCTTCGTGTTGTAGTTGTAGCGTTGCCCGCTATACTGCTGCTGCCCGGGCACCGGAGGGGGCACCCGGCTATTAACTCCGCTGCCATTGCTCGTACTATGTGAGCCGCTCCGCATGTGATTACTATATCCGGTGGTCGTCGTGTCCCGATAGTTGCTGTTGCCGGTCGTGCCATTACCCGCCCTAACGGTTGTATTGGTAAACGACGCATTGGATGGGGGAGAAATTTGATGGTACTGGTTATTGACGGGCGCCCGGGGTTGTGCGGGTGCCGGCAGACTCGTGTAGTGCAGCCTCATGTTCTCGTCTACAGTCTCCGTATGGAAGTGCAGAAACAAGCGCTATTCCTGTAGCTGCAATACTTGCAAAATAAATGCACATCGTTGCCTCAGTCTTGATGCCAACAGTTCTCATCCATCTCTTGCATGCCATTGCCACGCAGCTAGAGATCTACCTTGCTTTGTAGGAAGACGTCAGCTCCAAGCAGTACGTAGAAATGCTACAATTACAGCACGATTTCCTTTCCGTATTTTCTCCGATACTGGATGGACCCGTCTGTTCCCGGTTATGAAATGGCAAAATTCTGTAGACTTTAAGATAGCATATCTCTTGAATATTTTGCTGCAAATTTGATTTAGTGATGTGGTCGTATCGGAGATGATTCTTGTTTGCATGGAACGAGGCAGGAGCAAGAGCAACGCGAACAACACGCCCAGGATACCGGTTTCACATAAGCCTATATCGAAGCTCAAAGCCGCTGCCGCTCCTGCAGAATTGTAAACCCAGCAACATTGGAACAAACTCGAATTTTTTTTTCATGACGTTTATTACTTCACAACGTCTACAAGCATTTGTAGTGCGCGGAGGCCGCACCAGACGAGCGTCGCAATTTCATAGCAGCTGCACTTCGACGCTGCCGCACGACGACATGTGTACGTACTCGCGACGGTATTCGCTGTTGACAAGCAGATTTGGGTAAGAGCAAGAGTTCCCCTGTGGCGGAGGGGGGGGCCGCGGAGGAAGGTTGTATGAAAACAAAAACGAGGACGAAACCAAAGAAACTTCTCCTTCTTTCTGCTCATACGAAACCTACAGCACTACTAGTGACTTTGCTACTAGAAGAAGACTTTTGATGACGCGAACTGACGGGAAGTCAAGCGTCTACTTAAAGATGGCAATAACTTCACCGAGACCTGCGTATGAACAATAACCCTCGCTTTTTTTCAATTTCAAGTTCCCAAAGTTAAAGTCTACAGAATTTATTAGCAAGCGATAGCTGCAGCTGCATCAGGTTGTTCGGAGCCATTTGCTGCTGCTGAACCCGCAATTGCTGCTGCTGTTGCCTTTGCTGCAAAAGCTGCTGCTCGATGATTTGCTGGCGCTGCTGCGACGCGGCCATTTGCTGGTGCTGTTGCTGCTGCAGGTGGAAGTGCTGTTGGTGCTGCATCATGTTCACCGAATTTTGCTGCTGCTGCTGCTGCATGAGGTGCTGCTGGTGTTGCATCATCATCGGCTGCTGCGGCTGCATGGTCATCGGAGAAGAATATTGCAGTTGATGCCCCCCGCCTTGCTGACCCACAGGACCCATGTTGCTCCCGACGCCCATGTTGTCGTAGCCCCCGCCTGCTTGGTGTTGGTAAGTACTCGTCGACATGGGATCGAAGTACAGGTCCGGTACTACTTGCTGAGTCGGAGGGGAGACGAATTGCTCACCCGGGTAGTTGTAATGCTGATTCGAGTTCATTTTTCGGTCGGTTTTCGAAAAAAAGCTGGCTCAACTTTCTTCAAAAGCGGAGACTGTTGACGTCCTCGTCGACCTGGCGGGATTATGTGTTCCTGTTCGTTCGGTACTGTATCACTTTCACTTTCATTTAGAAGCAACTTCTTGCACCAGCTGCAGCTCGTCGAAAAATCATGCCGCTTGTCTCTAGTACAACTACTTCACCGCCGGTGTTACATAGAAGAAGAAGAATCAATGATGCGGGATAGTTACTTACTCGTATTTCGTTTTCGGAAACGAAAAATCTTACCTGTATGTTTCGATCCTAGTCCAGTCGATTCTGCTTTTCAACAATCCGCCGACTTCTTTCTGCACGATGTGTCGATGGTGGCAGATTTTCCCAGGTGAAGTGCAGTTTTGCTTTTCCGGCTGCCGCTGGCTGCTTTTGGTGTATCACCTGGCCGGTTGGAAGTCGTGTTTCCCTACCGTGTTTCGCACCCAGTAAGAAACGTTTGGCAAAACAGTACCTGGTGTGATACGAGTAAAATGCTTTATCACGAGCACCATCTCATTCACGGCATAACAGATAATTCACACCCCCACTCGTTAGATAGATGATGACCACGCTCAACGTAACATCGACCATAGCATTTTTTCCACATTGAAAATGATTTTCACACATGAATTTGTATTTGATCCTACCTTCTATTTTTCCCCTAAATGCCGTGCCGTGATTCTCCTCTGATTCTGCCGCAGAAACAACTTTTCAAGATCCCAAGCAAACGCTTTCCGGGTTTGGCGGACTAGAAGCACCTCCAAGGATCAGTTTCGCGATTTGTACTTACCAAGGTCGCATCAGCTCTGCCATGCGGAACTTGCACACACGAGAAGCAGATGACCTTGCTTCCAAAACTCTACCAAAGCAAAACCTCTAGCAAAAGCAGACACACCTTGCACGATACACGTGCTGCAGCACGCCTAGAAACACAACTCATTTTCTTTGGATTTTGCGTAGGCATCAAAGGTACTTACCTCCTATGTTTCCCCTTCACTTCCTCTTTATTTTCTCTTCCGCTTTACAAGCAAAATTTCCGACTGTGGTAGCGCGCGACGCGGCGATCGATTTCTTGTCCGGTTGATTCTACGGGTTGATGGATTAACACTCCCCGCTGGTACCTTTAGGCGGTTCTCCTCCGTATCGGTACCAATTCGAGCGTCTGCTTGACAAATCAACTTTTCAAAGTCGTTTCCACTTCTTCCTCGGCCTCAATTCGGTGTAGTTGTCGGTGAAATGTCGAGCGTTGTCGTCCTCGGCCGCATATCGGTCCGATCTACGAAGTAGAAGTTGAAGTAGTCAACCCGAAGTCCGCGAAAATTTTAAAAAAATCTATCCGTTGTAGAGTGCTGAGAGAGTTGTAGACCATATGATTATGGAGGTCGAGATGCTGAGCAATGATTCCTTTCGCAAAAATAACCGCCGTTCTGGTACAATATGAGTTTGGTCGTTCTTCAAGTGCACCAGGGAGTGAATTGCGGTTGTTTGTTTCCCCGGCGCCGGCCGTCAGAAATAGTAGTACTCTTCGTGTTTTCAAAGCGTGTGAAGAAAGAACTTCCCTCGCCGAATCTTTGTCGCCGGAGTAGAAGCGATGATCTTCTCGTTGACGAACTCGTTGACGAAATGTAATTCGTGTTGCTTTTATTCAGAAAAGCTAGTCATGTTGTCTCGTGGCCATGAAGAAATCAAATGTTGTGTCGTCGTTCGTGTGGTTTATTTTCTTTACGTAAAACGATTTCAAAAACAGCAAAATGTGTGAAAACTTTGGGTCAACCCACAACGAAAGAATCGTAGATCGATCTAGCGGTAGTTTTCAACTCCAACTTCTTCTTTTGCTACAGATTTTTTGGTATTGACAAGAAAATTTTCATGCGAAAAACGACCCGTGTGGTCGTCACACCAGAGTTGAAATCTTCATCAACTTGTGGCAAAATTGTATTTGTTGTAGGCCGTTTTTTATTTCTTTCTGGAATGCATCTGCATGTGAAAGCACTACCATCTGGCGCGCGTTCAACGATGAAATGAAGCCGTTTTTTTTCTCTGTTCGTTCCAGCGGATTATACAAAGCTTCTCTATGAGTCACAGAGACCCGTTTGCAAGCAAAGACTACTTGTTTTTTACGCAGAACAGTCAAGACAGGAGTACCTTCTTACATACGATACTTATGGACCTTCTTGCCGCGCGGACCTTGATCATCGTGGTGATACTTGGTTCTTACAGGCTGAACGGCTAATACCATGGCGCCGTCTGTTCAAAATGATGCTATCCCATCACACTCTTTGCGTTTTTGATGCACTTGGAAGAGACCTCAAGATTGAATAGAGTCGTGGAACACTGGACCACACAACACACTGCTCAGTCGTGCACAGAAAGGAAACACTGGGTCGCGCGGCAACAAAATATTTTTGCTTGTTTATTTCCGCCTGATTTTTGTTCCAAGTGTCTAGCAATAGCACTGCGCCAAGCTGAATGATCGAAAGTGTGGCTGTGCTTTTTTTCAATCTTTATTTCTACAGGTGAGTCTGCTGCTTCAACATAATTGTCTTTCGTCATCGAAAAATCGCGTTCTGGTGTAGTACTGTCATTCATGACGACTCTCTCACCAGATCCACTAACCCTTCTCACAAGTTGCTCCAGAATCGCTGCCGTTTCATACTCATCTTTCACACTGTGGAAGCTCGCAACTGTTTCGTTTTCGATCGCGAATTTTCGCAAGCTCGCGTCGTTTCCATAAGGCTGGTCCCCAAAAATGACCGCGGACCGGATCAAATTTGAAAAATGACCACCGCTCCTGCCCCCGTCCGACACCTCCAGGCCGCTCCCTGCCGAAATTGTACATGAGCCCGCACGTGGTCCCATCAACCACTCCAGTGGGCAGGATTTCTCGGTTTTCTTGGAACTGAAACACACAGACCGTGGCGCACCGGAGACGCGGATTGATGTCGTGTCTTTATTAGAACAAAGCAAGTCTGTCCCTACTTTGCCTTCGACTTCCTTTTCCGTTTCAACCTGCCTATCTTGATCTACTTCACAAATCTCGTTGACGACAGTTTGGTTCCAGGGGCGGGGACAGCCCATGAGAAACATGTTGCTCCATCTCGCTTTTTCAGAAACCGGGTCCGCTTCCCAGTACTCAATCGGCCCCGCCTGGTTGATCCAAAGCAGCGGACCGCGCGGGAGAAACTTTCCGGACTCCAGGAAGAAGGCGTCGTCTGCTACGGCCGTGGTTGGAGCTGAACTGTTGCTGCTATCCTGTGCAGCTGCGGCAGAGGTGGCTTGATCTGCTTGGTACCGTCGAAAACAATGTTTTAGCTTCTGGGTATCCGTTTCTGAGTCCGGTAGATGTTCCGCGCTTTCAACATCCACCGTCGCGGCAAACCGTTTCCAAATTTTTTTCGCCAACGCAAACGCTTTTTCCTTCGGAAGACACTGCTCCGGGTAGAAGGGAACCCGGACCGGAAGGTCTTCCGCCGGCCGGTGATCGGAGCTTGTCCTTCTAGTGGAGCTGTTTTCTGACTGATCTCGCAGCCACCAGGGCTGGAAGGTGTAGGTAGGATCGCGAAGTTGTTCTTGCCGATCCGAACTTGTAATATTTTTGCCATGAAGTTGTGAAAATATCAAATCTGCGTTCGTTCTATGCGTCCAGAGACTTGCGCCTTCCGCCGTGCTCAGGAACAAATTCTTGCGCACGTCCTCCGGAAATTGGTCCCAGCAGAGGCGAAACGGCCGGTAGCCGTCGTCCGACGTGACGATCAGGAGTGGGTGGTTCAAATCGCGCATCCAGTACAGCAGCCACTCGTAGCAGGGGGACTGCTTCAGGTCGCGGGACCTCTTCGCCACGAGCGTGTCGTCCATGTCTGCGACGAGCCAGAGCGGGGCGAGCGACCGCGGCCGAAGTGAAGCTCCTTTCGAGGTTGTGGAAGACGAAGTCATTCTTCTAAAATGATCTGTAGTGCGGATGTTGAAAGAGGTTGACACACAAGAGCACGACCTCGATGCAACTGAAGGCGTCCTGCTCTTCACGGACGAAGGGGGGAGGCACGAGAAGACGCGGCGCATATTTGTAGTTCTGCGTCAAATCGTATGGCGCACGCAGTCGCGAACGAAGAGGCCATCGCACGTGGTACCTCCACTAACTGTCTGCGCTAACAACCAAGGCCAAATGATCAACAATCAGAAGACACTCATGGCAACTCAACGCCCCCGGGCATGCATGCATGCCTTTTGTCGGCTCGTCGTGCAGTGCGTTAGGTGCAAATAATATTCCCTCGCTAAACGAAGGAATAGCGAACACTCCTTTTCGGAGGTCACAAGACCCACTCGCGCCAAACACACTTGCGAACATCTTCTGCCGCGGACCGTGGTGACATGAAAGAGCCATAGTCGTATATTCATTTTTAGGAATTCATGAAGATTTTCAAAAAATTCAGAAAAAAATATGTCAATAGCACCTTCTGAAGCACGAAAACAAAAAACTTCTTCGAAGTCACGATCTATCACCATCATACAAAAGTTGCATATTAGACACAGAACACAAGCATGGCTATGGGGACGACAATGAGGTAAGACATTTTACAAAGTAAGTAGATGTAGAAAACTTGTGGCGCATGACATTGCTCTGGCATCCACTCTGCTCTCCACTTCCAACGACGTTGTAGTAGAGATGCTTCCCAACTACATTGAGAGGGTCAACGATCCCGGTACTCGACTCCGTTTACACCAGCTCCAAAAACGTGTCATCCCTTCCTTCTTCCTTGGGCGCTTCGCCTGCAGCCTCCAATCCGGCAACGGCTCGCCTCTTTGCCGCATGAGACGCCGCATCTCGCTTGGGGGATGAAGGAACCTGCAGTCGACTCGTTTCCATAGTGGCGGCGTGGTCACCCTGTATTGTTAGTGGATATTTATCATGATTAAGTATTTGTTGTGGGCGTCTCGTCAACATCATACCCCGGAATCGGAAAATCATTTTTGCATGAGCAGCCAGTGTTTTTTTCTCTTTTTGCAGTTCGTCTTCAGTACTTTGTTCTAGGAACAGTCCTAACTAGACTAACCTACCTGCATCCCTCTGTTTCTGCTGTACTCCTCTTCACCGTTTCCAGCGTCCCCAATTCGACTTCGCTTGTTGTGGCCCGGATTTGCTTGCTCCCCGTGGTGTCCAGTGGCGCCTAGCGCTATGGAAAAACCCGCTTCCTCATCAAAAAAGTCCCCTGCGTCCTTCACATCTCCTGGTCCTCCGTGTGCAGCTGCGAAATCGGGTTTTCTGGCCGTGGATGAAACCTGAGGGCTGATGGCGTTGCTCTTCAGCGGCAGAGTTCCACCGATGTTTTGTCCCTCCTTGATTTCGTCGACGCGAATGTTTATGGGCCTCTCCTTCTTCACCAGCTGCAAAACGTTGAGCCCGAGAAATTTGAACAGCTTCTCCTTCTTGCGAAAGGTTTGCTCTGTTTTATTTACGTCGCAATTTCAAGTGCCTGGTGGCTTTGATGTGGATGCTATACATCCTTCTGTAAGTAAGTACAAGCAACAGCAACAAAGAAGAACAACATGAGGAAAAATTTCACGACCATCCAAAAATAAGAATATCGAAATAAAACCAATAATAAAATAACACAAACTCATGGATACCGGTCCACTCCTTGTGCTTCCACTCCTCCACCTCTACCGTCTTCGTCAACGTGGTGTAATTCATCAGAGCCTCTCCCTTCAACAGGAGACCTTTTGGCCTTGGCGGTAGGTCGTCTTTCAAAACCTCTTTCTTGTCCGGGTCTCTCTTGTAGATGTAGAACGTTTCCTCGGCCATCTTCTTGCTGTATTCCCAGCCGTGCTTCGCTAATTTCTCCAAGTCAAACACATCACCCTCGTCCTTCACATCCTTCCTCAATTTCTTCGCCCGTCTTTTCGCTGCCGCAACCTCTTTGTTCTTGTCCGCGACAGCGGAGGAGACCGCCGGCCGGCTCACTGCTGATCGTCCTCCTCCCGTCGACTTGGACAGCTGGGAGAAAAAACCCGGAAACCATCGCTCGTCTTTCGGATCTCTGAAATCACGTTCTTTCTCTTCACCACGCAGGCGGTGCAGCACGAAGTTGTCGTCCAAGAAGTCGTCGTCGTCGTCGTTGTATCGTATCCAAACTGTCAGCTTTGGAAACAAGGCGCGGAACTCGTTGTACATGTGCAGCTTGTCACGAAATCCGAGTAGGTGTGGCTGGCCCTTGACGTTTTCGTAATCGCAAATTTCCAGTTCCTGCAGCGAGTCCTTCACGGCCTCGAGACCTCTTCTCATGTGCGCAAATGTAAGCTGGTGGCAATTGAAGAGGAGGAGGCGCTGCAGTTTTGGGAACTTGGAAGTTGTCAGGCAAACACAGTTACCGTGATTTGTCCCTAGTTTCAGGCCCTTGTACGCCTTCTCACTGCCGCGGTTTATCAAGAAGTCTAGATTCTCCAGCTCGTACAAATTGGAAAGGTACAAAGTGTATCGCGACAAGAAAGGTGTTGCAATTGCAGGTATCTGCGTTTCCGTACGTTTTCGCCGTATTCACTTTCAATTATCATACGTGCATATCCAACTCATTGGGAAAACAGTGCGATCTGAGCTAAGTTCTTTTTTACTTTTTTTATACATGACCTTGACATCGACCGCAAATTCAGCAAACGCAGATATGCAACACACTTTTGAGTTTGATAAGATCCTCAGCTCTTCGAGCACCTCCGCCGGCTCTTCCATGTAAAGCAAGTTGGAATGCGCTTTCGCGCGCAGGCTCCATGGCCACAACAACCCGAAATCTTCGACTTCCCGCAGCAACCGCCAGCCGCTTGCTTTGAACCAATCGCGATCACCGAGCAGTGGTTCAAGCTCCCCCCGAACATATTTTTTGTTCGAGTATTCTTGAAGGTGCTCGGGGATGCGGACCCCCGAGCGCCATAATTTGACCATTCCGATGTACCCCATTAACCGTAACCGATTGATGTCGCAATAGGAAAAACTGCTCGCGGGATAGGACACATCCACCGATGAATCCTCGTAATCGTCAATCTCATGGTAATCGGAATCTTCTTCCCCGGTGGATTCGTTTCCTTCCTCTACTTCTCTGTTCGATTCGTCTACTACGCGCTCATCTTTCGGCAACTGCTTCTGGCCCCTGTAGTCGAACCACAACAATTTCGGTAGCGTCCTGAACATCTTCTTCCGCAATTCGGCGATGTCGTGGCAGCCAAATAATTGGTTTACCGACACGAAGAGTAACGAACCTCTTACTGCTTGCAGTCCTCTCTTCAGACCCTCCTCAAAGCCCGTTTCGTCTAACGCCGGATTGTTGTCGAGAATCAAGAACTCCAGCCGGGAAAACGGCTCAAAACACCTCCGCCACTCCCCGATTAAAAAGTTCAGATTCGACAGATTGTTTCCCGATAGGTTCAACCACCACAATCGGCTCTCGCCGCAGCTCCTTAACAATGGAATCCCGCTCGTTTCTTCGATCGTTTTTTCGAGATTCTCCAACCCGCACCCTCCCAAATCCAAGCGCTCTAAATTGCACAAGCTGGAGCGACCAAACAAAAATTCCCAGTCAGAAAGCTTGATTGAATCATCGATGAATTTCTTCTTGCGCAAGTCCAGTGAAAATCCTCGAAGTTCACGCTTGTAGAGCAGCTTCTCGATGGTCAAATTCTTCGCCATATGTCCACCTACACACGGGCAGCCATACCAGTGTTCGTCGAGAAGAAATCACGACGAAAAAATAACTTGCAGTACCAAATTTGTTTTGCATCATGTCACGTACCTTCAGTGACCTGAACTCGACGTCCGTCATGCAAAAGGAAATCTACACAAATTTGTGCCGGCAAGAACGTTTTTTTCATCAGGATAAGCGCTTGATCTCCTCGCAATAATTTTCCAGATATCCCCTCAGGTCTCGTGATTCTCCGCTCTCCTTGGCGGCGTTCTTCATCTTGTAGTTCTTCAAGCACTTACTATTCTTCCCGTTCTTCTTGCTTTCCGTTTCTTCCCGTTCAACCTCCCCATTCGGGAATTGCTTGTGCTTGCTGCTGCTGCTGCTGCTAGCATGTGTTTCAGCAGGCTCGTGGACCGTTTCACCAGAATTGCCCCGTTCAACGCAAACAGGGTCACGCTTCTTATCCGGTAGTTGCACTCCACCTCGACCGGCGTCGCTCATTTTGTTGAACACTTTTGGTTTTACTTCGCTGCAACTCCAGTCAGAATTCAGATGTAAAATTTGATGCTGGCGTCTTTTGCACTCAACAAGAACGTCTAGAGTGTTCTCATTGATTCCATACTCCACCTTGTGCGGTTTGAGACTCCGAACGCAAAATAATTTCGCTCTTTTGATAAAGATGTGCGCTCGCTTTGAATCTCACTCATGCTGACACTTTCCCGATTGCTCAGCAAGGAGACGGGCGGAGACAGTCGCGACCGCGAGGACCAACCATCGCATGTGACAGGCCCAGAATCAGAAAATATTCTGACTACAAAAAAGCCCAATCATATATCAATCTGAGGGCACTCATTGTAAGTATCTTCTGAGGCCTTCACTATCGTTTTCTTCTTACTTGCTTTCACTATAATCAGAAACTGAATGGGATTGAAATCCAAACTCTTGGTCTTCATGGTGAGTTCTAGATCTTTTCAAGAACAACTCCTACTCGTGGTCACTAGAAATTTCTTCGTTCTCAAATCTTACAAAAAAATGGCTCTGTCAAATGGAAACTTTAGATCCCGAACAAAACTACAGTTCTGCGCCCTATCCTTTCCCCCCTCCTCCCTTGACACTCATCTGCATGCGTGCCTTCGCCAACATAAACTCCTGCTCACTCTTCCCATTCATTGCTGCGCCTTTCCGCGCAGCTCCTCCGTAAAAATCTTTTCCAGATTTTCCCTCCGCGTTAATCATGCTTGGCGCTCTCGCCGCAGGTAGAAATGCTGGATTGTTCTTACCCGCAGCGCTCAGAGGACTCACACCCGAAGCAGGTGCAGCAGAACTACCGGTGCCTGGTTTTGCACCAGAACCAAGACTGCCTTTGATCGTTTTTCCTCCCGCTTTCACTCCCAGCGGCAATTTTTGTGGAAGGTTTTTGTTGCCCAGGATCTGCCCCCCGCCTTGTTTCCCCTGCTTGGAATTCCCCGCAGCCACCGACATTGGCCGGGGGCGTGCCGGGGAAGGTGGTACTGCTACTGCGGAAGGTGATACTACGGAGAGAGACGGCGACGGGCTGCTCTGCGCCATAGGACGAGGACTCCTGGCGCCGGGATTTATTAAATCAACTGGCCTCACCTGCAAGGACGGAGATGGTTGCACAGAAGGAGAAAATTCGTTTTGCGCTGTTGACGACACCAGTTGAATCGAGGGGGACTGTTGCATAGACGGAGAATCCTGTGCTGAAGCCGAGTGTTGTTGCAGAGCCGCCTGCTGCAGAGGATGCTGCTGCTGCGCCAGTTGCTCAATAGACGGTGAGGTTGGCTCGTAATTCATTTTCCCGCCTTTTGCGTTGTAGGTCCCAGTACTACTAAAATTTCGTTGGTTCATCTGAACATTCTGCCGCGGAGGCACTGCATTTTGCACCTGAGCTGCTGATGGTGCTGATATCGTCGTTTGTTCTCCAAAATACCCAGGACCTGATATTATCGGGCTTTCGTAATAACTTTGCCTCGTAGCTCGCGAATCTCCCCCGTCCGACCTCTGCCCGTCGTTGTACTGTGCGGTCAGAACTGGAATTTGCAAATTGTTACCTGTATTAATCACGGCACCAGGAGATGAAAACTGCTGCTGTTGCTGCCGGATATTGTTTGGTGGAGACAATAAATGTTGCTGCTGTTTTTGCCCGAATGAGAGCTGCGGCGTGGTTTGCTGCGGCGTATTCATCACGACCTGCTGCTGGGGTGCAGATCCGATTTGCGGTAGATGAGCCGGCTGTGGCTGATGCTGCTGCTGCACAGACGAAGGCTGCGGGTTTATTAGCGTCGCAGGGTGGTCGGTGTTGTAACCGCCCTGTAGTTGCCCCTGCATTTGCGTTGGTCGCTGTTGTACTCCAGCAGGCTGCTGCAGAGGCATGATTCCGCTACGCCCGACCAATCCGGCACCGTTACCGCCCAGAAAATTCGTCTGCTTCGCAATCAAAATCTCGTCCTGTTCCTGGATTGGCTGCAGCTGGAGAAGCGTTGGATTACTTGTGTTCAGTGCGCTATTTTGTTGCTGCTGCTGTCCTGGCTGCTGTACAATCTGGTTGATTTGTTGCGGTGCCAGTCCTCCGCCTCCGAGCCCCGACGTGTTGCTCGTGACCGACTTCCTGATTTGCTGCGAGATCTGTAGTTGCAGCAACGTGTTCTGCTCTTGCAGCGCCTGCATTTTCAGAAAGAAGTCTTGCATGTCGCCAGGACGAGTTATGCAGTGCAAAAGTATCGCACTAGTAGGCATGATTGCAATACAAGTTTCTAAGCTCGAAAAAATCTTGCAACTTTTATTAGAGCTGCTGCTTGCAAATGGCCGCAAAAACCCAAAAAACCGCGTCCCCACGGGGGAGGAGCGATCCATAGGCGGCAGAGTGGCTGACGCTGAGGCAAAAATAAAAAATCTTGCAACTTTTAAAAATTGGGCAGCGTCTACACCCTGCAAAATAACAGAAAAACGCCCGAAATTCCGCGCTCCCACGCGTGAGGAGCGATGGGTTTATAGGCGGCCGAACGGCGGAGACAACGAAAAAAAATCGCGAAATTTTTGAAAATTGGCCAGCGTCTGCTGCTTGAAAAATGAGCGAAAAAACCCAAAAAACCGCCTCCCAGCGGGTGAGGAGCGATCCAGAGGCAGCCGAACGGCTGAGGCAAAGAAAAAAAGTCGTGCAAGTTTTGAAAATTGGGCAGCGTCTGCTGCTTGCAAAATGACCGCAAAAACCCACAAAACCGACTCGCCACGGGTGAGGAGCGATTCATACGCGGCAGAACGGCTGAGGCAAAGACCGAAAAATCTTTAGCATGAAAAGTGGAATTTGTAAATGCGTATTTTCCCTAAGCATGCATGCCTGAAATTACTACCAATACGATACTTTTGCAGAGCATACGAGTGTTGCTGGGATGATTTGTGTTGCTACTCTGCATCTGAAATCCGCTCGTGCCCGTGAGCTTTTTCTTCACTACCTCCCTCTGCTCGTCCTCTTCCTCTTTTCGTTGCTGCTTTCGTTTCGCGCGAGCTGTTTGTTTCATTTCGTCATGATGTGGTGCGTTCTCATATTATGTACCAGCAACGTAGAAGATGTAGATCTCTCTTGCAAAATTAACATGAAACGCCAACACTGAAACTACACGAGACCAACCTGGGCACAGCTTTTCCAAGACCGGGTTGCACCTGCCCGTGACCAGCCACCATCCCGCGACAAGAAAGAGCGCGATCACGCCCAACGCAAGGAAAAAGTTCCACCAGCAGGCCCCAAAGTACTTTAAGTGGCAGGTGAACGCGAAAAAACCGCAGACCGCGCTGCACTCCCCGTCGCCGTATTCCTTCGGGTCCATTTGCTGGGCGTTGGTCTGCCCGCGCTGCTGGCCGAGGGAAGATTTCTCCCGGGTCTGCAGCACCGTGAAGGAGGCTGAGCGGGAGTCGAGAAGTCGGCCCTTCAAGTCCAACAAATTCAACGTACACTCCGCAGCCAGCTCCTCTTTGCTGTTGGCCATTACCTGGATTTCCACCACCCGCTTCTCCTCAAACCTTTCGAGAAACAGGGCGGGAACGGGCGCGGGAGTGATGCCCGTGCTGCACATGATGCCGAGGGAAAATTGGGCGCGGAAGTCAGACTCCGAGGTGATTTTGGCTTCCAGGGTGCCCGCGCCGGAGAAGGCCTGATAGAGTTGGCGCGAGTCGTTGTCGAAATTGTATTTTTTCATCTTCTTCAATATGCATCCGATTGTAAACTTCTAATATAGACAGGCGCCATAGCAAAATCAATATCTTTCGCAACAGAAACAAATGATCCTATTGTGTTGTAAATCCGAGCCCCGTAACACTTACCTCGAAGTTTTTCACTTCGACACTGTAGATTTTCGCCTTGCCGATGCTAGAGACGAATTTCAAGGAGTCCGCCTTCAGCTCCAAGCGCACCATCGTGGTCTGTCTTTGCTCGTCTAGCGGGCAGACGAAATACTCGTCCACAATGTACCCGGCATCGTCCACCACCTGTGTCCCCTCCATCAACCCGTCGCAGTACCGGCTGACGAAATACAAGGGCTTCTGACCGGATTCGTCCTGCGGGTCGTAGTTCTCCCCCACCCGCTGCGTGTCCTCCTGGTGAAAGTTCTCGATTTGGTTCTTCACACAACTCCCCACCGGGCGCTCGCACATCTCCGACTGGTACTTGAAGGCGGCCCAGGCCACGCCAATCCGGTCGCAGGTCTCGCCGGACAAATCAAAAAAAGACTTGTCCAGCAACATCGCGTACCGCAAATGGTGCGGGTACAGTAGCACCCGCGGATGGGGGGTCAGCTTCCCGCCGCCGTCGAAAAAGCGGTCGGGCACCACCAGGTACTGCTGCTGAAAATTGTTCGGCGGACGAGCGGTTGCCAGGTCGCCTGGTGAGCAACAATTTTGATCTCGTAGCGTTGTTCAGTTCTATTATTCAATAATACCTCTGCATGATCCATGAGATGTAAATTCAAAAGCTAGAAATTTCTTCAACCTAGTCCCCTTGTAATATTAGTTCGTCTTACCCGTCAACTCCGCAACGACGTAGTTGTTCGAGGAGATGGGGTTCAGGTGCGAGATCGTCAAGTTCTGGAAAGACAGATCTTGGTGCTGCACCTGGATGTTGATATTGTACATCATGATAGGCGTTTCCACCTCGAAGCCCGCGTACCACAAGCTGTCCGGCTTGATGCAGTGGTAGGACCGCGACAGGCTGTCGATTAAGTCGCCGCAGTCCACTCCGCCGCGGTTCCGCGTGTTCTCGATAAACCCGCCCGGCGTGCACATGCAGCAGAACCCCTCGGAGTACTTCATGTAGTTCCCGCGGCTGTCCGTGCAGATCCCGCAGGTGGCGCCTTGCCCGCCCACGTCGTCCGTGCAGGACGCGGAGGTCCCGTAGTGCTCGACCATCCGGGAGGGAATCTGCTCCAGGTAGCGCAGCGGGTACTTCCAGTACGACTTGGTTTTCGACCAGGTGATCTTCAGCGGCGTTTTCAGCTGCTTCTCGTCGTTGCTCACCGTGATTTCCAGGGCCTCCGTGCCCTGCAGCTGCGCCTGCTCGATGGAGAGCAGCAGGGTGACTTTCTCGTCGCAGTCCAGCGTCTCGCTCGCGGACGTTTTGTCGCACATCTCCAGTTTGGATTGCGCGAGCAGGGACGCCTTGGCGTGGCGAATCAGGTCGTTGGAGAAATGGAAAATGGCAGCGAGTGGTAGAATCAAGTAGACAGTCGTGGTGGTCCGCCCGAGGTGGCAGCTACAACCAAACGGCTGCGCGCTCCAGAACGACCACATCTTCTTCCGGTAGTGCCGTGGCCGCCGCATCTTCAGCAACACCGCACTTTGTTCGTCTTCGTCTTCGTTCCCAAATCAATGCTGCATCAGAACTCTGACGATTGAATAATATTTTTGATGACGCGAATACAATATTTTGCTCAAAAATCTCCTCGTCGCTCTCGTGGAAGGTCTGGTTCGTCTTGGTCCTCGTTCTCGTTCTGCTCGTCTACTGAGGTCATATATCAGCACAGCCGTCGTTGCATTTCAATTTCATTCACCTTTTTATCGCTTTCTCCAAGTAACTTTTTTTCGCTTTTCCACCAAGCCGTTGCAGATTCTTATGCTACATCATGAACAGCTCACTTACTTTCATGGAACCCTCGATCCCACTCCACATCACTTCGAGCGGCGGTGGGGACTACTTTTCCTCATCTGATTCGCACCAGGAGCACCGCGCGTGTGCTCAAGATGCTTCCATCTCTGAACCGGATCTTCGCCTCAAATCACCGAAGAAAAACTTCTAGTTCCTGTATAGTACTAAGTTGTCTTAGCTATGATCTATCACGCCCTTGTTCTTTTCCTCACATCGTACAAACAAAGTTCCACATAGCACCAGAATTGAAATTCTCACTACTGTACCAACACCGCCTGTCACGGTCCTAAAGACCTCTACCCAGTGCTATGCATTGCAAAAGTATCGTACTAGTTAAGTAGGCATTGCAATACAAGTTTCCAAGCTCGAAAAAATCTTGCACCTTTTAACTCCTCGTTGCAAAATGACCGCAAAAACCAGAAAAACCGCCTCCCTACGGGTGAGGAGCGATTCGTAGGCCGCAGAACGGCTGAGGCAAAGAAAACAAGTCGTGCAATTTTTGAAAATTGGGCAGCGTCTGCTGCTTGCGAAATGACCGCAAAAACCAGAAAAACCGCCTCCCCACGGATGAGGAGCGATTCCTAGGCCGCAGAACGGCTGAGGGAAAGAAAAAAAGTCGTGCAATTTTGGAAAAGTGGGCAGCGTCTGTTGCTTGCAAAATGACCGCAAAAACCAGAAAAACCGCCTCCCCACGGGTGAGGAGCGATTCGTAGGCCGCAGAACGGCTGAGGCAAACAAGACAAAAAAATCTTGTTAAGTACAATGGTGTTAATGCGGATTATCCCTTCTAAAAAGAGAGGGACTGGTAATGCATGACTGCAACGACTTTTAGTACTACGAATACGATACTTTTGCAGAGGATAAGCGCTGCCTTGAAACATTCTTCATTCAGTACTACCCTGAATCGCGATCTTGATTGAAACATCTAAAAAATCGACTCCTCTTCTCCTCCTCCGTTTCATCACATCCCCGGTTGCGCGACGATGCCCGGCGCAGCACCGGCCCCGCCGTCCACCAACCCGGGTTGCTGGACCACAATTGCGGCCCCGCCTACCCCCGGCTGCTCGATCACGGCGGTGCCGTCGTTGCCGCTGACCGCCAGCTTCGGCGGTGGGCCGTAGTGAAGGCGGAGCCAGTGGATCCCGTCTTCCGACAACGCGCCGGATAAGCCGATGATGGCTTCCTTCCCACCCACGTTGTTCCTCGCCAGGTCAAACGCCTCCAGGCTGGAAAAGTCCTCCTCCAGAAAGTTCGACCCCTCGAACCGGCCCAGGTTGGTTTGGAACCCCAGCTGCTGGCAGAGCTGCGGCCACCCGTGCAGCGTGAAGGCGCCTTTCATACTCGTCAAGTACTCGTGCGGCTGGCACTGCACCTCGACCTGTCGCTTCGACTCTGGTGACCCGGCGCACCGCGCCGGAAAACTGCTGTCGACCCGGGTGTTCTCGTCTTCGGCGACGAGCTGGATGCCGCAGGGCTTTTGGGTCTCCTCCTCCCCGCCCTCGACGAAGATGATGATCTTCAGGAGCTGTTGGAAATTTTGTTCTTTCGGGAACGATTGGGACAAGTCGTGAGTGTACACATCACACTACATTTTTTGCATGGCAAATTCAAATTATCTAAAACTTTCATCTTCTCGTCCAAAATCCTATACCCTCTGTCCCGAGCCAATCGCACAGATATCGCAGAACTTGTCGCCGTCACCGGTGTTGGTGCCCACCATGGGACCTTCCGTGGGTCCCGCGGGACTAACCACGGGCTGCTGGATTATCGGGCCGTTCGGATCGGTCTTCCCAGGGTCATCCATGATAATCACCTCCGGCCCCACAGCGACTGCCGGCTTCTCCTCTTTTTCTCGTATGAGGCGGAGAGACGAGGAGAAGATGGGTACAAAACATGATAAACATCCACAGAGAGACATGCTCGTCCTAGAAAAAATCCACCACAGTCTCGATTGGTGTATTAACATCATGATGTCATGGCGGATGCAAAAAGAAAGAAACACGTTGTGATGTGTTGAAAAAGTTATATTTATTAATTGCTGTGAACTACATCAAATGTAGAAGCTGAGCACCAACTCCTCAAAATTATCGGTTTTCATATTCTTAGGCTTGATTTTGTCATCGTGTTTCTTCTGGATTCGGTTCGCCCGGTACCACATACACAGCTCCATCAGCACGACAATTATCGTCATCACCATCGCCTATCCTATGTAATAACGTCCCCGCCCCATGGTCAAGATGGAAAATCGGCTAAACAAATCCACAAGCTTTGGCCGTTTTGCATGACAAATTTGGACTCGTAGCGTAGTGCTGTTTGAGGTAGTTCAGCAGCATCACAGATCTAGTTTATCATGCTGATTGGAGCATGACAAATTCCAAAACACGACTAGAAAAAGCTTCTCATGAGGCTCCGCATGAGAAACATTCTCAGCATGCAGATTTGCAATTACAACTATGTGGTGGGGACGTTTTTAAATACGATATCGCCGTCAGGTTGTTCGACGCCACCCCGCTGATGCCCTCGGCGAGCTTGTGAATCGTGTCGTTCGTGTATGAGAGTGCACAACTCCTCTTCCCCCTCATTTCTTTGTATATGTCAAATCCTATCTGAGGTGAGCCTTTTGGCTGTGCTTGCATGACAAGTTCTGGAAGCCCAAACTGCTCTATGCTTTGTGCGCGGATTTGTATATCCAGAGACTGCATTTTTGAGGTGGTTTCTGTTGCTAGAATTGCGCTGCAATTGAGGGGGAGGGGGAGTTGTGCACTGTCATATCGTGTCCGGGTCGGAGCAATTGTAGTCCTTGACTTCCTGGAAGAAGTCTTGCACGCTGTCCGCCACCACAAAGGCCACGATTACGAAGGGCAGGACCAACAGCTTGCACACCAAGCCGACGTACTTACGAAACTTTTCCATGTACTGGTACTCTTCGTGTCCCTCCCCGGGGAACATCGGCAAGTCGTACTCCAGCATGTAGTTCATGAAGAACAGAATGGTCAAAACCAAATTCCCGACGGTGTTCAAAATCGAGAATACCAGCACGACGAGCTGAAAGGTCACGATGTCCTCCACCGGGTTTCGCCGGTTCTTCACTTTCTTCCGTTCCACGCCCTTCTTCACGCATTCCTTGTTCCAGAAAACCTCGGGCATCTGCGTCAGCCGCCACGTGTCACTGGTCGACGGTTCAAACTCGACACAGGTGCCTGAGGATTTTGTTTTTGGTAATTTTCAATAAGTGGTCCTGCATGACTACAGAGCGGCGGTCCTTTGCGAAGATGCAATACGACCGCACAGAAAGGACCATCGTTTAAACAGTCCATGTCCACTTCGCCAAATCAACACTATGCATTGCAATAAAAGCATCGTACTAGAAGGCCTTGCAATACAAGTTTCTAAGCTCGAAAAATCTCGCAACTTTTTTTGTTGAAGCTGCTGCTTGCAAAAAGACCGCAAAAATCCGAAAAACCGCGTCCCCACGGGTGAGGAGCGATTCATACTAGGTGGCAGAACGACTGAGGCAAAGACGAAAACTCTTGCAATTTTTGAAAATTGGCCAGCGCCTCATGCCTAGAAAATGACCGCAAAAACCCAAAAAACCGCCTCCCAACGGGTGAGGAGCGATTCCAAGGCAGCCGAACGGCAGAGACAAAGAAAAAAAAACTTCCAATTTTTGAAAATTGGCCAGCGGTTCCTCTTTGCAAAATGACCGCAAAAATCCAAAAAACCGCGTCCCCACGGGTGAGCAGCGATTCACAGGCGGCAGAACGGCTGAGGCAAAGACGAAAATTCTTGCAATTTTTGAAAATTGGGCAGCGTCTCTCTTCTTCAAAAGGACCAAAAAAACCCAAAAAACCGCCTTCCCGCAATTGAGGAGCGATTCCTAGGCGGCAGAACGGCTGAGGCAAAGACAGAAAAATGTTAGCATGGAAAATGGAATTTGTAATGCGGATTTTCCCTGAGAGGGGGATTCGTGATCGTGATGCATGCATGACTGCAATTACTACGAATACGATACTTTTGCACCATCTCCGAGTTGTACCTGACCCTCCATTCTGATTACACCGCTGTCTGGCGGAATTGTGCAGGATTGCCGTGCCGCTGAACCCGGAGTATTGAGCTGGAGTCAGTGCGTTGGTGTACAGGGGCCGCGCCTTGTCACGGTTCCACTCGATCCACCGCACGTCAGAGTGGTGGCACTTTTGCTCCTCCGACCCACGTATGAAATGCAAAGAAAAGCATCGCGCGAGTAGTGTTAAAGAAATTTTTTATTATCTTTATCGCGTAAAAAAATTTGAATTGTTCCACGAAAAAAATAAATAAATAAAACTTCCACACCAGGCACATATAATCCCGGAGCCGGCATGCCAGAGGACGGCAATTATTCGTAAAAATAAGCGATACTTTTCATCAGCGGAGGATACCCAGCACGTGGGGGTTGTCGTAGCAGGGCTCCACCCCCAGTTCCACGACTGGCGTGGCCTTGTTCCAGCTGTGGAACTGCGTGAACTGCGAGGCCAGCGTCTGGCGGAACGCCTCCGCGTGCGCGCGGTCCCGCGTGTAAATCAGGACGTAGTTCCCGTCGAAGTTGCTGGTCGTGGAGCTCTGCGCGGCGGTGGGCGCGACCTGCCATCCAGTGGGGAGGGAGGAATTCGTGCTTCCACCAGCACTCATGTCGAACAAATACACCCCGTACACGGGGCAGTCGTTCGCGGTGGTAACGCAGTACGGCCGCGACACCTTGCCCTCCGCGCCCACCGACCCAACGGAGCAATCGTACGGTTTGTCGCTGGGACACCCGTCCAGCGCGTGGTCGACGGGCCGGTCGATCGCCGGGATACCCGCCCGGGCCACGCAGATCTTATCGCAGGAAAAAAGTGTACACAGTTACACACCCTGACGCAAGACCAGCAAGACAGACAACCTCTGTCATGCAGGAAATGCTTTCCAGCCTCATTTCATGCGAGTTTTCCTTTAGAGTCTGCGCAATACATTAAGTTTTCTTTGCTATACAGAAACTTTGTGATGCTGAAACTGCAAGAAATGCGTAACTGTGACACTAAAATCCTGTGATAGATCTTCTTCGACCTCCAGTAGTAGATGACCGCCCCCGGCACCACCGGCGCAAATTGGTTGCAGCCGTGCTGCACCTGCTCGCCGGAACAAGAGCCTTTGTTCATCACGTAGTGCCACGAGTAGGTCTCGCACGTGGTTTCCTCGATCTCGTTGCCCTGCTGGTCCGTTCGCGTGCGCGTCTTCTCCACGCACCGTGCGTTCCAGCACTCGCACCCCGTGTTTACCCCCTCGTAGTTGCGCCAGGCCTTGCCGCCGAGCTGCGGGCTGATGTCGTCGCTCATCCGGCTCCAGGACTGGAAGGCCTCCTCGTACCCGGCCGGGCAAGCGACGCTGGTACTGGATATGACCTCCTCAAACGTTACAATCTCAAGCGTTACAATAGAGTTTGGAAATCAGTGATGCAAGAAGTGCATGATCTAGCCAAGTCTCATAGGACTGCGCATGACAAGTTCCGGAGCCCCAAACCGCACTACAATCTGCCGAAATTTGTCTTGCAGAAAGTGGAGTGGTCTGCGAGTCTGTCATGCTCATTATGCAACACAAATTCCAGATTCTATTGTAACGTTTGAGATTGAGATTGTAACGTGTGAGCAGGCCATACTGGACTTGTCCAGGATCTGGATGTCGTTGACCGGCTGCAAGGACCAGTTGCGCAGAATGCCGATCACCTCGTTCGTGCTGTCGGCCAACTCGATGTAGGCCAGGATGGCAAAAATCATGATCACGACCGCGTAAACGTATCCACAGTGAATTTATCTTTCCCGTACAACTACACCTACAAATGAAATACTAATGCGGTTTCTGCATGATAAAGCTTGATGCCTTCAAGCCGATTGCTCAGCATGACAAGTGGTAGCCTCCAAAGTGGCGAAACTTGTGATCGACATCTCGTATGAATGTGTACGAGCGGTTGCGGTGGTGGAAATTTGTATTGCATAAAATGGACTGGAACACCATGAACCAAAACAGCACCATTTTCAGCTTCCCCGGTTTTTCCTCCTCGGAAGAGGCATTAGAACCCGCGTCCGACTGGTGCACGCCCTCGGCGTAGAAGGGGGCGCTGCGGGCTTCTTTCGTGAAACTTTGTTCCTTCGTACTCGTAATATGTAGATGGTTCTGGTGCGGGACAGAACTGAACCGCCCGTCGGTTCGCAACGCGGTGGAATCGCTTGACCATGACCTCAACTGGACCTCCGCGCCCCCGGTGGTCAAGTTTCCACAATGTGCGACGGACATACTTGCCACCCTGTCGGCACTGCCGGAAGATGTTGATGAAACTTCCGTCCTTATACTTCTTTTGGTTTTAATATTGCCAACAGACGTTGCGCACTTCCTAGGGTCAAGCCCAACCGTGGTCAACCTGTCAGGAATTCTCGCTTGCTCCTCCATTCTTGCACTCTTCCTCTTTTAAAAGAGAAATGAAGCTACTCCGGTTGTGGAAGGTAGTGCTGCATTCTGCCAATTTAAGTACAATTCCGATTTCGTCCTTCGATTGGTGCACGTGTAAGACGTATGGCAGAAGCTCAAACGACGCCAATGGAAAGAGACGAAAAAGACCCACCACACACTCAACTCAAGAAGAAGATGAAGAAAGCAACATCGATATAAGTATAATAAGTTCTTCGAAAAAATAGCGTCTCCGTTTTGCAGCGAATTTTCATGCACTCTCTTGATGATGATCATGGTCATTATGATTTCGTGCATCTCCGACCACTTACTGCGTGACCTAGTGCAGCCTCTGTACAAAAACACTTTCCGCTGGTGCATCCTCTACTTCCACCTTGGGTATCCTACAATGAGTTACACCGTCCGGCGTCGTTCTCATTTTGCAACGAGGATCCCGGGATGCGTACCTGTCGGTGTCGCCACTATCACGTCCTTCAGCGAGTTTTTGTATTCACGGCCCTCAGTAGTGCCGACAAATAATTAGGTGATGAGACAGCCCCAGGCGGCCGATGTCAGTTGATGCTGGTTTGCGTTTCTGTTGTGGTTGGTTGTTGGCTGCGGAGTGAGGAGTGAGATGTTGAGAGATGTACTGATGTGGGCCGAGAGTGGGAAGACCCTAAAGCTCTTAGATGTAGCCGCGCGCGCGGCAAGTGGATGATGACTTAGTTTGAAAGTTGGCGTTGATAGCTGTTGGCGTATCCTGATGTAGTTGAAAAGATGCCTCCAAAGAAGAGGAAGCCCGATTTCGGGGCCCCGAAGGCTGTGTCGCTGCAGAAGGATTTCACCGAGTCGAGCCATGTAAAGCTCTGGCTCGAGTACAAGGAGGCCGCCGGCCTAGTTGGGCAGACTGCGATCGATGACCTCCGTGAGTTCGCGGAGTACCTCCTCTCAGCTGAGAAGCCCTACAAGTCGACAAATGTCTACTTGTCGGCCGTGGTCGCGTTTGAGCTGGCGCGCAAGACCCTCGCGCAGGGTGTATTTTTCGAGCGGGAGTACAGTAGCCTCCGCGACTCGGTAAATAAGGAGCTGGCACGCGGGGGGCTAGTCCCAACGGGGGCCCCGGTGTTGAGCGTGCGCGCGATGATGAAGTTGAGCCAGCAGGAGCGTCGCGGCTTTGTGTTGCCCCTCATGTTGGGGTGGCGTGACAGCAGCCTGCAAGCTCTCACGGTCGGCCACGTCGATGTCGTAGGTGGCGCCGTCCTGGTTACCTGCCCGAAGGACAAGGTCCGCACCTCTGTCAATCGGGTGGTGTCGATCCCCTGCTGCTGCGACGATAAGTGCCTGAACCACCTCTGTGTGCTACATGGCTGCTCGTATTTGGCGCCAAAACCGGGGGCGGTTTTCGAGGAGATCCTTCCACGGGTGCACCCGCAGGCTACCACGCACTCGCTGCGGAGGACGCTTGCTGTCCAGGTGCGACTTTGGTTGGTAGACCTTGGGTATGCAGAGCTGGACGATGTTCCGCGGGCGGTGCTCGGGAGGATCAATACCCATTTCGGATGGACCTCCCGCTCGCTGATGTTCGAGCGATACTCCCGTGATTTTGCGCACTACGCACCGGACTACCGGCTTCCGATCAGGCGGCTGGTAGAGGGGTTCATGGCCGGGTAGACGGGTTGCCCGCCATTGTCGAACTAGGACAGCGAAAATCTCGACGATGTACCGGAGAAACATAAGGCTGTAGCAGTTTCTGATGAAGTAGTATTAGCAGTGGTAGGCTGAAGTAAGTGAGCAAGTACATATTTAGTAGGTTGATCCTTAGTGCATAGCATGGAGCATATGAAGAGTAAGCTGTATGACCATACGCAAAAGCACAGGGCAGCAGCCTGGTGCGCCCGAGGCGATGGGCCTGCTTTCGCCCTAGTTCTTCTATACGCATCCTGGTGTTCGATTGATCCACTATGTTCCTGTTTTTTGTGGACTGTTGGTATGCAGAGGTGTGGTGGAGATGTCGTCCGTAGTACAGAGCCAAAGTAGGTAGTCGCGCAGCCGTCCTTTGTGGCCGGGGCGAGGTCAACGGACCCACCCGGACGCTTTGGATGCCTGTCCCTGTGTATCTTCTTGTGCCTGAAGACGGAGGCGCGAGGACCTGCCTATAAATATATGATGTTGCGCTGTTGATGATTGAAAGTACGCTCATGGTGCGTTGCGATGCAAAAACCATACGCGTGAGCGTGTGCCTCTCTACTCCCACCCTGATTTGCTGCCTCGCAGCGTGTTAGCTGACCTAAAGAGACAAGCACTGATCGCTGATCTGTACTAGTCAGTGCATCACATCGCGCACGAAGTACAAGATGCCACCCAAGAACCAGGGCCACGCCAATAAAGGCGCCAAGAAGCCTGCGAAAGGCGGCAAGCAGCCAGTGATGAAGGCTGCCCCTCCGGCGATGAAGAAAGTTGCGCCGAAGATGAAGAAAGTTGCGCCCACTGTGGCGCCCAAGGTGAACGCGGCCGCAAGTGTTGCAGTGGCGAGCGGAGCTGGTTCGAGCAAGGACCCGGCGCAGCATAGCAAGCCGCCGCTTGCGCTGGCCAGCGAGCCCCAGACGATGCACATCACGACGGGAAAAAAGGAGATCTCCCCGGAGGAGCGTGCCCTGCTGCTGGGCGAGCTGATGCTGGTTGACTACTCCATGAGCTCCCCGCTGGACCATGTTCTGCATGAAATTCCGCAGGACTCCTTGGCGCGGAAGTTCTTCAAGTTCCACCAGATGCTGAGTATTGGGGCGGTTGCTGGCGCCGATTGCTCGGAGGACCGCCACTACCTGGCGCTGTCGCAGCTGGACAAATCCTCGGTGAGGCAGCTGGTCAGTGCCGCGATTAGCGAAAAGCCGAATCTGGTGCAGACGGTGAAGACGCAGTTTGCGGCCAAAATGAAGCAGAGCAGCGCCTACTACCAGATCTGTGACCAGACCGCCTGTCTGCAGTTGTATGGGATGCTGCAGCCCGGCGTCTCTTTCGAGTTTTTGGCCGCATCCCCCCACTCACTTGGACTTGTTAGACAGCTGGGTAGAGAGTCTCTCGTAGTTTCTTTCTTCGGATAGGGTTTGCTGGTGTGAGCTGTGCTGGCGCGAAGATGTTCTTCCGCCGCGCGCGGACTTCCCCATGGGGGTTTACGCGTCTTGCGCCGCCGATCCTGCATGCAGCAGGCTTTGCGACGGCTGACCCTACGGGGGGTGATTTCGAGGCGCAGCACCTGCGCTACCAGTTTCAGTTGATCGCGCCAGAGAGCCAGCTGCCTGGTAGCAAGCTCTCCGCGGATTTCTTCCGGCGTGTGAAGGAGTACAAGTCCCACACAGACGCCCACCACACAGTGTCGCCACTATCACGTCCTTCAGCGAGTTTTTGTATCAAATAACTTCTTTCTTCGTTATGTTCAAGAATCATGATTGCCCTTTATGTTTATCTCTTCGTGAAATTCCCAAAAGGCCGAGCGTGTAAGACTTCCGCGACAGAGTCTGGGTCGCCAAAGAAGCCAACTTTGGAGACGGTGCCGGGAAAGTCAGGATCTTCGGCGTACCGCACGAGCGCTCCCCGTACCCTGAGAAGTACTCGCAGCAAATTGTCATCCGCGATGTCCGCGTCCGCAACAACATTTCCATTCACGTATTCGTACATGTACACGAGACACGACTCCCCACACATTCTGTGAAGCCCTGACGGCGCCTCGAAGACAGCTCGATCTGCAGAAGTCGCAGGCTCCGCGGCATAACTAAGAGAAAGACCTAGAGCGAGCCCTTCTATGACGCCTGACCATTCTGTTCGAGGGCCGTCCGCTGCGGGAGGAGGAGGTGTTGTAGATTTCATTGCGCCGTGCGGGTTTAGGAACTCCGGCCGGTGCGTGACTCTGAACATCCTGTACTGCGAGTGCGGGGCGTCCAGGTCTGGCGTGAAGCGGAGGAGAAACGGGTCCGCATTAGTCAGCGAGCTCCAGCGGCCACGCAACCCCGTCTTCCTTCCGTCGGAATCCACCTCGTCCAAGTCAAAGAGCGCGGTGACCGGCCTGACCAAAGCTCCCGGCGGCGGGTTTTCTAGCAGCCTCGGGTCAACGGCGAGTCCATCGGCTAACCGCTCTTCCGCGTCGAACTGGACATCGATCTCTCGAAATAACCGCTCCTCATGTAGGTCCACTATAGGAGTAGAGAATATTCGAGACCGCGCGGCTTCGACCAGCGCCTGCGCGCGTTCCCAGATACTGGATGAAGCATCGGGCGAGCGGCCGCCCGTCCTCGCGGGTTTTTCTTCTTGATCATGATGAGCGTGATGTTTTACTAAGCGCGCGCTTTTGAAACTCTGGTCCAGGTAAGAGAGGGGGGCGTTCCACGGGACGTAGTAGGGCCGCCCAAATACGGGGCAGAAGGCCGGCGGATTGCAAAGAGGCTCAGGACGAAGCCACGGGTTCCGGTGGAGGACATCATCGGACAAAGAGGACGCCGGCTCCCCAGCGCTGCACACACATCCTAGCAGGTCTCCGACTTTCACCACTGTGCGCTGCTGTTCTTCCTGTTCTTGGTGTAGTTGTGCGTGTTCTACTTCCTTCTGGTTCATCTGACCGGAGGTGGTCTTCAGGACAGATCCAGCAGTTTTTTGTACAAAGTCTGACGACTTAAGAAATTCATCTCCGCTTTTCTCTTCAATTTCTGCCGATGATGCTGCAGCTTCTGACGCCGTTGAATTCAGAAACGAAGATTTTTCGCCATCAGCCTGGTGCAGCTCTTTGACTTTTACTTTTTCTAGTTGTGCCACAGTAGAAAAACTTGATGCCGCTTCCTTACTTGACGACGTTGCTGAACTTGTTCTACCGCCCCGTAGGTTCGGACGGTGATGCGGTGTGTTATTTTCAAAAGGAGCTACATGATCTTCGCGATCCTTTTCAAGCGGCCGGTCGTGCGGTTCTGGCTTTTGTTCCGGCTTCTCAGACGCGACGTACTCCGCGTCCTCATCTTCAACAGGAACCTCGTCATCACCTTCATCCTCGCCGTCCACGCCTGTTGTTGTAGGAGGAGTTACTATCATGCTTCTAGTGCCTGCTGCCCCAACTTCAAGAGCGGCGCGCCCGGGCGTTGGCGCAGCGGCCTGGTTGGTGGGTGTTGTACTAGTACTCCCTTCGACGACGTCGAAGTAAAGTGCATCTTCAGGCGGCAGAGGAGTTCTGTAAGAACTTGTTGCGCGTACAGTTCTCGTACTTTTTCCTTCCCCTGCAGGAACATCGTCGTCAAAGAAGTCATCGGCCGTTGCTGGAGCTCCTGGATTCGTCCGCTCATCATGCCTTGGCAGCGTCTGCTCTTTGTGTAGTTTCTCGTTTGATGATGTCCTCGTGCTGCTGGTGGTTGTTTCCCGGCCAGCCTGCGTGTCGACGTCGCTTCGACTAGTTTCCCGAGTAGTCGCTCTGGTAAAGAGTAGCGTCTTCTGGTGCGGCGCACCAAGGAAGAAAAGGAGGAGCAAACAGAAGCGGGGGCGTGTAACAACGACCACGGTGGCTGTACAGGCGCTCGCCCCGGCACCAGCGCCGGCAGAGGACGTCGACATCCTTTCCCAGCGGGGGGCCAACATCCTCGGATGGAATAAATAACAGCAGCGGTGGAGTAGATGTCTTCCTCCTAGTGTCTGCCGTGCTACGACGACCAGCAGGGAAGCTACATTAGCACATCGCAGTGGTTTTGTTGTTGCGGGAGCGAGGGGCGGTTCCGCAAGTAATGTTCGAACATCCTCACGCTACATAGAACATGTTTTGTCTCGATTCTTGATTCGCATTCCTCCCATTCTCAACTCCCTCCGCAACTACATTGGCCTCGGTTCATGCACTCTCTTATTTCACTCAAAGTCGCGCTCCTGCCTCACACGTCGTAGTTGCAGCAATCACGAGTCCGATTTACTATATTCAAAGCCGACAAAACTGGAACAGGCTTTCGCCTGCTGCAACCCGTACCATGTCGTCTGTTTCTCCGAGAAATTCTTGGAAAAAAGGAACAGCCCACCAGAACACTTTTTGCACTCATCTCACACCAAATTTCGCCGTCGTGGTAACGAGCCTTCAGTTTGCTATGTAATCCTTTGTTCCGTACAACTTGCTCGAGTACTAAATGTGCGCAAAAGTTTATCGACCGTATGTATTCCGGGCTGTTGCACAGTTCATGTAGCAAACGAAGCTCCAGGAATCTTACGCATCGGACGTCATGATGCCACTGCTTTCTAAGTACAAAAATGTGAAGCCGAAGTCCCTATTCAGGAACGAAGATCGCGTGTTGCGTCTCGTCTTCAAGTTTCATTTTCACCTCGAACAAGCACCGAAATCCACCGTACGAGATTTTCACCTCGATATTATTGTGAAGCATACAAAGTCAAATGATCGATCTAGAGCTAAAAACGGGAAGTTAAGTATGTCAAGCTCACACGTATACGGTGGCAAGCCAACATAAACATTTTGATTATCATGATGAAACTGGGGTATACTTCCGCTTGAAGCACCTGCGTCAACTTCATGGAACGCATCTCGGATAGAGATCGTATTCATTTTCATCATGCCACGTGCATTATGCTACGAAATAGATCTAATCTATCACATCAAAGGTCGTGCACGACCCAAAATTATCTCCAACTACCGCAATTTATTTTTCTCGATCTCCGGAACGAATACGAAAAGCTACGCCATATGTTCTTGCAGTACACCAAACCATCAATATTAGTAAGTTCTGGCTTTAAAAAAACCAGTAGCAGATCCATTTCTAGCAGAAGAGTTTATAGAATCCCGGGTCCCAGGGTAGGGAGGACCAGGGAGGAGATTTTGCTATATAAAACCCAAAACCGAAAACCGAAAAATCAGAAAAACCCCAATCGCGGCGGTATGGTGCTCTTTAACAATTTGCGCGAGTTTTCCATGCGGAATATACTCAATCCTCATGGTAGTGCGATGTCGGGAATGCGGCGACAAAAGACAAAGCTATAAGGCGACGCGATGGCAAAGGCAAAGCTACCCTACAAACGGACCGCGCAAAGCTTTTCAAAAATATTTCAACAATAAATTTCCAGCACATGCACAAAATTTGCCCCTGATCCACATCCAACCGCCCCGGGCTTTGGACTGTTTTCTCCCCCGCGGGTTAGGCACCCTGCCCGCATTAATTCCAAGGTCTTTACTCCCGTGCCACGCCGTCATGACTAAATAATGGCTATGCCTATTGAGTAATGTTCTGCAGGACACGGCGGCGCGGCGACCGATAAAGGAAAAGCAAGACCAAGACCCACGGCCCCTCTGGACCCGAACTACGCGAGAGGGCCCAGAGAAAGCCGCGCGCGGCAGGCCGGGCACGGCCCGCCCGGCTGTCACAACGGTGCCCATAGCATGGGCGCGCACATGGGGTGGATGCCCGGGCCGAGGCCCACTGCCGCCCAACTTTTGGCGGGCCCCACCCCTGCTCTTTTTGCCAGTCTTCTCATTAGGGCGGCGGCATGCAGCTTCTCTGCTCCATCCTTCCTCGGGCCCTCGCCGGCAGTTCGGCCGCCGAGCTGGTTTGCCTGCGTGGGTGCGTGCCCACCGCCATTGCGACCGACCGGGCGAAGTCAGTCAGTCCAGTGGGCAAAATAAGTGGCGCCACCCTTCCTGCGGGCCCCTTCGCCCACGCACGCCTGTCCTGGGGCCGGCCCCTTTTTCGTGCCCGCCCGCGCGGGCGGGGCGCGCCACGCAGGCAGTTTCTGGCTAGGGCGCGGGCGGTACACCCGCACGCCGAGTGCGTGGGACACACGCACGGGCCGGGCAATACAAGGAGCGAAGGCCCGGGGCCCCCGGCGAAATGGACGGGCGCGCGCCGGGGCGGACGGAGGCGGGCCAACAGGCCGCCTGGCTGCCCCGAAGCACAAGGCCGGCCAAAAGACTGCCATGGGGCGGCGCGGAGGGCAGGGCAGAAGCGAAAGCCGCCGGGGCGGGCTCGGACGGCAAAGGGCAGACTGGCCCGCCTCCCTGGCCGCGCTCTGCGGCGCACCCTTTCCCCGGGGCGGGCCAACGCCTCCAATATGCGGGCGCGCCTCCCGTGCGGCGGGCCCGGGCAGACGCACCAACGCGGAGGCCGCAAGGCGGGCCCCCCCGTTCTTCTTTTTTCTGGAAAAACTGGAAAGAGCACGGCAGGGGCCTCCCGAATATCTCCCCGAAGCCTTCCCAAAATTTTCCAAAGCCAATAGAATGAAAAGCCAACGCAGAAAACACCCGGCGCCCCCTTGAAATACTTTCTTTCGGAAGCACTCACTGCGCTGGGCCGCGGCGGGCCAAAGCCGCCCGGAGCCATTCCGGACCCCATCCCCAGCGAGCATAGCTACAAAAGAAGCCCGCGCCTATGCCGGGGCGGGAATGGAACACCACCAGCCCCCCTAGCCCGCCCGAATGAAATAGCCGCCGGGGCCTTGGGGCGACCGCGGGCGGTCGCTCGGGTTGGGCCGGGCGCTGCGCACAAGGCCGCGGAGGCCAGAGAGACGCTTGCCGCTTGCGGCCGGCCGCAAGAAGCCTCCGGGCTTCGCGCGCAAAAGCCAGCGGGCGCCGGGCCCCCGGCGCGCGGCTGTTCTTTCACTCTGCAACAAAAAACCGGCGGGGGGGCCTGGCCCGGGCAACTTCTAACGACCCACCCAAAGGGCGGCGCGGCCCACCCGGGGTGGCGCAGGGGCCAAAGCCCGGGCCCAGTCAAAAGCTAGCGCAGGGGGGGCCTTAGCCCCCGCCCCCGAGTTGCTTCGCCCGCGATCGCCAAAGAGCCGCAATACCCTACAGCACCAACGGACGCACCCACTGGCGCCGCGGCAAGGTCAGCGGGAGGTATTTGCGTGCGCCCGCTGCCATCCTGGCTCCTGGGCCAAGTCGCCTCCCCGCCGGCCTGCCATTTTGCCCGGTCGCGGGCGACCTCACTCGCGGGACGGACCTCCCGAAGGCTGGCCTGCAAAAACCGCGCGGGGCCCCGCCTTGCCACAACGCCCCCGCCCCGCGCTGCTCTGCCAACATCGCGCGCGCGGGGCGCTGGTGACCCCAAAAGGGCCACCGACACAACAAAGGGAGCGGGCGCCCCTGGGCATGGCGAAAAGCGCAAGACCCACGAAGGGCAGCCCTTTCGGTGTTTGTACTTAGTGCCAGGCGGCTCCAAATAAAATTGGGCCCGGCGGCGCGCCACGCCGGAGTGTCTTCCCAATGCCAAACGCGACGCGAGCTGGGCAGCCGAGGACACGGCACGCACAAACGGCGCCCCGGCTGGCGGGCAACAGACACGCCAAGAGCTTGGGGCTTTGGAAACTTTTTGGAAAGTGGGTGGGGAACTTGCGCTACCTAACAGGGGTCGCCACTTGTGCGCCCCTTGCTCTGCGCCATGCTCTACGAACAGAGAGCGCGTCTGGATTCAGCTCCCGGGAGCGAAGTCCAGCCTTCCTCCCTCGGACCCAACTCCCGGCGAAAACTGCACGGCGGCGCGACTTTTGGCGCCTGAGTTTTATGGCTATGGCGCTCGCCTGCGTGGCAGCTTGCCAAAGTCAACGGCTGGCAAGCTGTAGCGCACAAATGAGGCTGAGGGGCCAAGGAAGTGCGAAGCTGTTGAAGTGGCTTTCTCAACTCTCAGTAGCTTTATTCTCCTTCGTTTCTGCGTTACAAATGCAGAAATGAAGGACAAAAGAAACGCGAAGAGCTTTCTCCTGTCCTTCGTTTCTGCGTTACAAATTGCCATCATGATTGGCAAGCTGTAGCGCAGAAATGAAGGGCAAACTATTGAAGTGGCTACTCCAACTGTCCTCCATCGGAAGAAAGTTGAAAAAGTAGCCACTTCGATAACAACTGCATGACAAATTGCCACAGTAGTGGCAGTTGTTGAAATTGAACAACAACACAAACGCGCTCAAATTATAGCCACTGCAGCAAGAATTATCTGCGTCGTTGTTCAGTTTGCAACTTGTCATGCAGCTTTTGATGAAGTGGCCACTTCAACTCTCCACCAGAGTGTCGTGAGCAGCTGCGTGACACGTTGCAAACTGAAGCTGGACAACGACGCCAATTGTTGAAGTGGCTATGTCAACAATTTGCGTCGTGTGCGAACAAAAATTGTGAAAGTGGCCACTTCAACAATTCGGGTTCTGCGAATTGTTGAAGTGGCCACTTCAGCAATTCGGGTTGTGCAAAATGTTGAAATGGCCATTTCAACAAAACCCGAATTGCTGAAGTGGCCACTTCAACATTTTGCGCAATTATTTCAACAATTTGCACAACGCAAATTGTTGAAGTAGCCATTTCAACAATTTGCACAACCCAAATTGTTGAAGTGGCCACTTCAACAATTTGGGTTGTGCAAAGTGTTGAAGTGGCCACTTCACCAATTCGGGTTCTGCGAATTGTTGAAGTGGCCACTTCAACAATTCGGGTTCTGCGAATTGTTGAAGTGGCCATTTCAACAATTCGGGTTGCGCAAAATGTTGAAATGGCCATTTCAACAATTCGGGTTCTGCGAATTGTTGAAATGGCCATTTCAACAATTCGGGTTGTGCAAAATGTTGAAATGGCCATTTCAACAATTCGGGTTCTGCGAATTGTTGAAATAATTCGGGTCGTGCAAAATCTTGCAATGGCCATTTCAACAATTGCAATTCGGGTTTTGTTGAAGTGGCCACTTCAACACTTTGCACAGCCCGAATTTTTGAAATGGCCACTTCAACAATTCGCAGAACCCGAATTGTTGAAGTGGCCACTTTCACATTTTTTATTTTTGTTCAATTTCAATAAATTTTCACTATTGTGGCAATTTGTCATGCGCTTGCTATTCAAATGGCTACCTCAACTCTCCGCGAAGTTGAATTAGCCACTTCAACACAAGCTGCGTGACACGTTGCAAACCCAAGCCGAACAACAACAAGAACGCAAATTGTTGAAGTGACTACTTCAAAAATTTGCACAGCGCAAGTTTTTGAAATGGCAACTTCAACAGTTTGCCTGTGCGAATTGAAGTAGCCACTTCCATAACAACTGCATGGCAAGTTGTAAACCGAACAACAACGCAAACTGTTGAAGTGGCTACTTCAGCAATTTACTGCGTCGCTGTTCAATTTCGTTACGCAGTTGTTATTGGTATGGCTATCAGAAAGCTGAAGGGGCCTTGGCCCGAAAGTTCGCCATGCCATCGGTGAACACATTTTGAAAAAATGCCCGATGCTTTTTCTATATAGACGCGAACGCTCCTCCCTGGTCCTCCCTGGTCCTCCAGGGTCCTCCCTACTCCCTGTCTATAAATTTCTCTGTTCTAGAACCCACGCGATGTGACCGCCTCCATCTCGGCGTGGTCGTCGAAGAGATTCTCATAGTATGCACTGCTCACAATCGGCGTTTCGTCCAAGTACTCCTCTCTCGCTTCTTTCGCCACGAACTGCAGATACTCAAAGTCGCCGTCTCTCTCCAAACTGGCCTTCGGCGGTTTCTGCTTTGTGACCTGCTCAAACGTTACAATCTCAACCGCTCCAATATTGGAGTCTGGATTTTGTATTTTTGCATGATGAGCATGACAGACTCAGACAGTATTCCACTTTTTGCGATACAAATTTCGCCAGATCTGATTGTAGCGCGGTTTGGGCCTCCGAAATTTGTGATGCGCAATCCTATGAGAGTTGGCTAGATATTCATCATTAATGCACTCCTTGCATCACAGATTTCCATATTCTACTGTAACCTTTGACGTTGTAACAGCTGAGCAGGTTATATGCTTCTTCTGATGTTTCTTGTCCTTCTTAGAAGAAGTCGGAGAGGACTTCGAAACACTAGATGCACTTCCCATGGTCCCCGCCGGCGCCGCGCTGCCTGGGCTATTGTTTAGGGCCATGGAGGCTCGCACATTTTTTCCCAACTCCATCTGTGCCCCCGGGATCTCCACCTTGTTGTCGTCGTTTAGATCATAGATGTTGTTTTTGGTGAAGAAATCTCCGGTGCTCTCGGGCATTCGGTCGTAAAAGCTATCCCGGGTAGTTTCGGGGAGCACGTCCAGGAACTCGCTCATGTTTGCCGACAACAGCTGTTGACTCAGCAGCCGGTCGTTGGTTACGTTTTCCATGGTTTATGAACTGCAAAAGTAGAAGTATCGCACTCGTATAAATTTAAATGCATTACAAATTTCCTCAGCATGACATAATGCCGATTTACCTGTAACAAAAGGCTTTGCAATGCATGATTGCAATACGAGTAAGATATTTATACACAGGATATGGTTTTCTGCGCCGCAAACGCCTCCTCCTGTCGCCGGCGGAAGCTGGGCCACGAACTCATCGGCATCGACTGGTTCTTTTGCGTTCCCGCGGCCGCTTGGGACGACGAGAGGGGATAGTAGAACGACGCGTTCATCTCCCCGATAGTTGTAGTACCCTCCCCCGCCGCGAAGGCGTACCTTTCTGCCGCGCTGCTCGCCGGAGCGGCAGAAAGGTACGAACTTCTGCCCGTCAAAATTCGCGAAGTGGACGCAATCCGCTGCACACCGGCACCAACGTTGGAAGTTGTTCCTCCGCTTGATGATGTGCTCTTTTTTTGCACCGTTAAGTTGAACTTCCAATTCGCGCTCGCGGAGGAAGCGGAGGTAGTTTTCTGCTGCTGCTGTAACTTTGAATTTGATCGTTCCACCGAGGCCGAATTTACAGAGGAATTCTTGCTACCAGAACTCCTGCGCACGACAAACCTCGGGTCGCTGGCCTCCAGAATCACGTCGCCGTTTGAGTTGGTGGTAATGTCAACACGGTCGTAAAGCTCGTTCTGTTTCCGAGAATAGGAGCTGCTGCTCGACGACGAGCTGCCGGACCTTGCTTTATTTCACACGGAATAAATTTACTAGCATACAAAAACAAATCGAGTCGATTTGTGTTGACCCATGAACCTGCCTGGATACACAAATAAATCTGGCACACACAAAAACTACACGACAGAATGCCACTTCTTGCGACATGCAGAAGAAACTACCCTCGTTCGGTGTTCAGTCCTCCATATGATATGATCGTCTTTGCATAATCGTATCAATTTGTACGTTGTGGTACAAGAAATTATGCTAGAAAAGTTTTTCCGGTGCGATATTGCTCGCTCCGCAGTCAAGTCTACCGGTCCCGTCCTGCTATTCCGACTGGTGCGGTACACCCAGGAACTACTGCTTCGGCGTTGCTTTTCGTTGACGACCAAGTGGTAGTGAAACCCCAACAGCACCATAATAATGACCGGAATGAGAAATTTGTCGAGGTACGCACAGTCGTTCAAATGCGCCAGAGTGTCTGGGTTCCAGGAGCACTGCGTCACCAGGTAGGCTATCCCGTATGCATTGCAAACATGTGGTCTGGGTCTGGAAGCGAGCGAACTCGTGATGCGTGTTGCGGGTCACACAAAAATCTGTCTTGACAATATTGCAAAAGATGCCTACTTCTGACCATGCTGGTGAGAGCTGATTCTGCATGCAGAAGAGGCACTACTAAGTGGCTGCAGAACGTGTGACGCTAAGCCCTGCATTCCATTGCAGATTGGAAAAATTGCACGACAAATCTCGAGATCTTCCCGACCCAGATAGATTTGCGATGCATATCTCGGCGAACAAAGCAATCACGTGCCAGGCGGGAACCTGGTACTTTTCCAAGCACACGCGCTCGAACAGCAAACCTGAGAAATAAAAAAAAATTCGGATGGAAACTAATACACGGGTCTGCAATGTAGTTGTGACAGTAACTGCCTGGGCTAGCACACGCATTCGAACTACACGCAGAAGCTGTAGCTAAGATCTACCAGCCAATGGCATCAAAATTTATACCGAAGAAAATCGGAAGAAAGAATAAGAAAGCAGTTATCCAAAACCCTACTTGTAATCATCCCCGCAGTGACGAAGCAGCAGAAGAGCAAAACGCACACCCTGGGCATGTCCTCGTTCTGCACCGACCTGACGCGCGGACTATTTTGGTTGCCTTCGGTTTGCAGACACGGCGTAATAAGCGTGAAGAAGCCGAGATAAAACGCGTTCGCATTCTGCTGCAGCATCAACCGGATGTTGACCAACAGCTCCACAATTTTCGTCACGCCAAAAAAGATCAGGCTGGCCTCGACAATGCACAGGGCGGAAATATGACAGCCGCAAAAAGTCGAAGCACTACTCGTACTTCCGCGGAGTACTAAGTGGAAGTTTCTAGGAATTGGGAAAATTCAAAAAAATTCCCACCCCTTCGAATTTTCTTCCGGCTGCAGAAGCTCTCCCTCGCGGTGTTCGGCTTGCCTGGCGCGCCTACATTTGTTTGCTGCCTTTGAAAATGGAAACAGCAAAAGACTGCTTCAGACCTGAGACGTATCGCCACGCAGTGAGATCATCACTGCAGGCAGGTACTTTTTCAGGTCCCTAACCTCGATCGCCTGCTTGTTATCAGCGGAGGCTCCGCACACACACAAAATCGCTCTGCATTTGAATACGCAGCGACGTCCTCTGCGGGGGCATCACAGTCAAAGCACTGCACTACGGCCACACGTCGTTGAGGTATCTGGGCTCACTCTACCGATCACCAGCCCGCCGAAAATCTGCGGGCTGAGGTTGCCAAACTGGTGCTGCAGCTTTGGAAGGGGCCAATGGGGTCGGGCGCGTGGCCTACCCGGCGCGAGGAGGTGCGGAAACATTTGGCCGGGAAGGGGAAGGATGACCCCGGCGCCTTCAGGCCAAAAGCGCCACCGTGCCACCGCGATTCAATTTCTTAGGAAAATTTTTTCGAACCGGCGCAATTTGGCATCTTGGGGCCACCCACCCGCCCCAGCAGTCTGCCCTGTGTCCAGGTGCCCTATCTGTGTGGGAATTGTGCGGCGAACTGGTGGGCGGTGCAGTAAGCCCAAATACCGCAAAGGCCTGCGACTTCGGTGTGTGTCGTTGACTTCGATGCGCCCGTAGGAGTCGCTGCGTTTTTATGAATCGGGAACGATTTGCGTGCGTGTGTGGAGCCTCCGGCGGTGACAGGTTCGCGATCGAGGTAAGTGCGACCTGAGACGCGCCGTCTTGTTTTGATGCTTTTGGAGAGTGGTAGCGCGTGCGATGTCTACGACAGCCTTTTCCTCTTTCCATTTCGCAGTACAACAAACAAATGCTGGCTCGCCACGCCAGCTATACACCGCTACGAGGAGCCGCCGCAGCCGGGGGAGGGTTCGCAGGGAAGACAATTTTTTCAAATTTTCCCAATTCCTAGAAACTTCCACTTAGTAGTCGAAGCACTACTCGTACTTCCGCGGACTGACTTCCGAAGTAGATCACCCTGCTGCTCATCCGCACTGTCAGTGTAGTAGTTTTTGGCTTTACTCGAGCCTGCTCCCGCGCCGGGGGGCAGAAGGGGCGACGATGAATTCCGATTCCCAGCAGTCCTACCCTGCTGTGGATTCGTCGTCGCTTGTCGCAACAGCGGCGTTTGCTCACTTCGAGAACCTTGCTGTTCGTAGTTGATCTGGTCCTCCGCGAACCAGCCGTTGGAATTAAGTTTTTTCGAATTCATGATAGTGCAGCTCCAGAAAGTGGTTAATAGGAAAGAGCGAGTTCAATGTCGGAAATTTTGTTTGGTAAAAGGTAATTTTGGTTATCAAGTTGCATTCATGGGTAGGATGGAATAAAAGAGATAAAACACTCCAACATTCATCCAACGAAAAAAGGCAATTTTTCAAATGTAAATGCTCGCCGCAAAAAACAGGGATTACTAGCGTCTGGCGAGCAATAACGACCTAGATACCACACGCTACGCTACCCCCGTAGGGGAAGATACGCTACGAGACGAAATTACTTTATAGTGGCCTCTATTTGCTTGTGTGGACCTTCTCCTTGGTGTCTATGTACGATCGTGGTCCTCTTCCCCTCTGAATGGAGACAAACAAGAAGTTTTCAACATTCTACCCGACTGCGGGGCGAGTATTTTCAAGTACATCGGTCTCGTTGTGTTCTTGATCCACTTGGCAACAAGGGTGCATGATCTATTAGGATCCGGGAAACCAAAACCGAAAGCAACCGCGGTCCGATTGGACTGTTGGCTGCAGAAGGAGTTTCTTCATTCCTGTCGACAGACCGACACATGCCGCTGTACATGCCGCACGTGTTCCTTTTGCTTTTGCAGCAAACCGAAAGGTTGATAATAAAACAGGGCACAATACCGAACAATTCTTCGAAATCGAATCAAAGTCAAACCGATCCGTGATAGAAAATACTGCTACAACCAGACCGAGCGAGACGTGCGAATAAAAACCCCTCGCAGCTAGGTGTGGCTAGAAATCGCAACGGCCGATCTTTGTTCTATCGACAAAAATCGAATCTACAGCGAGTTGCGTAGTCAACATCGAGTCGATATTTTTTGTGTTGTTCTTCATACCGCTGAACACTTTTAATATCTTGCCACACTGCACGAGCAAGTACACATTTAGTCTGCTCCTCAAGGAAGTAGAGATCATGCGACCTTTGTTTTTGGTTCCGTCACGAGCATGCAGGTGAGCTCGGAAAGTTGTATTTGTGCGCGGTATTCTTTTTAAAGCGAGTACTTACTGAAGTTCCAGCACACGACGGCATCAAACAACCGTGACCATGCCCAAGCAGTCCGCCGCTCGCAAAACCTGCCGTCGCCTGCTCGCCGAGAAGAGCGCACCTTGAGGGAACGAAGTAGTACGAGTTCACAGTATTGTCATCGACCCCTGCGTCCAGCTTCGGAACTCTTCTTGGCTGATGATATCATCGTGCCGCACCCGAAAACTCAATGCGCGGGAAATGTAGTGCAACTCTTCGGTCGAGAAAGTCAAGTCCGTCTGGGTATCGAAGAGCGGAGAAAGAAGCTTCAACTACTAGCATGTTACTATCGTGTGATAATTTTGAGTATGCATTCTGGTTGGTTTCCGAGATGAAACCAAAAACATGTCTCAGACGTGTATGGATTTCGTTTTCGCCTGATGAAGGCATTGCACACAGGATTGATTCGCCTGTCCTCTTGGCCTGGCTTCCTTCTGTATTTTGTTACGTACAACGCAAATAATCACAGAAGAACAGGCATGCTAGTCGCTGGTAAAGATGTGCATTTCTGCGCGATAAACATTCTGCTTTGCTAGCTCGTTGAATTCCTCGAGTGTCAAGCCCCTGCGGATGATTGATTTAAAGCATCATTCGCCTGTAAAGATGATCTAAAATTTTCACCCCCTGTGCCGCATGCTATTTTCACACACAGATTCAAACGCAAATCGCGACGGCGCGCTTGATGTTGATTTACTATTCATTCTACTCAGACCGGGTTTCTTGTGGTGGCGAAACTGCATCTGCAGCTGCAAAAACTTTTTATTCATATAGAAATACCTTGCCGGCACCATATCGAGTACTGCGTTAGCGCCCTTTGCGCAGATTGCTTTTCGCAGCTTTTCTAGTCGCATGGATTTCTGGACGCCGAAGTACACACTTACTCCGCCCAGGGCTCCCACGACGGCAGCCAGAACAAAGCCTATCATGGGATCGAGGCCGAGGTTGAAAAGGCTGGCCCAAATCATCGTGGCAAGGAATAGGTACCTGGGAGATAACGATAAGAGTCAGTAGTTGATAGTAAATTTCTAATGGATCAAGCTGCAGGGCGGCCTGCTACCTCTTTCTCGTCTACCAGGAGTTTCATTATGCACTATTAAAAATGCGTACTTAAGGCTTATTTCTAAAACCTACCCTCGTGACATATCGTGAACAAGAGAAAAATGTTCAGTCACGCAAATTGTACCATGCGCCCCTTCCGGTGAAACGTGTCATGAAAAGCAGGTATCGGAAAATTGCGAGGCGGATTTGGTTATGCAGCAAAAAAAAATGTCATGTCGTTCACGCGGCAATAGATTGCATGCAAAAACAAGTAGTAGTTTTTCAATTTCGTCCGCCATCCAACCATGCCTATACACAACTATCCCGCATTGAAAAGAATCCATTTACGATCTGCAAACTAACAGGAAGAGTACTCACTGACATGCAGTTCCTGTGAACGACACGGACGCTTTTCCAGTGCGCAATCGTGAAGTTGCGTGTTCTCGTAGGGCATGTCCAGAATAAGCATCAGCAAACCGAATATCAGAAGGTAGACCTAAATTGAAAACATAGCGACTTACGTACAGATACTTTATTCGTACTATTCGTATTCATCTATTTCTTGTTCTTCCGTATCTCCTGCATGACCAGCCGCCTCTGCTCATGAACCACAATTAATTTACCCCCACCACGCTCGCCCACTCGGGACCACATGGGAAGTGGGCCATACAACGGTGACGATGATGCGACGATCGAAGCAAACTAAATTATACAAACCTGGTTGCAGAAGCTGAAGGGTGATAGGAAGCTGCTGATGCCCCCAATTATTCCAAGTACGCCGCCTGCCGTGACGCAGCCCTGGACATTTGGTGTCAGTTATCGGTGCCTTCAATTACTATTTGCATTTCCTTTCTCTTCAAAGGAAAGAAACAGGCCTCGGCCTCCTATCTCTCATGCATGATAACCCATGAGGGCCGCAAGATCCAAAGCACTCTGATTCTGAATCCATTTTCCGTTCTGCTTTTTTATCGACAAGCGAAAGTGAGGCACACACTTTCTTCAATTTTTGCGAGTAGACGTTAATAAATAAACACATACCGCCCCGACGAAGAAGAGAAATTTCCACAGCCCGCCGAAATTTGAGGAGGCAAACGCGCCGATTTTTGCGCCGGCCTCGGTGGCCAGCAAAGCACCTTTCTCCGTGGATGCCATCGATTGGTTCTTATGCTTTTTCACCGAACTGAATCTATCGAAAGTTACTACGTAATATTAAAAAGTGTCCTCTACAGTCTCTGAATCCAGATGTTGTGTCGCCACGAAAGAACTGCACGGATTTTGTTTTTATGGTAAAACCAAACTACGCAAACTCCTTCGCTTCTTCCAACTTCTTGCTCTGCTCGTGCTCCTCTTTGATAGATGTAGAGCTAGCTCAACGCCTCATACAGGCGCCGTTACGCGCATCGGAAGTTCTAAAGTCGTTGACTACCATACCGCTCCGCTGACACTTGTTCTGAAGATGCTTTAGTGACGCCACTCCTTTGAATATGACTCTGACTGGACTCCACGCTTTTACACCTGTATAGATGAAAAAGATTTATTGCTTATGTCTCCTTTCTTGGTACTTAAGCGTCTGAAAAGTTGTACAAGCTTAGCTCTTGTCCACAGCAGCTCTGCATGTTGCGCCTCTGCTGCACTGAGTGTCTTTGCGAAACCCACCTTCCGTAACGTCGAACAACGAAATTCATTATCATTACTTAAATGTAGAAAAGCAACAGCTTCGTGGGCTGGAAGTCCAGAGATTTTTCACATAAAAACGACCGGTTCGGACACTGACATCGCGTCATCAATGGCGAGATGAGCTCTTTGTGGAAGTGAATTTCCAGCACATGATTTTTTCTTTCGTCCTCGTCCACTTTCTTCTATATTATCATTCTGCTTTCGTCCTACTACCGGTGCCGGTCAGCACTGCCGACGTCTTCTGTCTTTCACACGCTCGTCTTTCCAGATAGAAGCAAACAAAACAAATGACGTTCAAACAGTAGGTGGCGAAGCACACAATGCAGAATTCCTGCAACACAAACTTCAAAACCGAGGCGAGGTAGACCGTGAAGAGCAGGGACGCGATTCCCAGGTAGTAGTAGAGATCGATGGGAGAGGGCACGAAGTCAAAGGCAGCAATTTTTTTCCACTTTCTTCCAGCTGGGAACGTCAGGACGAGAATAAAATAGACCAGCCCGAAATACGGAAGGGTAAAATCGTATTTCCCGTGCCTCTCGACCAGCCGAATATGCACTGCAAACATGTCTCGGCTTGGAAGAGTGCACTCGTTCTTTGTCATGCATTTTTTCAATTACGCAGCTGGCATGGAATCATGCACACAGAATCAAGACAGAATGTTCGAGGACTTCATTCTCCATGCTCCTCCCTCCGAGTTCGCTCTTGAGGTGGCTAAAGTCAAGCTAAACTTTGGGAGCAGACGCAACAGAGATTTTTTTGCCTGAATCCGAGCACGCATCACGAATTCGGTTCTTTCCCGAGGACCTAGTTGCAGTGGATATCCAAAATGGCTCAGCAATCTAGCGTAGGAGGATTGAAACACCTTGCTGCAACTCGACCACTTATCCTACAGAAAAGTAAACCCATACCACGAAAAAACTATCTAGTAAATTTTCCATGCCAGTGGCGCATTTCGTGTGTCTTTCTAGTTGACGGTAACGGCCAGCATAGCAAACACACAGATGACCGAAAACCTTCTCATGCAGATGCAACCGCTTGCATCTTCCATTTTGCATGACAGAACCCAAGCCACGTGGCACATCACCATCTTTATTTTGTGAAAGAAACACTAACACAGCAGCACCTATCCAATTTTTTCTGTTATGGGTATACTTTCCCCCTTTAGGATACCCCTTGAGGAAGGAAAACAGACTTAGTATCGGCACTTGCGTCGTTTCGTCAGTGAAGTCACACGCGGCCTGGTACCCCGGGTTTTGTTCCAGCTGCTGTTCCACGTGCAGAGTGTAGAACTGGAGTAGAATACCGCAATATGCATTACAAATATGTCTGGATTTGAAAAGTTGTGACGCTAACTTGCGAATCCTAAGCAACCTTGAATAAGGGGGGGGGGGGGACGCGCATGACAAGTTTCTGAGCTACTAGGTCTTGCGTATACTGCGACTGCATGGGAAATTGAAACTGTAAGTGGAACTGCGTTTTCGCATTACAAAAACACAGTGCGGTAGCGTGACACGCATGACCGATCTTTTTTTCCTGTCAGCAAAGCATGACAAATCTTGCAATCTTCCAGACCCACACATATTTGCAATGGATACGAAACATCCGGAGAGAAAAACGACGGGAACGCGGAGGAGCATTCTATGGGTCTACTGGTAGACGGGTGGTATTTTTATTGAGCGCTAGTACTTACTGTTTAATAATAGACAAACTTTACTTCTGACACACACACGCTAGCATTTAGGAATAGGAAAGAGCAATAAAAGAAGTTTGCTCAGCATCGCAGTCCGTGCTTGACCCTATCACACGAACGCCTCCTCAGGTTACGTCACGCTGCATCGGGACCAACTACAGGCGCAAGAACTGAGAGCGCGCAACATACATAGGCAATGATCCTTTCCGCCACAAAAAGACCTGCAACCGAGGGCATCTTGTTTGAACAGCATGCGAGCGCCAGATTGACTAAGGTTGTTGATCTTACACGCTGCGGTGAGAAGAATAATCATGAAAAAAGTGCGGCGCACAACGAGACGAGTTACTTCTATTTCATGCAGCTGCCTTCTTCGGGCAGCCACCGTACTCCGCTCCTATGGTGCGTCGCGCGACTTTTTGAAAAAATGCCAATGTCTGACACGGTTTTGGTTCCGTTTACATGAAGAACAAGAGAGAAAGCTCCACATTTAAACTCAGTTTACTTTGTCCTGAGCATTGCTTGACTTCACCAAGACCAACACGAAAAAAAGCATCACGATCCTACTCGCTTTTCCTACCGAAACAGCACGGCCACTCGAGATTTAAGTAGCGCAAGGCATAGTCAACGACGTGCGACACTGACGCCAGGGCCTTCACCTTGACGGCGCCCGGCTATGCATTGCGAATATGTCTGGATCTGGAAGGGTGCAGACTTGTGATTCTTTCTGGCACTCACATACAAATCTGTCGCGCATGAGTAACAAAAGGTGGCCACTTCCGGCCGCGCTGAGTGCGGGTCTCTCATGCACAGAAGAGAATCGCAAAGCTCTCGCATGAGCTGTTGCGCTAGTCCCTGCATGGCAGACCTAGATCATTACAAGCATCTGCGATCTTTCAGAGGACCCAGACATATTTGCAGTGAATATGAAGCCCTTTCCTTGCTGTGTTCTGTCCAGATATCTTTCCCACGCACGGACGAGGTACTCTTCGTGCTCCCAAATATCACAAAGAAACCTTCCCAGCCGCCAAATTCAAAGCGAATAGTTTCTGATTGATATCACGTAGAGAACTTTGATGCATTCCTGCTCAGGATCATGCTGTCGCTCTGCCTGCTATAGTTCCTCTATGCATCACAAGAAAGTGCCTTGCAGCAATAATGCAATCCTCGCAAAAAATACGAGCACTCTACTCCTATTGAATATGAGGACGGTGGCTAATGTTCCCGCTACGATAGAGCAACCGCTCCAAATGCTCCCGGTCGGTGAGGTCCATTTCGCCAAGCCGAACGTGTAACCCATACTCTGCTTTATCCTGTGCAAAACATAACCCACCACAAGCCTGTCATGCATATTTGCATGTCCAGCACGGAGTGCCAATTGAAGGACTTTCCTGCTCGTGTCTAGAACAAATTTTCCATGCTACCATCGGAATAAGGAAGTGGATTCGTGGTGCGGCTTTCGTAGCCAAGCGCGACTAGTGCGTTGCATGTCGACATTCATCATGCAGAGTGAAAGCCTTCCCATCTTGGCTATGCGGTGGGTCTGTTTTTCCAAAGGATATTTCGGAAGGTCCCCCAAGCCTTCATGTCGCGCCCACCGCAAACGCATTTCTGGCGGCAGGAGTTCGCCTATCGTTTTGGTCCCGTCATACGCCCACTGCAGGAAGGCACTACTCGCGGCGTCTGCGTCGTGATGTTCCGCGTCGGCATAGCTCAAGGTCCACGCACGGCGTATCAAAGTTGAAACTCCCGCCACCGCGCCACCCTGAGGAGGAAACTTCTCACGCTGCAGTTGTGTACTTATACAAAGCAGGTTGCCATGTGTGTCAGAAGGCACGATGTACGGATTCTAGTTCTGTCAGGCATCGAAAAGCGCTGCAAATACAGCACGCAGGACAAGAATCCAACCCTACATTGCCCGGAATAGCATGAAAAGTCGCTCGCTAAAAAGGCCTCTACCGTGTCTCTTTGCCGACTTCGTTTATCCATACAACGAGTCGACCTGTGTGCATGAGTAACGCATGAGAAGTGTCCCTTTGGCATTGGGTGGGGGGATTTTTCCTCACAATACGGCGCAAGTTGTAGAAGCAGCATGGACTGACCTCTGATATGGTAGTTGGATTGGTGGCGTTCCTGCTGGTATTCGTTCCATATGCATGTTAAAGTCACTCTGGGTTTCGGTGTCTGCAAAACTTATGCTCTGCCAGCAGGAATCTGTGCGTGGTAAGCTCTGTGCGTCATGCATGTTTTACAAGGACAATGTGGCGCGCCTTCAAGCTTGCAACGCCGTCACTACTCATGCTGAGCAGGCATTGCGTAGGAGCTGTTACTAGAGATTTCTTCATGCCTAGCTGTCTGTGTAATGGCGATGGCGTCTGCTCTCCATCCACCGAATAATTGCACTACACGACCCAGGCACACTGGTGACCATTGGTATCTCGATCACAATGACGATATTCAGGAGGGCCGGTGGCAATTCGTCTTTGGTCAAAACCGTATCCGAGCTGTATGAGGGAGCACAACTCCCCGTCGTTCTAGTAGCACGCCTACATCGTGTGTGCATGCAATGTTTATCTTGGCGAGACATTTTTCGGAGTAACGCTTGAGCAGCCAGTACTACTGTCCGTGTGTGAATTTATATATGCTATGCAGAAAGAACTCGCACGCATGACAGATTCATCTCCTGGCTCTGCTCAGACCCTTCAAACGAGCAGGGGGACCCGTGCACTCTCATATGTTGGTGTCCGCTTGCACAAATTCCTGTGCCGCCTGTTTGGACAAACGCGGCTCGAGTGACATCGTGGCATTGACGCGTCTGTCGAACTCTGTGCCGTCGTCCGCGCTGCCGTTTCTGGTTGGAGCCGCTGCAGCAGGCCCGCGCTCGGCATTCAAATTGTTTTTCACCACTTTGCTGGCGCGATCCTCCCCAGACTGGGCGAAAACCTGGGGTAAGTTGCAATGTGTTTCCAAAGAAGCCAGCCGCTGCCTCGGAAAATGAAATGACAATGATGAAACGAGGCAGGGGACGAGCGATTTGATGGTAGTAATACGTCTCAAAGAGCTACATGACAACGAATTGGTCCTACGGCACTAAGCATTGCTGTTACCCGCTCCACCTCGTCCTCCTGAAGAAAAATGCGCGGAGCATTCCCAAAGGTCCCGTCTTCGCTCTGCCCGCCTTCGTCCGGATCCGGGATGTCGGTTTCCTGCTCTTCCGCTCCGGCTGCTGTCGCTCGCTTTGCTGCTGTTACGCGCTTCTTAGCTTCTCTTGTCGACAACCTCACTGGGCTCGTACGCGCTTCAGTTGCGGCATCGTAGTCTACTGCGATATGTTGCTGCTGCTGGTTCTGCGACACCGCGTTCGCAACCGCACGTAGCGGGAGACCAAAAAGTAGCCCCGCGTAGAGGTCAAAGGATAACCGCGCCATCAGATTAGCGCGCACGAGAGGATTAGAACCGAGTCGCTCTTCCAGTTCGTGCTGTTGAGGTCATCTTCTTTGAGTGTAAGAACCACCTTGGTTTTCTGTTTCCGATCTTATGAAATATACCGGTAAGGAGCCAATGGCAAAAAAATGATTCTCCAGTGCTCTCTCAGCCTCATCTACCTGGTACATCGTCAATACGGAATTCACATAATTTTCAAGAAACTCAACGCCCCTTGCCTCAGGCACATGGACACCATCCTTCCCTAGTGCACTCTTTTACAGTGCCGGGAATTCAACCTCTGAAAGATTTATATTCTGCTGCGAAATGGGTACTTAGACATCAAGAAAGGTCACGAGAGCAAGCGAAACGGGCTGGAGAGAAGCGACCTGCAACTGTGCCACAAAGACGGAGGGTCAATCTCAACCCTCAACATCACTCCACTCCACTGGATAACTGCTAGCATGAATGCTTTGTCCTAACCACGACGAGACCCGAAAAACGAGAAAAGCATGAGAACAGCAGAGCATCGCTTGACCGTCAGGTTTTTTGCCGAGCTGAAATACCCGGAGTGGAGAAGCAGTTCGCCACCACGAAAAGGTTTGCTAATTTTCCTGCAGAAAGACATCGAAAAAGCTTCTCGACACAGCATTCAGAGTAGTTGATGTGGCAACAACTTGCGAGTGTCATCTTGCGAAATCATCGTTGTTACGAGATCAGCGCATTGCTTTACTTCTTCTTGGCCTCGAAGACCTTGGCCTCGACAGAGACCACCTTTCCCAACATAACCACACCGTTTCCGTCCATGAACGCGACGCGGGACAGACCCTCGCAGTTCTTGAAGGAATCAGCGACCAACGGCTGCTGCGGCTCGAAGGTGACCTGGGCCATCTCGTTGGACTTCAGGGAGTGCGGCTCCTCCATCTTCTTACCACCGGTCTCCTTACCCATCTTCCACTTCAACGCGGAGATACGGCAGGCGGCGCGGCCGCAGCGGACGAAGCCGATCGGGGAGTAGCCGACCTTAATCTCGTTCGGGATGTCCAAAACCTGTTTTTAGAATTTGCGTTACTCTTCATGTCGAACGTCGTCTCTATACATGCGATAGTTTTCGTGCATTACAGTAAAAGTCCCTCGAGTTGCAGAACGAAAAAACGCGATGGAGATGAAGTTTCAGCAGTACCTGGATCTGAGCGTCGAAAGCCTTGACGGCGGACAGGGTGGTGTCCTTCTTGTAGATCATGACATCACCACCACGCGGCATGTTCTGCTTGTCCAAGTTCTTCACGTTCATACCAACGTTGTCACCCGGCTTGGCCTCCGGCACAGCCTTGTGGTGCATTTCGATCTGGAAGACCTTTCCGGCGCACGCGTTGGCGGCGGTGTGGGTCGGCAAGAAGATGACTTCCTCGTTCGGCTTGACGATACCCTGTTCGACACGGCCAGCGAGCACATCACCGACACCCTTAATCTTGTAGATACCGGAGATCGGGAGGCGCATCGGAGCATCGATCGGACGTTCCGGCACACGGCACATGTTGTTCAAGCAGTCGTACAAGGTGTCGACGTGGATGGTCTCGGAGCCGACCTTGACGTCAGCACCTTTCCACCAGGCCATGTTGGTGGTCTTCTTGACCAAGTTGTCACCGCACCAACCGGAGATCGGCATGAACGGCACACCGCTCTCGACGAAGTCCTTCTTCCAGCCGACCTTGCCCAACATGTTGCGCATTTCGTTGGCAATTTCGTCATAACGGGCCTGCTTGTAACCAGCGGTTTCGCAGTCCATCTTGTTAATACCAATGATGATCTGCTTGACGCCCAACAAGTTGATCAAACGGGAGTGCTGACGGGTCTGGCCCTGGATCTCACCAGCCTTGTGGTTACCACGCTGGATAGCGGTGGTGAAGTTACCTGTTCGAAATAATTGATGATCGAAAATAAAACAGGCGCTTTCCAAAACACCAGCATACAAAGACTTTTGCTAAACGCAGAAAGCACTCAATCAAAAAACTCAAAATACCATCAGCCGGGACCATGATCATGGCAACATCAGCCTGGGAGGCTCCGGTGATCATGTTCTTGATGAAATCGCGGTGACCCGGGGCATCGATGATGGTGTAGTGCCACTTCTCGGTGAAGAATTCCTTGGTGGTGACGGAGATAGTTACACCACGCTCACGCTCCTCCTTCTGACGGTCCATGTAGAACGCGAACGCGAAGGAAGACTTACCCAGGCGGTCGGCCTCGGCCTTCAACTTCTCCAACTCACGCTCCGGGATACCACCCAACTCGAAGAGCAGGTGACCGGTGGTGGTGGACTTACCGGAGTCGACGTGACCGCAGATCACGATCGACAAGTGCTCCTTTCCGTCGGTCATTTTGAATGTGTGGAGTGTTCGATGTCAAACTTCTGCTTTCGCAGGAAATTATCCGTGTACCCTGCGTGAAATGAATTGAAAAATCAATTACTCTTGAATTGAGGCACGAACTAGAACCCTTTTCACAACGGAAGGGGCCAGCACTCAGCACTTCCAAATCAACCATACGTACCATCGATGTGATATTTTTACACAAGTTTTATGTTAATCCTCAAATAGTTGACAGTAGCGTAGATCCAAGTGTTACGAGGATCTCTGGGTTTAGATCCTCACTTTAGATCTGCATTTGGATCTTCATGACTTGGAGAGTAAGAACCTGGAAAGATCGGTCAGAATCGCACGAGGATCAGAGTTGTTTTCACGTGTCGGTGTTTCAGTTTCTGCAAATTTAAAGAAGCCAATCGTCCGGCAATTTCAGAATATTTCACCTGTGCGCACTCGAAGTCGACCCATGGAATGAGGCGAAGCCGTGCACCACAACAGAAACAGCGCCATATGCTAGTGGAAGACGCCGCATAAAGAGCGACCCGGCAGATCGAGGTGCCGCTTCTCGCCTTTTCGGCGTTATCTTTCGTTGTCAGTGAAGTACACTTCAACTCTGCTGTCAAGCATCGTAATTTCGGTTGTCTTTACCAAAGGTAAAAGCTGCTAGAACAGCTGCCGATCAGACGTTCTTGATGTGTAGTTGAGTTTAAGGTTTACATGTTTACTTCTTCTTGGCCTCAAAGACCTTAGCCTCGACAGAGACCACCTTTCCCAACATGACCACACCGTTTCCGTCCATGAACGCGACGCGGGAAAGACCCTCGCAGTTCTTGAAGGAATCGGCAACCAACGGCTGCTGCGGCTCGAAGGTGACCTGGGCCATCTCGTTGGACTTCAGGGAGTGCGGCTCCTCCATCTTCTTACCACCGGTCTCCTTTCCCATCTTCCACTTCAATGCGGAGATACGGCATGCGGCGCGGCCGCAGCGGACGAAGCCGATCGGGGAGTAGCCGACCTTGATCTCGTTCGGGATGTCCAAAACCTGTTTTTAAAATTTGCTTTACTCTTCATGTCAAAATTCGTTTCTATACATGCGACAGCTTCGTCGACGTGCATTGCAGTATCGATACCTCGAGTTACAAAACGTAAAGACGCGATGGAGAACAAGTCTTGAGCAGTACCTGGATCTGAGCGTCGAAGGCCTTAACGGCGGACAAGGTGGTGTCCTTCTTGTAGATCATGACATCACCACCACGCGGCATGTTCTGCTTGTCCAAGTTCTTCACGTTCATACCAACGTTGTCACCCGGCTTGGCCTCCGGCACAGCCTTGTGGTGCATTTCGATCTGGAAGACCTTTCCGGCGCACGCGTTGGCGGCGGTGTGGGTCGGCAAGAAGATGACTTCCTCGTTCGGCTTGACGATACCCTGTTCGACACGGCCAGCGAGCACATCACCGACACCCTTAATCTTGTAGATACCGGAGATCGGGAGGCGCATCGGAGCATCGATCGGACGTTCCGGCACACGGCACATGTTGTTCAAGCAGTCGTACAAGGTGTCGACGTGGATGGTCTCGGAGCCGACCTTGACGTCAGCACCCTTCCACCAGGCCATGTTGGTGGTCTTCTTGACCAAGTTGTCACCGCACCAACCGGAGATCGGCATGAACGGCACACCGCTCTCGACGAAGTCCTTCTTCCAGCCGACCTTGCCCAACATGTTGCGCATTTCGTTGGCAATTTCGTCATATCGTGTCTGCTTGTATCCTGCGGTTTCGCAGTCCATCTTGTTTATACCTATGATGATCTGCTTGACGCCCAACAAGTTGATCAAACGGGAGTGCTGACGGGTCTGGCCCTGGATCTCACCAGCTTTGTGGTTACCACGCTGGATAGCGGTGGTGAAGTTACCTGTTCGAATTTGGTGCTTGAAGATAAGGATAGCCTCCCGCTGAGTGAAAGTAGGCATACGCTTTCCAAGAAAACACTACCACAAATAGACTTGTTTGGCTTAGAATCACAAATACTTAATAGGAAAAAGTCAAAATACCATCAGCCGGAACCATGATCATGGCGACATCAGCCTGGGAGGCTCCGGTGATCATGTTCTTGATGAAGTCGCGGTGACCCGGGGCATCGATAATGGTGTAGTGCCACTTCTCCGTGAAGAATTCCTTGGTGGTGACGGAGATGGTGACACCACGCTCACGCTCCTCCTTCTGACGGTCCATGTAGAACGCGAACGCGAAGGAAGACTTACCCAGACGGTCGGCCTCGGCCTTCAGCTTCTCCAACTCACGCTCCGGGATACCACCCAACTCGAAGAGCAGGTGACCGGTGGTGGTGGACTTACCGGAGTCGACGTGACCGCAGATCACGATCGACAAATGCTCCTTACCGTCGGTCATTTTGATGTGTTGCGAAGTGTACTGTCACTGACTGTGAAACGCTCAACAAGTGAGACTTCCCTGTGAAGCAATACAATTGATTTCCAATTCATTTCCATCTTTTTTGCAGCAGACCAGAAATAGTTGCCAACTTGGATCTCCAGATCACTACGAGGATCTTCGAACTCTGCTTGTGATCGTATTCCGCAAGATCTTCCAGAACTCGCTACCTTCGGACCCGGCCGGGTTTAATTTTGCCGGCGAGGACCGGAATGTACCTACACCTAGAGGGATCTTTTGAGATGAAAATGTGACACCTTCGCCTTCCTCGCAGACTTCTTCATCAAATTTGACAAGATCAGTGGCAACCTCCTGCGGATCTTGTGGGAATTAATTTTGGCTCCCGAATGCGCCATGAGCAGAATTTTTCATAAATTAGTAGTTGACCCTTTGGTTCATATTTCCACCCTTTGCTTGTCGTGTGCGCAGCGGACGGCCACGAAGACCGCTGTCGGTTCTTTCTGCTGCCAGGTTTGTTGTATCTATTCGTATGATTCTGGTTTTTCCACTTTAAATTTCGCAGTTTTCTTCGGATCTTTTTCATTTGACAAACAGTGGCGGACCTAGCGCATCTCGATGCTTTACATTTGACAAAACAAACTACAAACATTTTTGCTCCTAGCGGAGAATCTACGACACCACCCGCTTGCTCCCTTTTACCAAAATCTGCCTTGGAATGAAAAAGCAAAACTACACATGATCGGGAAAACCCGCAATCGAGTGGTGTACATCTTTAGAAACAGCAAGACGGTAGGACAACGATCGTCGATTGCTTTCTGTCCCATGGGTTTTGCTTACACTCAGAAGTTTCGCAAGCCATACTACGTAACATTAACACGAATGCAAGTAGACGCACTTAAACAGGGAAATAACTCGAGTGAGTGTGACACACCTGATGCTTTCCCAAAACCTAGTGAAGTACTTCGAATCTAAATTCTCAAGCTACTTAGGGTTTGCTTGTTCCATACCCTTACCCCTGGAAGAAGTTTACAGAAGCAGAGTCGTGCACTACCCTCCTGCTTTTGACATTGCGTGTTTCACCGATACAAAAAAAAATCCAATAAGACTTTGCACAGTTCTAAATCAAAACCTGGCCGCTCAGCAGCATTGCGTTCAATTCATTGGAGTACAGTGTTGCAATGCACTGCTTTATCTCCACGTCGTCCAGCCGCTTATCCTGTGAAAAGACCTTCCCACTCACCAGCTTCTTTAACATGAAAACATTGCTCATGCGCATACGAAAAAATGACAGCGGTCTCAAAAATTGAATGAACAAGTCAGCGCATCATGAATAGCTCTGCATACCAATTGTCCCAACCGTCCTGCTATGTGGTCCACATTCGGTCGATAAGCTCGATGGTCGATCTCTGGGCAGTTACAACTTATGCGACATTCAGGCCACATCGCACTACCACGCGACCCCCTAGTACTAACTTCTTCTCGTGCACAAAGGGAGATGCAAAAACTCAGGTGGGAACTACAGATTGTTTTCTAACAGCATAGCGCTTCGTGTTCGCGTAGCACTGGTCGCGCCGGCGGATGCAGCACAGCTTGTTAGACGGTTGCGCCGTCGCAGACGGGCACTTCCCTTGGTCGTGCGTTAGGACGGTGGCCGCTTCCGCCGCGAGCGAAGTCCGTGCCGCGACGGGCAGCCGCAGGGCACCATGAATGTCTTCGTTCCCCTGGTAGTTGTACCACTTCGGGTTCTCTCTTCCCAGCACGTGTGCCAGCCACAGTCCCGACTTTGGTCCCTCCTGGTCAATCAGGGATGGCATGCATTCCGTGCAAAAATTATATCGTAATGGTCCTCGTGCTCCTTGTACAACAAATTCCTTATACAACATTTGCGCACGACAGGCTTTAACTTTATGAAGATCTGAATGCGTGTGATCGAAGACACGTTTTTCTTCTATTTTGGAGAGAAACTACTTAGCCATAGCATGCAGTTTGCACGAGTGCGATATCAATTTTCTTTTTGCAAGGCATAGCATGCAGAGCGAGGCAAACAGCGCTTTTTCCGCTCGTTGATTTTCCTCTTGCTGCTTCTCCGCCGCGTCCCTCTGCTTCCGCAAATTTTCACTCAGCTGTTCCTGTTTCTGTTCCAGCCTCTTCATCGCGACTTTCCGCTTGTGGTCTTTCGCTGAAAGTTCCTTGGGTCTACTTGAAGTCTTCTCGACGGGTACGGGTTCATCTAAATCTTTTTCCTCTGGACGAGCGGCTGCAGCAGATGAGGAAGCAGCGGCACGGCCCCCGGTATATTCGTCGCGCAAGGCCTCCTCCCCCTCTTCCTCGCCTTCTTCCGCCAAATTCTCCAATAGAGAACTCCGGGCAGTGGACTTCCGGCTGCTGTGCCGCTTGCGCATCGGAGGTTCCTCCTCAGACGCCAGCCCCGACGTTGCTGTTGCACTGTCTACCGGAAAAATGAGTTGAGCTTCGTCCTCTTCCTGCATGCCGAAGCGATTTTTCGTCACCCTCGACACGCTGCCAGAACTCCGGCTCTTCGCCACATAGGGAGTCAGGTCTTCTTCGTCTCCGCCTGCTTGTGTATCCCCCACCTGTTCCGACGCGCACGAAGTCCCGGTGGGGAGCCGGATTGACTTTCGGGCGAGGTCGTTGCCGCGCGGGCGGGTCGGCCGGCTGTCGTCTTCGGGAAAGTCTTCGCCGGTCAAAACCGAAACCGCGTCGAGCTCCGGCAAATCCAGCGGCGTTTTCGGAGACCCGGACATATCGTAAGGAAAAATTTATCCCCCCTCCCCATCTCGAAAAGCCAATTTGTGATACTGACCACATATCAGCTTTGTCTTGCGTACAAGGCAAACGGCGCCGATGTGGCGCATTGTACAGCGAGTCTGTCATGCCTTTTCGCCTTTTTCAGACATGTTTCTCGTGCTGTAGTGTTGCAAGCCGGATGCGTAGTACCCAAGTGGGCTTAGAATCTGCCGCCACGCTCGTGCTGCAATAGAAAGCTCATTTGTGTACACAAATCCAGCAACGCAAATTGTCTTGTGAATCTGGGGTGGTGGCTTTTTTCTTCACTTCGGTACGACACGCAGGACTGCTGCGACATCTTCAGCGCCGAGGTTGAGCGCGCCGTGTTAGAGCTGCCGCCGTTGTAGGGCGAACTGTGGTCAGAGCGGAGCGTGTTGGTCGACGCCGCAAGCTGCTGCAATCGGCTGTTGGAACTCCGGAGAGCGGCCTCCTGCGCCTGCAAATCTAGTAAAGACTTCCCCACCTGCGACTCCGCGTCCTTCTGCAGGTAGAGCTGCCGAAACCAATCGCTGTGCCGCTGCTGCCGAATCGAGAAGCTCTGGTGAAACTGCGCTGGTTTGTTTTCGTCGTACTGCACCCAGGTTCCGTCCGGGTGCCAGTACCCCCACGGCTTGTACATCCACGCCCCCACGTATGAAATTCAAAAATGTTGCCCCTTTTCTCGTTAAGTTAACGTTAAGTACCCGACCAGATCTACTTGTCTTGCGAATGCTGAGAAGCCTAAATACATCTGTGTAAGTGCCCGTTCTAATGCAAGACAAACCTAGGATTGCAATTGGCATTAGGATCTGTGACTTGAAGAAGCATCATTCAATACGATTGCATTACGTACTGGTGAGTAGGTCGCGAGCTGCTTCAGGTGGTTTCTTACGCGCAAAAGCTCCTCCTGTTGCGGCTGTGTCAACGGCACAGGGTGCTGCGGCGCGGGCAGCAGAAAGGGGTGCTGCGACGCCCCCGCGTAATTTGAAGATCCGGGCACGACGAGATGGTGACCCGCCGTGGTCGTCCCCGATGGTACCAATGCACTACTAGTAGATCCAGAACTTTCATTAGCTTGGAAAAAATTGGCCAGCTGCACTTTCACGCTCGGCGGCCCTGTCTGCTCCTGTCCACGAGTCGGATTGTTCGGATTTAATACTCCAGCCGCACAAGAACTCCCGGCCGTCAAAAGGCAGGGCAATTGCGGCTGCTCGCGATTGTAGTTCGAAGCCTTGCTACTTTGTTCGGCCGAAGATGAGAGAAATGCCTTCGCTCTGGTCAGTTCCTGACCATCCTGTTTTTGCTGCTGCGTCGCGGCAACGAAGTCTTGAAAGTTGGTAAACCCGGGAAGGAAGGGCTGTTGCTTCTGCATGGGCTGAAAGACCGGCGCGGATGACGACAAAGCTTGGCGAAAGCTGCTTGCGGGAGCAACCCTCCCGCCAGCTCCTGCGTCGGAGCTGGAACCGGCGTCGGAAGATGAAGCAGCTACGGGCGGCGGATGTTGGTAGTACAACAACCCTTCTTCATCCGGAGACCCTTCGTGTGCTTCTTGATCTTGTCCAATCTTACCCGTACCGCCGGATGAAGATGAAAAAAGCAGTCCGCGGCTGTCCCGGTGAAACAGGACGGATTTGCTGCTACCCCGCGGCGCCGACGGGGTGGGCTGAATTTGCAAATGCGCGGGGAATTCGTTACTTTCCAAAGCAAAGTCGCTGTCGTCAACACCTGCGATAGTACCACTACTTGCATCCTCCTCGAGTAGCCCCACTCGGGGCCGCATCAACCTGCTGCGGTCCTCACTTTCTTCTTGACCGTCCGATGGTGGCTGTGCTATATCGGGCACCACCATTTCGTCCATCATTGCGGCCGTTGTTCCAGAATTTCTTTCTGTCCTCGCCTGGTCTTGTTCCGGGGAGTCCTCCTGCACACCAAGAAGCCCTTGTTGCTGGTGCTGGTGCAGTTCCCAGGCGCTGGCTGGCATGAAGTTGTAATTCATTTCCCCCGCATGGTCTCCGTACATGGACGGTGTGCGCTGCGACCACGCCTGCGAGGGCGTTTTGATGCTCTCGTAACTCTTGCGCAGCTCCGACCGGGAGCGTGTGTTGGACCGCGCCTCGGAAAGCGTGTCCACGGACTTTTCCAGACTGGCCTGCAGCTTCGCCAGGTTCGCCGGGGTGAGCGGCGACCGGGGACGGATAACTGTTCCCTGCTGCTGGTGGCCCTCCTGCTCGTCTTGTTCACGACCCATGTCCACATCTGGTACTGCAGCGAGGGCTGAGGGCCTGTTGCTGGGGGAAGTCATGCGACCACTTGCGGATTGCAATATGCCATCGTTGCGATACTTTTTCGCCTCTTGACCCTCCGCCCCTTGCCGCGTCAACATATCGTCTCGCTGCTCAAGAGCGCCAGCCGGGTGAAACGCAGCAGCTCCCCCAGTTGGTCTTGACGCATCTGCTGCCTGCAGGGCATCACTTCCATGCTCTCCCTGATGGTGCGATCCCGTTTTTGACGATGATGACGCCGTCCCGGGGGCCTCCGCAAACTGGACCGCCTTCGCAGCGCTGCTTGTGCTTCCCCGCGCTTTCGGAAAATCAAACTGAAACTGGTGCATGTTGGCGATCCGCTTCGAATCTTCTTCGGGTTTTGTCGCTGGTCGCGCAACCGGTTCAAACTCGCTTAGGTCCTTGAGCTGCTGCCCACCCAGCGTGTGCAGCAAATGCAAATGCTGCTCTGCTGCTTGCTTCGCCGCGGCTGTCACGAGTGGCGGGTCATCGGACAAAGAGCTACGCTGCTGTTGCTGGCAATATGCACTTCGCAAAAGCTTCATTTCAGCAGTAATGATGCAAGAAGCTGCATCGAGGGCGATGCACCAAACTTCTCAGAGCTACCGTTTTAATGTTTCATTTCGATTGCAACATTGTTCTTGCAACCCAAGAACTTTTGCGCTTGATATTACGTGGTATGGCATACTAGGCTTGTAGTTCCCTTCAGGCGATCCAAACTGCGCCTGGTTCTGCTGATGAAAGGTTGCGTGCGCGCCAGCCGCTGGGTATGGGTGAGCTCCAGGCATCGGCACCCCAGTCGGAACCTGTTGGTACATCATTTGCGGCTGTTGCTGCTGGAACATAGCATTCGTCTGTCCCAGCGTATTGTAGCTGCCACTGCTGCTACCACCCCCAGCGGCGTTCTGAAAAGAACCGCCGAAGCCGGCGTTCCTGTTTTTCCGAGATAGCCCAGAATTCGTCGGCGAAGGGTAGGAGAACGGTTGCGCGCCGCGGTTATTTCCTGGGTACGGTGCTGCGGCTTGTAGAAAAGCATTAGAGCCATTTGTAGTTCCAATCAACCCGAGCTGATTCAACAGGTGCGAATTTTGATCGGGGTGGTTGTGCATCATCATGCTATTCTGATCCATGCTAAACTGAACAGGCTGCGGAGGTTGCCCTGCCACTACGGGGATGTGCAAGAGGGGCTGGCTTTGCAGCTGTTGGTGGAATAGCTGCTGTTGCTGCGCAGGAGGAAGCGGAGGCAGCAGACCATTTGCGGAAAGCATTGCGATCTGCTGTTGCATGTGCTGCTGTTGCATGTGCTGCTGCTGTTGCAGCGCCAGTGCCTGTTGCTGCATCACCTGCTGCTGCTGGACCGTCAGCGGCATCGGCATCACTCCGTTTTGCATCGCAAACTGCTGCTGGTGCGCCAGACCGAGCTGTTGTTGCAGCGCCTGCTGGTGCAATACCTGCTGCAGCATCACCTGCTGCTGAACCTGGTGCAGCTGCGTCGCTTGCCTCTGCTCTTGGTCGTACGGCTTGGTGGACTGCCGTTTGATATTACCGGTGGACGATGTACTCCCAGTCTTGTATGGCTCCTGTGAAGACCGGCTCCAAGTACCTTCTCGATCTTTTCGGCCAACATCGCCGGCAGCTGTTGCAATGCTCCCACCTCCGCCGCGTCCGCCCCGAGGGCGGCCGGAGGGACGGGAGGAGAGTAGGTCAGCAATATGTTGGTCGGGTCCCCCTGCGTGGTCTGCCGCCCTCGTTTCAAAACTGCCCGAAGAACTCGCAGCCCCTGCTGCTCTTTCGCCACCCTGACCGCCTGTGCCCTCTCTGCCGCCGCTCCCTGCCGCAGCCGACTGTCTCGACTCACTCGGGTGTTCACCATCGCGGGCCAACCGGTCGGTATTGCGCCACTCCCCGGGTGGAGGATTGGGGCTGGAGCGTGTTTTTGCCTTCATACTTCCGGCACTGCTGCGGCTCGGCCGCATCTTTTTCGCCTGAACCGTGAGCGACACGCGAGCATCGTAAGAACAGTGGGGACAATAAGTAGAAAGGCGCAGTGCGACGAGACGAAACAGTGAAACGAAGCCAGACATTTTTGTCTTTGTCTTTCGCGAGGACGGCATTTTTGTCGAGAGAATTCGCAATTTTTCTATCAGTCGCTGGCGACTCTAAATGCAGACTGCGCAGGTTTTTGCACGAAGAAAAACTTAAGACCCACCCCGCGAGGCCATCGCTTTTCGGCTGCTTCCATTACCCACCTTTTCTGTATCGCAGCTCGAACAAAAGTTATGCGGCCACGCCGCAATTTTGTGAACGCGACCACTTCCATTTGTGTCTAAGCGTAGCGCCGATCTTCCTTGTCGTTGCGACTTAGTATAGTAAGTACTTTGCCGACCACAGCGATTCAAATTGTTTAATGCGGTGCGGAGAAAGCATCGACTTTAAAGCCTACATGTCGCATCTCTATCTTACAACAGACCGCTACAGATTCTTCCTCTAAGAAGCTCAGGGCATTCGCAAGAGTACTTGCTCGAAATTATACATCAAGCCCTTTCCACCTTACGCGTTTATTCATATCTTGTACGTTTCAACGTTGGCTAGCATTTAAATTGTAATTGAAAAAACAAAAAGCAGATAGCGCGATGAAGTAAGCAGCATATACTTATAATCGCGGCGCTATCCAAATTTTTAGCGAGTTGCATTTTAATGGAAGTCAAGGTTTCTGAAACTCATTCTTCGATGTTCATTTTCCACTTGAAACCGGTGTTAAAGGTGTCAAACAAAACTGCAGTCGTGTAGTACCATCAGCCACGAAGAGTGGTTGTGAACAGCACGTTTTTATCAGCAAATTATTCAAATCAGTTCGCATAAAGATGGTCGATCAAGCGTAAAAAAACTTGGAGCTACTTCTGCCTCGACGAACAACTTCTAAGCAGATCAAGCCTAAATCAATCCTACATTACCGACCTGGATCTCCTGGATCTTTTCGGTGGTATCCCGCCGTGTATTCCGCCGTTGGAGCTTAAAATGTTGTGCGCTGCCTGTTGCAGCTGCGAAAACTGCTGGTCCGCCCGGGTCAGCAACCGAGGGGGTCGACTTCGGTTCGCGGCGGACGGGTCGAACTCCGGTACCAGGCCGCCCCCCTGCTGCGCGCCGCCTCGTCTTTCCGGCGAGTCTGTGAAAAAATCGTCCCGGAGCAACTTGTATCAACTGTAAAAATGTCTGGGTCTGGAAGAATTCATGTTTGTCATGCTTGTCTGGCATGACTCTTAAATCTGTCATGCACGTTACCCAAGAGCTCCGCTTTTCTGTGATGCAGAAGCGCAGTTTGTCATGCAGAATAGGCAACACCGAGGAGCTCAGAAACTTATCCATGCTGAGCCAGCATTTGTAGCCTCATCATGAGACGCCACCCAGCATCACAAGTTTCCAGACCCAGACACTTTTACATTTGATAACTTGCACTCGGCGTTAGTGAGCAAAGGTTTGGGCATCGGCGCAAACGCCCGCTTCTCGGCTGGGTGCGTGCTGTCGATCGCGTCCTTGAGCAAATGCAGTTGCATCCGCATATGCATTGCAAATATGTCTGGGTCTGGATGGATTCAACTTTGTGATGCGAGTTCTACATCATGACAAAATCTGTCATGCATGGTCAGCAAAAGGCCCCATTTCCTATTACAGAAAGGGGGCATTTCTCATGCGGATTAGGCATTGGGGTACCTGCTCGGAATCTGTGATGCTAGGGCTTGCATGCCAGACGATCTGAGCTAGGCAAAAACTGCATCACAAATGTCTGCACTCTTCCAGACCCAGACATATTTGCATTTGATACCGCACGTCCTGCAGCGATTTCGTTTTCGCGTTGATCTTCAAATACTTCGCCTGCGACCGGTTGGACACCCCAGTGCCGCTGAAAATCCGGTGCTCCAATAGCTTGGAGAAGGAGGAGGTCGACATGTGCCCCAAAATCGAGCTCGTATCTTCGGAATTCTTGTCTTGCTGAAATTGGTCTTGCGAAGCGGAGGACATCAAGGGTGGCGGAGAAGATGCCGTCGCGCCGCCCCCTGCTACTTCCGTTTTTGCCTTCTCGTCCATATTGGAAGAAGACTGCTGCTTCTCCACCACCAAACTCTCCTCTTTCCCCACTACCAGCGCGGTCAAACTGTCTTGCCGGTCTAGTTCGACCGGGGACTGCGCTCCGGCCGTCGCGGAGGAGCCGGAGGGGAGCTTGTCTTGCTGGGTCAGAAATACCTTGTCTGGAACCAGGATTGGAGATTGTTTGTTAGCGGGGTTGTTGATGTCTTCTACCGTAGAGGAATTCACGGTTTGTTCCCGCTCTAGTTTGCTGCTCGATCGGGAAGCTTGCTTCTTCGCGCTGGTGCTCATCACATTGTCCATTATTTGCTTGTACGGCGAATTTTCCTTGTCCATGTTCATTTCGTCTTTTAACCTCCGTGCCTGCCGCATGAAGTAAAGCGTTTTGGCCAGCGTGTGTGGCGGCGGCCAGATGGAGACGCCAAACTCCGTCGAGGTCGTCGGGACTGAATTGGAAGTAGAGGAGCTGAAAAATTGGCCACTGGAGCTCTGCACCGTGGAGGAGAGCGACATGTTCTGCTGCGGCTGCTGCTGAAACTGCGCGTAGCACTCCCCGGCCGTGGACCAAATTTTGCACACTTTCATCACGTCGATGGAAATCAGCGCCGGCGGGTTGTTCACGGATTCTAAGGATACAATCTCGTGGTTGTGCGCCTGCCAGGAAAACAGCTCGGAGGTCGGGTACTGCTGGGACAATTCAAAAGGCGAGTACCGTTTGTACTGGTTCTGCTGGTTCTGTTCGTCCTCATCCTCCTCCTCCTCCTTCTCTTTTTCCTGTTTCGCCAACACCGCGGCGCGCACGGACTCCGCGTGCTCGGTGCGCTGGTCTGGCACCGCGTCGATGAAGCTGGCCGGGTCGGCGCGCCGGTATTCCGTTTCGTAGTCGTCCTTTTTTCTCACGCTTTTCAGCATGTCCAGGCAGTGGATCGCGCCGTTCTTGTCGAACAAATAGCACAAGGTGTCGCTGGACGGGTAATCCTTCAGGTCAATGGTCGGCTCAAAAGCCGGGTCGTTAAGAAACGCGCTTTCCTTCTATCAGAATGAAAAATCCCCCCTCCCAATATCAAGACGAAATGTCTGATGCTGAATTTGGATACACAAATCAAGCTTGTGCTGCATTAGAGGAATACGCGCAGATCCTGAGCCTAGGCGGGAGCCTTTTGGTGTAGGCGCCTAGTATGGTAGACGGCTACCCTGTAGCCCTTCAGGCATTACAAATCGCCTGCATAACGTGGCGGACAGCCTGAGAGTGCCTTCTTGCAAGACAGACCCGATTTGCGGCGACAAATCTGCATCACAAATTTTCAGAAGGATGCGTCTTCAATATGGGGAGGGGAGATTTTTCCTTGCAATACCTTCTCGTTTTCGGAAAACGCGTTGTCCTCAGACTCGGCGTATCCCCTGCAAATATGTCTGGGTCTGAAAACCTGTGATGCCGATTTGCTGCTGATTGCAACGCTTGCCATGGCAGCCAAGCATGACAAGTTTTTGAAACGCTTTCTGATGTCTAGAACGCATTACAAATTGCGTTTTTGCATGACAAAGGAAGCTCTTCTGCTGCTCACGCAACACAGATTTTCCAGGAATGCAAGACACGCATGACAAGTTCCACTTTTCCAGACCCAGACATATTTGCATTCCATATGGTGGAAGAGGGCTGGTTGTTGCTATGTCCGTTATTGGTCATTCCCCCAGCTGCACCCACCACATCCGCGGATCCCGCACCGCTTTGGCCGCCGGAGGTATCGTTATTTCCGCTGTTTTCACCATTGTTTTTCCCGTTGATTTTGACGCCCTTCCGCAAAAACGCGTCCTCCAGTACTTCGGGCGTCAAGCAGTGCTCGGGCAGGGGAACGGAGGAGATGGTCATGTGGTTGAGACTATGCATTGCAAATATGTTGTCTGGGTCTGGAAGGTTGCAACTTGTGTTGCTGTCTTTGGATTCTAAAAAATTTGTATTGCATCAGCACCAAGGGGAGTAGATCCATGTGCTCCGCGGAGATGGAATGTGTCATATGGAATAGGCATGAGCCAGCGCTCTACAAATCTGTGATGCTAGACCATGCATTACAGGCATCATGGATCATGCAAAATACGCATGGCAAATCTTGCAATCTCCCAGACCCAGACATTTTTACATTTGATAGAGACACGCCGCGCCGTTCACCTTCGACATCCAATCGTCTTCGAACTGCGCCTTCAGCGTGACCGCCTCGATTTTCTGACTCGCGCGGTTCCGCTTGACCAGAAAGACCCGGCAGGTGGTCAGTTCCTGCTTCTCCAATTTGAAGTTCTGCTGTACTTGCCCAGGTCGGAGGTTCGAGCTGAGGGAGTTGTTCGTCGGAGAGAGTTGCGGACTTTCGAGGGTGTTCAAATCCTCATCCTCCTCAATATCGAAGTCTGAGTCGAACCCTAACTCCCGAAGAGCCTCCCGGTGGCTTTTCTTCTTCGGCTTGTTCAGCGAAAGCTGCTCCGGCACGACCATGAGATTGCTACTGTGGGTGTTAGCACCTCCGGTGTTTGTGCCGTTCAGCTTTTGATTCGTTCTTGGGCTCTGGTTTGTCGGACTCACGGCCGCACTGGGGGCGACGGAAGATTTGCGACTCCGGCTGATGTAGTTATTCCACGAGATTTTGAAATAACAAGCGAAGGTCGCAGTTGAGTGTCACATTTTCCAAACTCCTCATTGCGCGGAAACATCATCAAGAATCAATCAAGCATCACGATTTTTCCAACCCCTCACCAAGAGCATTCATACCTCGCCGAGCTCGCAGGTATTTCCACGGCGACTTTTCTCCACACCGTTTTCCTGGCGCAGGTCAGCACGAAGAAGAACTGGAACAGGGAGTTGAACGTGTTTACCTGCGCTACGCCATTGTCCTTCGCATCCGCTCCGTTCTCCTTGGAGTCCTCGTCTACCTTGACATTTACCACCGCGGCCTTCCGCAGACTGACCTCGTAGCTCCGTTCTTGCTCTTGCTCCGCGAGTAACTTTTTTTTCGCGATCCGCTCCGCGCGCCGGTACTTTTTGTCTTCGAAAACCCGTCTCTCCGCGTCTTGCAGGACGAACTGCGTGGCTTCGAACACTTTGACGAACAATCCAGCTTCGTCCGAGTAGAACTCGCCGAGTTTGAGGAAAGTGGGCAATTCAAACAGTTGTATCAACCCATTTATGCATTGCAAATATTTCTGGGTCCTCTGGACAAGTGCCAGGTTTGTCATGCATATTTCCCACCAGCCATGATGTCTGTGTTGCATGCCCTAGCGTCACAGATTCTGCGAGGTGGGCTTTCTAATGCTCATACCGCATGAGACATGCCCTTTCCGCGTAGCAAAAACTGGATCTCTTTTACTGTTCGTGCAAGCCAGATTTTATGTAGAGTCCGAAGGTCGCATGACAAGTTGCATCCTTCCAGGCCCAGACATAGTTGCATTGGATACCATTCTCGTGGTAGCAAGTCAGCATGTCTTCGGACAGGTGAAGTCCTAGAATTTTCGCGGGTTTCTTCGACGCATCCCCACCGGTTGTAGTACCCCCTTTATTGCCTCCTGCGCTGTTGAACCCGCCCGTGGACGACGACCCGTAACTGTTGTGAAAATGCGAGGGGGAGCCGGAACCCGAGGCCGGGGTGGCAGACCCGGATTTTTGCAATAGTTGTCGTGCGATCATCGCCGGATCTGTCCCGATTTCGGGCAGGGTTCCGTAGGGTTTGTTCAACAAATTTCGCATGTCCACGGCCTTGGTCTTGTTGCCCGTTGTAGTTCCTGACATGGACGAGTGCGAGGTCCCCTGGCTCCCGGCGGAAACTAACGATCTTCGTTCTTGCTCGCTGTTGTTTTTCAAAATACTCGTCCTTCCGGCTTCTTGGCTTATTCCTGATGTTCTACTCGCGCCGGCCACGACCGCATTTTTGCTACTTCCCCTCTTTGACGATGATCTGGAACCACTTCGCCGGGGTCCAGATTCTCGTCGGTCCCCTCGCGGACTTCTGCTCTTGTCGTCCGGATTGGTGACTATTTTCTGGTACGGAATCGCGTAGTCCAAGTCTAAACTCGTCAAGTCGAAGACGAACAGAGTCCCCTCCTTCGAGCCGACGAGCAGTTTATCCCCGGGCCTCGGCTTACCGACGGTTTTTGTCCCGACTCCCCCTTCCTTCGTGTCGAAAAAGCCGCACGCCTCGTCCTTGGAGTTCGCGGCGGGTTTCTTCTTGTTTATCCCGGCGAGTAAACCGGATGCCTCCGCGGCGATGGTTTCCTGTAAAGTGAGGTGCGCCGCGTCTTCGGATTCCAACCGTTTTCGCACTGCGATTTGCAGCGACGTGATGCCGGTACAGAGCCCGTCGGCCAGATTGATCCTTGTGTTGGAGGCCGCTGTTGCAACTTGTGTTGTCGTCGAAGAAGTGGCCTTACTACTGTCGTGATTATTCCTCGGTGACATGGAACCCCTTCTAGAAGAACTCGATGCAGCTCCCGCCTGCTGCTGTCCCCCGGAGGACGGTTGCAACGCTGGGGTGGAGTTCACCGACTCCACTTCCATCGAAGAATTTATCAAATGCAAATATGTCTGGGTCTGGAAACTTGTGATGCAAGCCAGGGAACACTGGGCGCACTGACGTATATGGCCAAGCATGACAAGTTTTGCGACTGCTATGTGTCGTGTATTCCGCATGGCAGACTGCGCCTTTGCATAACAGACAAAGCGATCCTGTTGCGCCTACGTTCGTTCGTTGTGGGTCGGCTCTGCCGACCGGGTAACCCAACGCCTTGCATACAAATGACCGACTTGGGCGAACCCCGTTGCGGGACATACAAAATGGCCGCACGGAAGGGCCCTAGGCGCTACATACATAGTTCACCCTAAGCGCCTACCACTTCGGTCTCGGACCTCGTCTACCATGACAGACAAGCATGACAGAGCTCCGAGTGCACCTACGCATGACAGAGCTCCGAGTCATGCCAGACAAGCATGACAAATCTGAAAATCTTCCAGACCCAGACACTTTTGCAATCCTTAGAATTCAGCCTTGAGCTATTCAACAAACTGGACGACCCAAGAACTGACCCGGAGTTGTGGTGCTGTCCCGAAGATCTTTGCAACTGCGCCCGCGCTTCCAAATTCATTTTTTCCGCCCACTCCTCCCCATTCTTGCCCGAAATCGCCCAACCGGACTGCTCGGATAGCGGGGACTTCGGCATCGGCCGGTCAAAGTCCGACAGCCTTCGCGACCGAAACGGCTGCCGTCGCGGCGGGCTCATGGAGGATCGCGATCGGCTGTTGGTCAACATCTTCGACAAGTCGATCGGCGCAGTAGTTGCAGAGGACGTAGAGGCTTGATGCTTCATGTTCTTAGTACTGTCGGACGATGAAAATGGTAACTCATGCGAGGCTCCTTCTTGCTCCTTATCCGACGACCCGCCCTGTTCGGACAACACGGGTAAGAAGTCGCTCATCACCGAGCTTCTCCTCCTCTGCTTTTTCAGCTCCCTTCGGCAGTCCCGGGCGTATTTCACGGGTTCGACCGGGACCACAAACTGGTTCGGGTCTTTCGTGTCGAACAATTCCTCCAGCTCGTACTTCCGCTCTTCCCAGGTCTTTGGCGGTTTTTCCGGCTCGCAGTCCGGCGGGTTGATTTCAAACGCGCCGAGCTGCTGTTTTCTTTCGCCAATACCCGAGTATTTCCGCACTACGTAGCCGTTGTTCGGTCGGAGAAAAAGCAACCTCCCGGTGTTCGTCCCCACGATGAGCAGTGGGTGGTCTTTGCACAGGGTCACTGCCGTGATCACCGTGTTTTGCTCCGCAAAGTCATCCGAAAGATCAAACAGCGTGTCCAGATGCAGCGGGTTGTGCCGGGAGTGCCGGAAAATCGTTTTCTTCGTGGCGGAAAAAAGGACGCCGGACCTGATATGGTAAATACAGAGCGAAATTTATTGTTTCATCAAATTTTTGCGTGTGTCAGTCAAAAAATCACTCATCAAACAGCACCTATAGATGATGAGTAGAAATTTTAAGAACCCGATCATATTTGTACCTCGCGCTTAACTGTAGACTGAGCGGGATCGCTGTGTCGTCTAGAAGATTTGCGTCCACCACTCCGCCCAAACTGCTACCCCCTCGCTGCGCGAAACCCGAGCTTCCGGTTGTACTAGCCGCTAGTACCGCTTGGCTCTGATGCTGTGCTTGCGCGACGAGGGCGCCGCCACTTGCCTCCCCCTCGTTGTCCGCATCGACTTCGTTGAACAGCTCTACGTCCGCCACACCGTTCGAGGCGAAGTACGTGACTCGGTCGCCCACCACCCACAGCCGCAACCTGCTGTAGTAGGTGCATACCAGTTGCTTGTCGACGGACCCGGACCCGGAAAACACCATCGGGCCGCCGAACTCCTGGAGAGCCAGGAACTCCCGCGCGTCCCACATGATGCAGAAAAATTTCTCGTCGATGGAGAACAGCGCGTTCTCGAAGTACTTTACCTTGGTCACGGGATACTCGTGGTGCGACAGCTTCGTACGCAGCCCGCGGAAAATCCCTTTCTCCAAGTTCCACACCGGAATCGTCTTCTCGCCGCTGTAGCAGCTCGCCAGCAGACCGAGCTTCTCGTCGGAGTATTGAGAGGAAAAATCCATCCACCCCATATCGAAAAGGTATGTTTCTGAAAATTTGCGTTGCTGATTTGCGGCCACAAATCGCGCCTGTCTTGCACGCAGGCAACTCCACAGGCTCCGCCGCATTATGCAGGCGCTCTGTGATGCTGGTGGGCCTACGGCAAAGACGTTCCTCATGCTAAGCGCCTCAGCCAAAACCTCTCCAGTTCGGCTTGGTATGGGCTGCAGTCCTCTCCAGCAAGAGAAACCTGATTTGTGTACGGAAATCCAGCATCAGAAACTTCGTGTCGATATGGGGAGGGGGGATTTTCCTTTTGATACGGAGAGGGACAAGTTTAAGCAAGCCGCTTTCTCGTAGACGCCGGTATCCAGTTTCAAGTCCACCGCCATGGTCCGGCCGTCCCACATGCAGATGGCCCCGTCCCGACTCGCGGTGAGGAAAGCGAAGGAATTTTTGTAGTTTATTTCCACAAACGCGGTGATCTTCTGTCCCTTGTGGATCGTGTCGTTGATGAACCAGGGAAAGTGCTTTTTCCGCGGGTAGCTCTCCGGCGTCTCGCCGTCAAATTGGTAAAAGGTGAGCACGCCCAGTTGCGCGGTGGACAAGAGCAGAAAACTTGAGTGCTTGGACCCTTTGGACACGTTCCTGCTAAAGTAGATTTCGTCGTAGTCTTTGGGCAGTAAAAACTCCGCTTCTTGCGCGATCCGCGTGCTGATGCCCAACTGCTTGATCTCCTGCTGCAGCGCGTGCCCGGAGCCCCGGTAGAGTAGCGAGAACTGCGCGATGCGTCGGTTCGTGCACAGGATCGTCAGCAGAATTTTCGAGGGGTGGAAGGCGCAGTCTAGAATGTGAAATTTGTTCTGGTCCGTCATTTTGTGCACCAACTGCTTGCAGAAATGGGGGTCCGCGAACGCCTTATCCACTGCGTCGTTGTTCGCGGCGTTGCCGTGGAGTGGGATGGTCAATTGCTGCCCTTTTTGCATTTCTTTCTCGCCGGACATCAACGGCGGTGGCGACATTTGCAGCTCGGAAATGCTCGCCGAGCGGTAGACGCTGTTCCCCGGCTATCCAGGAAAAAAAGTGTGTAAGTGTAACTTTCTTTGAGAAACAGCATCACAAATTTACTCTACATGACAGAGAAAACCTGTCATGCGTGTGTTGTAAGGGAAAACACACATGAAAAGAGGACTTCGTGGCTGTCTGGCATGACACGCGTAACTGTGTTGCATGTTCTGCAACACAAATTTACACTTACACAGTTTTTTTCTTGCATACCGGCTGCTGCAAGGGTTCCTCGAGGAGCTTGGAGAACTCCTCCTTCCGCTGTTTATCGGTCATGGTTGCTACTGGGATGGGGTTCTTGTCTATCACACGAAAAAGGTGTTACAGTTACACTTACACATTTGTTCTCAATTTAGCAACACAAATTTCTGTGCACGAGAGAGAAAACTTGTACTGCAGAAATCCTACGGGAAAACACGTATGAAACAAGGCTTTTATGCATATCCGGCATGACGAAGCTTGTCTGTCTTGCTATGTCTGCAACACAATGTGTAACTGTAACACTTTTTTCTTGGGATATTTTCCTCAGCGAACATCTGCTTCAGTTCCGGAAGAATGACGTCATCTGAGTATTGTATTCGTGTATTGGGAACAAAATGAAATCATGCAAGACGCCAGTGCTTCGTTTCTGTTTCGGCCCTGCCATGGTGCTCGCCTAGTTGTGGAATTATCTAAAAGCAAAACAGTCTCTACTGGATAGTACTCGATTTATGACATCACAACTTCTATTCATTTCTAACCTTCCCCCACACTTGGTCTGGTTTTTTTCTCGAACTCCGGCTGTACATTTTTGATCACGTTGGACCGTGGGTGGTACAGGGACAACAGCTTCGCGTCCTTCTCTATTCGGAGCAGACAATCCAACTCCGGGAGGTACTTGACAATCCGCATGGGGTGCTCCTGCATGGGGCTCGCCTCCTCGCCGGTGCGCAGGTCCCGCGCCCGCCGCTTCTCAAACTCTGACAGGGGCTTCTTCAGTTCGTGCGGCATCAGCAGCCCGCCGGGTAAGTGCGCGACCATGTGGAGCTGCGGGTTGTTGTTCGATCCCTCCCCCGCATTCTTCTGCTTCTCCTGCTCACGGCAAATCGACGAAAGATTATTGGACAACACAGTAGAAGGATCAGCCGGCCCGATCGCGTTGCTGCTCGACACAATCAGCTCGGAGAACTCGCGCCACTGGATTTGCTGCCCCGAACGGGGTTGCAGGTCGTTGTAAAGAGCAACCTGACGATTTGCGCGTATGAAAATTTATTTTTCTACACCTACAGGACTTCTTGCCAAAAAAAAAAATTCAAATGCAAATCGTGTTCGCGAAAAAAAACATTATGCAGTATTAAATCGACATCAGGCGACTGCAAATCAACATATTACTAGCCCCGCCAAGAAGTCCAACACTCGCGTCCGGTCGTAGGCTCCGGCTTTCAACACCACAATCTTCAAAAATTCCGCCACCGAGACCCCGTTTGATTTAAACCCATTCTTCTCGTCTTTGCCGGACATGGCCTTCCGCACCACCTTCAGGCTCCGGTGGTCGAACTGCGGCAATATCACGGACAGCTCGCACGGATTGCATCCTGGCGTCGTCGTGAGGTTGGAGGAAGAGGAGTGCGAAAACACGTAGTTGCTCCAGCCGCCCGCGTGCGTAATCTCCCGGCCGTCCTGAAATCGCCGGTGCTCTAATTCGAGGAGGATATGGAAGCGTCAGGTTTGAAATCGACAAAGTTGAAATGAGTTTTCATGCATAAAATGTAAGGCATGAAATGCCTGTCGTGCCGGGATGGCAAGTGAGGCCGACTGTCAGCCTGTTTAGGGTTTGAAATAGACCTGCTAAACTAGCATGACAAAAGCACTCTTTTGTGCCCAAACAGCATGACAAATTGGATTCCGGTGCTCGAAAAATTTGTCATGCGCCGCTTGATAAGTGGGCTTCCGGTTCCGACTGGTATCGGTTTCATGCATGACAAATATATTTCAACTTTGTCGATTTCAAACCTGACGCTTCCATACAGGAGCCGGATCAAGTTCTTCCGCCGGGGTGCGGAGGAACTTGACGAGCTGTGCTTCACCATCTTCGCCGGCAGGAGGACCCGTTTCTGAGCACGACGTTCGAGTAGGCGCAGCTCCTGCAGCTGTCCTGTTTACTTCATAGGTTATTTTTCACGCACATGGTGGATCCTAGTCCTGCTCTTCTGCGCGACCGCATGATTTGCGCTCGCGTGTACTTCATCTAGCGGCTCGCGGAAGAACGTTTTTTGTTTCTGAAAGTTCAGAAACCAGAGTCGAACTACTTTCAGTAATTTTTCCAACTTAATATCCTGCGGCTTGCTTCGTCTCTCTCGTCATATTAGATACCGCATTTTTTTCATTGCACCTGATGCGCGGCAGCTCCTCTGCAACCCAGTCTGCAGGAACGTATGAGCATGAAGCGCACCTCTTCCTCCTTAGGACCGCGTCACCTTTGGTATAGAAAGAGTTGCCACTCACACAAGCTGCTGATCTGTTTCCAGAGAAAATCGCAGTGACGCCATCGGCTCACTTTGTGCAAGGTTTTCAGTGGTAGTTCCGGGTGATTCATTGCTTTGCTTCATAAGGTCCTTTGCATTCGCAATATACGACCGCGTCCTTGTTCATCTTCTAGACTCATTATCTGGATTCATTTATGTTTTTCTTTACCGGGCGGGCAAAGCACAGCTAGAGCACATGATTGTTCTTTTTCAGTTTCTGTCTTCCGGGATAGCAATAAACTTCCGCGATGTAGTTAGGGGAGTGCTATAGGAGATTTTGGTACATTTAAATAGGAAGTTCTAGTTCATCTACTGGTGTAGCGCTCTACGCTATAGTAATCTCCTTATGAAAGTCGAAGCGCAGCAAGTATATGCATCGTCTAAAAATTAGATACAGGATGCCTTCTATGCGTTTCCGTAGTTATTTTTGCGTAATGTATTCAAATCATAAATTCTGTCTGTCGCAAGACGAGAGAGACCCAAATGAACGGACGACCGACAGAGTTCACTCGTTCTCCCCACGTCTGTGCCGTGGTCCATTGCAATGTATTATAAACTTGTATTATCGGGTGTAAGTATTACAGTCTGGTGTTTCTTACTGTTGGAAAATTTTCGCCGGTTTCCGACCAAGAGTTGTTCTTTCGGACCAGGAGGAGCTCTTTGCTGAGTAAAGGAACCGCGTCAAGAACTACGCAAGAACTACTTCAGCGTCGCCTAGACCATCGGCTGGGCAATCACCTTAAAGTTATCCCTGCGCACCTGCTTCGCACTTCCGTCGAGCTCCAAACGGATTTCGTAGCGATCGCCGTCGCGGGACAGAATTACGGCGCGCTCCCCGTTCAGCGCGGCGGCGGTTTTCAAATTGCACAGTTCGATCCGCGTCCCTTTCGCGATGGGCTGGTTGATCTGGTTGTCCAGGGAACTAGGATCCTGCCCGCCCGGTTGTCCGTGCATACCCGGACTGTACGCGAGCTGCACGTTTTCGGCCTTCACTTTCTTGATAGTATCATCAGTGGAAAGCCGGATCTCATACCGCCGCCGCTCGTGGTCTACGGACAGCACCTGAAGAAATAATGGGATTTTTGCTTCAGTTGTGGTACGTCTTATAGATACGCATGGGAAATGCTGTCTCTTCTTGTGTCAAATTACTGACATCACAAATCCATTTCACCAAGTCCTTACCTCTGCCAGCTGCCCATTTAGCCATCCCGCGTTTCTGAGATTTATCAGCTCTACTACTGCGCCAACTGGTATTGTCAAATCTGGCTTCTCGACCTTGTACTGCACCGTGCTAGCGGGCCCGGCTTCCTGTTTTAGTGATTTATTGAGTTCTCGCAAGTTCCGTTCGATCGAAGTACACATGCGTCACAAATTCCAATAATGCATCACAAATTCCTTACCTCCAGCCGTAGAGCTAGTTCTTCCGGTATGTCCTCTCCTGGTCCTAGCGCGGCTAAAATGTATTCCGTGCAAAAACGTGCCCGCCGCAGACTTGTCAAGTAAAACTGCATGCTTAAAATGTTTCTCATGCGCAGCCCCGCAACGGGGAAAAGCGTTTCATTCTAGTGCTGTTTATCATGCGCAACAACCAAAACTATGTTGATTTGTCTAGCCGATTTCCCCTCTTGACTTTGCAGTGGCCACGTTTTTACACATGTGATAAAATATTATCCGGTTTCACTCGGAATAGTTGGCCGGTGTCCACGGCCCGCACCTCGTACCGCGCTGCGGATTTGGATTCGCCCATGTTTGGATTTGCGTCGGTGAAGTCGACCACCCGTCCCACGGTGCCATTTAATGAGCCGTGATTTCGGAGGCCGGCGATGACGTATCCTGTGTAAAAACGTCCCCACCCCAGAGTTGTCATGCAGATTTGCCATGACAGGAACATTTGTGATGCGCAACCCCATGACAGGCATTTTCAATCGTGTTTGGGAACTTGTAATGCTGTAAACAGGATCAGAAGGTCGATTTGTGATGCGGCTTTCCTTGCTAACTTGCACTACCTTACGGACTGAAACTTGTCATGCGTGACTCCTAAAACTCCTAGGTTTGTGTTGCAAAATCCCCATCTTGACTCTGGTGTGGGGATGTTTTTACTCAGGATATGACGACGCGCGTGTTTAGGGGAAGTAACCCCGGGGCGTAGGGAAACCCGTCGTTGAGAACATGGAGCAGGTGGTTCTCCTTCACTTTTACTATGGTCCCCGACTGGTCGAAGGTAACTTCGTACTTCGTCTTCTTGTCTTCGAACACCTGGAGTACGATTCATTTATCGTGCATCATCGTCCAAATTAGATGGTCAACAAGTTAAAAATCTGCATCTGCTTCTTGTTCGTAAAGGACTTCATCCGAAGCATCAGTAAGTAGAGGTGCACCGAATTCTTCTGAAGCAAAAATGATTTATACCTTCGTTATTGTTCCGATGCTGCCATTATACACCGCGTTGCTGCCACTGAACCCCACACATATCACCTTTGCAGCCTCCGGGAAGTGCTGCCGGCTACTGGATGAATTCCCGGCGGTGCCGGCGTTCGCGTCTACATTTGCTTCGCTCGTGTCTATCTGGTACAGGCGGCCGAGTAGTTGAATCAGGCTCTTCTCATGCTTTTTCTTCTGCAACAGGGTTTCTTCCTCGAGCAATGAGGTCACGAGCTGTTGAATGACTTGCAGGTTCCCGACTTCGTGCGCCGGAGGCAGATCCTTGTGGACCACTTCGGCCTGCTCCTGATTTCATTAGAATGACACATTTGGCATGAGAAGTTGCACTTGTTCTCACATCGCAGGAGCTGAGGTGGCTACTTCATCTTGACAAGCGCCAACATCAATCACATCTTCTTACTCCGTCCTCTGCAACGCACTCCAAGCCTATGCCCGGCGGATGGTACCGCAACAGTATCCTTTTTAGCTTCATTGCTGCGGAGGTAGTGATCCCTGTTGCTGAACTAGCAGTAGTTCACCTGTTCTGTCACCTACTTCGCGAGGTTCTTGGTCGCGGTCCAGGTCTTTCTTCATGCGTACATAATGTACTACCTCCGTCGTGCATTCTATGGGGTTCCTCTCGAGAAGATAGTGAAAAACTTTTCGTTAATCTTCAATCTGAATTATGAGCTACATCAGAGACGGTAAGAAATACACGGATGGAACTGGAAGCTGAAGAACATGTGCACATTTATGAAATAGGCGCTACTGAAACTGACCACATCGACAAGCATTTAAGAACTACAACTCCAGTGGTGGAACTCCTACGAAGAGGGACTCTACCACAAACTGCAACGACGGGGAGATTCCGCATCCTGCGAGGAAGTGCACAAATGCGGTTTTTTAGAAATCACTTGCACTGTGGTGCGCATGATGTTCTTCATTCTTCATGCTAATGAGAAATTTGCACTCGCAATTCCAAACTGGACAAGAAACCAGTGTCTATGCTTAAAGCTCGACAAAGCCACAAAGTCACGAACTTAACTGTGAGGTAGAACTTCGCAGTCGCGAGGGCTCTTACTCGGTCTTGTGCACTACAGTCTTGCAGAAAGATTCAAACTCAAAACATGGCTTTGCCACAAGAAAAACGTCCTCGGTCGTCTTTCCTCCCTCTCAACTCAGTGACATGCTTTTTCCGCGCATGTAGGTTAGAACAGGCTCAAGAAACTTCGTGTGCGAAATCGTATCTCCAGTGCGCATGTCGTACCAACAGACTCGTAGAGCCAATCGAAACAGTAAATTGCTTTTCGTATAATTGCCACGAAACTGGCTCAATTTTCAAATTCGTACAATTTTCCAGCTTTGTTCTGTCGTACAGAGAGCGCATAATGTTCACGCACTGTTTGGCATTTTACAATGGGTCGCGGTGTGGTTACAAATCCGCGAAGATTCATTTCATTTCCTCAAATCTTTTACATTTCGTTTTTCTACATAGGTGATGACTTCAATATCACAAGCAGAACCACTTCCACTAGCATCCCGTGCATTAGAATGAAGATCGCGTACAACAGCTTCAAAACTGCATCGTTTGGTCAGCCTCATGATCGATTACTGTTTGTACTGTTGCAGCACGCCGTGAATGCTTTTCAGGAAGTTCAGTGTTTCCTGCAAGAGCCGTTTGTTTTCCTTCATCAAGACCCTAAAAGTCCGCGGCTCTTTCTCCGGTGGTAGTTGTGGAGCTTCCTGATTATTATTTGGTTGTGGAATCCTCGCCTCTCGATCTATTTGCACCTCTTCCTCCTCCTCCTCTTCATCGCACTCCGCGATTTGGTGCAGCGCGTTCATCGACCCGCCCCCGCTGCTGCGCAACTTGGACGCCGGGCGGTTCAGGTTTCGGCTGGCGCCCGCGCCGGTACCCATCAGTCCGCCCCCACCGTCGCCGGCCGAGGAAAAGTTCGAGTAACTGTTCATCCTGGCGTAGTCGAAGGCCTTGTCGAGGTTCTTTTTCGTTTTCTCGTGCTTTTCCGCCACCTCCGCGAACAGGGACTCGTGGTCGGACAGCTCGGTGCGCAGCTGGTCGCGCTTCAGCCGGAGAAAAGACAGAACCTCGTCGTCGGTCGTCGGGTTTGCCACGTAGTCATCGTAGAAGGCCATTTTTTTCTGTTGCTGTAATTGGGTCACGCGATGAAAAGCGTCATATATCAGTTTGGGAGGGACTCGCTGGGAAATGAGAAAGGAAAGTGAGAAGAATCAGGCAGGGTGACGTTTTGGCATCGGTGAGCCCGTAGCGGCGATGGCGACGCCAGAATGCGTCTCGCCCAATCGAAGATAGAACTGCCGGCGTGGTAGAAGTGCCAGCGAACACTCAGCGAAACGACGAGAAGAGACGGCCTCGTCAACTCATCCCTCTGTCTTGGCTAGTAGGATTGATCATTTCCTTGCAGTAGGCGGCAGCCGTGCTTTAAGCGTGAGCGCCAAAAATTCTGCGGGCGCGCCGAGCCACCTACATACTGTGTGCCGGCCCGGTTCAATGCGGGGCGCGGGCGTGCCCGTGGCGCCCGCTGGCCTGCGGGCGGGGCGCCCCAAAGACCATCCACCGAATAATATAACGGGAACACACCCCGGGAAAGCGGGCCGGCGGGGCGCAGCGGGGTGCGCCGACCGCGAGGCGGGCCGCCCAAGCAAAAGCAGCGGCGGGCGACGGCGTTCCATTTCTTACCGGCCAAGCAAGGCCATCGAGGAGGGAGGGCGCGCCCGGTCATGCTCGCGGATGTCTTGAGCAAAAACGGCTCCCCGGTCTGGACGCGCGGCGCCAAGCTTCGTCGCGCCGCCCCCCCCCCCCCCCCCCCGCATTTTTCGGCTCGTCAGCGCCCCGGCCCACCCGCCGAGCACGGGGCGCGCCGGCTTTGTGGCCTGCGCGCTGCGGGGGCGGGGCGCTTCCGCCAATGCGCAGCGCGCGGGGGCGGGGTCGCGGCACGTCTGTCGTGGTTTGCAGCGCGTCGCCTCTGCAGTGGTCCAGTGGGCAGGTTGGGAATTGTGGGGAAGGCGGCGGCGAACCGCTGCACGCGCCCCGGGAGGCCGCGGGCGGCGAGGGCCTTGGTCGCGGCCATTAGCCACGCAGTCAGAAGCAACGCAACGAAAGGAATGGCAGGAGTAGCGGAAGCAGGAAAAGCGCAAACTGCACGGCGCCAGTCGTCCACCTCGTGGCCCGGCGCTGCAGACGCAGCCACCAGCTCGCTGATTTCTTTCCCGGTATTCTGATCCGCGGTCTCCGCCGCGGGCACGGCAGGGCCAAGGTGCGCCGCGTCCGCATAAGGATGCGCCCGCGTAAGCTACTTTGCCCGTTCACCCCAACCAGAGCTAGCCGTATGCGCCAAGGCGCCTAGCGCCCGGCTCCTATAGACTGAGGGCAGGTTAAAACCATCACTGAAGTGGCGGCCTTTTCGTCAAAGTCTCACTCGGTGAAAAAACCCCCGAAGGTTTCCTCTGGTGCCGGGCGCCGGGGCCCTGGTGCTGGCCATCATCCACCGAACACCCTCATCCGAAGGCTTCGCCCGCATTGCGGGGCGCCAAACCCCCCGACCGAAAGGCTGGCACCGGCCGGCCCCGGCAGACAAGACAAAGCGCGCGCCCGCTTCTGAGAGACACCAGTGACCCCCGCCGTGCAAACGAGGCGGCCGGGCCCAAAGCGGCGGGCGCACGCGTCGGCCCTGATTACGGAGGGGAAACAAAGGCCCGCGAAGTACTGCACTGGTCCGCTCCCTTTGTTCACGCGGGGCCCCAACAGGCTCGCGCGTTTGCGCGCAGAATCGCGCCGCCCGCGTCAACCCGGCCCCGCCCTGGCGTTCGCGCAGGTGCTCCCTTCTGCGCGCCGACCATCGTGGTGGCCGGCCAGCCAGACGCATCGACGCGCTTCACCCGGTCGGCAACTCTTCGCTATCTTTGAACGCGAATAGCTACAAACCACTCAGATGCTCTTACTTAATCCTGCACTCGACCTTCTTGCGCTCGAACACACAGCCCTGCCGGGTTATTGTTCTGCAGCCGGGTACTTTTCTTCGTGAATTGTGTTCACTGCGTCTATTTTCGATCTGCTCCTTGTTGCCTTCCGACATTGAACAAGTGAAACGACTATCCTACAATTGCAGCTTGAGCTCGAAACAATTGAAACACAAGTGCTCATCATCTATCACGCCTCCTCCTCGTCCTCCTCCTCCTCATCTTGATTTCTGCGATCACGACTCCGCGCGCCCGGCGACGACTCCCCGCCGCGAAGATCATCCGGCTCCCCCCGGCCCGCCCCCCCGCCGGGCAAGAACGGCGCTATCCACGCGGGCGCGTGCCCGTCGCGGTGCATCTTGTAGATTGTGAAGCCGGCCACGCCCGCGACGACCGCGAAGAGCATGAAGAGGAGGAAATACCAGCCGTTCCGCCGAATTAGCTGCTCCTCCTCGATCAGCGCGGCGTCGTACAAAATCTGCAGGCCCCGCTCCGACTCCAACAGCTCCTGGTCGATCTCTTCGGTGGTGCGCATGCTTGTGCCCGCGTACTTCTCCTCGTTCAAATCCTCAATGTCCAATAGCTCCCGCTCGTACGCCTCCTTCTCGTCGCTCGGGAGGTCCAGGTTCCCAAAGTAGTAACTAATGGACAGCCAGTACTTGTTAAATACGGTCCACAGGTAGCCGCTGTTCTGCTCCGCCTGCTTGCGGATGGCGTCCGTCTGCTGCGAGATCGTGCCGGCACCGATGGTGGGCCCAAGTTCCTCACTGCCAGGTCCCGTTCCGGCTTGCTGAGCGCCCGGTGGAGGGACTGATAGTTTGTTTTTGGTGGGGGACAAGGATTTTCTTATTCTTTGTGATACATAAAAAACGCTCTCAAGCGGCAAGGGTAAAAATGCGTTTGAATCATTCCAGGATCGTCAACTGTGCGAAAACAGAGTTGTACCTCCGCCCGCCGCTGCACCATACGATCCTCCAGCTGTCTGATAACCTCCTGCCCCCGGCGGCGCGCCGCCGTACGCGCCGGCGGTATTCCCGGAAGATGGAGTAGCATATCCCGAAGAACTTATACTGCCGGTCGGGGAGTAGTAGTTTGCTCCCATCGTAGTTCCAGCACCGTAATTGTTGCCCTGCTGTCCACTATACCCGCCCGCATTCCCCATCATCCCTGCCCCGCCGCTCCCGGCAGATGAGCTGGCCATGCCCTGCTGGTAGTGCACCGCATTCCAGTTGACACAGGCGATCGCTTTCTTCATGTATTGGAGCGACATATGCACCATCTCCGCTGCCTGCATCAGTTCGTTTGAGTGGGAGGAGGACGTCATGGAGCCGAAAATCGAGGAACTACTCCCGCTCGTCGGGTCCGGCGCGTTCCGCGCCAGCTCTTGCGCCTTCGCTGCGTGCACGCTCGCCCGTTGCCACTGGTACACGCAGTCCGGCGCCATGCTGTTGGACTGTTGCAGCGCTCTGGAAACGGCCTGCTGCACCGTCGCTGCGGTGCTCAAAATTGTGTTCTTGTTGGCGGTGGTCGAGGCAATAGGCTGCTGGTTGTACGGTAGAGGACCACCTGCTGGGGAACCTCCGTAGGGTGACTGCTGCTGTGGAGATCCGTAGCCTCCGTAACTAGAACTACTGCCATATGAACCACCACCACCACCTCCGCCTCCGTACGACATGCCGGCGCCAGTGTGCTGTCCCCACAACCCGTTCCGCACGGCGGACAGTTTGCTGTCTAGATTCTTGATCTGGTTCGACAAGTCTTGGTTCTGTTGCTGTAGCTTCTGCTGCCGCTTCCAGTCCTCAAACGCTTTCACGCCGGTGCTGGGATTACCACCCCCAGACCCACCACCGCCGGCTATGGCGGCAAAATTCGCCGCGGAGGCCTGCTGGCCCATGTTCGCGGCCAGCATTTTCAAGGCTTCGTTCATGGCTTTTGCCGTTTCGCCGGACCCGTTGTCAGAATTCACCTTGATCACGGGCGCAAACTTGATCACGTGCTGCCCGCGGGTTCGGTCCCCCTCCGTAATCGGGATGTATCCCCCGTGGTGGTATATGGTGGATCCCGGAGGGTAGGACGAATCATCGTCGTCATCAGAGTCGGTTGCATTGTTGGATGAAGTAGATGCATTAGAAGCGGTGCCACTTGAGGTGTTTTTCTGCGACAAGCCTAAGAGAGAGGAAGGAGAAGTTTTACTATAATCTTCTTCCGTAGTTCTTCCAGAATGTCCGCTGGATAGAACGTCTGCTGGTCGTATTTCTTGTCGGGAAGATTTTTGTTCCACAAAAGCTTCTTGCTGTAGCTGCTGGCCGTGCGGCTGTTCTCGGGTAGTATCACCAAAGTCGGTGGGAGAGGATTCCGCGGCCGCCCTGGTTGGAAAATGTCCTTTTTCCGCGTGCTCCTGTGCGGGAACTATTCTTGGAATAGCAGCTGATTGAACATCTCTCCAATTATTATTTGCAGGATTTTTTTCAGGCGGCTCCACGACTCGTCGAACGGGTTCCTCTTCCTCTTGCAATTTCTGTTGCAAAAGTACAACTCCTGCTAGCGTTTCTTTCGATGACGACGGCGTCACAGAACTTCTATCGTGGTAGTTCTTTCCTGTAGCAGTCTCCTCGTCGCTTGTAGTTGATGCACCCGTGCTGGTCGTGTGGTGATCAGCATCCTGTGTTTTCACTTCGCCTCCGACGGAAGATGTTGGCACCCCGTTTTCATCGGGGGAAACCGCCTGCGTGCCTATTGGAGCGGCTGAGAAAATAAACTTTCGGTAGACAAACAACAACAGAAATCGCATCAGTGCAGCATACCGCCGTACTCCGGAGGAACGTGATGTCGACATAATTTCTGAGCTTTGCTTTGATTAGTGTTCACGGTGAAGCTATTGAAACACGCCTAAAGTTTTCTAGGCCCTACATAAACTTATTCCGCATCAAGTTCTCATCGTGATCAACTCATTCCGCATGGATATCTCGTTTCGAACGGCAAAAAATACATTTGTGCGTGTAAGCTACAAAAATTGCCTTTTGGCGCATCGTACCGTCGCGATTTGGGTTCATTTTTTACGATTTTGGAAGATAAACGGTTTCGCGGCGACCGCATCTTGGAAAATATTCTCGAGCGAAACAAATAAATCATAGCAAAAACAAAAGCACGATCTTCACAAACACGATTGCAACGCTCCTCCGTCGCTTACGCTTTCGCGAAAACTTTTTCGTGTACTTTTCTCTTCCGAAGGCGAACCGGAACCGCCTCTCTAACTCGCAAAAAAGATACAATCTAAACGCAAACACCGAGCCTCTCGTCCGAGACCTCCCTTATGCGCTTGCGGAACCAAAATTGCAAGTTTTCACGAAACACGAGCACAAAGCGATGTTAAAGTGTCGCCTTTTTCGGATCGACACGAGAATTCGATTTTTCAGAAAGACGCTTCACGACCAGTGAAGCACGTGTCAAGGAGCGAATTCATTTCCGAGTCTGTGACTTCGCGTCAGTTTCAGTTATTCATTTGACTATGGTATGTCCCCCGTTCAGAGAAACAGAAACATTAATTTTGATCGACTGACCAAAAGTTCACACCACCAGAGATGGTGCCTACAGCTACATCCACGGTAATTTTTGCACTTCGTGTTCCACTTCCGCCCCCGGTACGGAGTTAAAATCTGCGGCTTTCTTTATTCTTGCCATGGTCTCCTCGTCGAAGGGGTCTTCCATTTTCCCCACCAGCTGCTCCTGCTCCTGCAGCGCCTTCGGGTGAAACTTCTTTACCGCCAGCGACTTTTTCGACAGGGGCAAGGGCGAACACAGGTTGTCATCGCCCTCGACCGACAAGACCCCGCAGTACTCCGTTTTCCGGATCGCGTCCGGCGCCAGGTTGAAGAGGGACAGCTATCAAAAGGAAAAATCCCCCCTCCCCATATCAAAACGAAGCTTCTGACGCAGGATCTGCGTACACAAATCAGATTTGTCTTGTTGGGGAGGAACGCAGGCCCATACTGAGCCTAAGCAGAGAGGTTTTCGCCTAGGCGTCCAGCATGACAAACGTCCGCGCCGTAGTTCCATCAGCATCACAAGCCGCCTGCACAATGCTGCGGAGCTTGTGGAGTTGCCTTCTTGCAAGACAGACGCGATTTGTGGTCTCAAATCAGCAACACAAATTTTCGGAAACATACCTTTTCGATATGGGGAGGGGGGATTTTTCCTCTGCATAACAGCTTTTTCTGCTTGTGCATCCGGGACAAGTCCTGGAACAGCAGGAAACACTGTTCCGAATCGTCCGCGTCGATTTCGTACAGGACTTTGTTCCCCAAATTCCGAAACCGCGGGAAATTCCTCGTAGGCTCCCCCAGGAGGTCTTCCAAATCCTGCGGCCCAAACGCAACCTGATCGATCTCCGGTTTCGCCGGGTTTTGCAGCAGCACCGTGTAGCGAAAATTTTGTGGCCGCTTTTTCGCCTGCAATTGCTCTTTGCTTTCGTGCTCTTGGAGGAACGAGGAACTGGAACTAGAAGCTGTAGCACCTATAGCGTCGACGTCGCTTTCTTGGAATAGATCGGTTCTCTCACTGTTTTGTCTTGGTGTAGTACTCGTCTCCTTGCCAGAAAGTGAATGCGTTTTTGATACTTTCGCGTAGTTCTTCTTTTTCCCGCTGCTCCATGCGTCTTCCAACTTTTCCTGCACGTCCTTGGGCAAAAGCGCGAACAAGTTGTCGCCGGGAATGAAGCGTTTTACAACTACTTCCGATGACTGATCTGGACGGACCTCCGGCTCCCGCCCGGTTCGTAATTTTTCGGAGGCATGATTCCTTCCAGAAGATTCTCGCTCCTTTTCGCTTCCGTTGTCCTCAGCTTGTACTTCTATTCCTGATCCACCCAGTTCCAACGCTGAAGAGCTAGAAGCACTGCTGCTACTACCACCTTCACCGCCGGCGCCATCCTCGGCTTTGTTTTCCTGTCCGAAGACTTCACTGGGATCAACTTTTTCTTCCTTCTCTTCCCCCTCCTCACGCAGCTCCCGCTCTTTTTCTTCCAGATTGCTTCGTGTGCCTGCGCCAAGCCCGAACATCCCGGTCGGCCGTTGCCGCTCCAGCCTCCCGTCCGCCATCTCCCGGTTCACCGTCGCCACGTAGCCCTGCGCAATGTACCGGGCGAGGAGCAGCTGTCTGTCGACCAGCGATTTCGCCCGCGCCTTCGCGGCTTTTGCCTTGGCCTTCGCGGTCCGAGGTTGCTGCTGCTCCGTGGGGAACGCCTGCTGCAGTGGCGGCAAGGACTCGTCCACAGGGTGCAGGGGCAACATCTTGATCTGCTTCCGGCTGTTGGTGTTTCCACCCTTGAACCAGCCTGGTTCCAAATCGTAGGGGAGATCTCCCTCGTGGTACACGCTGCTGGCGATGGGCGGCTTCGCTTCCTGGTTCTTTTCCTTGTCGTTCAAGTTTATATCCTGCTCTATCCTACAGAGAAGTTCTTGTACACCCATACCACAAAGAAAATGAATCTGCGTTCTTGCGGACTTTCGTGCCACAGAGACAGTCTGCTTGGCTGTCCCTCATGACAAGCTCTCCCGCTATCTGTCTAATCGTGAAACCGCATGACAAGCTGCATTCTGCATGCCTCTCCTGTGTGTGGTCTCCGCATTCTTTTCATCAGCGACACCAATTACTAGCGACACAAATTTTCTTTTTCTACTGATCTGGGTGTCCTTTGTTTTCTGTGGCATATGCTCTGGGTTTCGGTACTTCGACGCCTCTAGCTCCCCCATCGGAATCTGGTCCGCCAGCACCCACCGGGCTTTTCCGTCCGTCTCGTACCCCGTGGAAAACAGTGCGTACTTCGGCTCGGTCTTCGGCTCGGACCGCACCCAGACCGGCAGCCCGAAGAACTGCTTCAGGTTTTGGATTTGGTACCGCCCAGTGAAGTCCTGCCCGTTCCAGTCCTTGTCGTTCGACGTCCGCATATCCAGGTAAAAACACTTTTATCCCCATCCAATTTGTCATGCAAAACCTGCATAATTTTCTGTGTTTGTCATGCAAAAATGGATAGGCATGGGTGTTTTTTCCTGGATACCGCACCTGGATTTCGTACGCGGCGTCGGACATGACCTCCGAGAACCCCAGCCCCTTCACGTCCGCGAACCGGGTGTAGAGCGAGAGCATGATGGGCCGGATGGTGTCGGGCAGCAAAGTATGGATTGCAAAAATGTCTGGGTCTGGAAACTTGTAATGCTAAAAGTGAATGATAGACGCACTCGAATACGCAGCTATGCATGAGAAATTTTTTGGCTGCCATGTCTTACGTATTCCGCATAGCAAGCTGCGTTTTTGCATGACAGGTAAGAGGGTTTTTTCGTGCCTATGCAACACAGATTCTCGAGTCATGCCAGACGAGCATGACAAACTTGCAATCTTCCCGACCCAGACATTTTTGCATTTGATACAAAGGCACGCGGCAGTGGTTCTGCGCTAAGTTGTCTCCCCGTGGTTGCGCAGATTTCAGTTGGGTTAGCGAAGAGGCGGTGGAGAGCTTGTACTTCGACCGGTAGGGGAACCCGGGACCGTGGAGGCCCTCCTCCTCGTCGGTGCCGTCGGCTGCGAGTGTTTCTTCGCCCTCATCGTCGCTGCTTTCCTCCTCCGAGTCTTCTTCTTCCGAGTCTTCCTCTTCGTCCAGGCTTTTTTTCTTGCGGCTCCCTCCCTCCTCTTCGTTCAGGCCTGCGCTGAGGCGCTTCCGCTTGTGCCCGCCCTGGCTCAGGCCATCCCCACCTGCTTCACCAAAGTCGTCGTCAACATCATCATCGTCTTCATCATCATCGTCCAAATCTACTCCGCCCGCACCGCCCTTGCCTCCAAGACCTCCTGTGGCTTTTTTCTTTTTTTTCTTTTTCTTCTTCATTTTCCTTTTTTTCTTTTTCGCCCCGAGGCACTTGACTTTTTTCGCTTTCTTTTTCGCCAAAGCTTTACCTTTCGACTTTGCCCCCGCGGCTGCTGCGGCACCTGCTCCAGTGTCTTCGACCTCTCCCCCTCCTTCCGTTGGGGTAGAAGTACTGGTAGGCGCAACTCCACCTCCTTCTGCGCTAGCAGCTGGCGTTGGCGCAGGAGCGGGTCCCTCCTCACTACTTTTCGTACTGTCAGTGGCCACCGCCGGTGCAAAAGCCGCTGCGCCATCCTCCGCAGTTCTACTGTTCATCACGCCCCCCTTATCATCCAAACCTGCCTGCGCACCCCTCGCGGCACTCTCGTCGAAGTAGCCCTGCTTCTCCAACTTTTTCCGGCTCGGCTGCGGGGGCAGGTCCTTCAGCGCATAGCAATCGGCGGCGGCCTCCTGCCCCTCGGGGCAGGGGGCCCAAACAAAGTGTTTTTCGGGCCGCCGGGTTTGCGACGGAATGACCGGCACGGCTTGGGTCAGCCTCCGGTTCTTGCCCACCCAGAAGTCCGCCGCCTCGTCTTCGTCGTAGCTGCTGCCCGGGATGGCAGACTGAATCGCAGCAAACGACGAGGGGGTGCTGTGGGAAGTGGAGGATGTTGTAGCTGGCCTAGCAGTCATCTCTAGTTGTATTTCGTCCTTTATTTTCTCCTTCTCTTTCTCTTCTTTCGACGCATCATAGGAAGATCCTTTCAATGTGGTCGGTGTTCTTGTAACAACAGTGCTAGTTGTACTTCCAGATGTTCTTGACCCGACATCAAGCTGCAGTGCCGCGGCGGCCTTATCTTTTCCTTTATTTGCATTCTTTGCTCGCCTCACGACCGGCTCTTCGACTAGAACCCGTCGCACATACTTCACGTCCTTGGGCAACTTTTTCACGGACACGACGTTCATGTTCTTCCATTTCGTCTTTAATTGCGCGTAAGCGTCGATCTCGTCGTCGAACTTGTCGTACCACTCAGTCGTGAAAGTCGCAAAGTCTGGCGTGCGGGAGGAGAGCGACTGCGCGATGATCTTCTCCCGGGGGAGGATGTTGTTTTCCAGCAACTCGCGATTCAGGTCGTACATTTGGTTCAGGTCCAGCCTCTTCAGCAACACGTCCTTCACGTATTCCAAACCCTTTTTCAACGAGTATTCCGCTCGCTTCTGCGCGTTTAAATCCGCCATGGCCTGCGATTCGCCCTGCACCATCTTCCCCTCCGTGTCCTTGAAAATGTGCGCGAACCCCTTCTGCGCCTCCAGGAACGCGCGGCGCTGCGCGTCTAATTTCGCCAGAGTGGGGTACTGGTCTTTCCGAAAGTTGTCGTGGAGCAGAATTTTCTCCATGTTCCCCAGCCCACTTTCCAGCGGCGGTTCGGGCTGTTTCGGGTGCAGCTTGCGGTATTCTTGCTCCGCCTTTTTCCGCAGCGCGACCAGTCTTTCGTCCCGTTTCTTCCGCCTCGATACCTCCTCTGCATCGTCCTCCTTCACCTTTTGAAAGGTGTCGGCAATCAGCGTCGTCACCGCCTTCTCCTTGTTCTGCTGGAGCAGGTCCGCCTTCCTCATTTGCTCCTGCACGGCCTGCTGCACCGCCTTCGCGTCGTCCAGCGGCCCCCGCGGGGGCGTGCCCTGGTCATCCTGGATCAATCGCAAGGTTTCCGCGGCATTCAACGGATTGTTGGTGCCGTCCTGGAGCACGTCGTTGAATATCGTGTGGAAAATCTTTTATTGTGCCGTGATGTCGTTCGTCTCGTAGAACTAGAAGTCACAAGCCTATACTTGGATGAGCCCTGCTCCTCGATTAGCACGAGTCAGGTTCAATATAAGCATTTTACGGAGGGTGGTCCCTTTATGCATCAGACGGGAACAAAATGAAAGTAGTGAAACCCTAAATCATAAAACCCTGAAAACCCAGAGATGCTCGGCATGAGAAGAAACGGCGAACTGTTCGTGTAGTCGATATTTTTCGCCGGCGATTTTCATTTTTAGGGCATGCCAATCGAAAATGACCTGCAAATAAACTACGGCGATCGGACGGGATTTTCACACAGGACGATATCGATTTCGCTGAACCGATTTTTGCCTTCCTCCACGTTTGGATTCAATTTCATCTGTCCGGCGGCGTCCCCGAGCGTGTCCAGGTCCGTGGCTTTTTTCAGATCCGGGTCGACCTGCGTGGTCCTCGAATCCTGTACCGTTTTCCGCAGCTCCTTCCCTTGCAACACCTGGAGGATGTCGCTTTGTCGTTTCAGAAGCTGTTTCTTCTTTTTCATGTCCGTCGGGGGCGTGTTTGCTATGTCCGTGGCCGTATCGTCCAAAACTTCGTGAATTTGCGCGTCGGTAAGCTTTTTCAACCAGGGTTCCGACCACGGCTCGGGGTCTACAACCTTTGGTAGCTGCGGCTTCTTTATCGGCGGCCCACGACTTTGCCGCGTATTCTGTGCCGGGCTGTCTGGTGGTTCAGCACCATAGGGAGAAGGAAACGCATCTTGATTTCCGCCCGCAGCCTCGGGGGCCGACCCACCAGCGTTCCCCGAAGGAGGGGCTGCGTCTTCAGGACCAGGCTGGCCGGCAGGATCTGGCGCCGCCTCCTCGGGTGGTGCTGGTTCAGCAGCACTCCCCACCGTGGCAGCGTCTTCAGGACCAGGCTGGGCAGCAGGATCAGCTTCACCGCCGGGTGCCCCTCCAGCTGTCTCTTCGGCTGCTGATGCGGCGACAACGTCCTCAGCAGGAATCGCAACGGGTTCTGCCTGCAGTCGCTTCAGCGAAGAACCAGAGCGGGCACAATGCACTAGTAGCAGCAACGTGGCAATGACGACTCGATTTCTTAAACGCCGGCTCATTTTCTTAGCTAGGAAAGAAAAGCAACAGCAGAAATTCAAATTTCTTCTCCTTTCTCATCAGGTAATAATCGCGTCCAAGAAAATGATATGCCCACCGCTTCTCGGTCACAAAAAAAGGCGTCTTGTTCCCGAAATCTCTTGAATTAAGGGCAGCTTCATGCTGATGCGGTCTGAGCCCATAGTAGTAAGTGTGCAAAAGAATTAAGTACGTTAGTTTTTGCTCTCTATTTTCAGGTCCGTCGCTCCTTCGGTGAGGTACTCTCGTCACCACAAACTGTTGCAGTTCAGTTTTTCTTTTCTGTTCCCCTCCTGCTGGATTCGAAAAAATGGATCTCGACCTCTGAGAACTAAAACTCTCCGATGTGCCAGACGTCGTTCCTGATTCGTCTACTGTTTTGCAATTGTACTCCCGATACGAACGCATTGCTTTGCTACGAACGACAAAAAAAACGATTCAAACGAGCAGCCAACTTCAATTTCACACGACAATCGAAGAGCCATGTGAGGACTTGTATGATGTTCTCTCAACATTCTCACAGAAAAAAGAAAGTGCTTTCAAGCACGCCCAGATCAAGAACAAACAGAGCGGGCGGGGAGAGCGAGAGAAAAAGAACCTTCAAAATTAAGATCAATACCACGGAGAGCACCGGTAATCACGAAAGATTTCACATTTTGCATGCGATTGACGTAGCTTATTTCATCATCTCGTTTATTCCTTTATGCACATTCAGAAACTTCAATCCGTTCGCCCAGCACCGGCGGCGGCGCAGCTTTTTTCGTGTGCTGGTGTAAAAGATGATGATCACTTCTTCTGATAGATTTACTATGTTACACTGAAAACAATTGTTCCGAAGTAGATCTCCGTGCATGCATCTGTAGTAGCTTCACTCTAATGCCTTGAACAAATGCGAAGGACTTCATTCTTCCGGTAGCAATCCCGAAACGCCACTGCTCATCTCCGCCTTGCTCGCCGTTCCGTTCGCTTTGTTGTCTTTTGCCTCCCCGTTAGCGGCGTTATTGCTTCCTTTACTGTCCGTTTTAGTCGACGTGCCGTTGTTCTTAGTGCTCGCTTTCATTTCTTTGTCCGCCAGCCCCTCTACTCTTTTCGCGTGCGCCACGTCTAGCTTCTGGATTTCCTTGAAAAAATGGTGCTCCTTGGACCGCATCAACTCGAACAACACCGCCTCCAGGGTGAGCACCATCGCGCCGGAGCTCTGCATCTGCCGCAGTGCGACCGCCCGGTCTCGCTTTCGCTGCGAAGACACGGCGTCTTCCACGACGCACACAGTCAGACCCAAGGATAGCAAGTCAAAGCACGTTTGCTGGACGCAGACGTGGGCTTCCCACCCACACAGCACGATCGCCTCGATTCCTCGGTTATGCTTCAACCTGAGTTCACATGAAAACGCGAAGAAAGTAGTTTTTAAGGGATCTAATTGAAGTGATATGATCTACAACAGTGTAGGATTTTTTTACGCTTTTGCGACGATGAATAAAGTTGAAGACGCTACGGAAAATAAAAAGGCCCCGGCGACGCACGTAGCATAACAAGTTCCTTGAAATGAAATCATACTCAGCCAGGACGAAATTTCGGGTCTGGTCCGTAACCATACTAAAGTCGGTTTTTTCGCACATCAGTTGGCACAGGTCTTCGTTCTGCTCGAATTTTTCATCATCAAGGTCCTCAAACACCTCGGCACAGGTGTTCTGGAAAGCCTTCGGATATTGCTCCGTTACCAGCAACGGCTGCCGTCTTATGCAGTGCAAAAACTCAAAAAATGCAAACCTCGTTGCGCACGTCACGCAGACAAGACTCTGCGTAGTACAAATTTTGCTTTCTGCATCAGAACACAAAAAAGACTGTCTACGTTGTGACAAAGTCTTTGTCAGCTAATCCAGCATGAACGAAGAAAGTTTGATGTCCAAGCTTCTAGTATTAAAAATCCTGCATGCCGTTCGCATAATTGCGAATCACAAGAAGAACTTTTGCACTGCGTATTCCAGTGGTTCACCACCGCAGCTACGAGCGCTCGTGCCGCCGACAATGTTTGAGCATGTCCCAGGATCAAAGGCTCCAACCGTTTCTGCATGTCGCAGACGAAAAACGCGGTCTTTTCGAGCTCAAGACGTTTCACGGGCATCGTCATTTTGTTTGTTCGCGTTGTTTCTGCATATACTTTGAGAAATTAAAATTTTCCTTCACAGTCACATAGATGAAGAAGCCCGTACTAATATGACATACGATTTTACAGTGGAACAAACGCCTCCTCTACAGCGGGTCGATAATGGACAAGCGAGTGTGTGTAGGGTGGAGGGCTGTTTTACTCAAAATTACATCGCCCATCAGTCCTCACTACACAGGAAGCAGCCCGAAAATCCGTAAATCAGGCGCTCCGTCTTCGTCAGCCTCGGCACTGTGAAGACTGCAAACAAAATAAGAAGCAGCTGAACACGCAGCACCAGCACTTGCAATGCGGTGCGCGTTAAATAGTCGCCCCCGCATCACCCCGAAAAACGGCGGGGAAACATTTCAATTTCAATTATGTATTCGTTTCGGAAATACAATTTAGCGTTTGAGTTTGGCAGACATACAGATTGTCTTTGCAAGAAACAGACGGTCGAAGTTGATGAAACAGTTTAATATTGAATGATTCCTTCGAAACATGATCGATAAGTCTTGCATTTTTCCGACCGCGCAACCCAGCGCAGCAGTAGCTCCAACAGTCCTCGCAAAATGACTGTTACGTGGTTCGTCTTCGTTGTTGACTCAGCGAAAATAAGTACGTAAATCGGCGAACCACCATCAGTATTCGTATCATTTTCCATTTCTTTTCTGCTCGTAGTACATTACCACCTATTTCGGCATGCAGTATGCTGGTTCGCGTTTCTTGAAACGTTCCTTGGCCGAGTTGTGATAGGGCGACGGGCTCGGGTCGTACTTTACATCCCAGGCCGGGTGCTCGGGGGGCGGGATGATGCCGAAGTTTTCTGTGAAGTAATCCTTCGTCAGAATGCGCTGCGTCTGCGGGCGCACGGCAGGTGACAATGTGCTCAACTCGGTGGAAGTGAACAGGCTGTTGCTGTGGCTGTTGCTCAACAAACTCGGAGGAGTTGTTGTACCAGCAGACTGATGTTGCTGTTGCGGGCTGGAAGTAGATGCAGCAGCCAACATTCCCGGCGCGTTCGGGGATAATGACAGGTTCTGGTTGGTGCTAGAGGAAGAGGAAGTTATCAAGTGCAAAAATGTCTGGGTCTGGAAGATTCTGAGACTTGTCATGCATGTTTTGTATGACCCAGAATGTCTGTAATGCACGACCTAGAATCACAGATTTTTAGAGGGCTTCCTGATGCCTATTCCGCATTACAAATGCCCTCTCCACGTAGCACAGTCTGGGCTCCTCTTCCTGGTCATGCAATACAGATTTTTTTGGAGTCCAAAGATAGCATGACAAGTTTGGATCCTTCCAGACCCAGACATTTTTACAGTTGATAGAAGTAGAGGCAGTACTACTCAGGAGCGGAATCACGCGTATGGGCGATTATGGAAGCAAAATCTTCAGCAAAGTCGAAAGCTCTAGGGATGTTTTTGCTCTAATCACATTCGGTTTTATCGGATATCGATAAATATTCTTGAACTTTCGGACCCCCGCGCCCCCTTTGAATCTTCTCAAAAAAAACGAAGGGCGCGCCGGACATTCTTCTCAAGAGAAAAAGAGCGGGCGCGAGAAAGTTGAGGAATTATTAGCACGACCCACAGCATTTTTCGGATTCAACAAGGGGCCCGGGGACGCACTCCCATTTGTTTAGTAATATTTATCGACATCCGTACGGAATTCAGAAAGAAATCCAGAACAGATTTCCGCGGCTATTCTGCAGCGACCTCCCCCCATCGTTGCTCATTTTCCTGCGCTTTTTGCCGCGCCCCTTCTCGGCGCGCGTGGTTTTGCATTTGCTTACGCGCGACCTCCGGCGCGCCGCACTATTAGAGCGCTACTCTAAGGGGAGCCGCGTGGTCTCTCGCGAAGAAGAGCGAGGGCCCTCTTCTACTTCAAATAGATTAGCTTTTTGAAGACGAGGACCATCCGACTCGCGGGGCAGATTTTATTCTTCTCGCGGATCGTCCTCGTTTTCAAATAGATCATCTTTTAGAAGAAGAGGGCCGTCCTATCTGCTTCTTCTCGAGGATCGTTTTTTCTTCAAAAAGAAAAGGGTCTCCCTCTTCGTGAAGCCCAAAGCGCGCCACGCGCTCCTGCGGAACTTTATCCCCGACGGCGTGACGCGTCGGGGGCGCGAAAAAAGCCAACGAGTCTGCCGGCTCGCGTTCAAGTGGTTGGCAGGTCTGGCATGCCAGACCTGCCAACCCAAAAACAAAAAAAGAAGAATTCTGATTCTTCTTTTTTTTCTTTTGGGCTGGCAGGTCTGGCATGCCAGACCTGCCAGTCGCCAGCGACGGCACAGTCGCGCCGTCAAGCCCAAAGCGCCGTCTGGCATACCAGACCTGCCAACCCAAAAACAAAAAAAGAAGAACTGTGATTCTTCTTTTTTTTCTTTTGGGTTGGCAGGTCTGGCATGCCAGACCTGCCAGTCGCCAGCGGGGGCGCACCCGCGCCGTCTTGGATGCTGCAGGGCTTGCTTTACTAAGGAGCGGCACTGGCGCAAGCGTAGGACAGAACGCGGGGCGCGTCGTTTGCGCTCTTGTTTTCCAAGCCGTGCGCGGCCTCGCTCCGGCGCGTCGGAGGTCGCGCGCAAGCAAATGCAAAACCTCGCGCGCCGAGAAGAAGCGCGCCAGAAAGGTAAAAAAAACGAGACACGATGGGGGGAAGTCGCTGAAGAATAGCCGGGGAAATCTGTTCTAGATTTCTTTCTGAAATCCGTACGGATATCGATAAATATTCTTGAACTTTCGGACCCCCGCGCCCCCTTTGAATCTTCTCAAAAAAAACGAAGGGCGCGCCGGACATTCTTCTCAAGAGAAAAAGAGCGGGCGCGAGAAAGTTGAGAAATTATTAGCACGACCCCCAGCATTTTGTGGATTCAACAAGGGGCCCGGGGACGCACTCCCATTTGTTTAGTAATATTTATCGACATCCGATTCATGTTTGACCACGCAGTTTTCTACTTGCACAATCATTCTATCGTGGTCCTCATGGCGAGGCTCTTCGCAGGTACTACCGACGATCACTTGTTCTTTCATCATTAAAGAAGATTTGGTTGGGCCGAATGCTCCACAAAGTCAAGTGGAACAACTTTTTGGATTACGACTAAATAACACTTACACCAGAAGAACTATGGTGAAGACTTTGATGATGACGAATATGATAAAGAACCTATCTACAATTTACATCATCCCACCGTTGACAACTCGACTCAAGATTTTCCTAGCTGATAGCGGTTGGGGGGAGTCGTAGTTACCCCAACTGGAAGAACTCGGGGCCGCCACCACCGCCGCAGCAGCTCCCAGCGATCGACCGCCAGGACTGCGGTGAGGTACACCTGGCGAGCCGGCGGAGTTTTTCGGCGCCGACGAGCCGCCATACTGCTGCAGATGAACGTAGTAGCCCTGCGGGGGTGGCGGAGAAGCGTTCGTGTTGATGACGCCCGTGCCCATGTCATACGGAGCATATGCAAGCAGGGAAATAAACGAAGCTTAACATGCTCTCTGTCTTACTGTGGTACAACGAACCCCCGTTCACAAACTAACGCAGAGCAAGACAAATCCTTTTTTTTGCGGCCCGAAAAAGTGCAAGGTAACGATTGAGACGAAGCCCGTCGGGAGGGATCATACTTTGTGACTTTGTGTCGTGAACGCGACGTATAGAAGAGTTGCAATGCGGTCTATTTTCCCCGATCGGATACTGGTACAACTGGAACTGTGCTGCTCGCGTCGAAATTGTTAGAAATTTCCCCCGTCGCCATATCGTAGGGTGGAAGCTGCGGTTCCGGCGCGGCATGCGTGGCAACTGCGGAAGGAGGTGGGAACGCTGCAATTTGCTGCTGCAGGCCCTGGCCGACTGGGGGTGGGCCACCACTACTCGTCGGCCGTAAGGCGACCGGCTGCATGTTGTATTGGCTGCTACTGGTAGAAGCGGGATGAACCACGAGGTTAGGGTTGCTTTCTGCCACGACCACCTGGTGGGGAAGCAGTTGTCCGACTTGTGATGCTTGGAGAAGAACTACGCGAGAACCTCCACCTTGCGGCTGTTGTACTACGACCGGCTGCTGGTTGTACAACACATTCTGGACATTCACTCCACTCGAAACGGCCCCCGACGACGTCCAAGAATACTGCCCCGCGGTGGGCGGCGCCAGGTAGATTCGGGGCTGCTCGCGCGTGACTTCTGCAGGAGCTCCAATAAATCGTCCAAAATTAGGACGACCGGATGCAGCTCCACTTCCGCTCGTCACGTGGTCTCCTGCTCTCGAGTTGTAACTGATGGTAGAATGGTTGCAGTTGCTGCGGATGTTCTTGACTCCGGGAAGTAGCAGGGGCTCCTTCTTCTTGGTCTCCTCGTTCCTACTTCCGTGCAAGAACGGAACTGCGTCGGTCGTGGAGTCTTTCCCTTCTTGCGCGCGCGAACATGTCCGCGTGGCGGGTGCAGAAAACTCGTCGCGATTTTTTCGCACGTTATCTTCGTCCGATTCCGAGGTCTCTGCTCCACCGTGTTCGAACGAGTACGCCGACCGCGACCGCTTGTTGTACGCATGCCACACGACGTCGTGCGCGCGCCGCCCCCGCCGCGTCGCGTATTTCCGGCGAGTTGGTTTTATTTTCCTTCTGCCGGTAGAAGAGGCTCCAGGGGTGGTGTCGTAGATGCTGGAGGAGAAAAAACTGTTGCTTGTCCTCTTCCTGTATGGATTGCAAAAATGTCTGGGTCTGGAACTTTTCTAGACTTGTCATGCAGGTTTTCCATGATCCATATGGTCTGTAATGGAGGACCTAGCATGACAGATTCCGTGAGATCACTATCGTGCCTATCCTGCATGAGAAACTTCCTCTCAACTCGATCAAAATTGGAAGGCATTTGGGAATCACGCAACACAGATTTTTGCATGATTCAGATTTAACATGACAAGTTCCGACCTTCCAGACCCAGACATTTTTGCAGTTGATATCCCGCCATTGCAGTTCAAGTGGAAATACAGCTGCTCTAGCCAGCTCAGAGACGGCGACGAAGTAGTTGCTCCTCTACTCGCGCCGGCGCTAGAAGAAGTTGTTGACGACGAACCTCTGTCTTGCTTTCCTGCGTGTTGAGCACGTTGCTCAGCTGCCGTCGCTCCTTGTGTTCTTGAAGATGTCGCCGCAGTAGTGGAAGAACTTGTTGCTGCACGAGTACTACTACCACTACCCGACTGCTGCTTGGATTCCGTGCGGAGGTGCGCCGGCAGACAAAACGGATTCGCTCGGTTCACATGGTCCGGCCATCTCGCCTCCGCTGCATTTGCGTTCTTCCACCGGTGATCAACCCGACTGGCGGTGACAAAGAACGGACCACGAGGTGAAAACAAGCAGTTTTGACCCGTGAGAAGTACTACTTCCAGGAGCGTAGGCACAGCAGTCGATAACAGCAACAAGAAGCACGAGATAGAAACGAACCAAGAATTGTTCTTGCTGTGGAAATGCGATCGCGATGCGAACCGCCATTCACTGCACTTTTCAAAACGATATGCGTGCGACATCGTCATCGTTCTGTCGGAGGGCAACATTCATGTAGTTGAGAAACAGAAACTAACAAAACACGAAGAAGCACAGCTCGAATAGTAAAACAGTTTTTCCACCACCTTTCTCCTACTCCTACCTCTGTGTTCCTCCCTGCAGCCTCTGCCACTTCTGCCCGTCCACCTTTACGACTGTTGGCGGCGAGTCCCAATCAGTGTAGCATGTGTACCTACCGGCTGCAGTTTCATCTACGAGATTTTCGTTTTATTCGATCACTCCGCTTCAACAGCGGGTCAAGAATCTATTGGGATCCAGGTCCTCAAACTTTTTTGATGCAACAGCAGTACCGAAATCCCCACACACATGGAACCGGAGCAGGACGACATTGGAACAATCGATATGAGCGTGGAATTCAACTGCCAGCTGTGCAGCAGGGCACAGGCTTCTTCATAATAGCCTTTTGTATTTATACTTCCCTCTTAATGAAACAGAAATCTCTCTTCAAGGTGCAGCAGCTACTGCCCGTTTTTTAATATCCTCCTTTTCTTCAAATCCAATCAGACTTTCCCATCAAATCTGCGGATCTTTGATTTCCGTCCTCCTGAGACAGGACGTCGGCTTCGTCTGAGGCGGATGTTAAAATGGACAATCGGGTCGTGGAAAAATATAGATAGTGCGCACTACTCATTGAAAGAGCCACCTCCGCAGCATGGTGCGCCTGATGGCTTTGCAGAGGGAAGTAGTCAAAATTGCGAACGGGATGCTGCGCCACGGCTCTGGTCTTCATGACGCACAGCCAGCCACTAGTGCTGAAGACCAGAGTTGTGACGACATCCTATGTATAGCATTCCGAAAAACGATATGTCGTGTCACTTCATCAGCATTATGTATGATATGTGTCAAAAGCTGAAAGCAAAACATCGCTGTGTCAAAAGATGAAAGCGAAGTCCTCCGTCTGGAGAAAGAATGACGTAGTAGTTTTAGTTCCATGTTAAGTCCCGAAAATTAAAACAGTCGGCGCAAGGAGATTCTCAGAAGACCTCTGTCGTCCGGCGAGCCAGAAGTCCACGAGGTTACAACACCCTACTAGCGCTACTCGATATTACGATTGCCTGCTGCAATAAAAAAAGCAATAAGCTCAAAGTTTTTGAATTCGAGTGATTACGTACTAAAGCAAAAGTGTGGATTCTGTGGCTGAGAGGGAACTGGAGCCGTGAGAACAAAGAAATATTACATATTAAATTTCACTACAAGTAGTTTCGGTCGCTTTTTCGATGCTCCTTCTCCGTACAGACAGTAAGAAACAGAATTCTAGAGCGGTATCCGCGCTTTCGCCGATATCGATAAAGTGCAACATGTATTGTGCAAAAGTGTTTCAATCAATTAAGAAAGTCGTACGAATACATAAAAAATGCAGATGAACAAGAAAAAAGAAAAATGCTCGAAATATAAAAGCAAGTGCGTAGATACTAGCCCGATTTATCGTCCACAGGAGGAAGATGAGCTCGGGGACTCTGGGGTCACACCACAATCCGGACCGTCTTCGTCAAAGCATTCCCAGGAATCCTGCCCCAGGTCGGTCGGGGCCACGGTGGGGATCGTGTAGTTGAGTCCCGTCTTCAGCACGTAGGGCCCGGTGTTGCGGCAGCTCGCGGTTTCCATCGCGGTCTCCGGCGGAAGGTCGGACTCGTATCAAAAGGAAAAATCCCCCCTCCCCATATCGAAGTGGACATCTGTGATGCAGGATTTGGGTAAACAAATCGGATTTGTCTTGCAGTTGGGCATCGCAGTCAGATCCTGGGCCTAGGTAGGGGCGTATAGGTCTATTTGCTTAGCATTGCAAACGGGCGCCCCCTAGGCGCAACAGCATGCCAAATCGCTTCCATAATGGTGCGGAAGCCTCTGCGCTTGTCTTCTTGCAAGACAGACGGGATCTGTGCCCTCAAATCAGCAACACAAATTTTCGGAAACATACCTTTTCGATATGGGGAGGGGGGATTTTTCCTCAGAATAACTCGAGGCCCCCAACGAAGGGGTGCAGGTAGGCCTGCCGCGCGGTGTACCTCCGGCAGTCGGGGAGGAGCAGAAACGACAAAAAGTTGGCCGGGTCATCGACGAGCGGAATATCCGGCTGCGTCCACTGCGCATAAAAAGGCTCGCTCATCTTCCTGTACGAGCCATTATCCGGACCCCGATCCCGCGCGAAATTCAGCTGACTCTGAAAGTTCGGTCCAGCGTCCCGGGGTCCATACGAGACCTTCGCCAAGAGGCGAAGTTCGTCCAGCACCACCGCGACGCTCCAGACGTCCCACCGGTTGCTCCAGGCCTGCAACTTTCCCCCCCGGTGCCCGCGCCCGTAGTTGACATACTCCGGGGGCGCGAAGGCCGCCGTTGCCAGTGTGTTTTCCATAGCCGACATCAAGCCGGTCGGCGAGAAGCGAGACCCACCAAAATCGATCAGTTTGGCGCGGTTGTCGTCATCCAGAACCGTGTTCTGGGGCTTCACATCGAGGTGCGCAACCCCTAGGTTGTGCATCTTCACCAAATCCAGCAGGATATCCTTCAGCACCTGTTTTTGCGCTGCGACTGTCAGGCCCTCCTTCCGGATCACGTCGTACAGATTGCCTCGGGAAGCATACACCTGATTGAAAACAATTGCGTGGTACGGGTGGCGCGAGTCCCCGTACACATCCGTCAGCTGCATGGCCGCCTCCGCTCCCACGGTCTTCTGCGCCATCATATTTACCACCTCATTCCGAGCAATCGTCTGGTAAAACACGGCCTGTTCTCTGGTGGTCTTGTTTTCGTCCCCTCCACACCCAGCTCCACCATCCGTCCCGTCGCGATAGTCATTTGGGTTGTTGGACACCGTGTTCGCAGACTTTCCAACATATTGCCTCTGCTGCGGGGCCCGCGGGCTGCCCCCCGTGCTGCTCAGTAGCGCGATCTGTCCCTGCCAAACACCGCCCTGCTTCTCACTGAACCCTTGCCCCCCAAGAAATTTCACCTTCGTGTAATCCTGGTCCCAGTCCTTCAGCCACCCCGTGGTGTCGTTCCACCGCAGGAAGGCCCGCCAGTCCTGGGGAAAGGGGAATTCCGCATTTTCGGGGTCGGAAACACCCTGCATCTGGTACAGTTTTTGCACCTGCGCAACGTACCACTTGATCTCCTCAAAAAGCAGCAGAACGCTGTAGCGCCGGGAATTCTTGGGCAGCGGCTTTCCGATCCCCTGCTGATTTTCGGTACTATTTTTATCGCCGACGCTTTGCTTGTTCACAGTAACCCGATTCACGTCTAGAAAGGCAAAGGCAGTCCCGTTGTTCAACGGAGCAGAATCCACGACCCCGTAAAGCCCATCGACTCCGCGCGTTGCTGCGGGCCGTCTGCCTGGTGGTCCGGCTTCGACACGCCGGTGCTCTTGCGTTTCTGCATCGAAGAGAAACCCGACGGTTTTGTGGGGCCCAGAGGAGATGAAAGCCGGCACTTGTAGTTGTTGTTCCATTTTATTCGACATCGACGTCCTTGTGTTTTCGAGCAGGGATGCAGAAGATGTTGAAATAAAATGTGCTGTCGTTGGCTCGTCCTGGTCGTGCGCAGTTGTTGTACTACCGGCATGATCTTCAGCATCTTCTTCTCGCTGTTCCTCACCACGATTGTTCTCAAGCGGTCTGGTGCTATAGAAGTCCTGGCTTGGTTCATCTACGACGACACCATCTTCCGGCTTGCGAGTCGCGGTCCACCGGACTACTTGCAACGCGTTTGCCGAGGAGTAGAAGTTGTACAGATGCGGGGACGACATAAATTCGACGAGTACTGCAACTGAGGCCAAGAACCTTGTAGTTCCCCGCCGTGCCGCCGGCACCTCCAGGTGCTGGTGATTTTGTGTCATCTTCTTGTCGGCGACGGTATCTTTTCTTCGAGAGACCACAGGAGGAGGTCTCCTGGCCGTGGCCGCGCCGGTGGGCGGTTACAATAGTACAACGACAACCCAGGAGCTACTTTTGAATTCGTCGTCCTCGGGGTGCAGAGGGAAGTGTTTCCGACGTTTACATCAAGCACAAATAGGTACGTCTACGTGATATCCGGTTAAGTATGAAAAAAATTTAACTTTTATTTCTTACCAAAATAACAAGTAACTAACAGATCATCGAAAATTAGAATTGGGTGGTCGGCGGGCTCCCTCCAGCATGTTCTTACCACCTGGTTTCAGAATTATTTTGCGACTTTGACTTTCCATGAATTGAAGCTGAAATAAAACTGTCAGTATGTTCAACGGCACCGCCGGAGTACAGGCCAGGTGTATACAAATATCGAAGTGCAACTGCTAGAGCACGCAAGTTGTATCTGGCGCCAGCGGGGCTGCTTGAGACAACTCCCGAGGAGCACAAGTCAGCTCCAAAACCGATGCTCTGCGTTCTTACCATGGTTGAAAGTCGCACCGATTTCTACTGTTCCTACTTTTTCACACATTTTCAAACCGATAGATGCTGCGTGACTATGGTGTGGAAAGAACGCGAGGCCGACTATGTGAAACAAACAGATGGAATGGCTCTCTGAGAAAGTGCACGAGAACTACTGTGGCACGCGCAGCACCGGCAGGGATGAAGAAAAGTAAACCATACACCGACGTCGGGCTTGCTTTGTCTTGAAAACAATGAGCTTCTGCTCCGCAGACGCACAGGCACCGAGAAGCGAACCATCTACGATGGTCACAACATTAAAAACCGACCACTCGTACTAAGTAGAGAACATTACCGATGAAGTTCTTCTTGTAGTACTTTTCGTGCATCATAGAGAGACCGAGAAATGAAGATGAGCATCAGGATTTTGCATACCCGGAACTATCCGTTGACACATGATGTCATCTCTTGCGGATAAACAACATTCGCATGCTGGCGCAAGTCGACCTCTTGCAGCGGGTGCGGGTCAAACTGCATTGATTATTCTTTTTTCTGTAGCTGCACTTGCACTTTTACGTCCTCGCCAACATTTGTTCTTCGACGGCCTCCTTCAACTCCCGCACCCGGGAGATGAGGAATTATCAATCATTATTTCGCCTGGTGTGCTCCGCTTGAGGCACTTCTAAGCCCCGGCGCCGATTTTCATCACCGACCTCCTTCATCGCCGTTCTAGAGCTCGGACGCGTTTTTTTGCGTAGAATGATCAGTGCTTGCTTTTTTCACCTGTTCCTTGATCCATTTTGGCACAAAAACCATCTGGTCGGGATGCGAGGAGTGCGCCATGCGACTCTGCTTCGCCAGAATCTGATCTGCGGGAATGACACTTTTCAAGAACGCCACACCCTTTTCCTGCAGGGAAAACTGCACGACGTTGTCAACCGACCCGTGCCACCAGAGGACGGGGGTGGGTATCCAATGATGTAAATACCTAACGTCATACGCCCCCTCGTTTTGCCCCCCGTTGAATGTTGAGCAGCTGCAGTGTGGAAGGATTTCTTCCCCTAGGGTGAGAAAAAACTACTAGGCCTGCATCTACGAGAAGTTGTCCTACGCACACTGTAGCTTTCACCCAGACGCAGCACTTTCAACATTCTATTGATACAACTTTTCCACCTCCAGCATCTGATTTGAGCGTAAAAAAGTGCAAAAAGATGAAATTGTTTAGTGTAGTGGTCTGTCACATGCAGGAGCAGGTCGCCATCATGACAAAACGATAAACCGGGCAATCATGACAAGTAGAACGTCAACGCTTTCACAGTATTTTCCAAGGGATAGTCTGCTGGTTCAGCTTCGCCTCTTCTCGGAACGACTTTTCGTTCAAGACCCAGCCGGAAAAGCAGATTATACCGCCTAACCGTTTCTCATTGCTGTAGGTGAGCCCGGCGCGGAGGGTAATGGCGCCGCCCTGCGAGAAACCCCCGACGAAAACGTTTTCGGGTGGTATCCTGAGTAAAAACGTACCCACACCAGAGTTGTAATGCAGATTTGCAAAGACAGGAAGACTTGTAATGCGCATCCTGATGAGAGCCATTTCCAATCGTGTTTTGGAATTTGTGATGCTGTGAACAGGATGAGCAGATGAATCTGTGATGCGGCTGCACTTGCTACCCAGCACTACACTGCGGAGTGCAATTTGTCATGCGTGACTCCCAAAACTCCTAGGTTTGTGTTGCAAAATCCCCATCCTGACTCTGGTGTGGGGACGTTTTTACTCAGGATAGGTGGTATCTTGTCACTACCTGGGGGGAGGGGGGAGGTTTTGTACACGCAAAAATAGCTCTGTTTCTGTGTACATAAAATTGGAGATCATATCAAGCGGTACATCATGTTGCGTTTTGTTCAGAATTATCTACCGAAAAATTCCGGTCACTGCAGAAGAGGGTGACTTAATATGACAGTCGAAGGAGTGATTAGTTACTCAGTACATAGAAGACCTTCTTATAGTATACCTGCGGTTAGTTTGTCTATCTCCGCATGCACGAAGCTAACCGAACTGGCAATGTCCTCCTCCTTCGTGTCGGCCTTTTCCACGGTCACTGGGATCTGCTCGAGGTCGTATCCTGTTGAACAAAACAACCGCACCCAAACCAACTTCGCTTGTCATGCACATCTGACGACTCACGCGCGTTTTCGTCCCCATGTAGGCCATTTCTACTGTGGTTTGAACATCTGTCAACAATTACGTGGTGTAAATAAGCCGTAGAATAGAGTGAATTTATTTTCCTGATGCTGCTGGCGCAGCTGTAGTGCCAGCTAAACTACACAACTACTTGCAAAGCGTGTCCACCAAATTTATCCTACTGCAGAGTTCGCAATAGGTGTGGAAATTGGATCTTGCCTCTGGGGCGGGGGGCGTCTTTACGAAGGATAGGTCAAACCAGCTGGTCATGCGCATGCCCTGGTTGGCGGTCACTTTCTGCTCCGATGCTCGCGGTATGCATTCAAAATACCGATCCACTAAATCTGAAGCAAAATAAGTGCAGACGTTTGTCGTAATGCAAGGCTTTGTTGCAACATTTTCTTCATGACTAAGGGACTCTGGTGGCACACAAGCCACAACATAGGCTTTACATCAAAGTTTCCCGTGTGACAAACGGCCTCTTCGCCTCGCGCGACAAAAAAGGGGCACTGGCTCTTGCTGCTCATGCAAGACTGACTTCTGTGTCAACTCGTGGAGACAGCATGAGCAAAGAGAAGTTGCGGTCTTACAACCCAGATCGATATTTGCAATGCATACTGGGAAACCGCCACTGCACGTCGATGTGGCTCTCGGCAAATATATCCGTCCATTCCGATATCAACTGTAAAAATGTCTGGGTCTGGAAGATTGCAACTTGTAATGCTGTCCCTGGATTCCAGAAAAATCTGTATTGCATGACCAGCAACAGGGCTCCAGTTTGTGTTACGCGCATCGCATCGCTTTGACATTTGACTCCTGTCAGGGTGGCGTTAGAACAGATTTAGCCTCTGCCAATACCGTGGCGTTAGAACAGATTTAGCCTCTGCCAATACCCTAGGTGGACACCCGTTCCACGTCCTACAGGTACCACCCGACCGCATCCGCCGAACCGTTTCCGATTTCTTACGCGTGCGTACGGCCAGTGGGCGCTAGATGTGGCTGACCTGATTTACCATCCAAGCCCGCGAGCACGGTGGAGCTCCAGCGTTGCCTTGTTGGGTTATTCTTACAAACTTTGAACGCTACTGCTTCTGTGGTCGGTTGCGCGCTAGATATACAGGGGGTCTATTGGTCACACACGTTGACCCTATCACGATGACGGGCAACCCCAAAGCATGCCCCTTTCAAGCACTTTACCGACCTATTTCCGCGCACCCTTTGTATGCGCATAGGTAGAGTCGGACTTTGAAGCTCCGCGTTGGCAGAGCCGCCACCGCGCCCGCCCCGGGGGGGCCCCTTGGGGAAGGGGGGGTGCTGCCTTAGCGCAGTCTTTAAAATAACAACCCTGCCACTCTACTAATAAATCTCCTGGCATGCAAACTCCCAGACACTTGCACTTCTTGTGTTTTTTGTCCTTCAACCCATGCCCCCACCCATCTTTCCTTTTTTCTTTTTTGCCCCGCCCACCCAAGTCTTCTTCTTTTTTCTTCTATTACTTTCCCCCCCCGTCTTCTTTTCCACTTTTCGGTCGCTCCATTTTTGTGTATGTCTCTTCGTTCTTTTGCCCACTTTAGGGGCCCTACGCAAAAGGATCTCCGGCCAGCCAGAAAAAAAAAAGGGGCTGCCGCGCAAAACACAAGGAAAACCAGCCAAAAAAGGGGCTGTCGCGCAAAACATAGGCGACGCAGTATGAAAGTATGTACGGGGCGGCATCTAAAGTCTACAATGGTAGTAAAGCTAGCGCTAGTAAAAAAAAAAACATGAAGATTTTTTATGGAGGTTTTCTCCTCACGCTAGTAAACATTTATAAGGATCTCTCGCCCCTACCAAGGTCTAACTACTGTGATCATTGAAGTGTGTGTGTGTGTGTGTGTGTGTGTGTGTGTGGAGCGCGCGCAGATCTAGAAGGACGCATGAGGAGAGGATCTAGGACACATGGTCGGAACACAAATCGATTCGTCAAAGAGAGGGAATACGCGGAGAGGGCATTTCTCATGCGGAATAGGCATTAGGAAGCCCTCTAAAAATCTGCGTTGCTAGATCATGCATTAGAGGCATCAAGCGTCTGCATACAAAATGCGCATGACAAGTCTGCATTCTTCCAGACCCAGACACTTTTGCATTTGATATCCGACTGCAGCGTCTCTTGCCACCCGTGCTCAGTGTCGCCCAAGCCGTGCAACCAAATGATGCCGATCTTTGTGCTTAGCGACCCAGACCCGGGCGTCATTCTTTTCTTTGGGAAGGTAAAACAGATTTGTGTGTACTAGTACTTAATATAATCAGTGAAGTACTGAGGTCGAGGTGTGTCTAGTATGCTATATGGGCAGAAGGGAGTCTCCCGTGCTTCGAGTAAATTTAAAGACCAATGCGGCTCTCGGCCTCGGCTGCAAAAACTATCAAAAAATTATGAGGCCGAAACGTCCTTCACCTCCCGTGGCTTTCACTATAAGCAAGTACCTCCTGTATGTTTTTCCCCTTCAGTCATTTTTTTTGATCGCGCTGAAAAACAGGAAATAATTTCATCGTCATGCATAAGCGTCAAGATCTTGCTCTTTTTTGGTGTGCGATCGACAACGTCGGCATGAGTGTCCCTATGTTGATCTTGCGCGAACAACATTCTACGGGGTTCACCAAAGGTAGAACTCCTCCTTTATCAGACAGACATGATCTACGAGGTACTTCTAGGTACGACTCGTAGCGCCCTATAGTCATCTTTTGACCAGTTTTTATTTTCACACTTACTTTGAGTTTCACGACTTGAGGTGTGTCACTGCCAAATTGTCTCAACAAGAATGTTTTTATCACTGGTTTCGAAAATTTCAGAAAAAACACTTCATCAGCCCCAGCAGCGAATCCATCTTTTCGGACAGGTATCAAAATGAAAAACCCCTCCTCCTCATACTATATTCAAATGACGACTTCTGTTCTTGCTGGATTTGCGCCGTACACAAAACAGCTTTAATCATATATTGCGCTCCAGCATAGACGCAGGCGAAACCCAAACCGCATCACAGAATACGTCCCTCCATGGAGGCCTATCTAACATCCCCTGTGTGCAAGACATTACATTTGTATGCACAAATGAGCATGACAACTGTCAAATTGGAGTACGGGGAAAAAATGGGATTTTTCTTGACCATACCAGGTGGTTCGCGGTCATCGCCGAATCGTCCGTCTCGACGAGATACAGCATCGTCAGGTTTAGGTTCTGGATCGTGTGTTTTTGCCTTGCGGAGTCCGTTTCGAACTCCTTGTGTATGCTGTCGATGGAGTCCACAATGGCCGTCTCGCAGTCCCGCCACAAATGGGGCGGCACATCCGCCTTCACCACGATGACCGGAGCCTCCTGGCCGTAAAACCCCGAGGACGAGGCGAAATCCCCTTGGGAAATCCGTTATCAAAATGAGAAGTCGACGTCGTGGTTTTATCCCAAGAACCCCAGAACTACAAATAAGTGCGTCCAATATGCAGTGTATTTTTGTTCCCAAAAATGTAAAAGCAGAAGCATATTCATGCTTCTTTGCATGAATGAGCAAGAGGAGGACTGTCAGTAGAGCGGTGCATTTTGCTGCATTTTCACGCAAGCAGATGACATCATCAAACGAATACTACAAGTCCGTCGTGGGAAGTTAGCACCACAGGGGACATCTGATGTTTTCACTTTGTTCCGGGAGCGGGACGACGACCACGCCGCTTTTCGTTCTGATATGCGTTGGTCGTTCTTTTCCAACTTCGTGTTTTCCACGAACTGGTTCAGCATCTCCCACCGCGCCTCGAGAATTGCCTGTTGCTCGTTCTTGTTCAACTTGTTTCCCGGGGCAGCCCGGCAGTTGCCCGCCAGCGCCAGCCGTTCCTTTGACTCCTGCAGCGTCTTCACCAGGAAATCATACTTGAACAGATCCTTCTTTTCTCGTTTGGTCCGCGCCTATCAAGCTGAAAAAATTGATTACCCCCGACCGCCCACAGTGGAAAGGTGTTTGCATTCTTGCAACGGAATAAACAGTCATGATCTTCCCGTTGCATACGCATAGAAACCCTAGCAACACAAATTTCAATATCATTCGCTGCAGGGAACCAAAAAAAAAATAACTTGCGTCGGAAAAGAATAGCCCAGAAATCATCGTGAGGCTTGCCATGTGCTTACCGCATCTCACGCTCGAAGCGTGAAGCCGCGAGAGTGGTCCTCGACCTATTGCATCCTTTCATGCAAGACGCACAAAAGATTCCACGTGGTCAAGCCCTATTTATTGCAGCATACAGAAACTTTTCTAAACGTCTACTGAGGTGTGCGGGGCGGCCTACTTTTTCTGTTTGATAGCTTCTTCGCGCGGTTTACCAGGCCCCGCTGCCGCTTCCACTCTTCCTCCGCTTGCTCCTCCTCTAGGTCGCTGTCGATCTCGACGTCTGGGTTCTCCTCACGCCGCCGCTTCCGGTCCTCTTCGCGCTGCACCTTGGCGACCAGGTCCTGCAGGTTGAACTGCCCCTCGCCCTCGTTCAGCCGGTCGGTCGCATACTTCTGCCGGTCAAATTCGGCGTCGATGTTGTCCTCGTTTTGGACGAGGAAGGCGTCCTTGCCAAACGCGTCCTTGTTCTCGTTCTTTCGGTTCACACGCTGCTTCAGCACGGGGTGCGTTCTATCACACAGAAAAAAGCGAGCTTGAAATGGCAGATAGCTTAGCTTTGATGTTACCATGTGTCGTGTGTGTGTCTGGAAAAAAATTAATGCAAAAATAAATGCCCAGAAATAGCTGTCATGGGAGAGCCCATAGCGTGCCGTTTGGAACATGGTTAATTTCACTAGTACAAAATAAGTACAACAAATTGCAATGCAAATGATAATATGCTCCTTTTATCCTACTGCTTTTTCCATCGGATAATTCCACTGGATGCGGTTGGAGTCCGTGTGTCGGTAGAAAAACTTTCCCATGTGTTCGTCGAAGTGCTCCGTCTATCGTAAGGAAAATTCCCCATATCGGGACGAAGTTTCTGATGCTGGACTTCCGTACACAAATGCGTGCTGTCTTGCAGTAAGGCATTGCAGCCAGATCCTCAGCCTATTTAGGGGCGTTTGGGTCTAGTTGTTTAGCATTACAAACGGCTGTCCCCTAGGTGCAACAGCATGCCAAATCGCTTCCATAATGGCGCGGAAGCCTCTGCACTTGTCTGCTTGCAAGACAGACGCGATTTGTGGCCTCAAATCAGCAACACAAATTTTCGGAATCATGTCGCTTCGATATGGGGAGGGGGGATTTTTACATTTGATACCGTCCAGCCCTTGGGCAGCTCGCACTTCAGGTTTTCGAATTTCAACTTCTTGATTTGGTTCGTTTCCACGTTCCGGTTCGTCAGCATCTTCACCAGGTACCGCTTGGTTTCCTCGTCGAAGTTCACGACGATTCCCTTGCTGCCGTTCAACAATTTCCCCGCGTCGCTGGTCAGGTCCTTGATCTCCACTTTCGTGTTCTGCGGAATGTCGGCGGTCCACTTTTTGTCCTCCTTGTCGTTCTGAAACTTCGCTTGGTCCTTGGCAAACATGAGGTTGCCCGCCCGCACCGCGATCTCGATCTTCAGCTTCTCGAACAGAATCTGGAACCGCTCGCTGGTCGCGTTGTAGGACTTCACAATCGCAAATTCCCCGTTCAGCTCCGGCTTTGCCTTCAGCCCGATCACCTCCACGCGGGACCCCGGCGTGAACTTCTTCACCGGGTCGTCAGCGTCGTTGTTTGCTGTGGAGTCCTTGTTTTCTTGCCCGTCATTCTTGGCCCCCGCCCCGGCGGCGGAACTGCTGCTGCTGCTGCTGCCGCCGCCGCCTGCACCTCCCGGGGCAATTTTCACCGCGCCGTCGCCCGCGTTGATATCGGTCAAACCGTGCAGCTTGGCGATCCGGTCTGCCTCCACCATCTGCTGCTTCGCCACCAGCGGCACGTAGTCCACCTTGCGCTGCAGGCAGTGCTTGACGAACTGATAGTAATCCCGGGCCTTTTCCTGCTCGTCCTGCTCTTCCGTCGTGGGTTTACTGTTCGTGTTTTTTTCGCTCGCCACCTTCAGCGGGTCAATCAGCTTGCCGGTGCGCTCCTCGATTTCGAACTTGCGGCTCGTCCCGTCGTTTTCCCGGAGAAAGTAGTACATTTTCGGGTTTTTCGTGAAGAACGTGTGCTCGCAAAAGTCCGGGTCCTCCTGCTGCAGGCACTTGCTCGCAAACTGCTCGATCATGCCCCGGATGCGGGCGTCCTTGGGGGGCAGCCGGGGCAGCAGGTCGCACTTCCCGATCAGTTTTTCCTTTTTCTTCTTTTCCTTCACCTCGTCCGCGCCGAGAAAACCGCCAAAGTAACTGTAGTCGTGGTAGTACTCCCGCTTTTCGCGCGCGTTGAAGTCGAAGTTCCCGTCTTCGTCGAACAAATGCTGTTGGTGCTTGTCGTAGTCCGGGTGGCCCATCTGGCCCGGCCGCGGTTTGCCCGCCATGGTGATATAGTCTTTTCGGGCGGAGGTACTACTACAACAGGCTCTATGTTTTTTACGTCGATCTCAAATATCAAACTGGGTTCTTCGTTGTGTGACTTCAGAAGGAGGAGAAGCCTAAGTAGATGAGTTCTAGTTCATCTAGGGGGGAAAATCAAAAAGCATTACAGGGTGTAGTTGCCTGGACACAATATACTTCGTTCAACGTCTATCTGCGTAGAGTCGTAGTACTTATGATCTCCATCCAATTTGCTCCCGTGCCTGTGACGGAGCGAAAATAAATCGATCGTTAGTCTTCATGCGTTTTCAGTTAGAAGTTCATCAAGTTGTGGGTGAAAAAAAGGGGACCTTGCAGTTTTTGGCGAAGATCTTCCAAGTCGTCCTTAAAAGTATTACTTTCCTCGAAGACAGAGGACCTTCTGCTGCTGCTTCACAATTACTTACGGCAAACAGGGCTTTCACTTGTTGTGGTGGAAAAGCGAAAAAGAAAACAATCCTCCGGGGAGTGAGCAAGGAAGGAGTGCCGGATTTCGATTTTGTCATACAATTGATGCAATTCGATTTATTCGGTACTACTGCCAGCTACAGATTTGAAGATCTTCACGAGGGACCCTCGTCCGGCGCAGGACCTGCTGGTGCTGGTGTTTTCTTTTTTACCAGGAAAAAATGTACCTACTTTAAGCCTCATCTTTTGCAGCTGTACCAAAACGGCCAGCAAATCTTTACGAGTTTTTTAGAACATCATCAAACCAAGTTTCTCATCGCCTGCGCTTTCTTTTGAAAGCGACGCTTTGCTCAGCCGCATCTTTTATTTTCATTTCTATACCAGCTGTGTTCTCGGAATACTGTTCTTCGCCTTCGCCCGACAGATTGACATAATTCCCGCACTCAACACCATCTGAGCCGGAAACACCATACGGACTGGATGCAACAAGAAGTCCACATGATTTACGCCCGACATTAATTCCATTGCTCTCTGGGAGCAGGTCACCAGGATAAGCTACTCACAACTCCTGCCCCGTATTTCCTTGCAAATATCATCTATCTAAGCAGACAAGTAGAAAACCTCACAATCAGTAATCATCCAAAAAGGTCGTAGTTCAACGTCTTACTCCACCGCTGCCGTCTTCGCCCCGGCACTGCCGCTTTCCGCGTTCTTTTCGAATTTGATGCGGTTGTTTTCTTTGTTCAGCGCGAATATGCGCACGATCCAGTTCTCGCTGGTGAAAACCTCGGTGCAGTTATCAAAATGGAAAGTGCACCCCCACCCCCAGAAAACTACGGAGCAAACTTCCCGCACAGAAAGGGACTCTTTGTCTTGCATGCGCAGAATTTTTTGTTTCAGAATCTTCTGAGCCAGCTTTTATAAAAGTAGCTTCTACATGACCACAGACATCGGTCATTTTTCTGTGGCGCAGTGCAAGAACAACCCAGGAGGCATTCGGTACTCTGGTTTGCAATAAATTTACCATGCCGATACAGCCAATGTCGGTGCTGGCAATTGTTGTTTTTACATGAACGTTGGGAACAACAACTTGTGCGAACACATTTCCCAACTCTGGTGGCGTGAAGGCACTTCTCGCTTTGATAGAAGTGCGTGAGCTCGAACTCCGGTTTGGCCAGCATGGTACCTCGAATCATGTCCTGGCCGCCGGTGATCTCGGCCAGCCGGTGGAACGCCAGCTTGTAGATTAGCGAGTTCAGAAACTTCTCGCTGGCCCCCTGCCCGGTGGTGTAGCCGCCCGGGCCGATGAAGTCCGACTCGGAGATGCGGTTCGGGTAGACCCCCTGGGCGATGCGCACGGGCCACAGGAATTTGTTCACGTCGTCCGAGCTGTACCGCGCCACGGAGCCGGACAGGACCAAAAAGTAGTCGGCGTCCAAAGACTTCAGGATCTTCCACGCGGTTTTTTCGTCGGACCCGAGCACGAGCCCGATGGTGGCAATGTGCGTGTTGTTCCAGGTGTTGTTGTCCACGATCACCGTGCGGTTTGCCATCACGGTGAGCTGGTAGCCGTAGTCCCACCAGCTGGCGATGGTGGCCTTCTTGTGCGTGTTCTGCCGGATCCAGTAGTAGGCCTCCCGGAAGTCGTCCTGGATGATCCGCGTGCCGTCCCGGAGGTTACTCGCCATCACGATCGAGGGGGAGGAGTAGGCCGTAGAAGAGATCATGGTACAGTGGGTCACGTACTTTGCGAGGGTGAAAAACAGCACACTGGCTACCAGGATGGAGGACGTCTATCGTGGTCGAACAAGAGGACTTTTCTTGCTGATTACTTGACACACGCAATGGTAACCACCATAGCATAAAATTTCAATTTCAAGCAGCAAAAAACCATGAGAAAATAACTCCGCACACTTAACCCAATCAATCACGTCTCTCCGTACCTTGAAGTGTTTTGCGATCGTTTTTGGGGGCTCGCAGTGTCGCAGGTTCGTCATGAACACCGTGAGGACGTGGCTCGTTCCCAATCCGGACAGGCAGCAGCAGGCGGGAGACATCACGAGAAGAAGACGGATCATCACCTAATTTGCGTTTGCCACAGCATGGAGGACTTGTCAGATAAACTTTTTAAACGGCGTACTTTCATGTCCCAGGACATACTTTACCTCCTTCATCGAGCGTCAAAACGAGAGGCATACGAACATAGAGATAGAAGTTGAATAAAATCAGATGCATTTAATATCCTCTGACGCTTGTTTTTAAAACTTCTTACCCCCGAGAAATAGGTCGACAGCAAGCCGAAGACGCCGAGAAAAAGCAGCCCAAACGACCGGTTCCAAAAGCAGTGAAACAAGCCCAGCGGCAGAAGGAAAACCTGAAAAATTTATACGATGTTTTTCCTCCTGTATTTCCATTCACAAAAACTTCTACGATTGACCGTTATTAGCAGCGCAAACGCCTACTTTTCTCATGTCGCATCGCCAAGCAGGTGACCCTTTTGTGCGGGCATGAAAGAACGCACATTTTCATTTTCTTTTTAGTACCATGACATGCAGGTCCATCACGTAATTGATCCAGGTTGTCGGCTGGTGTTCGGACACTGACGCGATAATAGGGATGTAATTTCCCGTATGCACTGCAAACATGATGTCTGTAGTATTGGAAAAGTGCGAAGTTCGTGGTGGCGCGCTCTGCCTGTCACACAAAAACCTCTCTTGCATGAGTTGCAAAAGATGCCCCCTTTTGGTCACGCTGAGCGGTTGGGCATAATTCCCAAGGCCTTGCAGAACCTGTGTTGCTACGCCCTGCATCATTCCAGATCCAGACTGTGCGAGGCCTGATGAAAACTCCTGCATGACGAACTTCTGCATCTTTCCAGACTGAGATGACTACATTTTTGCATTTGATATCTCGCGTACGTCGGATCAAGCAAGGTCAGACTCCGTCCCGACCACTGCGACTTGTATCAAAGTGAAAAAACAAGCCCCCTCTACCCCAGAGAACTCAAACCGAGATTTCATCTTAAGCCGGATTTGCAATTCAGAATCCTATTCTCAACCGACTGCGGTGAAGTGCAGCAGGTGAGTAAAAATCTCCCTTTTGAAGAGGATGGGGTGGGGGGACATAGATAATTTTTCCCCACGATAGCTTTCCCGTCATGGTCAGATACGTGACCAGCAGCAGGAAAAAGCACAAAATGACCGCGATGATGCCCCTACCCGACAGCAAAAACTTTGTCGTTTTGATCTTCCAACCGGCCAGATTTGGTGCGGAGAAAGGAGACCCGCCACTTGTCCCGCGGCTCATGCTACCCTTGCTCCGGGACGATGAACTTGCGGCGACACTAGAAGTACCACTACCCTCCGTCTGCAGGCCGGTTAGCAGGTCGGTGAAGACTTCGGATTTCTTCAGGCTCAGGACGTACTTGGAGAGCTTGTACGCCTGGCACAGCATAAAAATCCCGTGGCTCGCCAGGTGCTCCGACGACTTGACCGCGCCCATGTTCACAAACGGAATGTTGAGGCAGAACACGGTTCCCAGCACGTACCACAGGCAGTAGGCGACATAGGCGGAGCCGGACAACCGGTCGAGACAAAGGAGCGCGAAGGCTGATAGGGTTTTTCAAATGACATGTTTCGACATCTCATGGCCGAGCTCACATGAGAAATATTTGTTTCCCTCGACGGGTAGATCATGGATAGTAAATAAGTCTGACACGACAACAGATATTCACTTCGAATACCGTAAATCGCGATCGTGTTTGTCAAGAAGACGTAGCCACCCCAGGTTGAGAGCGATATGGAAGGGGACAAACATGTTCATTTCAGGGGATTGCGACGCATTCGACCCGCATCAATAAGGATGGAATTTTATCTGATCGCACACAAGCAGCATTCAGAAGGCAAGTAAGTACTTACTTCTTCTGTGTGGAGCCCTCGCAATAGCAATGGAGAACTTCGTTGAAATCTATCTCACATCAGATGAACCGTTTTTGAAATAAGCAAACGTTTATTTTTCCCATTCCATAGCCATGTACAGGTAGCTAAACGAGGCCAGCACCGCATGAAACATCGTTCCCTCCTTGACCGCCCGAATGAAATTGTAGAAGGCAAAAATGTATCCCGTGGAAAAGTATCGGCGTCGCACGACTTGCAATTCAGCATGACAGACCTGCTTTGAATATGTCAGCTCAATCAATACAGATAGATACGCATGTTGACTGCATTCGTTTGTATTTCGATTTCCTGTTGGGCAATAGATTTTGCATGCGACCTGTGCTAAAACGATACTTTTGCACTCCTTAACACCAGCGCGAAAATGGCCACGCACTCGTTGTCGTACGATCCCGCCACCGAGCGCGACAAGTAGGAGGGGCAGATCGCCATGAAGAATGCCGCCACGAGCCCCGCTTCCGGCTTACTCGTAATCTCCTTCGTCAGACAGTACGCGGAGAGGGAGGTGAACGCCGCGAACGTCGGACCCATAAACACGCAGAGGTTTCGCACGTTCACCACCAGGCTATGCATGGCAAATATGCCTGGGTCTGGAAGCATGCAACTGAACTTGTGACGCTGTCTGTGGATTCTGTAAAAATATGTATTGAATGCGCAGCAAGAACATCAGTCCAGGCTTTGCTACTACCGAAGGGGGCGTCTCTGATGCAGCAGAGGCATGAAGAAGCTCTCAAAAACTCTGTGATCATACGGCCTGGTACATCACAGGCATCATGGCTCATGCAAGATGCGCATCACAAACGGCGCACTTCTTTTCCAGACCCAGACGTATTTGCATTTGATACAGGCCGATGGAGTGCAATACGCCCTTCAACACTGCAGTGGTGGTCATCAGACCCGGAATATCAAATGCAAAAATGTCTGGGTCTGGAAGGTCACAACTTGTGATGCTGTCTGTGGATTCTAAAAAAAAACTGTATTGCATGACCAGCAAGAGGGGTCGGGTTTGTCCTACGTGGAGAGGGCATTTGTCATGTGGTAGATGTATCACAAAGCCCTCTAAAAATCTGTGATGCTATGGCATGCAGCAGAGACATCATGGCTCATGGAAAATATGCATGACAAATCTAGAAATCTTCCAGACCCAGACATTTTTACACTTGATAGGGAAAGAGCGTGTGGCCGATGACGCGCCCGAGCGGGTACCAAGACTGGTCGTCGAACCAGTTCCAAAACTCCAAAAAACCGTGCTCGGAGAGGTAGTTTGTCGTGCGGTAGTTGAAGTAGGGGTCAAACTCGTGGATTACGGACTCGAACCGGATCACGGCGAACAGGCGGATGCAAAATATCAACTGCAAATTATATCTCTCAGTCTGGAGGATTGCAAGATTTGTCATATGCTTGTTTCGTGAGATTCTTTTATTAAGTCGGGCATGCATGCTGCCGAAGCGCTCCGCGCGCTTGCCATATGCAAGAGCGGTGTATTCTATTTGTAGTCCTGCGCAAGAACCAACTCAGTTTAACTAGTCATGCTTCTTCTAACCTGTGTACTGACATCTCCGTACTATCATTCCCCAACCTGCCTCTCCAGTCTATTCTCCAGACCGAGACATGCCTGCCCTTTTGATACAAAACGCAAGGAGGCAAATGACCCCGAGAATTACCACGCGGAGCACCGGCGCCCAGGTTTTCCCCGTGAAGAAACTGGTTTGCGCCAGCCGGGACTGGAACAACGGCTGCAGTGTTTTTTCCTCGACTTGCACAAAAACCTGGGTAAGCACGTCCAGTTCCGCGGGCTTGCGGCTGTCGGCGGAGAAGTTATCATTGCTGCTGCCCCTCTTGCTGGAGGTGGGTCCTATCATTTTTTCTTCTGACGACGATCCGGCCTCATTTTTGGAACTCGACTGCCCCTCAGACTTCGCATTGTTCCCGCCTCGGCCTGCTCCGCCGCGTTTAGGCGGCATGTTCGACGGGAGTGGACTGGGGTTCGGTTGAAGTAGAGCGTATTTCAAGACGCTGCTTTGGTTCCAGCGAAGATTTCGAACGATAATCCGAGCGGGATTCTCTACGACGTCGTTCTCTAGTTGCTCCTTACCACCAATTTACGGTATAACGCAATAAGAGAAGCGAAACGGGGGCTGCTAGGAAAAGAGCTACGCAAATAACCACGAGAACAGTTGAACTAAAACGGAACCGAATGAGTCAATGACACAGACAGGACGTCGAAATAAAAATGCTAGAAAAGCAAAAAAAAAATACTAACTGCAAAACGGCAAAAGAAAAGATCACAACAAAGAAACTGAAGCAGATCATCATGAAGATCTTTCTTCTGTTCTTCCATGACGGATCGCCGAAAGAGCGCGTAAACTTTTTTCTGTGATCTGGCTCAGTCAGCTTTTGGGCTACTTACTCTGGGCGACATGAATGGAACACGACCGAGCTATGCTTCTCTACGGACGGACAGGTTATAATACGAAGCAACCGTATTGTTTCCTGCAGTGACCAGCAGTCGTCGTTCTTCACGTTTATTCACATGGCTTCATTCTGATTCATTTTGCAAAGTGATAGATACAAGAGGCGCAACGTAGCGTGTTTGTACATGGGGAGATGGGGGGCTCGTGTTTCATTTCTTTATCTGTGTATCTTCAACCGGTCGTGGCAGGCCGTGTAGAAGTCCGTTAAATTCTCCAAGATGATGATTGTTCTGTCGGTGGCGTTGTTCTTTCAGGGATGCAAACAGATCATGCCTTTTTCCGTGCTATCTTCTCTCCCAAGTTCGAGGTTCGATAGGTACATGATTTCATCCAAGGTGGGGGTGAGTTGGAGTTCTTAGTGTGCCGAAGGCATATAGTACTTTTCTTCGTGGCAAAAAGACGACCGCTTGTACAACAGATTCTGATTCATTACTCTCCTCGTCGATATTGCAGCAGAACTAAAGGGGGTACCTCTAGTACGGCTCGATATTATTTCCAGCGTAGCAGGGTAACAATCTTCTTGCAGCAAAATTCTAGACAGGGCTACGCCAAAGGGGACGCGCCGATGTTCATTAGCTTCAGCAATTCACTCTTGTGCTTTTGGATAAGATTAAGATTGTAAAGATTTGACATTCATCGTATAGTTGTACTTACTATCAATTTTGAAGTTATTCGTTAGATTTGGTGTTATCGTAAAAGCACTTGGCTCAACATTCGCGTTTATTTCAACCTCATGTTCCCAGCAGCGCCGCCTGCAAGCCCGCTTGGTCGATGGTTGCGCCCTGCAAATTTTGGTTGTTCATGGACATTTCCTTGCTCATGGTGGCGATCACTTGCTTCAGCCGTGAGAGTTCCTTGCTTTCTTGCTGCTTCGACACGTTGTTTGTGATCAACTTCGCGCGACTCGCGTAGTTCATGGTGCCCATGGATTCCTCGGCGTTACTGGCCGCCGGGGAGCAGTTGGCGAACATCAGCGTCTTCGCGTTCCCCCCGAGCGAGTCCGACATCAGCTCCGTCAGCTTGTGGTTGCGGTACGGAATCTGCGGATATTATTTTTAGTGCTTGGAAATGCACTATTTTGGTACATTTTACCACCAGAAGATGGATCTTGGTTCCTATTATCTTCGCATGACAGACGGAGGCTTCAATCATGCTAATCAAGCTACATCTTTATCTTTTCCTGTGCTTCGTGACGAAAGTAGAGATGAAAGCAATGACAGTACGTGTTTCGCTTTGCTCGTGAGCGCCTCGATGATATCAAAAGGAAAAATCCCCCCTCCCCATATTGACAAGGTACGTTTTCGAAAATTTGCGTTGCTGATTTGTGACCACAAATCGTCTCTGTGTTGCATCAAGGCAACTGCACAGGCTCCGCCGCATTCTACAGGCGGTTTGTCATGCTCATGCTCCTACAGCATAAACGTCTGCCATGCTAAGCGCCTAGGCCAAAACCTGTCTTCTCAGGCTTGATATGGGCCTGCAGTTCTCGCCAGCAAGACAAGTCGGATTTGTGTACGCAAATCCAGCATCAGAATCGTCGTTGTGATATGTGGAGGGGGGATTTTTCCTTTTGATAGATGACATCCCCCAAGGCGGTTAGCGATTTGTTGATCGCCATCGCCTCCTTGGCCTGCTCGCCGGTCGCTTCGGACTTTTTCAGCCGTTCGCTCCCCGCCAGGTCGACGAGCGAGATCTTTCCCAGGGCCGTGGTTTTCTTGGATCTGTTGTAGACTTCCAGCAGAATGGTGGTGATCAAATGTGAACGGGACGAGTCGGTGTTCATTTTGGTCGCCGCCGTGTGCCGCTTCTCCATGCCGCGATCGAGCCACATCTGGATATGCACTGCAAACATGTTTGACTCTGGAAAAGCGGAACTTGTGTTGCCTGTCCCGCACAGCTGATAAAAAATCTGTATTTTCTTTCCGGCAAAGAAAGCGCAACTTTCTTCGCGATGCAAAAACGCAGAATGTCACCTCTGTGACGCATGAGACAGCAGCAAATGAACTTGTCATGCTTGGCTGCACTTGAAAGCACCAGAAACATAGGACGTTCGCATCACAAATGTCCAGGTGGGTGCCTAGACATATTTGCAGTTCATACTGGAGTTCCTCTGCCGATTGCACCTCCATCTCCGAGACGTTCTCGATGTAGATGGTCCCGCGTATGAGTTGCAAAAGTACAATTGCGCTCGTAGTAATTGCAGACATGCCCGACAAACCGCCTTCCTAAACTTCTAAAACCGCATTTACAAATTCCAGCATCTGTATCTGTCATACTAAGCTTTTTTGTAAATGGAATTTACACGAGAAGTGCGATACTTTTGCGAGGGATACCGCGCGAGTCCCGCTTGATCTCTAGCTGTCCGGGTGATTTCTTCTTGCCGTGCAGCAGCAAGTCGGCAAGTTCGTCGCGGTACACCTCCACCATGTACACTTTCACCTGTAGCAGCGATTCGCTGTGCACTACTCTGAACAACATGAAGGTGATACAGCTGTGCAAATGGTTCTCTATTGATTGTCATCGGACGATTTTTTTCCAAGTGCCAGAACGATACCCAAGCAACTACTAGCTTTCCTAGACTGCTGGACCACGTAGTTCAACACATTTTATACCTTGATCTCGTAGCGGTTGCTATTTTTCGTTTTGATAGTGAAAATTTCTTTAATCGTTCGTGGCACTAGCCCCGCCTGTTCGCCCTCGCCGCCGTACATCGTGTGGGTTTTGCCTGCGCCCGTCTATGCATTGCAAACATCGGTCTGGGTCAGGAAGTTTTTTTTGTAATGCGCGGCCAACAAATCTGTGACTCCCACGTTGACATGTGACGCACGTAGCGTAAGCGCGGTGTGGCTTCTTTGTCACGACGCAATGCCGCGACTACTTCTCATGCGGAGTAGTAGGCGACATACAGCTACTAAATCAAAATTCGTCTCGCGCGGCCGTGCATTGCCCGCTGCTTCTCATCATCCTTCCACATGGTACCAGCATGACAACTTTCCAGACGACCCAGACACATTTGCATTTGGTATCGTTTGCCCGTACGCAAAAATGGTGATGTTGTAGCCGTCTACCGCGGATTGGATCAGATCCTTGCGATATCGGGAGAAAAAACTGGCCCAGTCTCAACTTGGAATGCGGAAGCCCCTTGGAATGCAGTTTTTCTGATATGCTAAAATAAAATCGAAGAATAAAGTAGACACCTGTTCCACCACATGCAGGTTTGTTCTCTTGCTAGTTGAATAAGCATCCGAGGTTTATTTGTCTAAGTCCTCATCCAGCTTCGCGAATTTGTGTTGCTCGGCACTGAGTGGTCCCTTACCTAGTATGGTAATGCAAGGGCTTAAGTGGATGAAGACATTTTTTTTCTCCTCCTGGGATATGCAATCTCGGAACACCTGCTCCTGTGTGTTGTTGTGGTCAAAGATCCCGTCGAAAGTGTATTCCTTGTTTTCCCGCCTTTCCGCGCGCTTCAAATTCACGGAGAACTCGTCCAGCTTACTCAGCCACTGCTCTTCGTTGTCGTTTTTCTCTTTGGCGATCAGCGGCCGAACCCGCGCGTACACCCGAATCGCGCCCTTCAGCTCCTGGATTTGGTTGTGGTACTTCCGTCGGATTTATCACAGTGCACAGCACCTCCCCGCCCTCCCGCGTTTCACTTGTACGCATTTATGCAAAAAACGAATAGTGCTCGGTGTTTCACTATTGTGCATGACAAGTGTCGGGGTGATGTTGATCTCTATGTCAAACAGCACTGCACTCCAAGTGTCATTCACTTGTCATGCGCAAAGAACTGCAGTGCAATTCGTTGCTTTTGCTTCTATTGCTGTAGGCCGGATGCAAAAATGCGAGTAAACAGGAGGGGGCTCTTGTCCTCATTGTGCACTCGGATACTATTGCCTGTTCCTCCGCAAACATGTGTTCTAGCTGCACGTTCCGCTGCTCGAGTGGCTTCAGCGCGCGCTCGGCTCGCTCCGCGCGCTCGGTATACTCCTCCAGCGCGTGCAGGCCCTTCTTTGCGCGATTTAACTCGGACTCCGCGTTTTCCAGCGACGTTTTCAGCTCTTTCACTTCGGCTTCCAGGATCCGTATCCTCTCCTTCTTGGAATCCAGGTCCGACTGCAGCTGCCTGGTTTCCCGCGCCTTGTCCTCGCGCGCTTTGGATAAATCCGCTTTGGCTACCGATAACTCCGACTGCTTCTCCGTCAGACTGTTTTTCGTGGAGTGTATGCAAGAGAAAAAATCTGTAGTGTAAGTGTAAATCTGCGAAGACGCGGAAAATAAATCGACGCCCAAGTAGATTTGTCATGCTCGTCACGCACCGTAGAATCTTGACTTCGAAGAGATACTATCTGTGACTGCGCACTCTCAACAACATGAGACAACTTTTCGCTGTCATGCCACGTAAACTTGTACTTCTCGTTCTTACTGTTCCTCCAACAACAATAAACTTACACTACTAGCACACTTTTTTCCTTCCATAGACTTCAGGTCGTTTTCGATGGTTTGCAGCTTCACGGTCATATCCCACAGAAAAAAGCTGGCAGGGCATATTTGTAATGCAAAAATAAATACGAAGAAAAATCTGTCATGGGCGGCCTCATAACATGCTCGTTAGGATACACAATACAAATTTTTTCTATTTGTATTTTGTCTATTTATTTTTGCATTACAAATATGACCTGCCAGTTTTTTTCTGTGTGATAGGTCAGGGCGGCCACGTCGCCAGAGGACTTCTGCTCCGATTTTTTCACCAGTTGCTCCGTGATTTCTTCGTTTAGCTTCTTCAGTCGCTCCTTTTCGTCTTCTAGTTTTTTCTTCCACTGATCATCCTTTTCCTGCAGTTGCTGCTCCAGTTTCTTGATTTGCTGCTGCTGCGCTTTTATTCACTGCAAAGGTAGCGTACTAGCTGAACAAGTCGCAAGATCAATTTTCCCGAAAGGAAAAACGGAATTTGTATTGATGCACAAATTCACATAGAGAGCGTGGTTGCTCATATAGTACTGCAATTTCTCAGTCAGTATTGCGATTTACGAGTTCGCCAATAGTGCGTTTGCGGTGCATAGTTTTGTCCTGTTCGTTCTGCTTATTCTGAAACTCCCGCTCCTGGTCCCGGCGCTGCTGCGACACTTGGGACGCCAGTTCCTTGTTCGCCTTCGCGGTGGTCTCCGCAGATTTCAACTCCGCCTGCACTTTTTCCAATTGTCGCTTCAGCTCGCGGTTATCGTTCGAGAGTTTCTGATTCTCTTGCTGCAGCTCGGCGGCGATTGTGGAAGCCTGATAATCGTTCCTTATCTTACATCAAGGTTTGTTTGTGTGTGTGCATCTGTTGTACTCACACTACATCCGATGCATAAGTCTAAGAAAATGGCGAGTTAAGATCTTCGAGGCTTCATTCTGATGCACTGTGCGAAACCTCGCAAGAAAAGCAAAAGCTCCAGAGTGTTTGACGCAGAAAAGAAAAAGAACATTTCTATCCGCAGGAATACCTTCACCGCCGCCTGCTTCTTCTCTTCGTCCTCTTCCCGGGGCGTTTCGGCTTCTTCCAGGATATGCATCGCAAATTTAGGTCTGGCGTTCTAGAAGAACAAAGCGAATTGAATGTGATTCGGGAGCTGCTTCCCCTGTGATTCCCCTGGACCTGGATCATACAAAAATCTGTGTTGCATGAGGAGCAGCGGACAGTGCATTTCTCATGCTGGACAGGCAACATCAGCGCGTCCTCTTCTCCTGATGAAAGGAGCCGTGAAGATGCCACTGCAAGACCATCACGGACATGCCGGCTGATGCAAGGTCTGAATGGCACCATTAGAGATCCAAAACACCCAGACTATATATTCATTCTTGCAATGCATACATAATAAACGCGTCCGACTTGCGCTTGTTCTGGTTTGCCCGGGGTGTTTCCTGATCCTTGGCTTCTTTCATCTCCCGCTCCTTTCTTCTTTTCTTCAGGACCGACGTATCCAGGAGAACAGAAGTAACGCACACCCGCATCATATTCAAAAATATTAATATTTGGCATGCGGTTTTCTTGTTGTGTAACCGAAAACCAAAAGGAAACCACTGCTGACTGCGCAGCATGAAAAACAACTTGGGCACCACGACGTTGATCTTTGTGAACCTCCTAGTCCGCATTACAATCTCACAACTCTTTGAACGAAAAACAGTATGACAAAAGTCATCTTTTTCTGTGGTGCGGATGGGATGTAAGTACTTTTCAGCACGATACGCCTGTCGGGCCGCGGGCTTGAGTTTCGTCACCGAGGTGAATTGGTCAAGAAATTCCATAACGGGGTCAAGCTCCGCCACCCCGCTGCTCTTGCTTTTCTTCGCTTGCAGAACGCGGCGCACGGTCTGTATCGGCGTCAGGTTTCCGGCGTCTTTCACCCACGGGTCTGCGCCAACGGAGCAGAGCAGCTGCAGGGCGTAAAGCGCACCGTCCAGCTCCGCATACGCACCAGCGAGGTGGCAGGGACTCACGTCCCAACGGTTGCACTTCCGCGCGCATCCTGTGCAAAACCGTGGTCGGTAAAAGGCGCCACACAGCTACACGATGGGGTGAATTGTGCTATACAAATCCACAAGCTCAAGTGCAAGTTGTTCTGTGTGTATTGTGAGTAAGTCACGCATGATCAAAAGTTCCTGTCTGCAGTGTCGTTGTGGTTGCTGCCAGTTGTGACGTAGCCGCATCGGCATCACTACACTATCTTATCCACGTCAACGCACGACAAATTTTTCCGAAACCGCAACAGCACCAAATGCCTTTCTTCGTCTCCGTCGTGCGGACGGCGCACGAGACACGTAGTTCTGGGCATTATGCACATTCGATGCACAACAAGTGTGACGTAGCGGCCAAGGTTTTTGCACCGGATAGCGAGTCTATCGTATGAAAAAACTGTCTCACTATGCATGCTTCCTATGGGAAAAACAAAAACACAGGATCTAAAAAAACTTACTGTCTTGCATTTGTAGCAAAACAACCGCTTCTGTGTTGCATCCTCTGCATCCCAAGTTCACAGTGAAACATTCTTTTCCTTGGATAGCGTCCGCCTGCTTCTCGACAAGGTACTCGATTGTCTGGACCTGGGAGGTTTGGAAAAAAGCTGTGTGTATGGCGAACGGTAGTCTAAAATCTGTATTGCGCAACTCGGACGCCAAAGCCACTGTGTCATGCGAAGACTACTGATGTTATAGCATTTCTTTTACCTGGTGGTAGCAGCACGCGAAAATGAGCGGCGTGTTGCCGTCGGCATCCTCGGCGTCGACGTTTGCGCGGCTCTGCACCAGAATTTCCACCAGCTCGCTGTTGGCGCTCGCGGCGAGGTGCAGGGGCGACAACTCGTGTACCGTGGGGATGTTGCAATTGGCCTTCGCGTCCAGCAGAAACTGCACTACTTCAGGGTAGTTGCAAATCGTGGCCACGTGGAGCGGCGTCAGTTGCCCCGCGGTGGCGTGCAGCCGCTTTATCAGGTCCGGGTCGGCCTCTATCATCACCTCGACCGCGTCTATGGACCCGCGCCAACACGCGATGTGGAGACTGGTGGCAGCGCCGTAGGGGTTCAGTAAGTTCACCACGTACTGCACTAACCGGACAAGATTGCGCATGGCTGAGAGGGGATTTTTTTAGGTGTCTTTCTTGCAACAAAGAAAAACAAAATCCACTACTTAATAATTTTTAGCGTCACAACGATCGAGGTAGAAATTTTATAGATGCAAAGCTCCTTCTTTGGCACTGATAATTAGATACGAAAATACAATGCAGCACGAAGGTCTCGGCAAGCTTTTCGTTCCACTGCGCCAGGGGATCCTCCTCCTGCGACGAGTGTGCAGAGTTCATGCTGCTCCGTCGCGAGGGCACCATTTGGTTATTGATTCCGCCATTTTCGTATGCATTGCAAATCTGTCTTGGTCAACATGATGCCAACTTTCGACCGTCCAAAAACCTGGAAAATCTGCATAAAAAACCGCTGCAATCTTCCAGACCCAGACATGTTTGCAATGCCTATTTCTGGGCTGCTGGTCTGTTTGTAGTTGAGATCCAAGCAACTGCTGGGGAGCCATCCCTGCGCCCCTTCGTTGGATTCGCACCAAATCCAGCCATACTCCTCCGCGTGACTGGTGTCCAGAACCGTCACCACATCGTTTTTTCTAGCGGCGATTTGATTATCTCCCTGGGGAACGAAGCCCGCAATGACAAGTGCGACGGCGGGTATGCAGTGCAAACATTGCTGGCTCGTCGTGGTGATGTATTTTTATTTTTAAATATGCACACTGTAGCGCCATAGTTACACTCGTCAAGAACCTCCGGTACTTCCGCAAGTTGCTTGCGCCGTCCGGGGTTCTCCTAGTGTAGTTTGAAGATTTATTTTGCCTAGCATCGATCTCTTTTACTCATGCAACCGTAATTCTTACCGTACGCCAAAACGACACTTTGCAGCTTTTTTTACTCGCCGACGTGCTGCGCTCACTCTTACACCAACCACGACTAGCTCCTTGTAAATGGTCTTGCAACACATAAAATCGTCCTGGTTGCTGTTGCCCCCCGCGGCCCGCCGCAGTAGGTCCCCCTTCCCGCCCCCCGTGCTGGTGGAGGAACCGCCAAAGGTCGGTGACGGCGCGGCGTGCGTGCCGGACGCCGCGGTCGGCGAAGCTTGCGGTGACCTGCCGGAGCTGCTACTGTTGTTCCCTTTCGCGTACCGCCTGTGTTCTTACGAAAATTGCCCGGACTGTCAGTCGTGTCCGTGTGGTGAGAAAAACTCCCTTGCATAATTTTCGACCTGGACATGACCTGCACGTCAACAAAAAGGCAAAAAGTAGTCTTCCTCATCTGTCAGCGAGCAAGCAGGCGGTCATGAGTGCCATTAATAGTACAGCGAACTGATAGAATGATACATGGTGCGCTAACTTCTGACGAGATCCGTACGCAACTGTTCCAACTAGTTCGCGAATATTAAAACTCGTTTCCACACGAGGTCCTAGGCAATTTTCATCCGCATGATAAATTCGCCGTGGGCTCCACCGAGGCGGAAAATCGGGCGGGTCGCGTGCTGCTCGATGCGGGGGTGTTGTGCGAATTCACCTGTGTCCAAGAAAAAAAGTGCCGTCTTTGGTGACGTACAACTTTTTTGGGCCGGCGCGCGGAATGTTGTTGCCGTCTGGCATGCCAGCAAAGAACATCATGCCATGTGTAGATACAATCTGTTTATGTCTACGCGAGTTCTTGTACTACCGGACCGTACAAGAACTCTTGTGGAAATAACTACTTCTGCACGCGGCTTGCAAACAACCTGCAAATGAAATGCAGCCCAGCATGTACTATCTGTTATCCCTACACAGATATAGTTTTGGATTTCCACTTGCGCATTTCTTTTCTTGGATAATCTGCAGCGGTGATTTGTTGTTGTTTGACGTCAGGTATGGTACGCAAAGGTCGTATCGCACTCGCAGGGCAAAGGCAATTGCAAAAGTACAACTACTCTGTGACAATAAATACTACTTGTGTCTACTGATTTCGCATGACAAGCTGCGCCAGTTTTCATCTGTGATCCTTATATGCAACAGTTTCATCTCGTCCCTACACAAGTACGACATCTAACTTTTCCAAGCCATATCAACGACCCGGGCAGGAGCTGGTCCTCTACGGGACTGGTTTTGGAGTTGTTCGTTATGTTCGAGCGGTTTGACCGTGGCCGCGGCTGCTGCTGCGATATCTGAAGAAGAAGTTGAGCAGCGCCATTAGTAAGTGCCTACTTGACTAGTGATCAAATCAATTCGCAATGTTGAATCCGTGAATTTCTGGCCGTGTTTCATCAGCATAAGAAACAAAAAGTACGACTACATTTTTGCGACATCAAGAAGCGTACTAATCGCAAAAAAATCAAAGTGAAAAAATGTTTTCTGCACCTTTTCTTTCAAAATGTTTTCCAGCATGTCTTCCTCCGTTTCCTCGCTGTTCTCCTGCTCTTGTCGTGAGCTCATCATCCCAGGAAAAAAAATGTCAAGGTGCTCCAAAAAGGCACGACTTCGATTTTTTTTTGGAGATGTAGAAGTTTTCGCCAAATTGGCGAAAACTTCTACATCTCCCCTTATTTTCGCTGACGACATCGCTTCCATTGCAGCAAGTGCAATGCTACCTATCCATCTTGCTTGCGAAAAAGCCGCTGCTCGAGTTTACAAAATGAAAAGTTTTTCCTCGTATGGAAATGGAATCGCGTTAAACCTGTGCTGCATAAGTTATTATCCAGCGTCGATCCTACTTCTGGTTCTGGCTTTTTTCTTCTGGATAATGACGTCGACTGCTTCGCTGTTATCTCGATACCCGCCACTTTCACCCAGAGCACTGGCCGCATTCGCGATCCCTCCGCTGGCCCCGTTTTGTGCAGCTGTCGTGGGGCAGTGTCAATGAGGAAAACCGTGCCCCCGCCGCACAACGAACCCACAAAACCTGAATTCCTAGCTGAGTCGCATCTGCTGTGGAAGCTAGATAGAAATTGCGCTGAAATAACCGTTGGCGGCCTTCAAATTATCCGGGGGGCGAGTTTCTTCAAAAGTGTAATCAGGTGTGCAGCCCAGTAGAGACGAATGCTGATAAAGAATCAAGTTTCTTTTTCGTACATAATTCTCCCGATCATTTCATGAAAGCGCTGTATGTTCGAGGCGACGCGGAGCTTGGCTTTTGTCAATTGATACGCTTATCTTTTTGCTGAGTTCCATGATCGAGGGAAGAAAGTCTATTAGTGACAGTTTTTCTTTGCATGACACGAGAGGTTTTTTTTCGCAGGTTGTTTCTGTTCGGCGCAATTGCAACAATTCCTCAGGAATCCTAGAGCAAGGAGGAACCTCATGATGTACAACAATGCAGCACAGGCTGAGAGCACAAAATGCTCCGAGCCTTTGTGCCCTGAAATGCAAGCACATAGCTCCTGCCTGTGTTGACACAACAAGCGCTGCATCTATCTATCATCGTGTCCTCCCTGTCCAATAACAATCTGAAAAATTTCCACTGCACTGTCACTGACCTCCTTTTCCGGTGATACCCTTGTCGGCCCGCGTTGGCTCGTATTTGTCCTCGGGATCCTGCAGCTGCGCCGCCGCGGGCTCCGGCGCGGCCCCGGCGGCGACCGCCTCTTGTTTCTTGCTCTTACTCGCGCCGCCCCCCATTCCGAAGAATCTGCGCATGGACAATAGTTCCTGCGGAGGGACGAGACACGGCCGAAAAGGGCCTGCTTACCTCGGTGTCGCGGTCGCAGGCAAAGTGCTTGGTCGTGCTGTCAAAGGCTGCGCGGGCCAGCAGCTGCGCCGGCAAGCGGGTTCTTCACTTGCCGCAAGGATGGCGATCCCACCACCCCGGCTTCGATTGTTTCGACGTCAGCCCGCTGTGTTACTTCCGCGCAGGATAAGTAGAAAGACGTTTTCGTGCGTTCTTGGCTAAACTTGGCCAAAGCGCCTACACGTGGTTGAACTGTTGACTGGGATACAACGCGTGTGGTCCGGCAACTTGATCCGCTTGCCGCCGCGGTCTCCTGGTCGTGAGGCACTGCCCCGCGGCTGCGAAAAGACACCGCGACTCGTCAAACCCGAAGCGGCTCTGGTCTCCGGCCAACGAACGGCACGGGCGTGGTGTTCCTGTTAATCGATCGGGGTATAACTTTGCGGGCGGCCGGGTTGTGTCTACTTACTCTGAGTCCGGCCTCGTGCAGTGTGGAGTGGATCCTTAGCCGTACGGGTCTTGGAGGCATGAACTCATGTACTTCACCGCGGCCCCACGGGCCGGCGCCGCCACGGCACACGGACCCAGAAGATCCCGCCAACGCCGATCAGCCCCGCAGAGCCCGCTCGCGGCAACAGAATCTGGCACAAATCGCCGCAGCTTCAGCACCCCTTCATTATGATTGCTGGAAGAACATCGAGTGTCTGATTCCGAAAGTTCGTTGCAATCTTACATGCCGGTTACCAACATTGTGTAATGCAAACCCAATCTCCACTTAACGCCCAAACGAACAAAGTAACTTCACGTCGGTACGCTGTGTGTAGAGGAAGATTAGGGCCGGGCTCTTCTAAATGCATCTGCTTCTTTATTTGCACACAACGACTAATGTAGATGTACAACGACAACCTTTTCAAAGAGGGCCTGTGTGTTAGCAGTCCATTATGTTTCTAATTTCTTCGCAAAAGACGGTGGCACCAAAGTACGGCGCTGCAGTTTTGACTACGGAACCTTGTTCAACCACCACGCTTTCAAGCGCTGCACTCGGAGGTCAGTTCAGACTTATTTTGCGAGCAACATGCAGTACGTAGCAATTCGCGCCTCTGCCTCATTTGTGCTGATATGACGCGGGTATGCCGCCGCCGTCCTGCTTTGACCGCAGTCGTTCGTGAACGCAGCACGAAGGCCACTCTCTTGCACTACTTGAAAGCGGCGCTCGACCATTCTCTCTTTTTTGCGGAACGCGCAGCAGGCGCCGCGCATTTCGTTTCTCAACACTCCCACTCTTGCACTCTGACGGCCCGCTGGTGGCTTCTCTCGCACTTGCAGTGAAACCGCTGGCGTCTGGAAACGACGGCGCGGTCGTGTACAAAGGTGAAAGAAGACTCGGGTGGGAAGCAAGTCGAAGAAGTCCGTCGCACCCCGCGTTTCAGCGCCAAGCGCGATGGGAAAGACCGGCGCCATTCGCGATCTTCCGGCCCGGCGCTTCCCTTCCCTACGCGTGTACATAGGCGAGGGCAGCGCCGTATGCGGTGCGCATCCAGGCGGGGCAATTTAAAGGATAGAAACCGCGGCGGCCGAGTATGCCCTGCGCGCCCGGGCTCGGCCAAAGACGGAGGGAGGGCAGGGGAGGGCAAGGAGGGGGCAGGGGAGGGCAGGGGAGGGCAGGGGAGGGCAGGGGAGGGCAGGGGAGGGCAGGGGAGGGCAGGGGAGGGCAGGGGAGGGCAGGGGAGGGCAGGGGAGGGCAGGGGAGGGCAGGGGAGGGCAGGGGAGGGCAGGGGAGGGCAGGGGAGGGCAGGGGAGGGCAGGGGAGGGCAGGGGAGGGCAGGGGAGGGCAGGGGAGGGCAGGGGAGGGCAGGGGAGGGCAGGGGAGGGCAGGGGAGGGCAGGGGAGGGCAGGGGAGGGCAGGGGAGGGCAGGGGAGGGCAGGGGAGGGCAGGGGAGGGCAGGGGAGGGCAGGGGAGGGCAGGGGAGGGCAGGGGAGGGCAGGGGAGGGCAGGGGA